AAGTATCATGTTCAAATCGTTGGTACCGACAATTCCTCCACCATCGTCCTATATGAGGTAGAATCTGTTGTTGCCTCTCCGGGTATGATCTCTTTCGACATCGACGTCTACAAATTCATTCCCGCCAATTCAGCCATCGCAGCTTGTCTAGCCAGGGCCAAGGCCGTCTCTCCCGATCCAAGCGCTTCTCACGATTCGCCTTACACAGAGTCGCCAATCTTGACAGCTGTTGCAGCACCTAGTAACTTGTACGCTAAGTACGTCGAAGAAGCAGTCGTAGTATCATGGGATCAGCCTGGTTCCGGTACCGATGATTTTGATCTGCTTGTTGTCCAAAAGGACGGCAATTTGGATACCAATGTGATTTCCAGATGTATGTCAGCCCCGGATGGCCAGAGACAAGCATCACTCATGGGCCCATCCATCATTCAAGGGGCCAAGTTCACAATCGCAGCCCGCGCGAAGCCTCCATCAGCCGACTCCCTAGGACTATTTGCACTCTTGACCTACCAAGTTCCTCAGGCTCTATTGCCAACTCCCCAGATCGACTCCGAATCCTACTACGACATTGAAACGCAGGTGCTCAATATGACAGTGAAATTTGTCAGCCAGCCTTCTCCCAACCTGCAGTTTGTTCTGCAAGTCCATCCAAGCACTGGCCCTCTGCCGGAACCCATCAAAGGAATATCTGGAGACGCCCCTGGTAGCACCACTGTTTCTTTTGGGGGGCCCTTGGATATTGGTACGGCCCGCACAACGGCCTCCATTACCGTGGCGTCGCTTGACCCAGTTGCCGGGGAGCAAGGGGACTTTAGTGAACCGTGGAGGTTCCCAATCATACCCCAATCGTTGCCTGCGTGCAAGCCTTCGGCCACTTTCACCTCTGCGGGATCTGTTCGAATATCATGGTCGTGGGACGGCCTTACCGAGCCCACCGCACAAAGGGTCAAGATGATTCTGAGAGTCCCGAAAAGGACCTTGGCCTTGACCTGCACTGTTCAACGGCCAGATACCGTCGCAATCTTCACCATGGAACAGAGCGACAACCTATTCAAACCAGGGCAAAATGTGAGCATTGAGTGCACATCTCTGGGTCCGAGTCTAGCTGGAGGTCTCGCAAGAATCGACTTTACCATCCCCGGTTCCAACGGCTGGACCCCTTATGCACTTGTAAACGGGTCCCCTGTCGGATCTCTCTGCACCATGGCGAGCATCTCGCGCAGCGGAAGCAACAGCATCCAGCTCTGGTGGACGAGTCCTGACGGATCTATCCAGACGGCCTTGCAACAGAACAACAACTGGACAGGCTCTCAGTTCATGGGCCCCTCGACAGTGCCAAACTCTGGATGCTGCTTGACTGGTACCACGCGTAACAACTTCCATCAGGAGATCTGGTGGATCACGGAAGACGGTGCTATCGATGGCAAGTTCTGGTTGCAGGACGGGATGGGATGGAGGTCGCCTGGCACTGACTCCTATCCCTTCAACAAGCCTGATCAAGCTTCCACGAAAGCTGGCGGATCAATGACTTGCATGTCTAGGCCTGGCTCTCGCATGCGCATGGACGTTTGGTGGGTTACTCCTACCGGGGGCATCGGTAATGCTCGATGGAACTCGTCTGATGGATGGGGAGATGTCTTCAACGCTGCACCTTCGGGCACGGTAGGCTTTGGAAGCTCCATCAGTGGGCTTACTGCACAAAGCCTGGATGGAAAAACACTCGACTTGTTCTACATCTACGAAGGCGGAGGTATTGGAGGCGCCTATTCACATGACCCCGACGCGGTCACTGGGTATGGTCTGTACAAGCTTACTCCGGTGATGACTGCTCGGCTTGACGGCGGGTTCACCTCGATACAGCTCTCTCCACAACAAATCGCCCTATTCTGGATCTCTTATCGAGGAAGCGTTGACATGTTTGTCCTGACGAGAAACTATTTCGATGTGGCTGGGTGGGACAGGCAACGGCTAGCTCTAACTGAAAATGGCTCCGCCTCTGAAACAAGCGGTATCGTCGCATTATATACAGGTGAAAACAGGTTCTCTGTCTGGTGGAACGGGCCGTCTGCGGACTTGAGGAGGATAGACGTGGACTTGACGAAAGAACCTGTACACTGGCCCGTGTATGAGCAGCTGGGTGTAGGGAGCTGCAGGAAGACAAGGACTCTTCTATTGGGGTCGATAGACAAAGATCAGAGCGATCTTTGGTACGTTGGTTCGAACAATACCATGCAGGGAATGTCCTCTGGAAGTTAATGGGCGGCCTACAGGGGGAGGTTGAGGGTTAGGGGAGGGTTGAATTGGTGATAGTTTCACGAGCTGCTCTTGGCGATTTCTTTTTGGATAAACACATTGCCTTTATCATGCTCCTCTATACCATCCTTGCCCCCTTCAGCCTCAGCCCTTCAAGGACTCGTTCGGGCAGATATTGGTACCTGAAACCACCCTCGCTCACCAGAAGTACGCGTCAGCCTGCTTGGCCGCCTCAGTCTAGAGGCAGTCTGTGGCCAATCATCCGACTCGTGGATCTGGTTCAGCTCCGACCTACTGCTGCAGTGCAACTACAAGCTCCTAATTCGATGCTTGGCTTCAGCCACAAACTCGGTTCTGTGTTCAGCCCATCCAAGCATAAATGGCAGGGCATCCACTTCTTGCATGACTCGCTTCTACATAAAATTATTGGTTACTCTAGACCAACTCATCATGGCAACTCTCGCTTACGAACCACTTGATGAACTCAGACGAGAGATCCGGCTTGTAAAACTGTTTCCAAAGGTAGCGACGCCTATACATTTCAGAAAACATCATTCCTGATCAACGTCAGAGAACCACGTCGGAGATCTGTATCTCTCTAAGCAAAGGTTCATTAAACGACAATTTGGAGTTCACGGCCCTCTCATACACTTGGGGTGATGCAAAAGACACATTGCCCATCACCGTCGACGGATGCCCCTTCCAGGCTACTCGGAATCTCGTCGCTGCACTTCGTCGCCTCCAGGAAGACGACAATGCAGTCACACTTTGGATAGATGCCATCTGTATCCAACAGTCCAACAACGCTGAAAAGTCATGGCAGATCCAGTTGATGAAGAATATTTACGAAAAGGCCACCACTACGGTGGTATGGTTAGGTGAAGATCCCGAATCGGCCGAAATCATGCGGGCATTCTCTTATAGGTCTCAAAAGGGCATGTCATGGGACTACAGAATCCTAGACAGGCCAGAGGTTGTACAATGGCTGCAGAGCCCACAAGGACCACTCGGAGGCCGTGTCGGCGGACCTGAGCAGGTTGCTTTGAAGAAGCTGCTGAACCTCGACTACTGGTTTCGAGTCTGGTGCCTACAAGAGTTCTTGGTCTCTGAACGAGTACTGGTGTCCTGCGGAAGCTACAAGGTCCCATTGGACGACTTCCACCGGTTTGCCCTGACCTTTCTGAAAGCGTTCTCTGGACAGTTCTATGATGCAGCATCAAGGCAGGATCTGTTGACGATGGCGAACAATAACCCCGTTGGATCGCCGGGAAATCTAGCGGGCCTGGTACATGGTGCCACAAGGATGTTTCAGCAGCGAGAGCGTTACCGATCGTCAAAACCGGGCATGTCGGGGCAGCCATTGCTGGATCTCCTCATCCTCGCTTTCAGTCATGATACGACTGACTCCTCCCTCCGCTCAACTGACCCTCGAGATCGGATATTTGGCCTCCTCAACCTTGCAAGCGATGCCGACGAGCTTGGAATCCGTCCTAATTATGAAAAATCCTGCGAGGACGTATTCCTTGAAACATGGGCTGCTATTCTTGCCAAGGGCCAGGCGGCCCTGCTCGTCTATCCGCAGTACGGGCGGCCATACACAGACTCTCCCATCGATCCCAACTCACAAGGGTCGCAGTATGCAGAATTTGGCCGACCACGCCCAAGACTAAAGTCTCCCACTGGCTCAGAGCTGCCATCATGGGTACCGGATTGGCGCGTGACTCGGGACCCCTCACCAGCGAAGACCAACATTGACAAGCCCTTTACGGCAAGTGGTGGCAAGACAACTACGCAATGGGTACCTTGCAGCAACATTCGAACGATAGCCCTTAGGGGAGTTGAAGTTAGCATAGTTGGTAAAGTAGGCACCACACTCGCACCAATGGCCGACTACCTCGAACAAGGCTTCAAACCCGCAAGCACCTTCTTCACCGAGATCGCGCTCTTCATCCAAGAGTCGTGCTCGGCCCACCCCGATGCCCCTGTCTACTCTGCTCTGGAAGCCGCGGCGAGTCTGTGGCGGATTCCTGTAGGGGACCAAGAGGCAATCTCGGCCACTAGTTCGCAACGACGTAGAGCTACGGATGTGAGCCAAAAGCGGTTTGTGTCTGTGTTGGAAGTTATCAAGGCCTGCGAGAACGGCATACAATCAAGAGCCCCCACATTAGCATTGCAGTTTTCCATGACTGTGCTACAGAACATGGGCAAGTTTGACCTGTATTTGGTTTCGGTCATGATCCAGGCGGGGCGAAAACCATTTCTCTCGGCGGGTGGTTACGTTGGACTTGGTCCTGCTGCCATGGAATCCGGAGATGCCATTGTAATTTTTTATGGTGCTCATGTACCGTTCGTGCTTCGCCCAAAGGGACAGGAGTTTCAGCTTCTGGGAGAGGCATATGTTCATGGAATTATGGACGGTGAATTTATGCAGGTTGAAAGGGAGGACAAAACTTTTCCCCTTTGCTAGAAGACGCATAGGACGACCAATATTTTAGCAAGAGTCGTTGGATAACAAGGCAGTACCGTTATTATTGTATATTCACTATGTAGAGTCCAAGCAACATATAACGCCTTTAAAACCCAATACTAAAAGAGAAAAGCCTTGAGAATCTGTTCTTTACTATAGTTGCAGCCCGGCCCTCGAGGGGTTAACTGAGCCCGAAGATCGTAAAAGAAAAGCAGACTATAAGTTCCATCTAACCTCTTTGTATCATTTTCCCAGTACCCTAGAAGCCATCCCATCTTTTTTAGTCTCGCTCCCAAGGATTCTCAAAGAGCTCCGGCAGGGACCGTAGGCCGTCCACCGTATACTGCGATGATTGTGACGAAGTGGGCGACACTGTATCCCAATCACGATCCTCCTGTGGATTCACTGCCAATGTCTGGTCTTCTTGGCCATGCTCTTTCTGAAACAAATCATCTGAGCAAAACCCGTTGTCGATTGATGCATCATCCAATGATTGATGATCGTCCGACACGTCTTGCGCTGAGGAGTCACCATCCTCGATGAAGAAATACCGACAATTTTCTTCATCCCATTCGAAGGGTCGACGAAGAGGGCGGTGGCAGTTCTTCTTATGTCCGGGCGTCCCGTTTTTGGCGCACTGGCAGCCAACGATCGAGCAGCAAAAACCACACGTGCCACACCCATTGCCATAAATATACCCCTGAAAGCAGTGATCGCATCTAACACAGATTCTCCCATCGGTGTGAAAAAAAGCCCAGTTCTCTTGAACATCCTCAGGGGGGGCTTCTGGCCATGGCTCGTCATCCCAGTAGGGGCACCGATCCTCCTTCCCTTGCCAGAGCTGCTCAAAGACCTCGCGCGTGTAGTCTTTTGTGTAGCGAGCTCTTCGGGGACTAATCTTTCTGAATTCCAAGATCTCGTAGCCACAGTCATCTAGAACAGAGTCCCAGAGGTCCCCCAAGTGTGCCGGGTAGACTTCACGGCATTTTGTACACAACGCTTGATTGTATGCAAACCTTGAGACGGATATCCCAGAAAGGCCAAGGGAGTGGGCATCAGCGCCGTGTTTCAACAAAAACACCAAGATGTCTTTCTGAGCTTGACAATACTGTTGATTCGCAGCAAATCGGATGATGTTGCTGATGGTGTTCGTGCCGTCTGAGTATTCGTCGTGCACACTGTAACCCTGGCCAAGCAGAAACCGCAGCCGAGACAGGAAAAGTTCTGCCTCTTCATCACTGCAACTCCGCTCGAACGGTATGGTGCAGCACATCAGGAACGGGCTACACTCTAGTGTGCCTCGATCCGCATAACGGACAAACGGGCTCCTGTTGAACATTCCACGAAGCACCAAATCGCCCTAGGCGTGTATTCTGTCAGTCAAATCCATCCTCAACTTGCAACATTGAGCTGTGACTAACACGAGCGTCGGTCTGGACGCTAGCATGGAGAAAAAAGCTTGCAGAGTGAGCCGATTCAATGGTCGGGTCCGCACCAGCGACCAGTAGACACTGAACTGTCTCAGGAACAAATTGCGTATAATGAAGTGGTGTTCTATTTGGTGATGTTGTTAATCCACGAACTCAACCAAATCAGGATGCTTGGCACGCCATACCGACTTGAGCCTGCTAGCTCATTCACATCTAAGCCCTGCTCAACGAGGAACCTGCACATCGAGATATTTCCTGCCGAATGCTTGAATGTCATGTCAATAGCACGTCAAACCATATGATGTATCTAAAGAGCGCCTTATTCAACTAAATGGGTCACTTACATGCAACAATGACTTGCCATCAGTGTCGTGGTCGTGGAGACTGGCTTTGCCTTCAGCAACCAGAGTCATCAGCTGCTGAATAGATCCATTTGAGGTGAGTTGGAACACCAAAGAGTCACAGGGGAGAATATTATTGACTATGACTTCGGGAAGCATGCTGGTGAAGCTGTCAAAGAGAACTTGGCCTTGATTCACTGACAGCGTCAGCATCGTAGGTGTGCTTTTGGACTTGAAGACGAGCTGGGCCGTAAACTCCCTTCGATAGATGGCCTGGCTGCTTGCAGCATTTTCACAGTGTCTCTTGTGTTTCCCTCGTCGTTTGGTGGTCGTTAACGTTACGACGCCATCGCCGATATCGATTACTTTCCGTTTCTGTTCCTGGTGGAGCACCGTTCCTTGTGACATTGTATTCATCAATACTAGAGGCCCTATCCAGTGTCAGCATAATGCAGGTATTGGTCCTGGAGCAAGCAGTAGTACCACTTTGATTGAGTTTCATCGATGGGGCGGACAAGATCAGACACATGACTAGCTTCAACTCTCCGGATATATCATCGTTCCGGCGGTGGTCGAGACAGAACTGACAGCAAGCCTCGTCGGAAACGGCACTCGTTACTTCGTCTCTTTGAACGGATCGTAACAGATGCTCTAGGTCACCCATAAGCTGCGGTGCATCGTCACATTCAACGACAGATGGCTTCTTTTCCAGCAGATGCATCAATCGTGAAATTTTGTGATCAGGGCCAGATATCCTTTTCATGCTGTCCAGCTCCACAAATCGCCCACGTGTTGAGCTTTCGCCAGCGGCCCGAACAGAATCAACCTTGCAGAGGGTCGCCACATTCCTGTCGAGTTTTTGAACGGTGCCGAGGATTTCGGTCCATCGTGTCTCTGAAGAAGAAGTTTGTTTCAACTGTAAAACATTCAACCAGAGCGTGAGCCTCTGGACGTGGCCTTGAACGACGCGTTGCATCTCTGCCAGGTCCCTGTCCGTAAAGCAGGCTTTCAGCTTCCGCCAGGCTCTGCATCTGCGGCCAACAGCCGCAGACGTGTCAAGCCGAAGTAGCTTGGCTTCTAAGCCCGTCAAATCATCACTGCACTTTCTCACTAAGCCGTTAAGCTCTGTTGCGTCGGTTGTGCTCATTGGGATGAGTGATAGTCGCTCAAGGATCCTTCCCAGCTCGGCGGACTCGTCCTTAAGGGATCGAATGGTGTGTGTCCCATCGTTGATTGTAGGCAAGCCGTCGTGGATGGCCTTGGTTATTGAAAGAGCGAGCCCGATAAAGGTGACCACGCTCGCACTGACGCTCAAGGGGTCCATGGCGATTGCAGTTCATTCCTGGTCCTGGTGGCTAGGGCCCGTGACAGAACTTGTCTGCAAGGGTAGGAACTGAAATGACAAATGAGAGGATGGATGAGGATTGGGTAGGTAAAAGGTTTAAGTTGGGGTTCGTGCCATCTTACCTCAGGCGTGTTGACTCTCGTCAGCCTCACATGTGACGTGACATCAATGTACTTCCCCATGCTTATGGCAAAGCCTCGCGAGGTTGACCGGTTGAGGCCCTCCATAACTGCCGACCACTTGGCTCACCGACATCCAATCGTTCAATCAGATCATGAGACTCTTACGCCCGTGATGTTAGCGCAGTTGATGAGGGTGTCCATCAGGATGGATGTGGGCATTGTCTTTGGACAGGTATTGAGGCAACCACTCGCCACTTGCGTATTAAACCACTCAATCTACAACAGCCCTGCCTATTAAATCCCAAGTTACTGATATTGTCGCACCACTTTTTGTGAATGTTTGTGGTGTCCTAAAGGATGTCATCAGTTACAATAACAAAGATATTGTCAGACCACTCGTCCATAGTTTACTAGCAACCAAGAGGAAGGTGAGAGCATCGCTCAGACGCTGTGAAACAATGGATATAGTCGAATCTACGTATCGGGCACCGTACTAAGACGGGTAATTCCGGACAAATCAGAGAGAAAGAAAGAACAACATAACCCCGTCAGGCCCTGAGAGGCTATCAAAAGTATAGTGCCCTTTGCCACCATTCACACCTCTTGTTGTTGTTAGGGTCAGAAATAATATCAACGCCACTATTGGTGAACTCAAGCAACTCGCCCTTTGAACCATACACTGGCATATCAAGCTCGGCCTGGGTGTTTGGCTCACCAGTGAGGGCAAATGGCACGAGATATCGCTGAAGCATCAAAGCAAGAGGGCTTGCAGAATCAGGAACCACTTCGCTCGGTCCGTTGTAAAGGTATGGAATACTTCGAGTCTGTGGAAACAAAGTGGGATGCTGAACTTGTAGCCATAAGTAGAACCAAGGCAACTAAAGGCCTTTTGCAAGTAGCGCGTGTTGCACACGAAACCAGCGTCAGCTAGGGACATCTTGGCGCGGGTGAAGAAGTCCTTGTATGGCTGGCTTCCGTCAAAGGAGGGTGGGTAAAGCTCCTTGGAGATGTAGTCGATGACTGGGCTCTGAGCATCTGGGAAAATGGTCTTGAGGTTGTCGACAAAGACGGTATTGTTCACGTTATCCTGGCTGGTGAAATACTCGGTCTCGTTGTGGTTAAACGCAGTCGTGATCTTGACAGACCTGTCAAAACTACCCTGGGCGAGAAGAGTGCCCGGAAGAGCTGGGACAAATTATCCGTCGGGACCAGGTGCCCAAGTAAAAGTGCCCTGGGGAGAGATGGTCACCATGTCGGCGTTAGCCTTGTATAAAACTTCATTTGGCAGCTGGCGAGCCTCTTGGATGGTTGAAATATTCAATCTGCTAAGGAAATCTTGGAGTAGATCATCCTGCTGCTTGTTACCAGGCAAAAGATGGATACCCGGTGATTGGATGATGGCTTGCTGAAAGGGGACTCGGGCACGGAGACCATCATAGGCAGTGATCTGATGCATGATGGAACCACCTCCACCTCCGGCTGACTGGCCTAAGATTGTCACCCGATTCTTGTCGCCTCCAAAGAGATGGATGTTGTCTTGTATCCATTCCAATGCCAGGCGTTGATCGAGCAGTCCGAAATTGGCGGTGCTATTTCTTCTGACATTAGGGCCAGACAAGAGGCCAAATGCTCCGCGATATCACCCTTCTGAACGGTTTTGCGGTCCTTCACTGGAGGCTGGGGAGCAGCGAACCGGAGCTCGCCAGTGGGAAGTCTGGCATATCGAGTGTTGGAGAAATTGTTGTAGTGGCCAGTTTCCTGGACGATTGTTAGTCAGGAAAATCGAGCTATGAGAGATACCTACTACGTTGAAAGAAATGGCCTGGTGAATCTCATATCCGAGGTCGACGGTGGGAAGCGACGTGGGGGTTGAACAGGACTTTGAAGGGACGGCCGCCACACTGCTAATGAGCACGAGGAAGGAAATAAAAGACCTCATTCTGATCAAAAACGTGGTGTATCGAATCAAGCCAAACGGCAGAGGCTTGAGGAATGTTGAGTGACCAAAGTCTGGTTTAACAGCTACCCAAGGGCGCTACATCAGCCTTAGATCCTCGGATCTACAGAGGGAACCCGTCAGAAACTGTCATCATGCAGGGATCATGTTAAGTAAAGGTACCATTTGGAATTACAGTATTTGATATGTTGCGCTCATTCCAAATTCACCGTCGAAATCACCGAAGGATGATGCTATTCGGACAATGCCGACCAGAGGTGGCGGCAGGGGTCTTGTCAGCCCGTCAGCAGCTGAAAACAAATACCTGAATCCCTCGCTCATTGGATAACTCGCATGGACTACTGATTGCGTGCGAAACTACATATGTACCGGCCTCATGCCGCCTTTGAACAAGTGTCGAGATACGGATTAAGGCAAGATGGTCAATACGGGTAAACCGAGCAGAGCGTGCGCGACGTGCAAGAAGAGGAAGATTAAGGTGAGACAATTCGACGCATAATGAAAAGAAGCTAACATTGAGTTATAGTGTGACTTGCTTTCACCAGCATGTTCTCAGTGCACGAAATCTGGGTGGAAGTGTCCAGGCTTCCCTTCAGAGGCAGATGTCAACTTTCGCAACCAGACGGGGATTGTGCAAAAGAAGAACAAACTCGTTCCTCCTAACGCCGTCTCTGTCCTTGGGGCAAGAACACAGAGTGTCTCTCCATCGACCGCGGACCAGGCGATCAGCTTCTTCATTCAGCAGTACGTCCTCACCATCAACGGTGCATCGAGCTCTGCACCCCCAAGGGGCAACCATGAGTACCTCCCCGGCCTCTTGCGAAATGAAACGTCTTCGTTTGGGGTGCTTAGTACCATCACGGCAGCTGCAGGCCTTGCAGCTCTGTCCAACGCAGGTAACGCTCCTGCATGGCGATCTGAGGCGTTCCAGATGTACGGAAAAGCTATTCGACAGCTACGAGATGCTATCCAAGATCCTGTTGAACAGGTATCAGATCAAACCCTAGCTGCAGTCATGCTTATGGGGATGTTCGAGGTGAATTCGGTATACTTCCTTGCAAAATTACAGCTAACTGGATCGCAGACTATTGCGTCCGCCGACGTGAGCTCCATGCAGTCCTTCAGCCATCACACCATTGCCGCAGCACAATGCATCGAGATGCGTGGTCCAGGCCAGTTCAAAAGCGAGGCCTCCCTCAAGCTCTTTATCCAGATGCGTCGCATCATTGTAAGCCACTCATCTCGTAGTCCTTGCATATGCTCACCCCTTGCAGGTCATGACAAGCCACCAGCTGCAGGAACCCATCCCCTACGCACTGACAAAATGGTCCAAGTGGGCAGAGCGCATGGACATCAAGGAACTCGAGCCAGCCAATCGCTTCGCTGAGATCAATGAGATTCTTGCGAGGGCTAGGGCCGAACTCAAGTACCAAGACATCAAGGATCCTGAGACAGTGGCTGCACGTCTGCTCCCCATCGATGATTTGCTGAATGAATGGGCCCGGTCACTGCCTCCTAGTTGGTCTTACAAATCTTACCGATCTTTAGGGCCCGGCGGGACGCCGTCCAGCGGGTATGATCAGCAATACGACATGTATTACGATCCATGGGTTGCTTGTGTCTGGAACAGCTACCGCAACATCCGACTCCTTATCCACGAGTCCATCATTGCGGCGACACTCAAGTACGGCACGGAAGATCAGAAAATCAACCTTCAGAGCTCAGGCAAAGTGTTAGTCGACATGGCAAACGGCATCTGTCATAGCGCTGCGTATCATCTCGGTCACCAACCCGGCGACAGGGAAGTCGGGGGTGTCAGACAGTTCACCTATTCGGCGGATATCGCCACTCCAGGAGGGTGGCTTCTCCTGTGGCCTCTGTTCTTTTCCGCCATGTTGAGAACTACGCCCAAAGAACAGAGGCAATGGGTGGCAAAGACGATCAGGCAGATGGGTCTGCAGATGGGACTTCGGTTGGCCATGTCCATGGCGACCATGCTGGAGGAGCGGGAGCTGTCATTTTCGCACAACGACACCTTCTTCTTGGGGACATGGCATCCGAACTGAGCTCTAGGGGTACGGGGTAGATACTCGAGATTGTGTCATGAATAGCGAATTTCTTAATGTAGTGCAAATAGACTATTTCCCTTCTAGCAAGCGAGTGGCGTGTAGAGAAGGGTGATTGGTGGCTACCAGCGGCCATGGCATCGTCTCGGGGCACCAGTTGACATCTGCACATCCGTGCTTAAAATCAGGGACTCAGTAATCCTTCATTTAGAATTTGACACTCTTAACGAACATCGCTGGCGTGTATCGGCAGTTGGTGGCGATGTTACAAGAGCAAGCAAGGATGTTGGGAATAAGTCGGGCATGACCATGTGAGATTGATGCTGATTGGGTAGCTCGCATGCCTAACCATACCACGACGGGAATACGCTAAGATAACTGTAATAAAGGGCTGATTCCATGAGAACCAACACGTTTCCTCGAAGGTTGGGTTGCAGTTCTGAGAGCGTGCTGGAATATGGGGGGGCTAGAGTCCTTAGGTCGGGTACAAAACCGAACAAACCTTGGGTCCAAAAATAGCAGCAGGCCTCTGGGGAGATTTGCCTCAAGCGTTTCATCTTTCGGGTTCAGAGAGTTCTCGAAGCTCAGTTAACGAAAAGGGCGACATTATCACCTTGGATTTAACATCACCAGACTGTCAATATTAGTTCACGGGCGAACAGAGAGTGAGAGGCATGCAGGAGGTGATTAGGCGTCCACTGACACAGAAACCTTCCTCCACTATTGACGAATCAAAATATCTAAAAAGAATTGCCACGCGGGCGTTACACGAATGATAAATGCCCCCCTTGGAAAGAATCCATCACCATAGTACCTCTAAACGCCTTACATGGCGACAGCCGCTCCGACCATCCCGGCGGCAGCCACGAAGTAAACAGGACGGGCCATGCTGCGATCTCCCCCATTGACCAAAACCGCCGATGGAATCGAGGTACTTCCGGTTTCGACAGGAGTTGTAGTCGGTTCAACAGTCGAAGTGGTGGCTGGGGCTGGGGCTGGGCAAGGAGAATAGGAGCCGTACGCAGCCCACTCGGGAGGTATACCCGAAGCAGTGGCAAACTTGAGCCAAGAAGCCGCCTCAGGAGACAACTCGGTATAAGCCGCAGGAAAGCTTGCTCTCTTGGCAGCACCGCTCCCATTAAAGTTGTACTGGGGGCACTTGGAAGCGATACTCGAAAAGACGTCTTCGTTGGACGAAATCCACGAACCGAAGTCGTCGTAGACGCTCGCGAATTGAGACTTCAGAGACGAAGGTGGCTGGGCAAGACAACCCTTGGTCCGGGGGTTGTTATCACTCCAGAAGGAGATGAAGTCGGGGGGCAGAGACGGCAGACCGGTGACGAGGGGTTCGAAGATGGTGGCACACTCAGCGCTGCCGGCCGTCTGAGGAGGTTTGATGTTGGCCACGTCGCGAGGTTTGTTAGGGTTGAGGGTGCCTTGGGCAAAGGCCGAGGCAAAGAGGACAGAGACAACTGGTTGAAGACGCATTTTGGTGTTTGGGGAGCGAGTGGTAGATTGAGTGGCGAGAAGTGTTTATGTCTTGGATATGATGCAACTTGAAAGAATGGGCTATCGAGTTTCGTAGATGAGATACAAGGCCAGCTTTATACTGGCAATTTTGTAGATGGACTCTACTTTGAACAACACGCAGTCTGATTACAGTCGCACAACCCTGAAACTAACTCAATCTTAGCAACAACTTATTCTCAGCACAGCCTCCGGGATGATTTCGAGCTTCATCTCTGATCAGACCACCCTATTTGTCAACCCGCATCCATTGCCATGTGTCCCACGCCTTAATTCACAGGGCCGGGTCTCATCCACCTAGTGCCAGGGGTTCCATGACATCTCTAGCGGGGAGGAAAAACCGGCATCAAAGTTGAAGCTGACTGGTCAGTTCGCAACGTTGACCTGTCACGGCGGGACCCACGGTATTTGAGTTGTCGAGCGTCAGCAGCCACAAGCGCAGATTGACCAACCGATGCATATTCGCGTGGGTTTACAAATGTCGGAGCTGAACGTCTGTGACAGGCCGTTGCCACCTTGTGCTGATTTCCAACGGACTGGCCGTTTAGGTTGACATTCTCGGGAATCTTCTCATTCGCTATTCCGGATGGGCGTCCTGGTTTGCTGGGTTTAATGTGTTTCAATGATTTTTTTTGCAAGGCGCAACTGAGATGCAAATCTTGCACGTCGTCAGCAGCTGAACAAAAGTACGATTGTGGCAGAGGCCTCGAAGTATTCTTAGAAGCAGCAGGTAAATAAGACTCCTATAATAACTCGCTGTAATTCCCTATCCGTTTTCCAACCTCACTCTTCATCGATTTCATCATTATACACTCACTCACTCTTTTACGCTGCCCTCTCGTCTCTTTGTTTTACTCCATACCAAGCCTCTTGTCGAAAAGTTTCTCCCCCTTCACTCAACCTTCCCCCTTCAATACCAACAATCACCATCATGTCGAACCACAGCAACTTGATCACCTTTGGACCCAACGCCAATTGCACATTCGAGGTGAGCCTCATCTGCCAGAGCCAAATATTTCACAAGTGCTAGTTGCTAACTATTTGTTTGACAGCTTTGTACAATCGAAATGAGCGTCTACAGTTACCGGCCTTCCCTCCCAGCCAATGTCACTTTCGCAGCACTCTTCACCCTCGGTACCTTTGTTCACGCATATCTCGGCCTTAGGCGGAAGACTCCGTGGTTTATGTGGTGCATGGTCTTGAGCTGTACCCATGAGCTCGTCGGCTACATCGAACGCATCCTGCTGTACAAGAACCCGTGGAGCTTTGGGTCATTCATCACCCAGATCAGTACGTCGCTGAGAGTCTTATGTCAAGAATCTTAACTAACGGAGCATAGTAAGCATCACACAGGCGCCTGTTTTTTATTGTGCGGCCATCTACGTGACACTTGGGCAAAGGTCGGTTATTCCACCATCTTCAATGGCCTTGGCAAAATTAAGCAAGAACAGCATCGAGCATTACTCCCCCAGCCTAGCCCGCTTCCCAACAAAGTTCTTTGCCTGGATATTCGTCCCCTTCGACATCCTCTCCCTCGTCCTCCAAGGCACCGGCGGCGGTCTATCTGCGTCTTCATCCGGTAGCAGCCAGGTTGGCGTCAAGATCGCCATGGCGGGGCTCATCCTACAAGTCATCATGCTCATCGTGTTCAGCGTCCTGTTTGCCGACTACATGTTCCGGTACCTCGAGTCCAGCAAGTCCAAGCAACTTCGAGCGAGAGACAAGCTGTTCTTTGGCTTCCTCGCGTTGGCAGTGTTGACCACACTTGCTCGCTGCATCTTCCGCGCCGATGAGTTGAAAGAAGGCTACAGCGGGGAGTCAATCAAGCATGAGGGACTCTTTATCGGGCTTGAGGGAGTGTAAGTTCTTCTTCCTTTTTTCCTCTTGGTGCTGATTGTCCGCTGATTGCCGCTCAGGCTCATTGTTGTCGCCATCTTCTCACTTTGCATCGCCCACCCCGGCTTTGTCTTCAATCGTTCGCCAAAGACGTACTACAATGTCCCAGCTGTCGAAATCTCCCGGGAAGAGGGTATTCACATGTCCAAGTCTTATGATCCTGCGGATTATTCGACCTAGATGAACGGCTGGGGGGTCGCTCAAGCGGCTGGTGTCTCTACCCTAGAAGTTGGAGTGATGGACAGGGGTCTTGCCAAGGGGTCGCGGATATGAGGCGAGGGTCTTGTGGTGTTTACAGGTGATGGGTAGAGCAGATTAGGTGTGGTTGGATAGATACTGTTCAATATTTTCAATACTTGTTTAGATCTTCAATGGGTTTAATAACTGTGTTATTTGCCCAAGCGCCGTGCGGTACCTCTAAGCTTCTAATTATGTTCGCTAATTTTGTGAATACACACTCTATAATACATTTCCAATGCCAAACTCCATTCCTTTTCTGAAGAGAAACACGTATAACACAAACACTCTTCCTCACGCATACTTAGCGGCCAGCATAGCGGCCTGGTGTCCCACTGGCCGCCTCTTCATCAACCCTCACAGTATACTCGTTGGTTACGATGATTTGATCTCCACCCTTAGCACCATGTCTCCAATTCTTGGCTCCTCCAAAGGAAGAGACAGCAGACGAATTGCTACCGATGGCTCCAGGCGTTGGAGTGCCCCTCACACGAGTATTATACGAGTTGGGTGTATTGTCCGAACCTGGCAACGACGCGTCGTCTCCACTCGATTGTCCCTTGTCGATGGTCTCGGTGGCGACGATGTGCTCCTTGGAACCCCAGACTGTATCGCCCAGGTCCCTCTCATCTGGTCGTGGTCGAGAAGCCGACTTGTTCTTGTAGCTTTCTAGGCGGTAGCCTTGGCTGTCGCCGAGACCTGGTCGGCTGTTGCCCTTGGAGCTGCTGACGCTCTTCTCGATAAATCTCTTGACAAGAGGGTAGACCATGGGCATGTTGGTGAGGACGAAGCTGACAAAGGATTCACGAACAGACCAGTAGCCAGACTGGGCGGGGTCAGTGTTACCTTTCTAGAGAAACTGTTAGCCCGAGGGATGCATTTACGAAATATAAGGTACGTACAGTGAGGATAGAGACAGCACGCAGGATACCAAAGGCCATCTCAAGGAAAGCACCGCTGAACATGACCATGATGATAATCTTCTTCCTCCAGGGCATCCTAGCTCGCCAAACCATGGGGAGAGGAATAGCCATGAGATAAAAGTCTGTGATTGTGTTCATGGCCATGACATAGAGGGTCTGGATGTACGTGATGGCAGGCATGCAAGAGTCTATAAGATGCGTGTTAGACAAGCTCAACTCCCCTTGTGTGACTCGTTAAACTTACTCGGAGGCTCTGGGTCAATCTGCCATTGTTTTTCGAACGGTATGCACTTGAGGAACGCAACTAGGAGGCAGGAAACGTAGGTGATGGGCATGATGTAGGCACCCCAGTAGGCAACTCGCTTGGCTGAGCTAACACCTTCACTACATACACATGTCAGATCACTCTGCGGCCTATCACATAGCCCAGGGGAGAACTCACGTCAGGCGCATGTAGTAAACAATCCAGTAGCCCTTCAACAGCCATAGAAGTGTCATGTAGAGGATAAGACCAATAACATGTGTCTTGGAGCCGTTGATGCGCAGCTCCCATTCCGGACTATCGGGGTCACTTCGTAATGCTTCTCTTTGCTCGGGTGTTATGCCGTTATTTGCGAGTGCTTTCCAGTACGCCACGACGTAATATGCTGCTACTGATTCGGCCGTGTAGGTGATCTGGATAATTGTTAGATGTTATCTCTCAGCTCCAGACACCTAACTTACAGTTGCCAAGAGCATCAGGATATCATCCCATTGAAGACGTCGACCAAACGACGTAAACTGGCTGTAATACCGCAGGCCCACAACCAAGTACGCCACACCTTGAAGACCCCATACTTCTTGGATGAAAGAGTTGGCGGCGGCTTGCTGCTCCGCAGGAGTAGCCATCGCGGGCTGTTGTCGCGTTTCCGTCAGATGCAGGCGTCCAGGCGAATCGACATGGGGGTCAAGCGAAGAGCTGTGTTGGTTGCTGAACAATGGATTAAACGCCCTCCTTTGGGTAAATAGTAAGCGGAACCTTCGGAGTTGGCCAAGTCTAAATAGAAGGAGAAAGATGGAAACCAACAGCAAAAAAGAAACAAACTAACAAAAAGGAAAGAAAGAGTCCAGCCTTGAGGTCGATGCCGATCCAGGGGCTCAACGTCGATCAAGGGGAAACGCGAATCAAAGATGTATGACAATGTTACAGTCCCCGTTTCCCGGAACCTTTTTCGACCGACGATGCGAAAACTTTGTTGCTCGTTCTAGACCGTTATGGGGAGGTTTCTTTGTATACTATGATATCAAGTATAGATGTCCGTGTTACTCCTGCAGACTGCATTACGAGATGGTTATTTCTTTGTTCAATGCTTCTTCTTCACGGGTAGAAGCCGACGATTAATTAAAACAATTCCTGCAGAAATCTCGATCGCTCAAAGTAGCAGGGTACGGATGAACCTGTGGGTGCCTGTCCCTTGCTCATCCTCTGCCGAAACGCCGAGCTGGTAAGCTGGGCACACAGCTCCTGGCAGCCTCAGCAAACACAAGGTCGTAACCATGACGCCGGGATACTGATATCACCTCCTGCAGTAGAGTGGAACTTGCTCTCGAGAGGGCCTCAGCTGCAGAGTAGGCATGTCGTCGTTCTCGTTGATGCATGTAGTGGAGTTTCCGTCCTGTCCCCGATCCCTGAAAACTCTCGCGGTCCAATCCGTCTTTTGAGAAGCCATGCTACCTTACCAATTGCTGATACACCGCCAAGGGGCCTCGCGTCTGCACGATGTGACAGTGCAACGGTGAAAATGCAACTCTCTGCGGCGGGAGTTCCGCCGCTAACTTCGTAACTCTTTGGCACGTTTCGTACATCATTGCCTTGGGCGGCAGAATACGGAGGTGGCTGTATGCTGACCTTGACAGGAGACACACACTACCGTGGGGGCCGGCATAAAAGCACAGGGAGCTAAGCTTAGCTTACGTACGGGACCTTTTGGCGGTTCGTGAAGATTCTGGGGACGATGATCATCGGGGAAATTTCAAGATTGGAATGCTCAACGTCGCTTAAAGCGTTAAGAGAGATGAAGTGGCGTTAGCGACAATCACCACTGTAAGAACTTCTGTCTCTCAACCTGATTTGACACAAATACCTAAGCCACCTCTGGACACAAGAAAGCCAAGTGTCGGGGAGTCCAGCAATGCGACGCCAAAGGGGCCTCAAAATGTGACAGTCGTTTTGATCATCCACAACGTAACCAGCAATGTAGCATCGCAGCGTATCCTCGACGGCTTTTCTTTTTTTGCCCGCACGCTTATCTAGATACGAAAGTGATCTGCTTAACAGAGCCTCTATTCTAGAAGGGGTCCCCTGCTAGCTCTGCCGGGACCGTTGACCGTTGTTGCCCGCGTAGCATTCCGCCGTGAGAAAACAAGGGGAGGAAACTGCCGATCATGGCTATTTCCGGGGTCGACGTTGAGAAACCCTAATTTACGGGCTCGAGTGCCGGGGATGAAACCGGGACCTCACGGATGCTGTCGCCTATTGGCAATACGTAATTCCCAACATCTCGATATCCTGTTAACCCCCGGAATTCCAGAGCCCCCCCAGCCCCCATGTCCCGAGACAAGGGAGTCTCTAGATGCACTCGACAAAAGAAGGCAGCGACACTCGACGATCAGGGGGTAACTTCACCTCTTAAGGAGTAGACGTTTCCCTCTATGGACAGTCGATGCAACTCGGCAGGGGCCCCAAACGTTCGTCGCAAACTCGGGTGGCAGGTCAAAAGTTCGGTACACGATACTATTCGATGCAACGCAGCGTTGGTCAAGGTGGAAATAACACAATGCGCTCCCCTTATCTCTTTGTTTTGGACCAAACTCTAATGATAGCTATGTTGCTCCCCTCCTTCGGACGCTGATCGAGCTCATTTGCAATTGTTTTTTTCTCAATTTTGTATACAGCGTCGAAAAGAAAGGCGAGATTTTTGTTGCATTACCCACCTAGACAAACGACAAGATGGCAAATGGACAGGTTCCTGAATCCAATGTCGACGTGTAAGCAGTGACTGTTCCTGCATATCGACTGCATATCACGTACTGACCGATGCATGCAGACTCATTGTTGGCGCCGGCCCTGCTGGGTATGTCCCTCCTTCACATGTGATGGCCTCAATTTGACTGACGGTCCAGGCTGATGGCCGCTGCGTGGATGGCGCATTGTGGTGTCAAGGCTCGTATCGTCGACAAGAGAAATGCCAAGATCTTCTGTGGTCAGGCTGATGGTCTTCAATGTCGGAGTCTTGAGATCTTTGATAGCTTGGGCTTTGGCGATCGGGCCTGGAAGGAAGCCAACCATATGATTGAGGTACTATCTCCGCCATCCCTCTCTTGACATCTTGCTAACAGTTTGTAGATCTGCATGTGGGTGCGTATACAACACTCCCATCGATAACCCACCACGATATTAACCGCGCCTCAGAACCCCGGCTCAGACGGCATCATCCGTCGCTCCGATCGCATCCCCGACACCATCGTCGGCCTCTCCCGCTTCCAGCAGATCGTCCTCCAACAAGGCCGCATCGAACGCTTCTTCCTCGACAACATCAAGAAGTTCTCCAACGACGCCATCAAGGTCGAGAGAGCCATCCTCCCCGAGTCGCTACACATTGACGAGTCCAAGGTGGACGATGTCGACGCCTACCCCGTCACTGTCAAGCTACGACACTTGACAGAGGAGGAGGCTACACCTGCTCAGCAGGAGACTGCTAGCAAGACCAAAGCTTCTGATGGTCTTTTCCGGAGTAATCTCGTCCTTGGTGACGAGAATGAGGACCTGAAGCTTCTCCAGAAGGCTCAAGAGCGAGACGCCGAGAGCGAGATCGTCCATGCCAAGTACGTCCTCGGCTGCGACGGCGCACGCAGTTGGGTTCGTCAACAAACTGGTCTCGAACTCCAAGGTGAAGCGACAGACTTTATCTGGGGTGTCATGGACATCATCCCCAAGACCGACTTCCCTGATATCCGCATGCGATGCGCTATTCACTCTGCAGAGAATGGCAGTCTCATGATCATTCCTCGAGAGAACAAGCTTGTTCGTCTGTATATCCAACTCAAGGAGGTTACACCTGATGCTTCTGGTCGTGCCGATCGATCCAAGATTAGCCCCGACTTGATCTTCAAGGCGGCTCAGAAAATTATCCAACCTTATAAGCTTGACTATGAGTACTGCGACTGGTGGACAGCTTACCAGGTACAGCCCTTTAATCCATGTCGCATCGCATCTGCTAACAATTCCCAGATCGGTCAGCGTGTTGGTACTGGCTTCGACGCCCATGAGCGTGTCTTCCTCGCCGGTGATGCCGTCCACACCCACTCTCCCAAAGCCGGTCAGGGTATGAACGTCTCCATGCAGGACTCCTACAACCTCGGCTGGAAGGTCGCCCTTGTCACAAAGGGCATCGCCAAGCCCAGCATCCTCAAGACATACCAGAGCGAGCGTCGTCGCGTCGCTCAGGACCTGATTGAGTTTGACCACCGCTTCAGTCGTCTATTCTCCGGTCGCCCAGCCAAAGACGTCATGGACGAGGAGGGCGTCAGCATGGAGGTCTTCAAGGATGCTTTCCTAAAGGGCAACATGTTTGCCTCCGGTCTATCAGTCAACTACGGCCCAAGCAACATCGTCGCCAAGGCTGGTGATCCTCTGGATCAGGCCGACGGTGTCAAGGTCGTCTTGCCACCTGGTGTGACCGTCACTGAGGAGAGCTTCGCCAAGAAGCAGGCTCTTGCTACTGGTATCCCTGTTGGCATGCGCTTCAACAGCTTCAAGGTTCTCAACCAGGCATGCGCACGTCCTTACCACTTCCAGGAGCGTCTCAAGGCTGATGGACGTTTCCGTATCGTGCTCTTTGCCGGAGATATCCTTGACGCTTCCCAAAAGGCTCGCGTCGACGCATTCTGCGCACAGCTTGACAACCCCAAGAGCTTCCTCCACCGCATCACACCCGCTGGAGCCAAGATCGACAGTGTCATCGAGGTTCTCACCATCCACTCCTCCAAGCGTCAAGAGACTGAGCTTCTCCGTGACTTCCCAGACATCCTCCACCCATACGACGAGCAAGTCGGCTGGGACTATGAGAAGGTGCACGTCGACGACGAGAGCTACCACGAGGGCTACGGCGATGCTTACAAGAACTATGGTGTTGACAAGAAGCGAGGCTGTGTCGTGGCTGTACGACCTGATCAATACGTTGGCTGGATCGGTGAGTTGGAGGACTTTGATGATCTATCCAAGTACTTTGAGGGCTTTCTTGTCTTGAAGGATCACACCAATGAAGTCAATGGAAATGGTGCCCTACCCTTGCGCTGAAGAGGCAGTGGAGGGCGGGTTCGAGGAGGATAAAATACAAGGCAAATAGAAAGAACTAGAAGAAATCGATTAACTTCGTACAAAACAACAAGGCATCATCTCGAGATCTGTTCAACCCATCTGATTGATAACATGGTGCCTGGTGGCTCAGCGTAACTTGACCAATCAGCAGCGCCATTGTCAAAGATGCCTTGTGCGGCGCGGCCAGTTCATAGCCCACAATGCCAAGAGGGAGTTTTACAAGGCGGAAAACATCTCAATCGATTTTGGGCTGCCTCTTTTTTTGTGGAATTATATAACCTACAGTTCTCACTTGTTCACCATCATCAACCAACAACAGCTTTTCTTATCACCACTTTCAAACCTCTACAAGCCCTCGACATGCAAGTTCTTGCCTCAACAGACGGCTCGGAGCCTAGAATCCGCTGGGAATACCAAACCGCCTTCATCGACGTGCTCAAGAAAGAGCTCAAAGATGAAAGTGAAACCTGCTTCATCCACCTCGCCGCAAATTTTGCGCTCGTCAAAATCACCCTGGACGAGTACCTCGACGGTGTGCTTGCGCATTTGAGAAAGTCGTCGCAGGCAAAGCACAAGTTTGATGTCTTGTCCATGGAGTTGTGGCCCGAGAATGATTTGTGGCCACTTACTACTTCGGATATTTTTGCGGGATCTGTTAGGGCGTTGATGTGGTCTCCTTCCTTCACTCCTTTTGAGGACAATGGTGAGTATTCCAAAACGGTCTGCATGAATTAAACGCTGACAACTCCTAGAATGGCAGTATCTGCGAGGACTTGCCTCCCTAGCTTGGAACCTAGATGACGCCGACAAATTCCAGACAACCGCCCGCGAGCAAGGCCTGGATCTATCCTCTCTCTCACCTGAAGCTTCCGACCTCCTCCTAGTCATCTGCTACTGCAGACGCCACGTCAAGCTCCTCGAGCATCTAATCCGCACAGTCCAACCCCCAGCAGAATCCAGTTTTGACCGTCTCCCTTTCTACGCAATCGAAGCACGTACCGATTCATGGTCCGATACAGCCCAACACTCTCCCAAGAGACCCGAAAATGTCGCTATCGAGATACAGATATGGACGCTCCTGTTGAACTCTTCTTGGGTTCATGACCCTGTCGATGAAAACGTTGCAGGAGGAATGACATCGCTCGGTCATACACGCGTTGGCAGTGACCCCTGGGCTATTGAGTACACCTCTCCAGCCTTGGATGAGTTCCATTCTACCCTGTTTGCGAGAAAGTTCTTCCCATCTCTATCTCAAGTCGCAACGTTCATCTTGAACTGCCCAAATGTCGAGATCGGCCGTCGGTACTTCAAAAAGATGCCCGGCAGCATGATTTCGAGCAGCAGATTCTTCTACCCTTTGCACTCAGGGGGTCTGCTTGTCCCAATCATTGAGTCCAAGAAGCTCAGTGACCAGCAACGACTCGACTTCGTGCGATTGGTGATAGAGGAGATCCCAAGACTGGACCTCGACGCCAGGATTGATCGTCCCTGGGTTGCTGACATGCGGAGCTTCGGGGCTCCTGGTGATCCGTGGGATTTCTTCAGCCCACTCATGGCAGCGGGATGGCGTGGAGACAAGAAGATGGCAGAGTTGCTTTTGGAGCACGGGGCTAAGGTGGAGGTTAAGGATTGCTTGTCCAATCTTGATGCAGGAGAGTTGGCTCGACAGCAGGGGCATGAGGAGTTTGCTACATGGCTTGAAGACAGAAAGGCGAGTTGAGCTTATTCTTCGCTGCGGCATGTAGCTTTGCGTCTGGTGAACTGGTTAGGCGTGAGGGTGGTTGTGAAATGAGGGTTTAGTTTTCTTGCAACGTTTAGCTTGAGCAACAACAAGGACTTTCTCTAACCTTCTATTCATTAATCACGGCACTGTGGGGCCTCGAATTGACGCTTGTATAAAAACTGAAGATGTTGCCATAGGCAGCTTCGCCCTCGCTCGTATGGGTTATCACACAGAACATTGCGGACGACTCCATCCACCGTCTACTGCCGGTCGCTGCCGTAGCAACTGCCATTCATCCCACTGGCATTGTGGTCTCCCACTTTCGCTATCATCTTGCTCAAAGATTGGCCAGAACTCTTAATAATCAGTAATGCAAAGAATGGGGTTGGTTGCATCAGGCCTGCAAGGTCAGCACTAATCAACCGCGTCAACAACACCGCTCCTCTCCACAACCCACAACCAACAACAACACATAGGCCGCCACTGCCAAGACTGCCAAGAAAATGAATGCCTCTCCAGAACTCTTCGTCGACATCCCTAGCAAGCGCAAGGTCCGCATTTGCTACCAAACCTTTGGCGATCCTGCAGACTCGGCCGTCATTCTCATTGCGGGTCATGCAGGGTCTATGCTCGACTGGTCTGATAAGCTCATCCCCCTGTTCAGCCCTGAGGTCAGTCGACACTTTATTATTCGATATGACCATCGAGACACGGGTCTTTCGACCGAGTTTCCCGTTCCTGGGGGGTACACCATATTAGACATGGCGGACGATGTCGAGGGTCTAGCCAACCATCTTGGCCTGAACGAGAAGGGATTCCACGTCGTCGGGGCCAGTATGGGAGGAGGTATCGCAACCCTGGTTGCCGCGCGCAGACCCCAACAGGTCAGGAGCCTGACTTTGCTGTACACATCTCCCGGCCCAAGCGAGCAACTGCCGGTCAAAGACGTACTCAACCTTGGACTCCAACCAACAATCGCCGGCTTCGGAGACGGGAGGGACACACACATCAGAAACGGAATCATCCTTTACAACGGCCTCACAACTAAAGAACCCTCACCAGAGGAGAGACAGCGGTTCGAAGCTGGGATCGCCCGGGTCGTGGACAGAGACATGCGCGGAGGCACGCTGTACAGCAAGCATGCAAACCACGGTGCCGCATCTTTCGGTCACTGGCCTGGAATCAAGCCATTGAACGAAATTAAGTGTCCGGCTACTGTGATTCAGGCTGCCAATGATCAGATCTTTGGTGTGGAGCATGGAGAGACTTTGGCAAGGGAGATTGAAAAGGCTGAATATGTCTTGTTTGAGGACGTTGGTCATGAGTTGCCGTGGAGGGTTTGGAAGCCATTGGCGGAGACGTTTTTGAAGACGTGGAAGAGAGGTGATGATGAGTGGGCGGAGGGAGCAGAGAGCAAGGAATAGATGAACAGGAGTATGTAAGCAATGTAATAGATGCTCCGTTAGATAGATAGCAAGCATGGCCAAGGAGATGTTTCAACTCGATCAAGTACCATTCAAGTTGACAACAACACTGCGAGACCCAAAAGACCGCCGTACCAAGAAAAGAAATCTCCGAGCTCTTCGTTGATGTCCTAGGTTGGCTGACATCCCACTGAATGTGGTAAAGTCAATGTCGAGATTTCTCTTGCCTTCGCTAAATGGCATGCTGCGGAGCTTCCACATGAAATATCGTTGCCGTCGTTGGTCTTGCTGGCCTCGTCGATAAATTCGGTGCATTTCATCATGCCAAAGTTGCTTTGGTAGGGAAAAGTGTTCAAGATGGCTTCCCAACGGTTTTTAAACTCGTATGTTATCAGTGTCTCGAGATCCGGGTCTTGTTCGGGGAGAACAGCAAGGGTGTCTTCGGGGGCATCTTCATCACGGGCATCGGGTACGGTGTAGAGCGCTAGTCCATTAGGGAGAACATCGCCTAGGGACATTTTTTCCCCAGGGTTTAGCTCAACCTATCGTAGGGGCATATCGGAGTCGTCGGGGAGCACTTCTCTAGGGTCAAAAAGAGCCAGGTTTGCCGAGATAGTAGTATAGAACTAGCGTTGAAGAAGTAGTGCAATTTCACCTTCGAACCCCTCAACGTCAGGTCTAATGACCTCGGGGTCTTGGACGTTGAGGGGTTTATATCCCGGGTTAGCCCATGATCGTATTATCAGAGAGGTTCAGACATGCCTTGAACCAAAAGCCGTAGAGAATCATCGCACATACGACATGAGCCATCGTATGAACCTCCAAGAGGGTCAAAGGCAAGTTATAAATCCAACGAGGAATACATCGCATAACTATCCAGGAAACTTGTATAAGAACAAGAATCTTTTGGAAAGTATCTGCTTTGCTCTTGTCTGTGATCTTGGCCCGAGGGATCTTGACCCAATGACCTTGACTTGCAGGCCAAAGAACCGTTGTGCCGCTCACACGGACTGTCGTTTCGCGGCCTTCCACGTCCTCGCGAGGAAGAGAACCAACTCCCCACCGTGACGAGTCACCAATGTCCGGCCAGGAGAGCAGGTCCTTGACGTCGATCCGGACACCTCCCATGACGATAAAAAAGGCATATGTGAGGTCAATGTCAAACTAGAGCATGTCAGTATCCGAAACCGAAAGATAAAACAGGAATACATACGTCCTTTGGAGGATTCGCCTGTGTCTCCCTCAACTTCCTCAGCTCCTTTTTGAGCTTCCAAGTCTCAGCCAACTGATCCGCAGCCATGTACAAAACAATCTCTGGCGCAGATGCCACTTTGTCTTTGTCGGGACATCGAGGTGCAACGCAGTGTAGATGCATGCAACAAGCGTCAAAACACAGCTCTGCAGGATATCGAGAGTACCTCGGATATTAGGACTGTCGACCCACTTGCGCGAAATGACATTTTGGAGATCGTAGGTGTAGTTCTCGTAGGGGGCCGAGACGGACCATGGGTTGATGTTTGTAGGGACAGCTGTCGTCATGGCTTCAATTTTGCACAATGAGGGGATTAAAGAAAGAGGACAGGCTCGTGCTTTTCCTCACAGCCTGATTCCGAAAGACCTCTTTATACCTCCATCCGTAGGATTTATGCCGAATTGTAGCTCTAACAATATCAAAACCAGGCCACCAATCATGGAGCTAATAATACCTCACCTGCAGCCCAGCTCCTGGGGGCCAAAGGCCTCACCCGACAGACCCCGGCATGGAAGGATGAGAGCAGGGCTGTGCTGTGTCAGCTGGGCGGTGTCTTACAGAGCAAGATCAGCGTTGGAGGATGATATTTCCCATCTGCGCAGTCTGATATCCTTGTCATCTCCACAAGATACCAAAGTGGCGATAACGGCAACTCCACAAGGCTGAATGCAATTTGTGCCTAGATTTCAGAGATTGCCGAGTTTGGTGCCTGGCTATCCGAATCAATCTTGATGTCATTAACATGAGCCTCAATCATGTGGTCTGATTAGGTACCTGCGTCGGATGAACTGGCCGTCATCCAGTCTCGTAATTATGCACATGCCGTGTAACCTACAAGGATGATGAGACGGTTACACTCAAGTCAATGCTTCTCCAAAGAGCGTTAAACATCTTATCATTTGTTCATGCTACTTGCTATAAAAGACCATCACTGGTGCCCTTTGGACCAGGTGCTTCAAGCTATGTTTCCTTCCATCCTCTTGACCGTCGATATGAAGTTGGACAAGAGATTTCATTCAACCTTGGCAGCCCAGCCACCTACATATCCAAGAGGTTTCCTACCATCTAGAATTCGTCATCGTCATCATCATCCTCATCCAGCTTTTCGGTAAACACCCTGCGCAGGTGGTCGAGGTACTTCTCCTGCTCAACAACCTTGTTGGAGATGAAGCCCTGGCTGTCCACGTCCCATAATCGCATCAGCATGTGGCTAAACTCGTCCCACTGGGCACTGCTAAGCTTGGCGAATCGAGGCTGGATATGATCCACAAAGAGAGCGAGCAGTGTGTTTGGAGAGTCGAGAGCCTGCGAGTACCAGAACTTGCGTGTCTCCCAGCTCTCGCGCATCAGCTCAGCATTGTCAGTCGATTCACCCTGGTCCAGCTCCTCCCTCTCAAGAGCATCAACAAATTCCTCGTGGAACTTGCCGTACTCCTCCGAGTGGAAGGTAATCTCCTCGAGGGTGCGGCCAGAGAGCCAAACAGGTGGGCCAGCCATCTCAACGGGTCGCGAACACGCCCACTCAAGGTCGATAATGCCAGTAATGTTCCAATCCTCGTCGACAAAGATGTTGCTTCGGTGCAGGTCGGTTAGCGAGAGAACAAAAGGTCCCTCGCGGTGCTTCCTATCCGCAAACTTGGGCAGCAGGGCCCTCAGTCCGGTGAGGGCCGCCAGCTGTTGTTCACCGTCACCTTGGTCGTGGACCGAGTTGGGCTGGTGTCGAATACGGTTATCCTGGCAGGCGATAAGGTCGAGGTAGTAGGACTCAACGGAGGTGTAGGTGCGATCACGGGGGATGTCGGTAGGGATCTCGGCGTTCTCTTGCTGGTGGAGGAGGGGGGTGAGGGGTCGGTTGGCTAGCTTCAGCTCACCGTTATCGTCCATGGTCCAAGAACCAATCTTAGGCAGAGGGAGCTTAGCGAGGCGGAGCATGATGCGGGAGAGGTTGCCAAAGAGATTGGCCCTCTTTTCATCATTGCCGTGGCCGGCAGCCCAATCCTCCGACAGAAGAGTGCCATTGTCGATATGCTCGATGACGAGGTACCCCAGGTCGGGAAGGGTGCTGCGGTTGTTGATAACGTATCGGCTCAGCTCACCACGACCAAAGATCCAAGCGACGAAGCGGCGAGGCAACCACATGAATCGGTGGTAGAAGGACGCAGTCTCGATCGAGGTGAACTTGGGCATCTAGTTAGCCTTGACCGCACGTGGGGGGCCTCAATTGACAGGTGGAGCGTACCGATCGTGTTCCGGGGAAGCCGAAGCCAAAAAGTCGAGGAATCGGTACTTCAGGGCAGTTCTTCTGCATCCAGATGTATGTAGCGGCCTCGGAGCGGACCTTTTCGTCGACGTTGCCCGGGTTGAAGTCCTCGCCGACCTTGTAGGGGAGGGGGATGCGGACAAGGGCCTGCGCGGGCAGAGACGAACCCCGCGCGTCCTCCTCGATGTGGACGGGGATGCAGGCATTGAAGGAGCCATGTATCCATTCATTGGAATCTCCAAGGCTAAAGTCGGATTGTCGCAGGTTCAAGTGTCGGGACACGACCTCGGCAATCTGGTCGCGCTCATTGTTGAGGTGAAGCGAGAATTCTCGTCGCTTCTCGGGGTAGGCGAGTTCGCGGATGATGTCGAGATCCTCCTCGAGAGCCTCCTCCAGGGAAATGTCCCCTCGCAGCAGTGGTAGAGTTTCCCCCATTGGGTCGAATAGGATCTCGCGCAGCCCGAGATCATGCACAAAAGGGAAGCTTGATGGGGAGAGAGTTTAGTCGCGTGGACACCAAGCCTCGGGAAATGGGAACCCAAGTGAAATCGGCATCATTCAATTTTCCGCTCCGTGCCCCACATCAGTCAATCCGCGCCTGTACAGTACCCGTCATCAGCCCACTAAGCGTATCAGGCCATGTCCCAGCCACTTCCATCGGCCATTCCCAATGTCCTCGTGCCCGACGCTTTGAATCAGTGTCTGATACATAATTGACGCTGTTTCAGGTCATTTGATCCATCGAAGCACCCGTGTTGTTCCTTGTGTCTTGGTTGGCTTGGAGGTCGGTTGCCATTGGCTCCGTCGAGTATCACATGCCCTCTTGACTTTGCCTTGCCGTAATTGGCGGATCAAGTGATGTCACCAGCCTTATCATTCACCTAAGTCGGGGCCTGCATCCCTAATCTTGACAGAACGGTTGGTCCGGGCCAACGATGAGGATAAATCTCGCAAACGAAAACCTTGGTGTACATCAAGGATTGAATGACGGTCCGTTTATTACTGTCGCATGTAGTATGTAAGAATAGGGAAGTTGACAATGCTGTGCTGTTGTTAGAAGCTCTGAATGTAGTTCTGCTCTTGCTTCTGACAGGCTAGACAACTGTTGAGCCTCAAACCCTAAACCCACAACCCACACAAATTGGGGCAAAATGTGATATATCATTCTTTGGTCAACCAAATTCAACAAGATAGCAACTGTAATCGGTTCCAAAGAATAGAGATTATGAATCTATCACCAGCTAAAGACTTTCTTCTTTTTATGGTACGATGTCGGGTGAGTTGAATAAGGTTGGCGTTGCCCTGTAGGGTACGCGCCACATACAAATCAGACCACAACCCCAGCAAGGTCGCCGCCTGCAGTCAGACAATCCAGACAATCGCGTCGACTCGCACTTACACACAAACTTGGAAGATGCAGCAGCAATTAAAAGAGGTCAAGTAGGATTTTAATTGTCTTTAATAGTTTTGCATCTTTCTGCTTCATCTCAATGTGTTATTCTCGAGTACACTGATTATGTTCACCCAGCTCAACGACAACTACGTCATCTAGTGGGGCTCCCCCTTCACAGTGAGGGGTAGCTCAATACCTAATAGAGTTGATCGGGCTGGCAACTGGGTAACGATGGAGTTCTGTGAGAATCAAGAACAGAGAACACCTTTGATCCGAAGCCAGGCCTTGCCTGCTATTGGTCTGCATTTTCATGCTTCAATGCCCCAGAAATCGAGTCCAATGGGCATAGAGATAATTATGGCGGAAACGTCGGCTACGGTCCCGATTCATTATCGTCATGCAAAACCCACCTTGAGCTTAGACCCGCGGTAGTTGCCCAAGCAATAAGCACGAGCTTATACGGAAATGTTGTTGATAATACACCCTCATCTTGCTCCGTGCCGTGGTATCACCTGTGCATCCCTAGCTCCTCCATCGGCCAGGCTATCCACAACTTATGCTCATTATCCAAAACGCCTTCTGCTTTCCGAAGGAGCTGTTCACCCCAATTGCCCATCCACCAATGCATCTCGAGTCTTTTTAAAAAGACACAGACAAACGCAAATATTGCAACAGTCTCATACTTTGACGCTCTTAACAAGGGTAGGAAATCATCTGCCATGGCGTAGATCCAACCAAACACCTCGGAAATTTCCACTTCCGCTGCATCAAGCATCTTGGACAAGTCCCGTAGGTAAGAAATCGTTCTTTTGTAGATTTTCACCGTGTCCTCGTCTTTCGTGTTCAGCCCGATCAGATCCCCTAGGTCATCTAGCGCTTTCATCATGGACGATGATGCATCGTTGGAGCCGGCCTTGAAAGTCTTGTATTGGTGACTCTGCACCCTCGCTGCAAGTAAAGGACTAAGCCTACCCTCACGAAGGTTTATATCTGGCAAAACGAGAAGAGACTTGGTGCCTTGGATAAGAAAAGGCCATTCGGGAAAGTCACCGTCCGCAAAAAATGGGTTGCCTTTGGCATTTTCTCGATGACTGCTTAATGCTAGGAGGGTTAGCTGTGGAATAAAAGCTTTCAAACAGGGTCTTACCGATAACAATGGTGAGGATGGAGAACATGAATAGCTCCTCTGCGGATTCTTTTTTTGATATCGGCAAGGAGAACTACAGCTTCGCGAGACGCGGCGCGATGATATGTCAAAGCTGTCGACACGTAAAATTCCTTCTCTTCTGGCATGTTGTGGGTCATATGAAGCGCCGAAGTCGCAAGAAGGGCACGCATCAAATAGTCACATTGCAGCGCCATGGCAACGAGGGGTCCTTTCCAGAAAGAACGTATGACCTGGTGACGGGAGAACGTGGCATATGTTGAGTTGGTAAAGTTATGCATGGGTTGGAGATCAAGCATGTTGAGTGATAAAGGGGCTGCTGGTGCTGCATGTTTGGAGTTTAAGCGTTCAGTGAGAAACTCGCACTTGTGGCCTCGTTTGATGCAGTTGGCGCATGATGGGCTTTGTTCATCGCACTGCTCTCTGTTAGATGTTTACAAAAGCGTTGGTTACTAATTCTTTCCGAACCTTGACTTTTCTCCTTTTGCACGTCTGGCAACCTGCTCTGGTTTTCCTATGTGAACGCCGTGGAGCTCTTGGCTTTTGCGATACTGGAAGCAGAAGCGGTTTAGCGACTCGCGAGTTTGCGCTGATAGATCGCAGTTCTGTAATATGATCCATCTTCCAGCTTTGTTCTTGAAGTGAAACCCGAGTTGTAAAAGACGAATGATTAAGGGAGAGAGTTCGGACAAACTCGTTTAGATACGCCTCGAGTTCGTAAGCTCGAACATTTGTCGTTGCACAGCCCTGCTGCAGCGTAGAGGCCTCTAATAATTGCGTATCACATCGGATGATACGCTATACGCCCTGAAAACCCAACACAATCAGCGCTAGCAATAAGCGCAACAGCCTGTGTGCTCAGCCCTTTTCGATACGCCCCTGCGGCTTCTTCGGTGAAACGCGTCAAGGGGTGGAGTCGTTTCTGAGGTCCTGATTTGACGACTTGCATCTTTTCGTTCTCGTAGCTATACGACGGATATCAAATCATTGCATGGTATTGATTTTGCTGCGAAGTTCACTGTTATATAAAGAATATTACCTACCCAACAGAGAAACGTTTCTTCATCAAACCAAGTCATCACCTTATTTTTATTCCTTCACTTCCTTTTGTCCTACCTGAGAAGCTTTCTAGACTCGCCTGCCATGCTCAACTCTAGAGATTCTGCCGATACAGACAACGACTTCGAGCTTTATCGATACACCCCATCACTGCCCGCTGCGATTCATGCTGTCATCATATTTGCCATTCTCACCGCTATCCATACCGTTCGCCTTCGTCAGGCTCGGGCTACCTATTTCATCCCCTTCACGATTGGAGGCGTGTGTAAGTCACATAAATCGACGTTTGCTAGGTTTCGCTTTTTACTGACAAGGTGCTTGAACAGTTCAAACGATTGGCTATGCTGGAAGAATCTGGGGTCACTATGATAAGGAGTCCGTTGGTGGCTTCGTGACCCAAGCGGTCCTGATTCTTGTGGCACCCGCCTTGTACGCTGCCTCCATCTACATGATCCTCGGCCGACTCATTCGAACACTCGACGCCCAACACTTGTTTTTTATACCCGTCAATTGGGTCACAAAAATCTTTGTTGCGGGAGACGTCCTGTCCTTCACCTTACAAGCAAGCGGAGGCGCCTTGGCATCCGGCAAGACGGTCGATCTATATCATCTCGGCGAGAAGGTTATTGTCGCTGGCCTGTTTGTACAGATCGGAATCTTTGGTCTCTTTGTTGTGTCTACCGCGCTATTTCACTCCAAAATCCGAACGAACCTAACACCTGTTGCTTCTCACGGCGACATTCCCTGGAAGAGACACCTCGGGGTCCTTTACCTGACCAGTGGACTGATATTGGTGCGAAGTATCTTTCGTGTTATCGAATACCTGCAGGGAAACGATGGATATTTAATCTCTCATGAGGTATTCTTGTATGTGTTTGATGCGTTGCTGATGGCGGCGGTCATGGTTGTTTTCTTGATTTGTTACGTTGATGATCTTGCATCGGCCCGCAAGGACAAGGAGGCGTCAGTTGACTCCGATGGTCACATCATGGGGGAATTGCGATAATAAATGGTGAAGATGGATAGCAGTCTGATTTGTGGCTGATTTCTTTGACATTTTGTTCGCTGATGATATTTGTTGGTTTAGGGATGGAGGCTATAGAAGGACGGTTCATATTTAAATAATGAAGTGCATGTATCAATGTCTAAAGTGTTTCCCTATCACTAACTCTTGTCTACCTATTCTAAGCCTCATGGGCCTAGCCTATCTCCCTCACTGTTCAACTGCCAGCCACTCCTTGCTAAAAGGATAGTCCGAGTAGCCCACCGGTGACTCATAAACATAGAAGGACTTTCTCTCGTAGCGGTTGAGCTCCAGACCCTCTTTGATCCTGTACACAAGATCGGGGTTCGACAGAAAATATCGACCAAAGATGGCAACGATGTCTTTTTCTGGATACTTCTCGTCCACCAACTTCCTTGCCTCCTCTGGTGTATACCCTCCAGCAACAAGAAGAGGTCCGTTCCAGTTATTGTATGTAAAGTCTAGTCCTTCTTGCCCGTTGGAGTCCTCGCTGCCAGATATGCGAGATTCCACGATGTGGAGATAGGCGATGCCATACGGACTGGTCTTTTTGATGATGTCGGTGAATTGGGGAATTGGATCTTGCATCCTCATGCCTTGGAAGGTACTCCAGGGACTTAGACGGAGCCCGACTCGCTCGGGGCCGATGGTGTCGGAAACGGCCTCGATGACTTCGATAAGAAGACGAGATCTGTTGTCGATGCTTCCGCCGTATTCGTCGTTTCGTTGGTTGGCGGTGTCCTGAATAAACTGGTCGAGGAGGTAGCCATTGGCACCGTGGATCTCAACACCATCAAATCCAGCGCGAATGGCATTCTTTGCAGCCTCGACAAAGTCCTTGACCGTCTGTTTGATTTCATCGAGAGTCATGGCCTCTGGTACAGCAGCACCTGGTTCTATCGGGATAGCACTTGGTGCCTTGATAGCGAACCCTTCCTTCTTGGCCACTTCGGCATCTCCAGCACGGCCCATGGCGAAGAGTTGACAGTAGATGAAGGACCCCTTGCTGTGGACTTCGTCGGTGATGCCTTTCCAAGCAGCAACTTGGTCCTCGCGCCAGATGCCTGGTCCGTGGACAAAGCCGCCGCAGTTTGCCGCGATAAAGGTTCCTTCGGCAATGATCAAGGTGCCAGGTACGGCAGCTCTTTGTCCGTAGTAATCTTTCATCAGGGGAGTTGGTACTCGGTCATGAGTAGCCCGGAGACGAGTGAGAGGAGCCATGCCGATGCGATGCTTGACTTCTATATCGCCGATCTTGAGGGGCTTGAAGAGACGTGATTGAGACATAATGAAGGATTTCTGAATGTTGCTTGTTCTGTACGAGGAAAAGATGAGGATGTAGATTTCTAGACATGGAGGCTGTCCAAGTATTTATAAGTGTTTTCAATGATTGCGCCATCAATGAAGTTATCGGTCAAGACAGACATGGCTTCTAACAAGTAGTCGAGATGCTTCCTAATATGGAGCAGAGATGTTTCCCAAGAAGGAGACGAGATATTTCCTAAAACGGGACGGAGATGTCTCCAATCAGGGTAAGCGGCTGATGCTGACTGGGGTCCCTGAAGTTCGCCTCGACGACTTGACCACTGAACATTCTGCTGGTGGAGAACCGGCCTGTTAGTGTTTGTCCCAAGATCCATGATTATTTGTAAGCGCAGTCAGAACCCATGAGCATGATGCAAGGGAGATGGCCTGCTCGCCTTCTGTTGAGACCTTATCTCCTTGAGAAGCTTGCGTACTTGACGAGCAAGCTCGTGTAATCAGCTTCCAAACGCGCCAATGTTCGTCTATGGAGTTGGATCCATACTCTGTATCCGGAAGCTTCGGTAAGGGAAAAAGGGAGTTTGGAAAGTTGGTAGTCATACCATGTCTTGTCATAAATAGGCTATGACTCCCATTACTATTATCTCTAGATGTTCCGTGTTTAAATAGCCTAACTAGAACTGTCTTCCCAGAATTTCTTTACAGGTAACGCGAATGCTATCTCTGACCAAATGAACTGGTTCACTATTTGAAGCAGTTCCGGCCACGATTTATACAAACCTCTTAGTCTGGTGTTGTTCTCAGATCGTAGCAACACCAAGTAACTAGATCGTATTGCGCCGGGGAGGGCAAAAGCACCACCAATGTGCAAAAGCCAAGCGAGAAAATCAGGGCAGTCATCCCACACGGGGTCATCAATGACTTCCTGCAATTTGTAGAGTAGTTGTGATGAAAGGTGTGACTACCATGCAAAGTCAGCCTAACCTGTTGCAGATCAGATGTGGGAAACAATGAAGCTTACGGGAATGGTTGAGGCGGGCCAGATTTTGCAGCGCAGCGAGGTTGAACATAGATATGCTGCTAATCGACAGCACTCAGAGATTGGAGAGTGGGTTTGTATACCTGCCAGCCTCGACTGAATGGATGCCTGGTGGTTATCAATGCGTGCCATTCCTACCACATCACCTCTGCCAATGCGAGAATTGTCTCGGATGCATTTCAAGCCGTGGACGTCCTTGAGAATCTCAATAAACTCTTTTTCAAACATATGAGATAGGGCTTGAAATCCAGGTGGTAGGATGTAAAAGTTTGGAGTGAACGGATCCCGTGCCCAATGGAGTTCGGAAAATGTTGTGTGATCAACAACGCGTTTCGACCCTGTCATGACGGAGGAATTCAAGTCCTGCCTAAAAAGAGTTGTATGAGAATGAACTATAAAGAAAATCTGCATGCTACTCACCAGAATATGGCACGTTTGATGCCGTCGCTCAAGTATACACCTTTTGTTTGACACACGTCAAGGAGCTGACGAATCGCACCCATATGAAGTTGGACTTGACGAGGCATTCCAAGACGAGCCTGCATCATGTATCAAATCAGCTTACTGGAAATGAAATATTTGCTAAGAAAGTGGCACGCACATCTATGCCGGCGAGCAGAAGGATAGCTCCAAGTGTCGATTCTGAAGTAGCTCGTTCTGGAGAACTCATGCTTTGACGAATGGAACTCAATGCATCACTCTGGTAGTCCAGGCACTCTTTATCAATGCTTCCGGAGCTGACAGCAAATGCGAATGTCAGCATGACGGCATTCAAAAGAGCATCGTCGTCAAGGCCTTTTCGGAGAGTTGAGCCCAGACTTTGGAGGACAAGCTCGTCTGAAACGCTAAAAACGGGCTCTGTAGATTTCTGAGATTTGCCTGGGCCACGTAGTATTAGTCCATGCTGAGTAATTTTGAGGCATGTGAAGAATCTTACGGTTGCTGAGCAATGTTTGGAGCTTGGGTGATTCAGCTGTAAGCGTCTGAAATGGGCTGGCCTGGGGCGTCAACAGGGAACTCGGTATCCAGCCCAGGACTTTCTCCTGTTCGATTTTCTTGGAGGGTCGATCAGCATCATCCGGTATCGAGACTATACGGAAATTGTGTCCTGATTTTTGTTCGAGCTTTCGTTTCTTCTCGATGCCTCGAGCGACGGCATGAGACCGGGCTAGGCGCCTCACTGAGCGGTCCTTGGCATGATCTGGGTTTTGGATAGTAATGAACTGGAATTGGCCAACTGTAGAGCTGGTATAAGTAAAGCAATGGACGATGGTGTTTGGGGGTTTAGCTCACCTGAACCAGTTTGGTTGCGTGCATATTGGGATGCCTGGGTGGCATCGCTTTTCCTTGCCATGGGTGTATATTAAGCGAGATGAAAGGGATGACAGATTCACTGTTGATCTAGATTCGAGTATGTCGGCAATCGCTTTGAGAGTTGAGGTAGGATTGTCTCATGAGGAAGCTTGCAAGGCGGAGGGCGGTAGATTACAAATCGAACTCTACCCGCTAGTTCGATATCGCTCTAAAAGAAGAGAACCGAGAAAGGTTAATCTATTTACCATCTCCAAACTGACCATTCATCTGTTGCAAGAGTTTCGTAATTTCGTCCTCGCAGTAACAGATCCGCTGCACTCTGGTCCACGAAGCTCACCTTATCCCGAGTCACCAGCGGCTGTGGCTTGCTCCATGGCTTTCCGAATAGCTGCAGTCCGCACCCCGTCTCAACCGTCGCAGCTATGTAACGTCGCGCAAAACAGCGAACCGCTGGCGTTAGAACGTCCGCCACCTGTAACGATAGCCCCAAGTCGTGGTTAAAGTGGCACGCCCACGTTCACAGTAGGATTTTCCAGCATGTTCCAGGTCATAGTGTCGTCGATGTCTAACCCGGTCAGACGGGCGGTGGTGTTCTGGGTTGGTTCAGAGTCGGTAGCTTATTCGCTGTGCCCTCTTGCACGGTTGTCTACAAGGAGCTATCAACCAGGTATTCACCAGTTCTCCAAGCAAAAAGAATCATTATCTACTTGACCGTTTCATATCATGCCAGTTCCCTAAGCGCCATCTCAGCCTGAAAAGTGCGCCCAAACTAATCACCCACGTGGGGGACGATTCACCACGTCCACCCGGTTGTCAGTCTGCTGGTAATATTGTATCAGCAGCCTCCGGTGGAAATCCCTCACCACCCCCAAGAGACCCTGGTGCCCTTGCAGGTGGCAAGCCTCGAGCTCGCCCTCTGTCTCCTTGGAACACTGACAAGGCCCGCCACCAAACTTCTTTCGCAGATCCGGGGCGGGGAACCAGATGCTGACGCGAACAGGTCTAACCTCCTCGCCGCCTCGCGACGCCACGAGCTGTAGAAGGTCCCACTTGTCGCCGTCGAACCTCCGGGCGTCTATCGGCCCGCCGCTGCTGGTCTCCAGAGCCGTGATAGGGCATTCCGGTGACTGTAGACATTTGCATCGATGCATTTGAGGCTTCGTCCACTTGTCGAGCGTGATGGCCACGATGGACCGCCTGGACTCAGGGTCTTTAGGCCTAGTGAACAGTACCAGAAGCGGGCTGCGAGGAGGTGTACGGATTGTGCCGTAGCTCGTGCTAATGCTACTACCCTCTAGCCTAACGGTGACATTGTGTTCAGAGCCTAGGCTGCTGTGGCTCATACTAGAGGAGTTTGTGGTGGTAGACCGATATGAAGAAATGCTGTAGGAGCGGCTTTGATGTTCTGACTGGGGAGATCGATCAGGTGTGGTTATGGTTGCCCCTGTGGGGGAATGGGCCGTATTAGGTGAACCATTTGTCAGAGGAGAGGTTCGAACGCGAGGGATGGGCATAGTATGCGATATCTCTGGCACGGGATTTGGGCCATAACGATTCCAATTCCACCCCACAAGTGACGGCGTAGACGAACTATAGCCAGAGGTCCGACCTATCGGGCCGTCGGCTGGTGTATTCGTCGCCGAGTCATCAGTATCTGTCCACCCTCTCGGTATCCACAGTTGTATAGTTACGTTCTCGAAGGGTTCTTTGCCACGTATGATGAACTTTGCTATTGCACGAGGTCTGGGCGAGTTAGCTATGTCAGGTATCCATATCTTGAGCACCTAGGTAATAGGAAAGAGAAGACTCACTCCATGTAGCCGTCCACAACCTTGAAACCTGTTATAGCCGCTTGGAATGCCAGAACATCTTGCAAACAAAGGAAGACGTAGTGGTGCGGTGATTTATTCGCTTCGATTATGATCTCCAGTGACCGAGTTGCCATGCTGCGGTCCATTGGGTCGGCATACAATGGAATGAGGACAGCGGAGCGGAGGTCAAAGTCAAGCACCTTGAAATCCTTTCTTGGTGGTAGGGTGTTTGACTCGAACGTCTCGAGAATTCTGAAACGGCCATCTGAGTCCCGTCGCAGTAGTTGTACCTCGCGCCGACTTATGTTAGGCGACAGAGTCGCCAAAGACCTGCGGCATCAGGTCGGCATCAGTGCAGAGACGAAATTAGCGAGAGCTTACCCTTGAAACAAACAGGCATATCCCACCACCGGCGCTATCGGTGCCACCGTCGTCCGGGATTCGTCTTCTGGCCAAAAGGCGAGCATCCCATCTTTGTAAATGGAAGTGCTAGGGACGATTATTTGACTCCGAACCCGGGAGTACTCTTCGGACAACTCCTACAATGTGGTTAGCATCAATTATTTGAGCATACACGAGGGTGTATAGTAGTCTTACTTCCTCAAGACTTCTGATATACCCAGGCCAATGTGACGTCCACCGCGGGTTCCGCAGCTCATCAAGCTCCTTCATCCTATTCATTAGTAGCTGGCATTTAGCAAACGGTAAGTATTTAGGCACCGATGCGCGCCTGGCGAAGCTGTTTGGGTCGAGCTGAGGTTGCAGTGTAGCCCTTCTTAGGTGGATGAGAAAACAATCAGCCATCTCGGGCAACCTCAGAGACTGACGCCTCTCCAGCATGTTCTCCAACCTGGGCAACAACGAGTCTGATATTTCGACAAAGAAAAGCTCTCTCTTAGGTTCTTGCTCGGTTTTGCTTGCGAGGTCGGGATTTTGGAGTCTGAGTAAAGAATTCATGGTCCACTTGATCTCTCGTACATCCTTGTGCATGGCCCGGAACCTCCGAGTCAAGTCTTTGTGGATGTTGGTGACCAGGTCGCTGTGGAGACAGAGTGAGTTAGTAAAAGAACCAGAATTCTCATCATAGGTTCGCGAGATTTAGCAGGTGGGCAATCTCACATCTGGAAGGGCTTCAGAACATGCTGGATGCGAGATGTGTGCATCTGGATCCGACTTCTCAGATGTTCCACCTGAGGCATAATGTTGAGGTTCCAATCAATGTTTCTGATAGGACCCGTTGTCTCGGCGTAACGTCTATTGTCCCTGAGGAGCTGATGGCATTCGTTCAAAGTGGCATTGTAATCTCCAACGATTTGCAATAGGCTCTCCCGGTCACCACCTAGGCTGTCAGTGTCCCCTGCCCCAAGATTACGGAGCGACTCCTGAGCTCTGCTGACGGCTTTCTCAAGCTCCGCTAGGCTTTTGTGAAGTATGAGGACATCGGAGCCAAAATCGCGATAGTTTTCACCTTGTCGGCGTCAGCTGCTTCAACGATGAGGAAATAGGAAGAAATCCATGGCCGGCTCGGCCCTTAGGACGCGACGAGCGCTAGTGCCATAGATAGGCACAGGCCCGATAACAGAGACAACAGCTTGGGAGAAGGCTGGCAATAGAGAGAAACTGCAAACTGACCTGCGTTGTGCTCTCTTGCCCATCCATATTCCCAGACGATCCAGGCAAGCTCAGCAAACTTGATTGCGTCGCCAAGCTGAATAACACCAGCCATGGTTACTCAATAGCCACAAGAGGAGCAGGGTAGTCAATCCTTCCTGTGGGAGTTTGTAGGTGGAATCAATGGTGAGGAGGTGGGGAGAGGTCGAGTACCTGTTAATGTACCAAGAGTTTAGTTCGTAAGAGCCGCAACGGGGCGCGGTCAAGGGCGAGGCAAACAGCAGATGCCTCTCTGAGTGAGATACCAAGAGTGGTGGCTGCATGATGGGAATGCAAACCTCTTCAGGCAAGACTTTTGAAATGCTGCTGTGAGGGCTGGCCGACGATGTATCTGGTAGACTATCGAAAGCCTCATGCAGGTCTCTGTTCAGCTGCGCCAGGTGTGCAACCTCGCTCCTACGCGATATTCTCTCACCGAAGAGGCAGACACGCAGACTATCCACTCCTTGCAGGCGCAGCAAGCCTCGCAGTGAAAACAAGGCAACTGGTGGCGTTGCCAAGACTGAAAGTTATTTTTCTGAGAGTCTCAACCGTTCCCTCGCTGGACAGGACTTTCAGACACATCCCCAGCCTGACTAGAGCTCTATGGTACGCCCCTCATTTGGGCTGTTCGGATCATTTTCAGTATTTATTATATGACGTGTCCCCTCGAGAAATTGTCCTATATATTTTGGCAGCCTGAAAAAGGTCCTGTCGGATTCAGCTTGAATGCTCAAGTCGCCCCTCTCTCTTCCCCTGGCTGAAGCCCTCCCCAATTTGACCGACCATGGATGCCACACAGCCTGGCGAGCATAGCGGCCGCTCCCCTCAGCCTCCAAACGAGGACAACCCCAATGATGGAGCTCTCCTACGGGGGTTGAGAGGTATGCCAATCGACAAAAACAGCTTCGTCACTGAGGCTCCAACGGAGCCCTTTCGCCTTACTTACATCGACGTCATGTGCCTAGTGATAAACCGAATGATAGGTATGTTACTATGTCGTTCTTGACCGACATCAAAGTACTTTTCAAGGGCAATGCTGATAAGAAACTGCTGAGCAGGGACCGGAATCTTCGATAGCCCAATGACGGTGATGCTGGGTGTCCGGAGCCCGGGCATCGCAATCCTCTTCTGGCTCTGCGGCTGCATCTATGCTCTGGCCGGAGCTCACGTCTACGTCGAGTATGGGCTGAACGTACCGCGATATGTCATCGACGGCGTCGAGCAGTCGGTCCCGCGATCGGGAGGCGACCTCCATTATCTCCAATACGTTTTCCCATGGCCGCGATACAAGAAGGGAATAGTGATGCTCAGCGGTGTCCTGTATGGCATCAGCTTCATTTGCATTGGAAACATGGCCGGCAATTGTATCAATTGCGCGCTGCGTCTCGTGGAGGCTGCGAATCCAGCAAAGGACGTTGGTAAGCTCAACGAAGGCATGATTCGCGGCATCGCCATCGTCATTGCGATATTTCCATGCTTGATTCACGCCTTCTCTCGTCGTGGTGGCATCCTGCTCAACAATCTCCTTGCCTTTATAAAGGTCTTGATGCTGATTTTCATGATCATTGCCACTTGGGCGGTTGCTGGTGGGCCGTCGGGGGTGAGAGGGATCCCAGAGATCGACATGAGCAACTCAACTAGTACAACAAACTCTTCGAACGGGGGAACTAGTACAACAAACTCCTCGAGCGGGGGCAAGGCCTATGCACAGGCATTCCTATCTATAAGTAAGTAGTAGAGTTTGTCTACGCGCAAGGGACACCCCCAACTTATGGAACCAGTCTTTGCCTTTTCAGGGTTCGACCAGCCAAATTATGTGAGTGGATTACAACTTGTGTTCTCCCCGACAGATTCCTAACTCTGGTCAAAGGTTCTGGGAGAGATCAAGCACCCGCGGAAGACTTATCCTCGATCCATGTGGTGGGGTGTTGGCTTGGTGTCGGCATTGTATATGGCCGTCAACATCTGCTATGTAAGACCTCTAGACTGGCTGTCTCTAAATTCTTCATGGCATCCTCGACTAACTCATGTCCATCACAGATGATAATCGTCCCGGCAGATGTCCAGGAGAATAACAACGTAGCACAGGCGTTTTTCTACATCATCTTCGACGCTGATCCCGAAGGCCCGAAGGGCTACGAAATCAAGCGCGCCGTCAACGCATTCCTAGCCATCTCATCATTCGGTAATATTGTCGTCATGACATACACGGCGGCACGAATGAAGCAAGAGATTGCCAAGCAGGGCTTTCTCCCTTTGACGAGCTTTTTCGCGAGTAACAGAGACGTCAGTCTTGGCAAGTTCCTCATGTGGCTTGAAGGAGGAGAGCGCAAAACGAAGAACCAGCACACGGGGAACGGGCATCAGGGCGTCCTTGAGCCTCAAGGGTATGATACACAGAAGGTCGCTGGTAATCGGAAACCACGCGGCCGCTTCTTCAAGTTTCTCAACCCTTCCAACCACCGAGAGAAGACGCCTGTCGGCGCCCTCGTCCTCCACTTTGCCAGCTGCATCGTCCTCATCCTGGCCACGCTCAACACCACGGCAAGCAATGCCTACTCGGTTCTTTCTGGGCTTATTGCTTATTTGACATCGGCATGGTTCGGCATCTTCCTTGCCCTCGGCATCCTGATTCTGCATTTCCGCGGTCCCCCGACAACGCAACCAGCCCTGACGCGTCGATACAATAAAGTCCCGAATCAGGAGCCCGTGCAGAGAACTTGGGCCCAGATGACTCGGGGGTCGGTGAATCCGAAGTTGAGTATCTCTTGCGGTTGCCTCTATCTCGTTGGGAATATCTACCCAATCATCACGGGCTGGATCCCGCCATCAAAGCGCTACCAGACATCACTCGCCTGGTGGGCGGTGCCGGTCATTTCGTGGTGCGTACTGGCATTCTCGACCCTTTGGTTCCTGGGCTTCATAGGTGTGGCCAAATATAAGTCCCAGACCGGCCTAAGCAAGTTCGTCTACCTGTGTGAGCCTGAATTCGATCCGGATGAGAACTCTGAATACCGGCAAAGGTCTGGTAGCGGCAGTGATCTGCCCGCTGGTGAGGCTGCTGTTAGGAGCCATCACGGGGGGCTTGTTCTATCTCACGAAACCATCTACACAGGGTGGGAAGGCATTGAGACGGAGCAAATGTTCAGCGACGGGGCCGAGATGACACATTGTGTCGTACCCCTAGCCCAGCCGGTGCTAGTGAACGGAAGTGGGATTCGGCGGCCAGCTGATCCGCCACTCGATTTGTATGAGGACACGGACTTTCCGGAATTCTCACAGAGCGGGGCTCCAGTTCAGGAATCGGAACCCGTGTCTCATCCGCTGTCTGCCCCGGTGCAGAATCATCAAAATGGGTCGGAACAGGGTCTGACAGAGGCCTCTAGGAACACCTCAGGCTAAAAAGAATCAACATCACTCTTTATGACAACTGCCCACTGACACGCTGTGATCCGTAGACGGCTGGTGGTGTTGTAGACTTGGCTGGCGCGCTGTAAAAGATGATTCTGGAACTCAAGAGTGGAAGGGATGGGACACGGAGGACTCCCTACCATTGGGCTACTCTGGCCTTGCATGAATCTTGGTTCTTGTCTGCATAAGAGATAGCTGAAAGGGCTTGGACTCGAAGAGTTTGGAAGGATAGGTCATCAACAGCTCATGTTAAGTTCAGCGACAGACCAGCTACTAAGCAGCACAAGCTCGTCTTTTTTTTTGTCTGCAATGATGTTAAGAAGTCATTAGCAACATCAGCAAAAACACAATCATTAATACATAACGGTATCAGAATCCAATACCGGCACAAGCAAGTTTGTAGGAATGGAATCACATTTACTGCCCAAGATTCATCTCTGAGCTTTCAAGCATTAGATAGCTCTCAAGCCGTCCGACCTAGCTCCTCTCGCCTCTGGATCTTGATGTACATGTCCTCGAAATAGCTCACCCCGCCCTTTACCACATATGTGCCTGGCTTCTTGGTATCTGCCAGTTCGAATTTGAAAGTCCTGAAAAATTGCAGCGGTGCCTTGTACAGCTCCATCCGCGCAATATCCTGTCCGAGGCAAACCCGCGCTCCATACCCAAATCCCATGCTATACTTGTTGAAGATCTTGGCCTTTTCCTCATCTAGCCACCGCTCAGGCCTAAACACTTGAGCATCTTCACCATAGATGTTGGGGTCACGATGCACAAGCCATGGGTTGCAGGTCAGTTCCGTGCCCTCGGGGATAAACTCTCCGTATAGTTCTAGGCCTCCCTTTGGCGCAAGACGAGGAAATATGTTTGGTGCTGAGGGGTTTAGACGCATGCTTTCTTTGACGCAGGCGATGTAGTAGGGGCAGTGAGCTAGGACTTCTTCGTACTGGGGCATGTCGGATAGTTTGTTGGCGCGGGTTGCCTCGTCAAGTTCAGCCAGGAGCTTCTCGTACACGCAAGGGTTGCTCAAGATGTGCACCATCATGGCTTGGAATGCGGTCCCGGTGGTGTCTGCTCCAGCAAGAAGAACAAGCAAAATTTCGGCCTTGATGTAGTTAATATCCAGGGGTTCACCTTTTTCGTCCCTCGCGTCGATGAACCTACATACCCAAGAGTTAATTTCGTATCGAAGCAATTTCTGGCCAACTCACGTTTGGAGAAGGTCGATACGACCACTGGTGGTGCCATCTTCAATGTCCTTGAACCGTTGCTGGATTAAACGGTCCCGGAATCGCATCAAGGTTCCAATACCCGAATCTTGCTCAGGGCTTGCAACCATGTACTTGCCCAAAAAAGTGCCCTTGACCCAATTGGTAAAAGGATACAGCCTAGCCATGATACCGAAAGGTGTAAGGCCATCGTGGAATCCCTTGATCAGACCCTCGACATCCTTACCTGCCTCAACAAAGCCAAAAGGAGCCCCAAAACCAACTTCTGAAATGATATCGTACGCCATGTACACGGCCCATGGCGCAAAGTCGAACTGCTTTTGTGTCGAGGCAAACGTTTCCTGTAGCTTGTCCATCCAGGCTTGGATGTTGATATCGATCAATGGCTCCATCCTTTTGATGTTACTAAAGCTGTAGGGAGACGCGGCGATCTTGCGGTACTTGGCATGTACGGTGGCATCTTGCATGTTGAAAAGGGACTCTTCCTTTCCAAAGCTTCCCGTGATGTAATGCTTCGACTTGCTCGCGCCGCGGCTGTATATCTGAGGGAGCTTTGTTGCATCGCTCACGAGGAGCATCGTCGGTGTAATTCTGATGACGGGTCCTGGATAGTACGTGAGATAGTGCTCGCTCTGCTGTTGTCACATCTTCATACCATGCTGTTGGTGAAGCTTTTGAAACGTCGCACATTCATCGGCCTTCACGTTGTGATAAGTGATCCATAACCTCGTCACACTGCCCCAGAAGTTGCCGGGGTATTTGGCGAGGGGGTGAAAAAAACGATACTTAATAATCTGGTAAGCAAAACTCAAGACGACGTAACCAACGCCCAAGAGGGCGAGGTTGGCGAAGCTCAACACAGCCATTATGAGAGATGGTGATGAGCTGCAGGGCACCAATTGCTTGAAAGGAAATTGTAAGCCGGGCCACTTGGGAGTGCAGAAGGTTATCATATGTAACCCAGACGCAGGGACAGGCACAGGCATTGCCGGGGCTCAAACACCCATCTCTTTAGCCCATATTATCCGAGTCGGTCGATTGCGAGGGTTCGCATCTTTGAAAGCGAAGATCCAATGCAATTGCCGCGGAGGAAACTCTTCAAGAGGTAACTGATCCCGTCAGAGTGCACAGAAGTTCCTCATGCGGTAGGCGATGGCGGGTTGCGTTGGTTGTAGATCCAACTATGTCGGGGCACCGGGAACATCCCTCGGCATTACCCACTGTACATGGATCCGTTGAAGACCAAGATCTCAAATTGTCCATGATTGATGTGCCGTCTGCGGTAAAGTGGGGAGAGTTGCACATCGGAAGGATCTTCGACCGTTTCACTGCAACGCAAGGCTTGCGTGTTGGTCATGGATCCTCAATTTCTCCACAGGACAATCTGCGTTAATAAAAACAAGCTGCTTGTGATGATGCGCACGCAGTAGAAAACTTGGCTTGTTTGTTATAGAAATGCCTAGTATATGGTATGGTTCTTGTAGCAGTAGTATGTAACTTAGTCTGCATATGAACACGATGCAGGTCAGTGGACTCCAAGATATCTCAACCTCGGCACTGGAACGATTATGCGTAGGTTCTCGAGTTCCGCGAACCACTTTTAGTTCTCTTGAAGCCGGACGTACTGTTCTCCGCCTGCCCCTTGTCTGCCTGATCTTCATTTCCTACGACAATTCCCTGATAGGTGGCGACAGGAGCAGCCTCACCTGGCGGAGATGCTGTTCAAGCCCAACGAGAAATGCTGGGTACCTTGGGCGCTGGACTGCATGGTTATGCCTGCCATGTCGTAGCATTATACAGACAACAACACTGGTCTGCCAACAGTCTGTAACTACCTGTGCCCCCTGGGTTACCAGTCTCGTATTTTAGCCGGAGGGGGTTAGAGGGTACCCTGGCATGGAACCCATATAAGTGCAGATCTTTTGCGACTCCACAGATCTACGATTTTCACAAGCTTGGACAGATAAGATGTCGTCCAAGCACGTCCCTACAGCTGGTCTGCTTGAACATTGAATAGAAACTTCATTTTCACAGCATCAGCTTGCTTTGTAAAATACCCATGGTTTTTTTTTTTTTTTTTTTTTAACTCAAATGAGTAGACTGTCCCTCAGATGCCATTGCCTTCTTGGCCATTGTGGAACTGAAGGAAATTTTACTGGGGCGATACAACGTCGTGTTGGCACATGTCGGAGTTTTTCGTCCACCAGCCGCGGGTTCTAACCGGTCTTCCGTCCCCTGCAACAAGAATCTTGCTCGCCTCGATCTGCACGGGGGCGACCTTGGACAATTCCAACCTTAACCGAGGAATAAAAACCAACGCAGAGTCGTTGATGACCCACTGGCACTGGCCACTTCATGATACGTCGTGTTGGTTGCATTTCATGTTGGCTGAGTCCGCCAGGTAATGCATTGGTGCTTCCCCTGACGATCACAGGCATGGAATTCTTTTCAGCCAAAATCTCATCCACATGCCTCACAGTTCCCGTCGGCGTTACGGACAGGATCGCTGAATTGATCGGCCCAGCTGAAACGGTAATTTCTTGGCCGTTGAGAAAACCCAACGGTTGCTCGATGGGGCTGTCGGAGACGAGCGACATAGACGGTTGGTGTCCAACAAGAGCCAAGAGCGGGAGTGTCATGCCAGTCTGAGTGAAGACGATCTTGCATGCTGCAGATGAAGAACAACTGCTCGTCTCCATAGAGCTGCATAGCCTCCCCATGGCATCTCAAAAGTCGTCCGGCTCTATTTAACTCCCCTTCGGAAATTCTACAAGCGGCGCTTGAGGCTCAACAGCGACATTCTATTCCTTGTCTGCTTCCACCAGCAGTCATGCCTGAAAGTCAAGGTCCTGTCGTTAATTCGGTTGCCATCATCTTTGCCGTAATATCCTTTTTCGCTATTGTCCTGCGTATTTGGGCCCGGGCCTTTATCGTCAGATCTCTGGGAGCTGACGACTGTGAGTACCACTTCCTTATCCCTCTCATTTAGTCTCAATCAATATTGACATTTTGTAGATTTAATATGCGTGGGAGTGGTAAGAAGAACCTCATCAACGAGGCCACTATCTCAGAACTGACCTAACGACAGCTGTTATCGTGGTCATTCATCGCCTGCACTATTGCCTGTAAGTAGTATGTCAAGTTCCAGTCCAACTGTTTCTCCTAACCATGACTAGCCGTACAACATGGCCTCGGTAGCCACTACGTCGACATCGAGAAACGAGGGACCCAGAACATGATTGACTACTCCCAGATCGTCTGGTTGTCCTCCATCTTCTACAACGCTTGCCTAGGCTTCATCAAGATCTCAGTCCTGGCTCTCTACATGCGACTAGGTGATCCAAAGCTGCGAAAGGTTGCTCTTGTCATGGTCGGCGTCGTTGGCTGTCAGGCTGGCGCAAATGTGCTGGCTTGCATCTTTCAATGTTCTCCTATTCGTGGGGCATACGACGTCACAGTTCTTCCCAAAGATAAGAAATGTGTCGACATCAATGCCTTTTACCTGGCCAACGCAGCTGTCAACATTATGACGGATGTACTTACATACACGCTACCGATTCCCCTGATCATCAAGCTCCGGGTGTCTAGACGGCAGAAGATTAGTCTGGCCATAATTTTAGGTCTGGGACTTTTGTAAGTACCTTGCGTAGTGTCCAATGGCCCGAGACATTAGCTAACATCAATACTATTCAGTGCTTGCGTCTCCTCCATCATCCGAATCACATATATCCCCCCGATGCTCAGCTCCGACGATCCAACCTGGGTCATTGCAGGCGCCATGTACTGGTCCGTCATCGAAACCAACATCGGCATCCTCGCCGCCTCAATCCCCTCATACAAAGCCATTGCGAAACGATACGCTCCTCGCCTGCTCGGTAGTTCGGGAATGTCCAGCGATAAGCTCTCCGGCTTCAAGCCAATGCCTCTTGGCCCAATGAGCCGAGATCGCACTACGCCCTCCACCACAACCAAGATCGAGTTTGAGAACCGAATCAATAGTCGGTTGGATGACAATAGCAGCGAGGAAGTGCTTGTCGCATCCGACGGTCGAATTGGGGTTAGAACAGAGATTATCCATCACTCTGAAAATTTTGTAGGGGCTGGGATAGATAGTAACAGAACAGGCAAGCAGGGGACAGGAGGTGGTGCAGAGTTCAGTAGGGTATGAGGGAGAGGACACTAAGATGACCATGTATTCTAATCCTTGCTTGGTTCCTTGCTAATCCATGCAGTAATGGGACACTTTAGAGACTGTGCACTTTGCATCTACCAATATCTCCTTTGAGCGACAGCAGTGAAACAAATCTTGCAATTGTACGCGAGAACTGGTGCATCCTACTTCTCCTCCCTCTCAGCCAGCTCCAGATACTGACTAACCACTTCTTTCACCATGTCCTCGTACGTGGCTAGCTCGATACCGAGAACATCTCGAGTCTGTTAATATCGTAAGTAATTGCCCAGATATTCTCAAGGCTTTTCACACACACCTTGCTAGAGTCCCAACTGATTGGAAGAGTCGGCTGCGGACTCCCCTCCTTAAAGAGACCAGATGCAAACGCGCCAGGGAAATGCTTCTTGGCAATTGGAATGGTATCTTCCCATTTCACCTCGGTGCTGAGGACAAACGACTGATTGCCTTTGATGTCTGTGTCCAGCGCCCTGACGTGTGCCCGAGCTACATCTGCGCAGAGAACGACGTTCCCGACTGCAGGGACGCCCTGGTTGCCCGTCAACAAACCGTTGATGAGGACCTTGGTAGAATCGGTACGAATGTCCTGGGTGTTGGTGAAGAGCTCGTCCTTTCCAAAGATCCAGGATGGCATGATGGAGATCAAGTCAAAGTTTGTGGTGTTGTCTCTCACGAAAGCCTCGGCGGCATTAAGGGCTGCCGCCTTGCTCGCGCCGTACGCCCGAAGCTCAGAGTCATACGGCGGTGGTGGAAAGACTACACGGTTATCAGGTCCACGCAGAATCTCTCGTTCTTTAGTGTCCGTGACATAGACGTCTGCTGGGGCAATGGCCACTGTGGAGCTGGTCATGACGATGCGTCTGACTGTCTTGCCCTTTTCGTGGGCTGACTTGAGAATGGCCAGGTTTCCCTCCACTGAGGCTTTGAAAAACGCATCTCCGGGGCTGTCTCTGGAGGCCTCGCCTGAGGGGAGAGGTGCGGCCACATGGACGATCAAGTCGACTCCCTGGACAGCATCGTCGTACGCGCCAGGGGCTGTCATGTCGGGAACCATAACAAAGGTCAACTGATCTGAGGAGGGAGCGAGGGCAGAAATCGAGGGAGCTGCCAGCACCTTGTCCACCTTTGACTGTGAACGAGCGGCAGCGCGGACTCTGTAGCCGCTCTTGAGGAGGTCGACGAGGATGGCATATCCGAGGAAGCCAGTGCCGCCCGTGAGGAGGACGAGTTCGCCTGTCATTTTTTTTGTTCGTACGAGAATGATAAAGAAGAATGGTGATGGTTGATTCACAAAAACGGCGGATTTCTGCCTTCTTTTATATCTAAAGTTCCAGCTCAACACCCTACTCCAGTGGTTGGTGACCCTCCATATAAGGCATACAGTGTGACAAACACTCTTCAAACATGTTTCCTATTTGGGATGGTATAAGTTTAGTACCTCCTTGAACACCCAATCATAACCCAGGTTTCATCAAGACAGCTAGGATCCTCCAGTCTGGCGAGTAATTGCGGACACAGAGTCTCGTCCCACAGAAAGGCAGACAATATCCCGCGAATGCCGTTACTTCCGGAACAAGACTTGTGCTGAAAAACTTGTACGGTGGACTTGAAAAGATCAAGGAACCACTGCCCTTCCTGACACCCTTGTCCTAGCAGCCCAATGAAGGCTATCCACAACACAGCTTCTCTGTGATCTTTCCAAATTTCTCCAAGTTGGTCCACTTCCATCATCTGTTGCAGTCTGTGGCACAGCCGGCAAACAAGTGGGCTTCTCGGGGGCATTTGGCGCAGTGTTACATACATGAAGATCTGAGCAGCCAAGACGAGCGCACGGGATCGTCTACTAGTATCGGACTGATCGACGGGGTTTTGGTAGAGATGACGCAGAATCGATTCATCCACAATGTTGAGCAGAGTTCGCAGGTCATCAACTGAGATCATCAAAGACTGAGTTGCCAAGAGCAACTGCCTCAACTTTGCGAATATTCGTGAGCAACAAGCTGAAGCATCTGGTACTGAATCATGCAACGGAGGGTCAAAAGGATGCTCTAGGATTATTGGTGGAAGCTGAGGTTGATCTGTATGCATGAGGGGGAATATCAACCCTTGGCCTAACGCTGTGGCTACTAGTATATCGGCACTGGACCATCTTGTCAGTGAATTCGAGGGAAGGAAAGCTCTTCTTACTTACATGTTGATTGATTTGCAGAGGATGAAGTAATCTTTGAGGTTGCCATAGCCACCTCGCAAGCTGAAGAGATTCTGCACCCCTTCTAAATGTATCTCGGCAGCATCAAAGCTGCCATCAGAGACCTAGAATATCGTTAGCATATAAAGACTCGGCCACATGAGCATGACTACCTCGACAATGGCCAGAGTTGCCATCGTGGACATGAGAAAGGCCATTTCATCATCGTATCCAGAACAGTCCTGGGCTAAACGGCTCCCAATCTCGCGCATTGCTTCTCCTTTTTGGCGTAAACCTTCGACTTGGATAGATTGCTCCAGTGATGGGCATTCTGCTCGCCACTGTGTTGCGGCCATGGCAAGAGTGCTGTGCATCATTGGTACGCTTTGTAGAGCGTAAGGGAACCATGCCCTTGACCGATCAGCTGCGTCTAGACTAATTCCGTACCTGGATAGCACTAGCAGCTCATAACAAGGAGGTTAGGTATAGTCTCGAGTGGTAGTGGGTGAACTCACGGTATTTGACCAGGTGATCAACTTGAAGATTTGTAGGAACTGGGAGGCTGTTGAATGGATCAACACAGCTGGGGCAGACAGACTTCAAGGATAGCCCGAAACCACAGATTACATCTTGTCGAGATTCAGTAGAACCAGAGGATGCTGTCGTTGCTTTGCTCCTTGGCCGACGTTTGGTCTTTCGGAGACCTGCGCGAACAGCATGACTTCGAGTGGAACTCGACACCTTGGAGAGTTTTCCATCATCACCCTGTACTGCAACGAACTTGTATTGCGGCATTCTTATCAAATGAGTATGATTCTGTGCGTCAAGATTAAGAGAGGTTTGTCGGTGTTCTGTGAGAGATGACTTGATTCGGATATTAGAACGGTGTTAGTGGTATCTCCGAATTTAGGAACGAGGCAAAGGCGAAACATTCGACAGGAAGTCATACGAAAAATACTGGATGAAGTGCAAACCCACTGTACTAACTAAGGCGATGATAAAATAGGAAGAGTACACGAGCATCTCCAGATCCATGTCCATAGCGGTGTTCGCTAATATGGATGATCAATATCGCTGCCCTCCGATGAGTCAATGAATGATCCTTGGGACAAAGATAATCCCCGAATAGGACCTTAGATACGACCTCTAAGTAGCCGACTCTTGATCTTACGCGTAACATCAAATCCAATATTCAGGCCTTCAGATAAGAGTGTTGAGGGTGTGAATCCCCTCGGCTGATGTCCGACGTTGCGGGGTACGCCGGAAGACATCCGAGATGGCCTGAGTCAGCATGCGTAGGATATATCTCATGCATCAAGCTAAGCATCTAAAGGCTTACACCTCATTTACCTGTCAGTAAGTGTAATTGAGTATAGAATGGCATTCCCAAGAATTGGATGGATAGGTAAGCCTCCTGTTGCGACTCCAATGTTCTCCTACTAACGATAACATAGGCCTTGGGTCTATGGGCTTGCCCATGGCCACCAACCTCCAGAAGCACTTGGTTTCCCTCGGAGCACCTAGTCTTCAATATTTCAACCGAACCATATCTCGTGGTGACTCACTCAAAAGTCTCGGTGGCCAACCTTTGCCAACAGCTCGAGATCTTGTTGAAAGCTCCGACATCGTCTTCATGTCGCTCAGCGATGATTCAGCCCTCGAATCAACACTGAACGCCATTATTGATCCAGCTTCAACAAACCAACTAGCCGGAAAGATTGTCGCAGATACTTCAACTGTCCATCCTGACTCATCAGCCAAGGCCCAGATTCGACTGGCCGAGAAGGGAGCCAAGTTTATTGCCTCACCAGTTTTTGGAGCTAGCCCGGTTGCTGCTCAAGGAAAGCTGCTGTGGATTGTTGCTGGGCCTGATGATGCTGTGCAGGCTATTAGCCCTTACTTGGAGGGCGTTATGGGAAGGGGAGTGATTCGTGTTGGTCAAGATGTGCGACAGTCTAGCATGATGAAGACGGCAGGGCAGGTTTCCCCAAGCTGTTAAAGTATGAGGCTGACATAAAGAACTAGAAACTTCATCACTGCTGGCATGATGGAAATAGTCGCCGAAGCACACGTCCTGGCAGAAAAGTCTGGCCTGGGCAGCAAAAACCTCGAAGCCCTGATCGAGCAACAATACGGACCCCTTGCCTTGTCAATGTCCCAACGTCTCACAACGGGAGCATACATGCCAGCACGAGGTGACAGACCATGGTCAGACCTCAACCTGGCCCTCAAAGACGTCGGTCACGGCATCGCTTGCGCAGAACAAGCAGGCACAAGATTGGAAGTCGCTGAGGTGGCGATTAAGCATCTGGAGGAGGCAAGCCAGTTCTCGGAAGCTGAGGAGAGGCCGCTTGATTCTTCATCAATGTATGGGATTTTACGAAAGGAGGCCGGGTTGTCGTTTGAGACAGATCTTGTCAAGGAGAGGGATGAGAAGAAGGAAAAGGAATCAGAGGACAACTGAGTAGGCAGTGGTCCTCGAGATGGAAAATTCAAGCAAAACAGGTCACTGCCAATGCAGTGGTAGTCTACTCTTCTGATACAGGCCCAGTCTTGGTCAGCTATTAGTACAAACAAAAATGAAATTGCCCCAGTTGTTTGAGGGTATCTCCTAATCCTTCATTATAGTGCAGCCTTTCCCCTGGACTCGAAAGGCAGGATGAGTACCAGTAGTCCAGCAGCGATAAAGAGAGCACCACTGGTGTAGACGGGTGCTGATGTCTCGAGGTTGGCAAAAATCGCAATGATGGGCTAAATTTGTCAGTATACTGTAAACAACAGCCACGCTCTGCATGGTACTCACTGCCATAATACCGAATACTCTGTTGCAGCTTGCTGCCAACGCATTGCCGGTTCCTCTCTGAGGTGTAGGGAATAGTTCGGGTGTGAAACCGTACAGGACGGCGTACATGATGTTGCTAAAGAAATTAAAGGCGCACTGCCATCCTAGTAGAGATGCGCTGCTCAAGGATGTCGTTGAACAGTAGAGGAACACGCCCGTGAGAACCGTGCTCAGCGATAATGTCCCCTTTCGTCCCATGCGAGGCAGCTCAACCAACCAACCTCCAAGAAGTGCACCGGGCACACCGAGGACGGCAATGATCAGACTGTTGCGGTAGGTGAGATATGTGCTGCCGTCTCCAAAATCTGCTCCTCGAGTGGCCTGGATATAAGGAATGAAGGCGTTGTAGAGCGGATATCCAAGGCCGATGAGGCCCCAAACGGCCATGATAAGGCTGGTGCTGAGAGCCAGCTTCTTGGTGACGAATAAGGCCCGGATGTTGCTAAAGTTGACCTTTTGAAGATTCCTCTTCAACGCAGCCCCGGCATCGGTCCGCGCAACATACCCATCAGGTTCACAAGCCTTGAGATCCTCCAAAGTCAGCGTCGAAGTCTTGCCATTCTTCTTGGCAACCTTGTGCACGACCCTTACAGCTTCCTCATCACGCCCCTTGCTCATCAAGTACTTGGGCGACTCATAAATCTTGAAGAGTAAAAACCGAGCAAGAAACATGAGAAGAGTCAGCCCACCGACGGTGATGACAAAGTATCGCCACCCCATGTTTTTCTGTCGTGTGCACGTCTCATCTTGCTGACACGTGAGGTTGCCTAGCAGAGGCCACGCGATCAGCGTGCCAATGACCTGTGCGATGGCCCAGTCTATGGATAGGATGGTGAGGAGGTACTGGTGCGACCCGGGGAGGAACTCGAGAAATATGGCTGAGTCGACTGGCAGATTCCCGCCGACGCCGAAGGACCACAGGGCGTCGAAGATGCCGATGGCTGCAAAGTTTGGGGCGCTGGCGGCGACGAGGCCCCAGACGGCGGTGAGCCCGAGGGTGAGGTTAAAAGCCCATCTTCGACCGACTAGCTCTTATCAGTACTTGATGCATGAAGAGGGAGATATGTCTTACAAATGTCACAGCCGAATCCCCAGAACATGGCCCCTGCTAAGAGTCCAATGTTCTGTGCCAGGGTCAAGTACGGGGGTCGATCTGGGCTGAATTCATTGGCGATTGGGGTAAAGATGAGCGACGTGACAATGGGCCACAGATTATCGCTTGCCCATCCAAATCCGATGACGACGAATAATTCCCACTGATACCTCCCCATACCAATATCTTGAATCTGAAGAAAAATCTCGGTCAAAAACGTCCCGAGGCGGGGAAAAGAGTGTACTCACTGCACGGTTCAGTACCCGAGCTTTGGCCTCGTACACAGGGTCCAGCGCGTCCTTGGGAATGATTCCCTCATCGTCGGTGGTATCGGCAAGACTATCCCTTCTCGCATCGTCGTCGTTGAACGAGCCGTAGGCTTTGCGCTCGCCCTGCAGCGTGTCTGGGTTCGAGGGCATGCTGCTATCGTCGGGGAGCAGACGTTCCGTTTCTAATCGGTCCTGCATGGTGTCCAGGGGAGGGGTACTCGAATGCATATAAATAAACCCTTGACCAGCACACGAGAGAAATCATGTAACTTTGCAGAAAAGGAAAGCCAGATCCTCCCTTGCGAAGACGCGGGGTTTGATGGTGCAATCAACCTGTGAAAGGAACATCACCAAGGGTGATTGGGTTGCCCTGAGACCCGCGTGCCACCTTGATCTTCAGACCGACCGTCCGGTATCGCCTAGCTCTGCTGACCGGCGTCTGGGGGTTCCGTGGGGGAAATATGCGTCATGGATGGAGCGGCCCGCCTTGGAGGCAAGGCCATCGTAAGTTCCGCGGGCTGAATTGGTAATGGCTCGGGCTTGTGTGGAATCAAGAGTGTGGGGGATGTGTAACGGTGACAGGGCTCAAGTCTTCCTCTCAGGATGCCCTGTTCTTGAAGGCGTCGTACAAGGGAGTACATGTATTCAACATGACATAGATTCATCGGATTACCCGAAGTAATATGCCACAAAGAAAGCACGCAAGAATACCCCGGAATTGCCATCCACATCAAGTCCGTCAGCAGCTCTAATCACGTCCCCTCTGATTGGATCTACCTCGGCATGATCGGATCGTCTTGACGTAACCCCACCACCGCCAGTCGCACCAAACATGGAAGTCGGGCGCATGAGAACAAACGCCAGCTTCCTTATTGGAAAAATATTGCCTGCAAATAAGATGGTGTCATGAACAGGGTTTCCCATTTAAATGCTTCTTTTTCAGCTCGTGACGCTAACGGTGTCGGTTTCTCTCGCTCCATTTCGTAAAGATCGTCGACGTTTTATTTTCACGTCTTTACGTGAAACTCGTTGGTGGGTGATGGTCCTGAAAGAGCCCAGCATATTCCTTCTTCAATCACCCTATCCCAGCGAGCTGAAGCCGATAGTTTTTCTTCGTACGACCGGAACCCATGCGGCAAGCCGATAAACAAGTTGACATCGGTAGGTACCCTACATCTCATCAGCGACGGCTAAAATGGGTAATTGAGCAACCTACCCAGCTTCTGTCAGCATCTTGGCATACAGGAGCGCCTCATCCCGCAAAGGATCCAATCCAACTATGCCGAGCACTGTTGGCGGCATACCCTTGACCTGAGCTGGTGTCGCATTCCCCGGATTGAGCTTGACATCCTTGACGTCTGGGTTCTCGATCTTGAGAAAGCTGGTAAAATATCGTAGCTCGGATACAGACAACAACGGGGCCCACTCATTTTCCTTATAAGATGAGACAGAATGGTGCTTCATCTTTTTCAGCTGCGGTTCGTAGCAGTCGAGGTGTGCGAGACAAGGAATCATCAACACCTGTCCAGCAAGAGGCGGGCGACGATTCTTCTCCCTGTTGAGATGCCTGTCCAGCGTCAATGACGAAGCAACCCAAGCGCCGGCTGATATCCCCCCGAGAACCACCTTGTTCGGATTGCAGCATAGCTTGTCCATGTTATCGTGCGCCCACTCAAATGCATCCTCTGCATCGTTCCATTGTGTCGGGTGCGTGAATTCTGGCGTGTGCCTATAGTTCACATTCAGAACAACAACCTCTGAGCCGCAAGCGATCCGTGTGCATATCGCATCCTCAGAGTCTAGCGTGCCAAACATGAACCCGCCGCCTTGTAGGTGCATGTACAGTGGGAGCACCGTGTCCTCTGGCACGTTGACAGGTCTGTAGCTGCGAGCCTCGATAGTACTCCCATCCCGAGATGGAATAGCATAGTCGCAAGTCTTGACCTGATGTGCCAAAACTTTCATCGCTCTCCTCGACAAGGCTTCTCGTTCCTCATTTGCCTGTCTCTTCATCTCAGCGAGACTCGGCTCCGGATGAGCCGGGGGTAGAAAGGTCCGCTCTAGGGCGAGCCATTCCTCGCTGGTTCCATTGTAACATGAAAAGTCGCACATTGAGATTCGATAAAAAAAGAGTTAGATCTAGAGATGAATGACAAAGATAGTTGAGGATGACGGCTTGGTTCTTCTCAACCGATCTGATCTTGGGAACCCCCACACTTTGATATCCTCCGAGTGGGGATTCGGCATCCGGCATCGGTCGGTATCAAGGACCTCGGCACTCAGCCTTCACTTTCTCTAAAACAGGAGATCATTGTCATTAATATCTTGTGCAAAAAAGTTCGATTCTATTAATAAACCTAAATATCAGGCAGGCCTTGTAACTCAATACAAGCCCAGCAGACATTTTCAGGGCAGATAACAATTCTACGAGGTCTCAACTCTCCCAGCAGTATCTTTTGACAAGATAAGCAGTTGCTGCCAGCCGAGCCACCCAATTCCCACTCGCTCGAACGACTGCCAAATCTTCGGGACAAATTCACAGCTCATCACAGCATTCGATTGAGATCATCGCAGTCGTTGGAAGAGAGTGAGGCTGGTGACTACAGTTGGGGTTAGGTTTTACCTGGTAAATCATGTCGCATCTAAGCGCTGTCATAGCATCCACGTCTTCTACCCACTGACCTGAGTCTTTGATGCTCACAACAGCTTCCACCGGTAAGGCTTCAACACCCTGCATACCGCTGGGTCCTCCTGAATTTAATGGCCGGCTCCAGTTAGTGAATGACAGATGGAGTGATGTGGCGTCAAGCATATCCTCAGGCTTTCCGTTAAATTCATGCATGTTAGAGATCCTCCATTTGGTCTCGTCCAAAGGCGCAAGCATGGGATTAGCCGGCGAAGTGAGCATCACAAGCCCTGGGCGGTCGATATTTCCCAGAGCTTATGTCACATGTCAAGCTTCGCATTCCCTCCCTGGATCATTTACAATCTGCGGCCACAGTTTAGTAAAAGGCGTTGTTTCAGCGATGCCATCCTTACTTACCTTTGAAGGGACAAGGATCGAATCTTCAAAGGATATGCCCATGATATTTTCGTGTATGGCACTGCTGTGAGTATTGTACCCGCACATCAAATGAGCATTTATCTACATGCAAACTTGTGGGCTGAGTTGTGCTGGGAGGCAAGCATCCTTAAGCCAGAAACCCCCTTCACAGCTGCAGATTGAGTCAAACCAATGGTGTTCCTCTACCCAAAAGTTGTCAAGCAAAGGCTTTGGGATATTTTGGATTAGAACTGATAATCATGGCATAAAGTTGTAGACAACCGACGCCCAGTAAAGGCAGACAACAGTCTTCAAGATCGGATCTCGACAATACAGAGACGATGCGAAAGCCTCTAAGGGCACGAATCCATTCTCGAAGCCCTATAGCAAATCTTCGATGAGGATAGTTGGTGCCATAAGCTGGAGGGCATTTTCGATTGATTTCTTCAAGACTGTAGAGGAATTTATATCCCCAAACCAGAAATCGAAAACGAACAGACCGTCGCCGTCCCTTTGAAAAGCTGGTTGCCACACATTGTCAATTCTCTTCTCTGCTTCTGTTTTGAGCGAGGTCACAGCTTTTTCCTGTATCCATCTTGGGCGTTCTAGGTTGGTGATGATTCGGAATCGACATGATGTGCAACCGAGGTAGAAGTGTCGAAACCGATAACACCTTGACCAGTGAGGTCGAGTCTCCCGGTCATTCGTTTCAGCGAGGAGATGCGGTCTTCTTCCTTTGGCATGAAAGAAGGCAAACAGCGCTGGTCCAATAATCCAAAGAAGGGCCTCAGGGAACCCAAAGTGTGCAGGGCTGGGTACTCATCGGTCCACATTCGCTGTAAAGTAAGCGCACACAAAGGCCAAGACTTTATCTCGGATGTTATCGAAACCTTCATGCATCATAGATACGAGGGAGAGAAAAAGACTCAATCCATTTACCTTGCCCGGTTGTATGTCGCGCTCGTTAAGCTTCTTTTCCCGCATTCACCATCCCACGTGCCAGGCTTGAAAGGGGAAGAAAGCGGGACTTCATGCAGTCAGACGCGTAGAGGGCCTGATTAGAGGTAGGGGATATGCTGATGGGGCACTAGATCCCGTATCCTATGCCATTGTCACTGAGCTTCTCTTTATGAGACTCATGAATCAATAGGCAGGCATCAAGAGTGGTAGAATCAAAAGAGGAAGCTGATAATTAACCAAATGATGCCTGCTTTGACACGACTTCATTGAACTCGTCTGATGGATTCAACCTAAGGTAGTTAGGTATGTAGGTAAGCTACTACTCACACGGCGTGATCTGACAGGCGGTCCGTCTTACCAGCATCTAAAGACCTGAAAGCCGTTAGGTTGCTTAACTGCCAGTTCCCTTTTTGCATCGAACCCGCGCCGATGCGCTGAATCCTTCCGTTTTCGGACTTTTAGGTGTGGCGATCATGACCGTCTCTGGTGGAATCATTGCAATCCCTCAGCAGGGCCATGGGACATCCAACATGGCCCGATGTTGAAGGACGTCATTGAAGCAAAGAAGTCCAATGTTGGTGAGCTATATAAACGACCACCTTGACTTCTTTCCCACAAACACAAGGAAAGACAAACGTCATTCACCACTACCACCTATCATACCTGCAGTCTTTGGCCGCTCTCGTGCGACATCTTTCTATTTCAACGAAAGTCGCTGTTCTACGACCATGATCAAGCCAATTCTTCTGATCACTACCATTCTAGCTGCCGTCTCGATGGCAGCCCCGGCTGACCCGGACTTTGCTCCTAAATCAGTTGCAGTCCGCAGCGATGACTTCAGCGAAAGCAACTCCCTTGAAAAGCGTAGTTACGCAGCAAGTTGCCGCAGCTGCGCGATTGGTGCCGGAACGACGTTCCTCTGCTCGTGTAGAAGAGCCGACGGTGGATACTACGCCTCGACTATTTTGCTTAACGAGTGTCTCGGTAATGGTGATGGTTGGTTGACTTGGCAAAGAAAGTATGAAAAAAACTTACTTATTACTTCTTACTCCTGGCTAATTCTTCTCAATAGTGGAAATTTTGCCAATTCGTGCCAAAATTTTAGATATGATGGGGTTACTACCAGATTCCATGTCACTTGCAGGACCATAAGTGGAAATTGGATACCATCTTCCGTTGTTCTAGGTGTGTTGATTTCATTTTGGTAATAATCTAATGTTACTAACTGGGTTGCTAGATGAGAGAATGCATAACGATAATGGTAGGCTGTGGTGTGGTGTTTAGGTTAATATGTAATGTATTACACGGGGTAATACGTCGTCTCGACGCAGCTGCTATAATACATGCCTGGAAAAATTGATTATACCAACAACTTGGCCCGATAGCCAGCGGGTGAGATATTACCTAGTGTAGAGCAAAACGTTATGGTGATATTCTCATACAGGTGAAGCCTGATCTATGTCTTGCATTAATGCCCCATTTAGACTGTCAGCTCTTCCTAATATAGGTTTGCACGTGGGAAACGCAACCAGTTAGTAGGCGATGGATTTGGGACGCAGATCAAATTTTAGAGCTGATGCAGTTATCTGATGCATCTGACGTTATGCTGGCTCGCCTAAACCAGCTCACCTTTGCAAAGACCAGGACAAACACCTCAACGCCGGTACTGAAACTTGAGATACTACAATACCATCACGAATGTTCGAACTCGATGCAGCAATATCCCCCCCGCCTTATTTTACAAGTTTCCAGGGATCATGATTGACTTTAGGCAATCAGACTTTATGGCAGAGTCGAAGCCGGGACATGAACTTGATTAGAAATATCACCGAACGGTATTCTCGGCCGTGGAGGAACAGTTCGGCTAACCGCGGTGAAGCGACGACTTGGCAGGATATGCCGCCATCTCCGACGACGTGTTATAGTGTTCTTTAGAATATACAAGGGCCTTCAGTATCATACATACGATCGCCCCTGTTTAGACTATGAGCAAATCCTAATTTGCTCAAATACCCTCTTGGCCAAAATGGGTCACTGCACACACACGCTGCCATGCAAGTAAAGGCTTCCGGGTGTAGAAGTTGTTTCATACTAATGCGTGTCCTTCCAAGGGCGAGTATCAGCCAAATAAAAAACGCAACTCACATGACACTCGTAAAAGTCAATGTTATAAAACACCGCAGCGAGTAAACATGATGGTTGCAGGCTGCGCCTCAGATGACTCAACAAAAAAGCACAAAAACAGAAGCTTGTTGTTAGCCTTATAAAGCTGTGGTTATATAAGGTGCCCTAGCCGCAAAGCCAGAGACTTGGTCTTTTGTTTGCAGCAAAAGAGCATGGCTGCCAACACGTATCGGAATCGACTACGTATTGGCCCACTCTTTGAACTGCCATTCATCCACCAGCCTAGGACAAAGATCTGCCCATCTTCGGAACTCGATTTGAATCAGCTCGATTGGAGTGACTACTTCAAGAGAATAATGGCCTCAGCAGACAAGGCCGCCCTGAAAGCGGAGAAGGGGGCGGAGGAGGCCGCTAAGAGAGCAGAGAGGCTGAGTCGAGAAGTCGAGAAGATTTCATCAGATACAAGTCCCAGCTAAGATCTCGTTCTCCTCACGGTAATTCTGACAATCATGATCGTCGTGGCCCGGCGCCTGCCTCGACCTACCATCATTATCGCCATGGACAAACAACCGCTACCGAAACCTCGACTACTACTGTAACGTCGACTTCCGTTGCAACCTCTATTACTACAATAACCTATACTGCTATGATAACCTCGACGGCTGCTACAGCCTCGGCCACTGCACCCACTCCCAACGCCGCTGCGATTCCTTCTTTTGAAGAATTAGCTGGACATATGGCCACGGCTAGATTTTGGCTCCTTGCACTCCTCATCATCATCAACAATGTCATTGTCGGATGGCTACTGCATCTCGGCAAACCAGAGACCAAACCAGAGACTAGATTCCAACAGCGAGCACCTTCGCCTGGTCACACCGAGCAGAACCTCGCCTGCCTGGAATCCTGCATTACAACACGCCCTCGCCGGATCTTCGCCACCGTTCTCTGCAGAACTTTCATGGGTCTATACTTGCTCCAAAGCTACTGGGCTCTGAACGCAATTTTGCGGCTGTCCTGGATCACGTTGGGGGAGGCGTTGAAGGAGTCAAACCCTTGGTTTGCTATCTTTATGATCCTGATGGCAGTTGCAAATCTGGTTATATCGGGCGGAGGGACAGGCGTCTGTCTTTATCTGGCTCTGAGTCAGCAGCTCGCATTGGACGGCGCGTTGGCCTTGCTACCGGTCCACGTCGATGTGGGCAGCGACTCTGTCCGCGATGACGAAGAGAAGTCGAGACACGATGCACATGGCGCGAGAGGGCAGGAAGAAACGGATGAGATATCTGTGGAATTAGAGTCGGAAGGAGATTGGGAGAAGGACGGGTTTTAGTGCCTGAGAGATGGTGGCTTGTAGTTTCGAGAACTACCTACTCAATGTTGTACAACATCAGTTCTAGGCATGGTGTTAACACATAGATCGAAGGGATAAGAGACTCAATTAAACGCGGTGCAGTCCACAAGGCATCCAAGCCATACGCTTCTACCCAGCTGGGCTGCGGAGCCTCTGCATGGAAACCCTCAGGAATCAACCCAAAAGGCCAGATTTCACAATCGCAAAGATCAAGAGCAAGTTTAGGATATCAGAGTTCACTTATAGAGTTAATATTAGAGTAAAGATACTCATAAGAATCATCGCTTAATGGCATTCTTGGTTGTTCAGTTAATGATAGGTGGTGAAATAATGACTGCGATAATATGCCGCCATATCTGATTGTAGTTAACAGACGCTTCTACTTAGAAAGGTCGGGTAACATGAATGAATTTATTCATGTAGTCGCGGCTTTGAATACGTCCAAGTCCTCTCCGGCTTTGACAATCCTCTTGGTCAAGACAAGATGCATGACGACGTAATTCTCCCTGCGAGTAAACGTTGATGAAGAAGCTGGCTTCGGCCAAACAATGAGTAAGGTTATTTACACACAACAGCACCGAAACTTAATGCAACAAGCAATAAACAACCTCAGGTGACCCGGTAAGCAAGCAAACCCTGCCGCTAGCATCATTTATACTCTGGCCCTCCTCCTCCCCTGGCTTGGCTACTTCTCCCAACCCACCTGTTCAACTACCACTCATTTGACAAACGTCCGCCCATCCTTCAGAATGCAAAAGCTGCATTGGAGATGCGAGGCGCTCCAGGCTGCGGAGAGGCAGGCAGAGGAGGCCGCCAAGAGAGTAGAGAGAATAACCGAGGAGGGCGTTGAGAGAGCGCAAAGGATGGTTGACAAAGTAGAGAAGATCGGCAAGGGAGTCGAAGATAGGGCAGAGAAGTTCTTTGGGAGCATGCCTCGACCAGAATTCCACTACGATCACGACACTCAGCAAGGTGATCAACCTGGCCAGGCTCACCAAACCCGCCACCAATTTGGAAATCATCACCACAGTGGCCCAGCGCCTGCTACGACAATCTACCATCACTACCACCATGGACAATCGGCTGCCACAGAAACCTCGACTACTACTTTTACATCGACCACAGTAACGACCTCTACTTCTACTATAACTTGCGTCACTTTGACAGCCACAACTACCATTGCAACCGCGACTACAACAGCTTTCTTTGACGCCGCTACACGACCCAAAGAGATAGGTTTAGAGGAGCTACTTGAACCCGTCTACTCGCCTATCTTCTGGGTCCTCGGAGTCTTCCTCCTCATCTGTACCATTGCCTTGTACAGTCTACTAAAGAACGAGAATCCCCGCGATCAAAAGACCCAACCTTCTACCGAGTCCGAATTTTGGATGTCTTTACCCACACAAATCGAATTCGACCTCACGAGCCTGAAACCATACATAACAACGCCGTCTCGTCGGTTCTTGGCCGTGACTCTCTGCAGAACTACCGCAGCGCTGTATTGCCTCGAAAGCTACTGGATCATGAAGACAATGTGGACCATTTTCAAACCCTTTCTGGAGATTTTGTGGGAGGGAACTGGCCTGGCCATCTTCGTCGTTATTGTGCTCACACCCTTTCATCTGCTTGCATGGTCTATGATTGGCCAGGCTATTTGCATCGGCTTGGACTTTCCATTCACTTTTGTCAGCCAGTTGGCCTTGCTGCCAGTCTCTGCAGATGTCAGCCATGCGTCTACCAGCAAGGGAAAGAAAAGGCCTAAAAATGAGGCATCCAAAAGGGATAAGCAGGCATGCAAGGACAAGCAGTCGACGGGATCGGGATCAGAGGAAGGATGGCAGACGGATCTGCATGGCTGATCCTGGCCCCCTTAGCTGAAGGACGGACTTATGTATGTACCCTTTCCGCTTGATGTGCGATAAGGGGAGGTAATGAATCTGGAAACCTGTTAAAACATGATGATATTGGACCAAGGTGATGTCGTTCCTCTTAACACGTTCCGGTTTCCTTCTCAGTCATTTGCTGGAGGCAGAAACAAGCTCCAGTCTTGATCGATATCCATCATCCCAACATCCAGTCCAAATGGAGACATCGTGTCGTCCTCCGGGATCCCCCCAAATCCCCACATCTCATCCATTGCCAGAGCTGGAGTAAATCCCATATAATCCAAGCTATATGCGCTTCCCCAGGTACTATGTGCATCAGAAGAGGAGGCTTCCGTTGTAGACGGTGTTAACTGAGGATAGGTACTGGCTGTTCTTTCGTCTCCAACCCGGGAACTTTGCTCTGGCACTCTCCGTGCGATCCTTCCAAAGTAAGGGATCGGGATCTCCTGAGTAGACCCTCCCGGCTGTGGAGGACTGGAGAGAAGCGCCAATGCCTTTTGGCACTGGCTGGCCATCTTACATCCCTCTTCCTCGGACGCCCGAAAGATACTCTCAGCATTAGTGACAAGTTGCAGATCTTTGGGCCTGCAGCGATTGATTGAGACGGGATTTCCGATCAGCAAGACCACCGCGGCCGTGAAGGCAACAAAATCCGAGGTCTTGCAGTCAAACAGGCTCACCCCGTCCACCTTGGCGTGAAGAACCAAGAAGCACTTCACGAGTTGCCTGGCTGCGTTTGTGCACGCAAGTCTGGATACCTCTTGTGATGCTGACGAGGATGAGTGCTTCAGGAATGGCAGGTGGATGTACATCCGTATGTGGAAGAAGAAGAAATGGATCAACAGTCGGTCAACCAGGTTGTTGAGCTCAATGCGGGAGCTGGGGAGTTTGTCCGGAATATCCCACCAGCTTGAGGGTACTGAGTTGTAGATGTCATCCATCTGTTCGTCGAGAGACATCGCCTTGGCGAAGGCTGGCTTTCCAGGTGATATGAGATAGTTGATGACTTCTCCAGCGGTGACTGCACACCTGTGGATGAATATGGGAATCCAAACCTCAGGTGAGCCTGAATCTGCATCTTTTGGTTCCGAAGTGTCGAGAAGGGCATCATTGAATCCATGAGGGAGTCCGAGAAGTAGGCTGGTGAAGCGATCGCCGTGATAAATAGCCCACCATATCCGCTGCCGCATAGCAGGACCTGCTGGACTAAGACGGTGCATGCCCTATTTCCACAGTTGGTAATTGTAAATCAAGCAGAATAATCAGCCTTACCATCATTTGTGCAATGGCTAAACCCTTCCGCCATGTGAACCATGCTCTTCGTGGCTGTCCAATGTCTGTGTACGTCTTTGCTAGCAAAACTAAACACTCCATGCCATCCAACGAAGCTGCCAGAGCGAAGTCACCGATGATGAGGGTGTCCACGAGAGTGAAGATTCCATGACCTTGACCTAAACTCCGGGCATAGGCAACAGCCAAGATTGCGAGCTCGGCTGGGCTGGTGCTTGTGTATGCATGGGCGGCAAACGAGAGGAGCGGCTCCAAAGGCTCACTTTGAGATATGGCACGCGTTTTCTGGCGGAAGCTATCCCACCAAGATCCATGGTTGGAAAGAGTAGCCGTAATCTCGTCGTAGCTGGGGAGCGCTGAGCGGAGGGTGCCGCATATCTTTGCTTTGTGGGCTGCCGCCTGGCTGAGGCGAGTGCCACTGGATGGCATCGAAGTACTGTCCTGTAGAGCGTGAGATCCTCAGCGTGAAAGATGGATGCCAGGAGTGATTTGCATACGTGAGTATCATCTAGAACGGCGACGATGGGAGGCGGATGATCCGATGGCGTCTCTATATCCGAGGTCTCTTCGTCCGAGACCAAAGTATGCCGTGCCGTCAGGTCTCCTTGACGTGAGGATACTCTCGGCAAAGACTGAACTCTCGGCCGTCTCCTTGAAGTGGAAGAGGGTGTAGAGGTCTGCGGTCTTGTTGGTGAGACATTCTCTGTGGTGTCTACGCCCTCATTCTGGTCGATGCAGGTAGAGCCACGGGTGGAACAATGGGAGCAGACGGAACTACTGGGAGGGAAGATACATCGGATCTTTCGTCTCCGACCTTTCGCAACATTGCACATCAGCTTTCATGCACGAAAAGAAACCGCTCAGTCCATCGAGAGGTGCTTACATTCAGTACAACTGCGAGTCCCCTTCCTCATCCGCTTTCTTGGCCTATCAGATATTCCTCCCGAAATGAGCGAGGTGCCAAGATCTGCAAGAGAGTATTCCATGGTGAGACGGACCAAACAGGTCTTTGGTGGTGGTTGATGTTGATGAGGAGAGGTGTGCTGACAGGCTGAGATGTCACGGACGAATAGATGGCGGACGGACGAAATCCATTCGTCCGCGCCACATTTTCTCGGACCAAGCCGTTTTCGTCCGTCTTACATGCTTCGTCCGTGAATCTTGGGGGTGTCAAGATGAGGATCTCAATGTCTATAAAGATGTGCTTGTCTTTCGAGAAATGGACTCGATTTCAGAATCATCAACACAAACTCAAACAACAGAATCAACAGCTTAACCAAAAGCTCTAACAACAACTTCACCCTACCAACACCCAACCACCCAACCGACCACCAACACCAACAATGGCTCCTCTTATCTGGCTCATCACCGGTGCTACCTCTGGCATTGGCGCTTCTCTCATCGAGCAAGTCGTCGCTCGAGGTGACAAAGTCATCGCTTCAGGCCGCAACGTCGAGAAGCGTCTTGGTCACCTCAAGTCGGACAAGATTGCTCTTCTTGAACTCGACATTACCGCCAACATTGTCGATCTCAGGGCAAAGATTGAGAAAGCGTGGGCAATCTTTGGCAAGATTGATGTTCTCATGAACAATGCTGGCATGTCCACCATGTGCAGTGCTGAAGAGGCTGAGTGAGTGCTCCGTCTGATATAAAACCTGTCTCTTAGTTGACACATTTCCAGTGATGCTCTCGCCAACACCGTTTTCCAAGTCAACTTCTTCGGACACATCCGCGTCACCCAAGCTATCCTTCCCCTCTTCCGAGCCCAGGGCAGCGGCTGCATCGCCTTCACCTCATCCGGCTCTGCTTGGACACCTTTCCCATTCATGTCCCTATACGCCGCATCCAAGGCTGCCATGAGCTCCTGGGTCGACGCTCTGCACAAGGAAGTCCGACCTCTCGGTATCCGCTGTGTGTCATTTGAGCTTGGCGGTTTCCCTACCAACCTTGGCCAGCCGCGTGAGCCATCAGATGCTGGATTCGGTGCCAACGGTCCTGCAATCGAGGCTTATGCCCCGCTGTTCACTTCTCTTGTGACCAAGTTTGCAACCAACCCTGAGGTGCACATGCCTGGAGATGTGACAAAGGGTGCCAATGCTATCGTCGATGCTGTTAAGGGGGAAGGTCTCGCGGCGGGAAAGACTTGGGCAGTCCGAGTTGCCCTGGGTTCTGATGGACTTGGTCTGGCAAGACAGAGGTGCGAGGAGCAGCTGAAGCTGATTGAGGCTTGGGAGGACCTTAGCTCGAGCACGGATCGGGAGGGTGCCGATGGTTCGGTCACGAACAAGGAGAGGTTTGAGTTTACTACTATCCTTGAATGAGAGGACTGGCAGGGCGGGACTTGTCGAGGGTGCTTACTGGGGATTTCTGGCGGGACGGTGGACACGTTAAAGATGGCCAACTACAAATTTGCTCTTAGTTTTTGAATATTATAGACTCAATCTCTGCTACCCCTTATGAATTTCTATCCCGGACTTCACCCTGGCACCCTTCTCCAACAATGGACCTAGTACTACTTCCAGCATGCTCACGATATCATACTCTAAAATCTCAATCCGTCTTCATTACTCTGGAGTCTTGTCTAAATCTTTGACAGAAAGAGATTGGCCTCTTGCCGTCAAGTCTCTTCAGGTTGAAAACACAATCAAAGACCCAGCTCGACAACCTCCCCTCCTCCGCAGGTTCCACCATAGAGAGGAAGAACGTCCGCCCAATATCCTTCTCCAACGCATTCACATCGTCATTATCAAATATCGCATAGTTTTGCACGAGACGGAGATCTGGTCCGTCAATCTCCAAGGTCGAGTGCAGATACGCAGACTTGAACTCGCGGAATTCCCTCCACTCTGCCTCCTCTTCGACGTTGGCCTTCCGGCTGATCTGTAGGATCTTGGCGTCGCGGGAGAGCTTGACCAGGAAGCTGTCTCCCAGTTCCCATGTTCCAAGTACGTGACAGAACACAACTCTTCCCGTGCCAAGGTTCCAGCCTGTGACGAAATAATCCAGCAAGGGAGAGATTTGAGGCTTGTAAACGTAGCTGACAACGACCACCAGATTGCCTGCCATTGCGACGGAGCTGGCATAACAGTTGCAAGCCTTCCCGTTTGGGTGAGGATGGGGTTTGAGTGAGTAGGAGTCTTTCTCAGATTGTTGATACTTTGGCCATAGAGCTCCCTCGGTAGCTAAATCATCTTTGAAGTTCCACGTCTCGACCACAGGATTGCTCTGGAGGTTGAAGAAGCTGACGATGTGACGACCATCATCGGAAAAGTTCCACCCGCACTGGGCTACCTCAGCAGGTGTCTTTGATAGCATCACATTTTCAACACTGATTCCCGGTAGGACAGTTCCAACCCTTCTGACTCGATACAAGTGCAAATTCCCAACCACTCCTGCCCTCATCTGTTGCCGCTGAAGACACAGCCCGCGGTTCAGGTCGATGGGTAAGGAGACGTTGAGGGACAAACAATCGGGTATGCCATCCTTTTCGTCTTTGTGACGGGCCGTCATCCAATCGAAAATCAGGGTTTTGCAAATATCAAACTTTTCGCTACTCTTGTCCCTAGCCCAGAAGATGGATCCGTCAGTCGTAAGGTTAGTCACGGGCCCTCTCTCCTGTGAGAAGCTAAGCAGCCGCTCCATGGAAGGAAATTCAAAGACTCTCACACGTGACGAGTTATCGGGATCATTTTATTCCACAAAGAGCTTCGTTTCGTCATCTGACAAGCGTATTCCCCTTCCATACCGAAATATACGGTCTTGGGATAAGAAAGGGTCAACCGAGTAGGCGAAAGAAGGGCTCTTGGAAAGTGCACTGTGCCCCGGCAATACGCACTTTTCTTGCCCGAGGAGCACAAGGGCAGCGTCACCAGCCAATGTGAATCTTTGGTCTGGTTCTTGAGCGGGCCGTGCCTCGAGCTCCTTCTTAGGGTGAGGGACAGGGGTTGGATGTGGGAGAGTCCTCTCCACGCGCTGCACTGTTTGGCTTTGTTGCTTGATGAGCTGGTTGCTGGGAGGTCTCACAGGCAGCGACTTGATGTGGTTCCCCGGAGCCCTCTCCGAAAACTTGCCAGCCATTGGTTGTGGTCTTTGGTGGTTCTCGGCGCCGGTATGTTGAGGGCTTACAGGTGGTGGTGTTGGTACTGATAATGGCGTTGATACAGGTGACGGCTTTGATGCTGGTAACGACATTGGTGCGGCTGACGGCTTTGGAGTGGAAGGTCGATTGCTGGCCTCGTATTCCTCTGCCTTTAACTTGTTTGCATCGGGTTCTCTCGACACATCATGGTTCGAGGCTGTCTCGGTAGCAATGAGAGTCGATGACCTATGATAATCAGTTCAGTTCCTCCAGCAGAGTCATCGTCATCTTACCGCTCAGAAATAGACTCTGGAGTGCCTGGTCTAGAAAGGTCGCCACATACAGACCCGGCAACCGAAGTCAGATCGTACAGGTATCGGTTGAGGAGAAACATTTTGCTGCTTTGGGCTGGGATATTTCTTCTGATGAGTGTTTCCAACCTCGCGATTTCTTGGAGAATTTTGGTTGCATCTTCTTTAATGTCGGCTGTATCTGCCTTGATATCGGCAGTGTCCTCTAGAATGTCTTCGGTATCATTCTTGATGCTCTTAGTCATGGCCCTGGATATCGTGATTAGTCTGTGAGTCTCGGGATATCTAGTAACAATGCATCTTACAGAGTGACTGTATCCACGGCAAGATTTAAAGCACGCCGATGGGCCTCAAGAACAGCCTTGAGTGAGTTGACCTTTTGCTTCCCTGTGGCTGCCCAACTCACGGCTGCAAACCTCCCCCGATGCTCCACGAGCACATCGTCAATGTCTTTCGCCGCATCAAGACAATTCTTAATGATGTCTCGAATATCGTCCCGGATACTGCTAGGGAGTGGATCTTCAGTCTGACTGCCGTCCGGTACCAAGTCTTCAAGAGTTCCCGGTTGACGGCGCTCAAGTCGGTACGGGCATCCCTACAGTCAATGATGAAGCCCCTAATAGTGCGGATGGTCTTGTCGGCGACTTGCGCAAACGCGATACAAGAGGCGGCAATCTCCATGAAAGCGACGACGCCAAACTGATCGCCTTGAAATGTCGTGCAAAGTGAAAAGACTCGAGCGAGGAGGGAGGAATCTAGACCTCGAGGCTCTGGATACATGTCCCACACCGTAGACGCGACCAATAAGTATGTAGAAGCGTGTGTTCAGCCTCAGTCGAAAGAGGAAAAGCCTAGTGGTTCGCCCAACTGCTGCGCCTTTGACGAGGCGTTATCAGTTGCAGGTGGCGATTTTCTTCAACCTCTCTAGGCCAATTGAATGTCTCATAGCAGAATAAAAGAGCATTCGCATATTCGGGAAATATTATTTCTCTGATTCTCTGGTGTAGTTTGCTTCAGAAGCATCCGATGCTCTCATCTTTGGGATGGTGTTTTGGCCGTCATCGTTTCAACAGGGGTATTCCCCATCGCGGACGACATATGTGCTACATTAGTGGATCAAGAGCTTAAGGTAGGAAATGATATTTTGCAAAACAGGGAATGATCCAGCGATCCATAACGACTGCCTGTCTTCGTCGTTCAACAAGAAAGACTTGTTGCGTGGCCAGGTTCAGGGTAGTCTTAGCATAGGGGCTCTATGAGAGGGGGGGTCCCTACTTGGTGACCTAGGTTCGAAGGGCTGTTAAGGGATTGAGACGCGCATATTGATGGAAATATCAGTGCATAAATAGCAATCTACTGATAAAGCAGATACAAGGTTGTGCGGGCATATGGCTTGCACGGCAAAGTCTCCTTGCCTACGCAGTGGCTTCCTACCGAACAGAACATGCGATTTCTGTACGTCACTACCTCGCTGATAACGTCAGTGCCACCATTGAAAGTCTTGTAGTAATGTACTCCGATGTCTCTCCATCATTAAATCTTTGTCTCATTTCTATTCCCCAATTATCTTCTCCAGGTATCGAAGCCAATTCTCTCCCAGAACCTTTCTCATCTTCTCCTCTCCCCAACCCTTCCTCGCCATCGCAAGAGCCAGTTGCCTCCTATCCGCCAGATTTCCCAGAGGCTTCACCACCTTTTGACTACCCCATGGTGTGAGCTGTCTGGCATAGCCTTTGTCGCTGTTGCACCAGACTAGAAAATCACTCGGCCGTGCGTGTCCTTCGCTGGCATCCGATCCTACACCAACTAGATCCCCCCCCACCAAGCCGATGACATAGTCGAGGGCGTCGACGTAGTCGTCCACCGTGCTGTCGTTGCCTTTGGCCATGTGTGGACCAAACTGACTCAGTCCGATGAATCCACCTTTCGACCCGAGAAGTTTGATCAAACGGTCATCCTTGTTGCGAGGGTGCTCTTTCAACCCACTAGGAAGGACGTGAGAGAAACACGGTGGCTTGTCGGCTGGTGCATAGTTGATGACATCTTCTGAAGTCTGAGGGCCAACATGGCTCAAATCGCAAACAATGCCAAGCTTGGCCATTTCCGTCACCACTTGCTGTCCGAAGCCTGTGAGACCAGAGTCCCTTATCTCTGTGTATCCAGCGCCACTGTAGTTTTGTGTGTTGTATGTGAGCTGCATCTTTCGAACGCCCAAGTCACGGAACACCCGGAGGTATGAGAGTTGATCCTCGATGCCGGATGTGTTTTGCCAACTCAACAACACCGCAGTGCGACCTGATTTCTTTGCCTCGCGGATATCCTTGACAGAGTGTGCTTGAACAATGAGATCGGAATGCTCCTCAAACCACTCCTTCCACTGCACAACATTCGCGAGACTCCCACGCAGTCCTTCCCAAAGACCACATGTGCAGGAAACACCAGTAATACCGCCAGCATGCCAAGCCTCGAAAATGTCGCGAGACCAGTTGCTAATGTTGAGACCATCAAAATGGATGGATGACTCGTAGATGGCCAGAGCTTCTTCTTCGGTAGGCATCTTGAAGTTGGGGGGTTGCGCTCGGTTGTGAAATCCTGGTCGAGGATGAGCCTAACGGGAGTAAACTACTCCGGATCAGGAGAGGAATACCCATGATATAGTCCTTGTTCCATGGGAACTGTTGCAATAACTAGGGTAGAGCATCTGGGATAGTCCCGCTGATTATTACCCAAAGAGGGTCTTTGTGGGATGTGTTCGGCAGCAAGTCGGCGCGGCTCCGACCCGACCTTTACCGCGTAGGTTCATAATTGTCGGCTTTCCTCCGGTTGATAGCGTTACGCGAATCCTTCGTCGCTTACATATCGCCTACCAGAGTTTCAATGATTGGGTATGGCCCAGTTGTTCGCAATCGTCGACATCAATCACGTTCTCGTGGTTGTGTGGGGTGACTGAACATACCGGAGATAGCAAACCTGCGGTCGAGTATTTAAGAAGATTGGCATCAGGATGCCCGGATATAAAATTTTGTCTTGCTTTTCAAGACAAACACAGCTGTCGATATTGTTTCAATATTATTGGCAATTATTCTAATATAGTTGACAATGAATATCTCTCCAAGTCCAAGCAACAGCTTGAACCAGCAAGATATCGGCGTCAAACATGCCGATGTTCATGAGAGGACGACTAGCGACGAATATGATGAGTCGCCTCGCCAGCAAGAACGTCGACCTTTGAAGAAACGGATCCTGGCTGTACTTTGGGACACCTTTGACAAGTCACCAGAGGAGAGAAAGCTCATTGGAAAACTTGACTGGTGGATCTTGAGTTACTGCTGCATTGCGTATTTCGTCAAGTACCTTGATCAAACCAATGTGAGTTGCCAATGGTGTTGAGAAGTATGAACGTTTGCTTACAGTTATGCAGGTCAGCAATGCCTACGTCTCAGGCATGAAAGAAGATCTCAATATGACAGGAAACGACCTGAATTACCTCAGCACCTTCTGGACAGTCGGTTACATCATCGGTCAACTCCCCTCCCAAATCATCATCACCAAAGTCCGTCCTTCCATTTGGCTTCCCACCGCCGAGCTCATCTGGAGTTTCATAGTCATTGGCATGGCGGGTGCCAAAAACGTCAAGACACTCTGTGGATTGCGTTTCATCGTCGGCATGCTTGAAGCCTCGGCTTATCCTGGTATTATGACTTTGCTTGGGAGTTGGTATACGCCGATGGAGCTGGGGAAGAGGGCTTGTATCTTTCAGGCTTCTTCTAGTGCTGCTCAGATGTTTTCGGGGTAAGTCAACCGGCAGCTCGTTCTGAACTTGGCTGACATGGTGGATAGATATCTTCAAGCGGCTCTTTACTCGGGTATGGATGGAAGAAGTGGACTTCGGGCTTGGCAGTGGCTTTTTGTCTTTGATGGTATGTAATGAACCCTTTAGTAATCTTGCACAAGAGGCTTACACTGCAACAGGCATCATCGGCATTCCCATCTGCCTCTACGGTTACTGGGCCATCCCCGACTCTCCAAACTCATCCAAGGCCAGATGGCTCAAGCCCGAAGACCTCCAGATGGCCAACGATCGCATGCTCAAGCAGGGTCGAGCCCCGATGAAGAAGCTCACCTGGGGGATCATTCGCCGAGTTATGTCAACCTGGCACGTATACCTCTTCTGTGCCATCTTTATCGCCCACGTTCTTGGTATCAAGATCTACTCGTACTTTAACCTTTGGTTGAAGGCTACTGGCCGCTGGAGCACTGAGGAGGTCAACATTATTCCCAGTGCTGGATATGGACTTCAGATTGCTTGCACTCTTACCTACGCTTGGACCTCAGATGCCATTGGACTTCGATGGCCTCTCGTCATCGCCGCCTGTCTTGTCTCCATCATCGGCACAATCATCCTCTCTGTATGGCCCGAGGACAACCTCGCCGCCATGATGACAGGATGGCTACTCACCTTCTGTGAGACTGGTGCTGGTGCACTCATCATCACCTGGATCAACGAGGTGCTGTCATATTCTGCGGAACACCGTGCCCTCGTCATTGGCGTGGTTGAAACTGCAGCCTTCACGTTCCAAGCCTGGGTGCCGCTGTTGATTTATGACACGGGAGATGCGCCTCACTTCCCTATTGGTTACGAGATGGCGACAATGTTCTTTGCTATCGAGATTGTCTTGACATTGGTCATCCTTTATCTGTCCAAGAAGTATCCGATAACTCATTAGTTAGCTACATCGACAAGCCTCCAGGTTAATTCTGGTTACATTACCTATAGCTTAAAATACATTCTTGCAGACGTGTTCACTGTTTTCTTAACTTCTAGCCTTATGTTAATTACTGTATTTTGGAGGTGTAGCTCTCATTGGCCATTGTAGTCCAGCCGCATCAGTTCTAGAAACAGCCCTGAACAAGGGTTTAATTATCCCATCGGCGTTAAGACCGGCTGGCGCCGATAAGTAAGCTTGAATAAAAGTCAAGATGACGGGTGCTGGCGCAGCCCCATGCTAAAATCTCACTGCGAGGACCCATTCACCACGTTCTGCAAGCTTCATTCGCTTGTCTGGAGCTCTTTTTGACATGGATGTAAGAACTAGTGGGTCGCCATGATTGAGGGCGACGGCATAGCGAGAGCTTGATTTCAACGTCAGGCGAGAGCGAAGAGCGAGCAGCGAGGAGATGGGAATCCACGGGGCTATCTGTGCGAGAAAGTATATAAAGTCGAGGATGGAAGTGCTTGGAAAATGTCAACAGACTCGAAGCATCAGCCAACAGCGACGGAGCAACCAGGAATTCAACAACACCAAACAACCACAATTATCTCAAGATGCGCGCCGCCCTCTTCGTCTCACCTCTTTTCATCCAACTCGGAATGAGTCTGGGTCTTGAACGAGTCGTGCGCCGTGACACAGGCAACGGCGTCTTCAACCCTCCCAAGACGTCGTCATTCCTGCAGCTGGATCTTCGCGTGACACTCCCGGCAAATGTTTCCACTCCTGATGGCATGACTGCCCTGGCTCCCAATGTTGAGGGTGGCAAGGCCACTGGTGCCTTTGAGGCAGATATTCTGCCCGTTGGTGCTGCGTATGAGCGAGTTACTCTCAACGAAGCTGGAGAGAACAGTGTGAGTGTAATGTATTCCCTTAAAAGCTAGAGAGATATTAACTCATGTGTAGTTCTACCAGAACCGGTACATCTTCCAAACTGCCGACAACGAAACCCTGAGCCTCGAAGTCGACGCATTCCTTCACTACGAGAACAACGCCCTGCATGGATTTGGCCTTGGGTATGTCTCCTAAATGGCTAACAAGTACAAACACTAATAACTAGCAGCAAATTCGCAACGACCATTCCCGAGCTTTTCCACATCAACTACGCGGCATACATCGTCGAGGTCACGGGAGACTTCAACACTGGAATTGCGGTTGGAGAGGTTTTCGAGCTTACGTCCTGTGGCCGACGTGATGGTGAGCCTATTAAGGGTCTGCTTCCCCCTGGAGGTGCATAAGCCCCTGCCACATTGGAGGAAGTCATTGCTGGACTTCTTGATCGCAAGGCCAATGGTCTGGCTCGATATCGACAATAAGGATTTTATTCTCTTCTAGGCCTGAGGCCATGCGGCTAGATAATCTTTTTAGACAACTCTTTTGCTGATGTTGCGAGCTACGTCTGCTGGAGACTTTACGTGACCCATTAAGTGATTAGATCAAACTTCAATTCTTGTATCACTGATATTTCTACTGCTTCTTCGAAGCATCAAACACATATGTACTTCCAATGTGATCACTTCTCAAGTGACTGTTCCCCTTGCCCTGTGCATTCTCCCTCAGAGTACCTCCCAGAACATCATAGTCGTCCCAATAGATGCCCCGCCTCTGCAGCTCCGGCACAAGTAGCTCGACAATATCTTGCCAAGATTGCGGTTGAACCACGGGAGACAAGTTGAAACCGTCGACATCAGCTTCCCTGACCCACCGCTCCATTCCGTCGGCTACAGTCTGTGGGCTTCCAACGAGAACAGCTCCGTTGCCACCGATGGAGAGTTCCTCCGCCGCTCGCCGAGGAGTCCACTTCCCGGTTCCCTGCTCCTCGTTGAAAAGGTTGCTGAATGCTGACTGGATGATTGCTGAAGATTTGCTGTCCTCGGGCTTAATCTCTTCATCAAGATCGTACTTGCTGAGGTCGATACCGGTAAAGGCGCTAAAGATGACCAGACCACCCTCGATGGACTGGTACTTCTTTATCTCTTCAAGCTTCCTCTGAGCATCTTCATCTGTCTCTCCAAGGATGACGGTAAGGCATTGAAAGAACTTGAGGCTCTGGGGATCCCGTCCTTGTTCTGCAGCTAACTGTCGAATCTTGGCAACCTTGGGTGCCAGGGTACCTGGGACGTGGCCAGCGATGAAGATGGCTTCAGCATGCTTGGCTGCAAAGGCTGAGCCGGCACTAAATAGAAGTTAGAATCTGGTGATGGTGCATGCAACTAGTCCAAGTACTTACGGGGAAGTTCCGGCTTGGAAGAGGAATGGCGTCCTTTGAGGACTTGGGTCGACGATGAACGGACTTTCCAGCTTGTGGTACTTCCCTTCATGCTTGATCGTTCGCACCCTGGACGGGTCGATATAAGTCTCGGATTCTTTATCCTTTACTACAGCATCATCGGCAATAGAAGACTCCCATAGTCTATCCGCGTTAGGGTTGTCTATCCTTGACGACAGTTATTCTGGAAACTCACTGGTATAGAAGTCCCATAAGCTCATCTGCTGCCGCGTATCGTTCGTCGTGAGGAATGATGTCCGTCAGCCCCATGGCCAACGCACTGGCCTTATTCCAAGACGTGACAATGTTCCATCCGATGCGACCTTTGGTGAAGTGGTCGAGTGTCGAGAAGCGGCGTGCCAGCAAGAACGGTCGCTCATAACTTGTTGATGCAGTGACGCCAAAACCCAGAGATTTTGTCACGGCAGCCATGGCTGAGATGGGCTATCACCAAAACTTAGTGACAATCCCGACGGCTCATCAACGCCAATAGACTTACAACAAAGGGATCCGTGACAGGAAACTCTGATCCTATCTTGATTGCCGGATCCCGACTCCCCTTGTACACATCGAAGCCCCCAACTGTGTCAGCCAGGAAGTAGGACAGAAACTTTCCCTTCTCTAGCAGCTTTGCCGTCTCAAGCCAGTAATCGAGGTCTCGTTTGTCTGCCGACCGGTCTATGGGGTTGCGCCATTGCCCAGGGCTGGTATGGCCCACGGTGCAAGCATCAAAGGCATTGAGATAGATGCGTTTCTTCTGTCCTGTGCTGGAGCCTGTCATCTTGGTTGCCTGAATGCCTTGTCGTCTACAGGCTGAGGTTCGTGATATGGTGTCTTGCTTACACTACCGCCCTAGCTCAAGACAAGGGAGGCAAGGCCAAGTGGGATCACTCAATGTATTATCAATCACAGTATCCGATGTCGCTTCCCACCGTTTAAGCGGATGCATGACTCCGTGGAAATAGTTCGGATCGCTTATTCCCAAACTCCACTTTGATCCATAGTCGTTATATCGACATCCTTGACAAACCGCTTCGTATTGCCCAATTTGGCAAATTCGCAATCCGACGCTTGTTTTGCATCTTTCCTTATCATGTCGTCTTTGGCTCGCGTATGGTTGTCAAGCTACTAGAGGAAGAACGTCGGGTAAGAATCGCGGCAGACAACATCTATTGAAGGATCGATATCTCCACTGCAGAATGGTTTCTTTCGCCTCATTGCCTGGGTAGAATTCGCCATCATCTACTAGGCCTAGACTGTTTAGTTCATTCCCGATCCTGCAGGTATATCACCCAGATTCCCGGGTCAAGATGCATGCCACCGTCCAACGTTCCAAATACTCGGGTACACAGGGCTTACAATGGGTTCCCACGCTGCATCTGACGATCCCGATGCGAAGGGTAACGGCCTTGTGCCGGTTACACTCGATGCTCGCAGCTCTGACCGAGACGACGTTTCCACAGAGGAACACCGACAATATGTCTTTGGGCTCAAGCTGCCTCGTTACTTCAACAAGGATGAGGATCGACGGCTGGTTCGCAAGCTTGACATCTTTCTCATGTACGCACTCTCACGGGTCTGCGGGGTTCCCTTCTAACTTGGACAGGACTTACACTGCCCTGTCATGTTTCATGCAAACTTTGGACAACACCAACATTGGGTAGGTTGACTTTGATGTCTCTCACATTATTGCGTGTGCTGACGTTTTCGTGCCACAGAAATGCCTACGTCTCTGGCATGAAGGAGGATGTAAGACACCCGGTTGGAGACACTATCATTAAAGCTGACAAATCCCATAGCTGTCACTCTTGGGAAATGAGTTGAACTACTTCTCAACCACGTTCAACTGCGGCATCATTGCTGGAGCAGGTTCGAGATACCCAAGCTTAACCGGAGTTCATAGCTGACACGAATCCAGTGCCGCTTATGTTGCTGTCGACCCGTGTGAGGCCTTCCTTACTCATGCCGACCTGCGAGCTTGCCTGGACAGTCCTTGTCATGGGTATTGCTGGAGCCAAGAATGCCGAGACAGTAAGTTTCACGCTCTGCGGCTCTGATAAGCGACACCGATGCTGACCATCATCGTCAGGTATATGGCTTGCGTTTCGCCATTGGCTTCTTCCAGGGAATTGCCTTTCCCGGTTTCGCTGCCCTCCTGGGTGCTTGGTATACCCCTTCGGAGCTTGGTAAGCGAATGGCTCTTTATGAAGTTTCTGCCCGAGTAGCCGGCATGTTCTCTGGTTACATTCAGGCGGGTCTCTATACCAACATGAATGGAAAGGGCATGGCGAGTTGGAGGTGAGTTCTACTACAACCGTCAATATCCATGGGCCTTGCTTATGCTTCCCAGGTGGCTCTTCATTTTCGATGGAATCATCTCCTTCCCCATCGCGATCTGGGGCTTTTACGCTCTTCCCGATCAACCAAGGGATACAAGGGCAAAGTGGCTCAAGCCTTCGGTGGGTTCCCTTGCTGGCGTTGTAGTCTCGCTCGGTAACTAATGAGAATTCCTAGGAGGTGGATCTTGCAATAGCGAGAATGGACCGCGTCGGCCGCAGACCGGTACAGAAGATCACTTGGGCACGCTTTAAGGGCATCTGGACAACTTGGCATGTCTACCTCTTTGTGACATGTTACTTGTAAGGAAATCCCCCACGCTGCTTGGCTGAGGCTACTAACGAACATTGCAGCCTTTATGGTGCCTTCTCTTGGGGAGATGGCTACTTCAACCTCTGGCTCCAGTACCTCGGCAAATACACGGTCCCCCAGATCAACAACATTCCAACTGCCGGACAAGGAGCTGCCCTGATAAATTCCATTATCAGTGGTATCATCTCTGACCTGCTCCAGAACCGTCCAATTGTCATTGTCGCAAACATGTTGCTTTGTCTAGCTGGAAACGCCTTCGTCGCCGTGTAGAAGGCTCCCGAGGCACTCAAGTTTATCGGATACATCTTCATCACAGCGGGCCTTCCTGCGCAGTCTCTGACGATTGCCTGGTTGAACGAAGTTTGTCAGGGTAACGGCACACTGCGAGGTCTGATCGTTTCTCTCGGTAATACCATGGTCTACGCCATTAACGCATGGGCCCTGGTTCTACTCTTCCCTGCGGTGGACGGTATGTTCACGACCCTTGCTCGAAATTCTAATATTCTAACAACCACATGCAGCGCCCCATTACAAGGTCGGATACCAGATTTGCGCCGGAATGATCGGTCTAGCCATCGTCACCGTCTTTGCCATCTTGTTCCAGATCAAGCGAGATATGTGAGTTTACCCATCTCTACACAGTAATTTGTTACCCTGGTACGTGAGACGTGCTAACACTTCACGCGTAGTAATAACGGAAAGGCTATTCGCAACGATGAGGGTCTTTTGGAGTTTAAGGCTTGGCCTGTTGAAGCTGAGACCCGAAACGAGACTGAGGACTTGAGAGTTTAGGGGCAAATTGGTTCGCTGATTCATGTGGAAGTTTGGCCAGTAGTAGACCCTGTTCAAAGCGGATGGTGACGCTGGTTTTTTCTCTATCGATGGGAAGCAGACTGTAAACATAAGCTTCCCTACTAGACATGCATATAGAGAGTACCCAGCAGATTCTCACGAATGAGTAAGCTCGCAGGGGAAAACGTGTCTTCATTCAGTATCTGTCGCGCAGTAAATAGTGCTAATTAGGCCCCCTTATCGCTATGGGGGCCCCTACCTTTTGGGTGGCCTAACGGCCTATTTTTCTACGTCACAGTATCAAGTGAGGGTGTTGCAGACATCATCATTGTCGCCCTAGCCTCGCAAGCGATGCGTCGAATCGTTAGTCTATCAACTAGTTCGCTTCAAGATCAGTTCCGAGAGATCATTCCGCACAGCAACGGAATAATATTCTTGGAGTTGAACTTACTAGAAGCCGGTACCGGCATCCTATCGCGGATTCGCCATGGAGGCTAGTGAGCACATCATTCCGGCGGATGGACTCTTACGGATACAGGATCCCTCGCGTCTTGGCAAGGCCCCACAGCTCATATATCCGCTTTCTCGGTTATTATTAATGTACAGCAAGTTTGCAGGGTTATTCTCCTGCTCCCAGACTGACGGGAGATAATATTATTGAGTCTTTCATTCTGAAAATGCCAACCATTATTGGCGTGGATGTTGGTAGGTGTGAAGAGGAGCTGTTTGATGGATAATGAGCTAACATCTTATCTTCCTAGGGGGTACCAACACAGATGCTGTAGCTATCGACTTATCTTTGAGCGAAACAAGGCCCATTGATAGCATACTCGGTTCTGCAAAGATCCCTACAACTTCAGACACAAGCCATGGCATAAATGAAGCTCTCAAGGAAGTCATTAGCGGCCTTTCGCAGAAGGCCAGAGACGACATTATCGCCATCAATATCGGAACTACGGTTAGCATTCTAAGCCTTAGTCTTTTGAAGCTATTCACTCACTTTCTTTAGCACTTTATCAATGCTGTCATCGAAAAGGACTCCAGAAAACTGGGCAAGATTGCAGTTCTGCGCCTGAGCGGGCCATATGGCAGGGAGGTGCCTCCATTTGCAGGTCTTCCTGATGATCTAAGGGAGATTGTCGAAGGATACAGCGAGTCCTTACCAGGCGGCCTAGAAAGTAAGAGGTATTCCTTTCACCTATTACGACTTCTTGCTGACTGCAGTTGCGCTCTCCAGTTGACGGCAGAGTTATTACGCCACTTGACGAAGATGCTGTGAAGAGAGCAGTAGAGGAGATCCGGAAAGCAGGAATTAGAGACATTGCGGTTATTGGGATTTACTCTCCGATAGATTCCGAACTTCGTCAAGAAGCTAGGGTCGCTGAGATTCTTCGTTCTGTCCTGGGAGAGGACATCAACGTTACCCTTTCACACAATGTGGCAGGCATCGGGTTCATTGAGAGAGAGAATGCCACCATCCTCAACGCAACCATATTACCATTTGCCCGCAAGACGATCCGACAGTTTCAGAGGTCCATTCGAGATTTAAACCTCTCAGCAAATTTGTGAGTTGACCCACCCTTTGACAATAGTCCTATCGCTAACAAAAGAGTAGATTCCTCACCAAGAATGACGGCACCCTAATCAGTGCAGAAGATGCATCAGCTCTACCCGTTTCGACCTTCTTATCCGGCCCAACAAACTCACTAACAGGAGCCGTCTTCCTCGCCAATATTCAAGACCGTCTCAACCAGGGCGCTCTGGTCCTCGACATTGGCGGAACAACCTCTGATGTCTGCGCTGTAGAGCCATCAAGCCTTCCACGCCCAGCAGCAGCATTCTCCCATCTAGCAGGTGTGAGGACAAACTTTGCTGTCTCCGATTTGCGAAGCATAGGTGTGGGAGGAGGTTCCGTTGTCCAGCTGAGCGACTCTGGGGACGTCATCGTTGGGCCTCGGTCTGTAGGAAAAGACTTGACACGACAGGCCCGAGTTTTCGGAGGTTCCACCTTGACTACCACAGATATCCTAGTCGCCAGCGGGCTTGAAGGGATAGGTGACCGGTCGCTGGTTTCCGATATCCCACCATCTGCCGTTGGCCAAGTCAAAGACAAGATCAATCTTCTACTGTCAACAGTCCTTGACGAAATGAAGACCACCGAAGCGGAGGTTCCAGTTATTCTGGTAGGAGGCGGCAGTATCCTCTGTTCCGAAAAACTGCAGGGTGTATCAGACATCATTCGGCCTCCCTTCGCCCAGGTCGCCAACGCTGTTGGTGCAGCAATGGCAAGAGTCTCGGGTGTCAGTGACGCTATCGTCCACGTTTCTGATGAAAAGTCAGAGGAAGAAGCCGTGAGACGAGTTCGAGAGCAAGCCATCTCTCAAGCTCGCCAAAATGGGGCAGACAATCCTGAAGTTGTAGAGGAGACTATCCTGCCGGTTCCCTACGTCAGCACCAGGTCCCTTCATATCAACGTTCGGGCTGTCGGTAGACTTTCCACAACGGGTTTCACGCATAACCAAACAAAGCCCTTGTCTTTGGCCCAGGATACAGAGCAAGACTCCAATGGCAGCACGCTTGAAACCTCCACGTCGAAAACTTCCACGTCCACGGCAGAGCCATCTTCCAGCGTCGATTATAAATCACCGCCTTCCGTACTCACTGCATCTTACCGCCCAAAGATTGTTGATGGCCGATGGACCTTATCTCAAATCGACCTCGACCTGATTGCGGAAGGTTGCGCCATCCTTGGTTGCGGCGGTGGAGGCGATGTTTACGCAAGCCATCTCAGCGTAAAGAAGCTATTTGCTGCTGGTGGCTCTGTGGATGTGATATCTCCCAATGCCTTGCCCGATGAAGGATTCATCCCGGCCGTTGCTGTCATGGGTTCTCCAAGTACCTTCTCAGAACGGCTCCCATCTGGTGAGGAGCTCAAGAACTCAGTCAAGGCTGTGGTGAAATCACAAGGCCTCGGCCTCGATGACTTGACTGCCGTGATGAGTCTCGAAATTGGAGGTTCAAATGGCATGAGAGGGATTCAAGCGGCACTCTGGACAGGCAAACCTCTCATTGATGGCGACTTGATGGGCCGCGCGTACCCGAACCTATGGCAAGTTACCCCTAATAACGCGAGTATATCACTTGCACCTGCGGCTGCCTCCGACGGAAAGGGAAATACGGTAGTTCAAGTTCAATCGAACTCCAACAGAGACATTGAGGACGTTCTGCGGGCTGTGTGCGTTCAGATGGGACAGGCAGCAGGCATATCCCTCGGAGCACTGACAGGCCAGCAAGTGAAGCAAGTCGCCGTTCAGTCTTCAATCTCTCTTTCTTGGAGCCTTGGACGGGCAGTACAGCTAGCCAGAGCAGAGAAGCGTGATATTGTGGACGGCATCCTCGCTACCCATCCTGGAAGAAAGATTCTCACTGGTAAAATCACCAGCGTGACGCGCCATGTCCGCGGTGCCTTTACCGAAGGCGCAGCCAAGATTGTACCCTTCGACACAGAAGCACCAGCTGAAACCGAAATCAAAGTCACATTCCAGAACGAGAATATCCACGCGTTCCGAGTCAAAGATCAGGTCACCCTTGCCAGTGTGCCTGATCTTATCTGTCTGCTCGATGCCGAAGACGGTAGGGCACTTGGCACGCAAGATTATCGATACGGGCTTCGAGTTCACGTTGTGGTCTTGGTTGGAAACTCGCAGTGGACAGAGGGAGAAGGTCTAAAGAACGGAGGGCCCGCAGCTTTTGGGTAAGTATATCATTCTCTTTATGTTCAACTCGGATTACTAACAGCCTCCCAGGCTCGACATTGACTATGTTCCCATTGCCAAAGCGAAAGCACTACCTTCAGTCATTAAGTATTATGGTAATTCAGTATTACAGTGAATTACTTTGTTTTCAATTGGAGTTTAGATGTTAGTGAAGCTGCGGGAATGTGCCAGCCTTGATTGGAGTGGTGGATTAGGGGTCAATACTTTAGACACGGGGCCAGTATCTATTCTCCCTCCAGACCATCATCAAATTCAGGATATTGCATAACTTGCAACTCTTTCTCCACAGACCCCGAGGTCTTCTGCGTCCATTCTCAGAGGTCGCCAAAGGGTGGTGTCCTTGGAGTGGTGTGGTCAGATTGAATGCCCCCAGCTCTGCCCGGAAGAGCCGGCAAAGAGATGGAAGCTGCAACTCGAACTGCCCAAGCTTATCAGAGACAGACGCGCGCGCCAACATGCTTTGACTAGGCCACGGCCTGAAACTTAGGTCTCGAGCTGAAACCATCTTCACAGCTAAGAGCCTTGAACTGCCATTTTTACACTTCTCTCCAGCTAGCTGCAGACAGCTGAGACGGGGAAATGCCTCACTTCTCCCCGGACAACACCTGTGATTGGCAAATGAGACTTTTGGTCACATCCAGGGTCGCATCTAACCGCCCGGGTGTGGCGCAATACGGGCAGAACCAACAACCAACAACCAACAACAGTCTTGGCATGAAGAGATTCCTCGGCTCCCCACACCCAGAGTTGTTAATTAAAGCCAGGTGAAAGTCGCTCATTGCCTATCACGTCACATACCTCTTTCGTTCCTTCTCATTGCCGTTGAGATTGCCCAAGATCTTATCGAGATGGCTGATATTCCAATTCCATCGACCGAGACTGAGTCTCTGCCGAATGGGAGCCCCTCAACACCCAGAAGCTCTTTTAGCAGGCTCCGTACCCCTTCTGTCTCTATAACCCCTCCTCCTGCAGCAAGGGCTCAAGCTACTCCTGCGAGATCCAGAAATGCCTCATCCCAAGATGAAGTTGTCCGCGGCATGAACACCATGCGGCTTTCGGAACCCAATGGCGTTGATAATCTCTCTGACATGGCTGATGCTGTTAACCGAGTCGCCAGAGGATCTGACAGTCGTGCTACATCCTTAACGCCCGAACCCACCACCTCAAGAGCAGAGACCCCCCGACAACGACGCCGTTCTCGTCGCTCAAGCTCAGATGTTGACAGATTGCCCCATAGTGTTCTCGACGAGGAACTCCCGCAGGATGCGTTCCATTCGCCCGAGTTTCAACAAGCCTTTCGAGATGCCAAGCAACTCATGTCAACCGTCGAGGGCGTTTTGGGAAGTTCGTCACTGCATAATAGTCCAGAGTCGACTATCCGGCGACTTCATAATGAGGCTGGCGAGTTAGCGAGGTTTGAATACCCATCGACTCGAACCGTGGGCTTTGTGGGGGACTCGGGTGTTGGTAAGTGAAGATCGACCCGGCATGGCTTATTGCTAACAGTTTCAGGCAAAAGCAGTTTGCTCAACTCACTTCTTGACGTTAAGGGCCTTGCTAGGACTGTAAGTGCATTCCTCTAACATTGGCTTCAAATACTCATGAGAACAGAGCAACAGCGGCGAGGCATGTACCTGTGTTGTGACAGAGTTCCACTATCACAACCGCGACACTCTCGATATTGAGGTCAACCTCTTTACCATGGAAGAGCTCCGAGAGCAGCTTACCGGGATGCTTCAGTCCTACCGCCACTACCACCTCCACAGCGACGAGATGGAGGATGCCGAAAGGCGAGAGAAGGAGGATAGTGCTAACCTCGCCAGAGACACGTTCAGGGCGATGTTCCGAGGTCAACTGACAGATGAAGCTTTCCTTATCAACCGACCAGAGCAAGATGTCCTCGAAACGCTGTTCCAATGGGCTGCTAGAGGCCGACCTTCGGCTTTCGTCACTAAGCAGTCCGGGCTTTCACAGGATGCTTGTTCGAAGGCCTTGATGGAACTGGCTTCGGAACCACCCTCACGCAATCAACCTGCCCAATGGCCGTATATCCGAAGCACCAAGTATGTCATCTAGCTCAGGGGTGGTCATAGCTAATGAGATAGGGTCTTCTTGAATGCACACATTCTCAGTCGAGGCTTGATTTTGGTCGACCTGCCAGGTATGTTCCCAATGACTGGCCAGAGCGCTGCTAACAGGTTATAGGGCTCCGAGATCTGAACTCGGCTCGTAAGATGATTACGGAGCGGTACCTTTTAACATGCAACGAAATCTTTGCCATCTGCAACATCGGTCGTGCAGTTACCGATGAAGGAGTCCATCAAGTTTTTGAGTTGGCCAGAAGAGCCCGTCTCTCAAACGTTGGCATAGTCTGCACTCGATCTGATGTAAGTAAACCCTTGTAGCTGACTGTCAAAATTAATTGTGATAGGACATTCTCGCCGAGGAAGCAATCAGGGACTGGAGAGGTCAACGAGCCAGGGCAATTAAGAGCCTCATGGATGCTATTGCCACCGACGAAAGAGACGCCAACGAAGTTGAAGAAGATCTCTCTGACTACCAAGGAGTTTTAGATGATGACTTGACAGAAGAGGAGGTGAAGGAGCAAAGGGAGCTTTGGTCACGACAACGAAACATCAGGTACGTGGATTGCAGCCGTATTTTGGACTGAAATTGATATTGGACAGCGCCCGCAAGCAGAACCACGAGTTTGAGTAGGTCCTCAGTTTGCATGATAGATTCTCCGCTTACCTTCGCAGGCTCAAGCAGTATCTTGTGACAACTCGCAATTCTTTTGTGACGCGGGAACTGAGGGTCAAGTACAATGAGCGTGTTGCTACTGACGAAATCAACATCTTTTGCGTCAGCAACAAAGACTACTGGGATCACAGAGACGAGGCAAAGACCAAATCGGCGCGCTTTCTCCAGCTGAGTGGAATCCTGCAAGTTCGCAAGCACTGCATCTCCATCGTGGCAAACAGTCAACGGCGCATTGCCACACGATACATCAAGGACCAGATACCGGCCCTTCTGGCACAAGTGGACTTGTGGGTTCAGTCTGGCGCAAGAACGGCTAGTGAAGAACGCCGTGAGGCGCTTTGCAGGAAGCTGGACGATGTTGAGAGACAGCTGAGGAGGGTACGAAGGCCATGGTAGAGTCCGACTGTTACTAACATGCTGCAGGGCCTTACATCGAGTACAAGCGTCGTTAACCGTGTAGCCCACTCGTTCAATCAGGACTTTACAACACACGTATATGGACGTGAGTTTAAGTCTCTGTTAGTAGACCAACAACTAATGGATAAGCTCGACGTATTTCATCTTGGAGCCAGTCAGCAAAGGATGCTGCGAGAGTATGGGAGGGGGTAAGTTGCCATATCATTGACATATACCGTTGCTAACCATCTCCAGTGGCACCACAGTGAGCTAACATGGAGTTTCTTCTGTTTCATCGCTAATTTCCTAGTGTCATACGCCGCCTTTTGTCGCCAGTATGGTGACTATTGTACGCCAGCAGTTGGGCCGCACAACTGGAACGAAGAGATCATGGAAGGAATGGTAGAGGATCTAGAGGACCCCTGGCAGGAACTATGCAACAGTATTCAACAACGACAAACGAACCTTGTTGAGAGAGTTGACACTCTGTTGGACACGGCATCCGAGCAGTTCGGTAGGTGAACCACACGTCCGAGAGAATGTGACTAATCGGCACAGAAACTGGACTGGATGATGATTATGATACTCTTGCCCCATTGATGGAATCATTATTCAGACGGCAACAACTCCTTCTAGATTCTATCGAACGAATCAATGAACAGTTTGAGACAGATCTGGGGTGAGTCGACCTCAACTTGAGAGGTACGTTGCTAACAAGACAGACTACTTCGGATTGACTCCCTCTCTGGTGTTAGAAGCTCGACCATTGGAAGGGCAATGGAGTCTTCATACAGAGGATGCAACCAAGAATATGGTATGTTTCATGAATCTTACAACACACGTTAGACCAACATGATCCCTCAGGAACAGGAAGCCACCAACGACGGAAGAACATTATACGGGGCACCATCTCCAACCAGGATTTCTTTACCAACCTCATGAGAACTTTTAGAGACTCTTTCCGTGTCAAGGCCGAAGAATCTCAAAGTGCGATACGCGATGCTTCAGTGAGATATTTGGATGTTGTACAGGAGACTTTTGATCTCGTGCGCAGTGAGAATGTGGCCAGGGAGAGTGAGCAGGATCCGGATTTTAGGCTGAGGGTTGACAACGTTGCGAGAACGGGAAGGGAGACTATTCAGAGGGTTCATCGAGTTATTGATGTTTGATCGCTGGCATCATCTGTTTGCTGCTGTACACGACTTAGCTGCATCGAGTGTTTCTATTTCAGTTAAGTATGAACTAAAATTCGAAAGGACTATACAATCCAAAATTCTACTGTTTCAGAACAATTGCCTCTGCTCAAGAAGCATCAATATCTAGAGCACGGGCTAATACTAGCAGCTGTCCCAGCATCCTTCGGAATAACACCCGCAGCAACAGCAGACTTGTAGCACCACCGCCAATCAACCTTGCCATCACACTTCCAAGACCAAAAGAACCATCCATCCGACTTTTCAAACGACTCTACCTGCGCGGCCCAATAATGTTTATACCAAGTCTCTTGTCCATCGACCTTGAATTCGTCGGTGTTCTTGAGAGTGCTGTTGACGGAGAGAGACCACTCGCCGACGTATACGCTCTTGCCCATGTAGTCGTCGCAGGCTGTTTCGATGTATGCTTTCTTATTACCAGCAATGCGATTATCGAAGCTAAGATAACGGTGGGCGTCGAAAAAGAGGAGGTCGCTCTCAGGGAGGTATTCTCGAGGGTCTCCCGCACCCCATGATTTGCCCTGAAAGACGGTTAGCAGGAAGTTACAGGGCGTGGTAGGAAACCGTACCATGAACTGAATGTGAAGACGATCAGAATCGGCGACGTCCAGGTAACCCTCCACAGCCTGGATACGGTGGAAGGCCTTGGGGTAGAAATTCTTCCTCATGTCGGTAGCCTCAGCCTGCCACTTTCCAGAACGCACAGGCTCGTTCATCACCTCAAGCATACCAACCGTGGTATAGTTGCCGTTGGTGTGAATTCGCTTCGTCATCCATTCAAGAAATCTAGCGGCTCTCTCATAGTTCTCAGGCGTGTAGAAGTCAGGGTTCGCAAGGGCCTACAGTGTGTTAACATGGACGCCAAAACCCAAGATCAAGACAACTCACATGGCCAGTAAACTGCTCACTTGGAGACTGCGACCCCGGAGCACCGTGAAGATCGATGATAACATAAAGACCGTGATCTTTACACCATCCAACAATACGATCAAGATGCCAAATACCGCCCCGTGGGTAATACTCGCCCTTCTGAACAATATCCTCATACATCCAGAACCCAACCGGGATACGGACAGCGTTCAAACCAAGGCTTGCAATCTGCTTGATATCATCCTCAGTAGTCCACGTTTCCCAATGTTTTTTGAAGGCCTTGTCGGCTGCAGCCTGGCCGATGCCCTCAACGCAGGTCCATTCGTCGTTGTAGGGGCCGCAGTTCATGTTCTTCCATGACTCTTCAGCCATCCAGCGCTCGATGATGAATTGAGAGCCAAGATTGACACCTCGGATCTTTTCAGAACCCAAAAGCCATCGTTCTGATAATTTCTCTCCGTTGTGGTAGGCGGCTCCTGCGACTTGTTAGAGCTTTCAACCTCGATGGGAATGTGATGGTGGACTTACTTCTTGACTGGGGAGTCCAAGCATTTGCCGCTGCAAGGAACAGGCAGAACGCGAGCTTCCCAAGCATCTTCTCAACGATAGCAAAGGTTGGAATCGAGAAAGAATTTGTCAAGCCCGAACCGGCAGGCGGAGTAGAATATGAAGTGCAGTGCAGTGCCGAAGAGAAAGAGGATGAAACCACAGACTATATATCAGTTCAGACAGAGTTCGAACTCATCATATTGACATGAAAGACCCCGGAACGAGACCGTGAGATGATTCCGCGTTTGACAGCTCACTTCATCTCATTCCGCACTGAATAAACGCTCCGGATCCTGCATGCCAGTTTCAACGGCTTGCGTCTGTGCACCTTGAAACGGGAGATCGTCATCCCTACTCCGCAAATAAGACCACAACGTTCCCACATTTTCTCGCTCTAGATTATCGTTGGTTCGATCATTCAAGGGTTCGAGTTATGAAGGGTGCGGCTGATGGTTTCCACGTATCCCTGCCCATCTTATCTTCGCTTCCCAGAGACGTGCATACTGACCAGTGGCTGGTGAGCATAACCGGATTGCTCGGCTGCAGAAGAGTCTGATAGATCGGTGCGGAATAGCGGAATTGATGGTTTCACATATATGATCCTACAGGTCAACGGCTGTGGGTATGAAATGAATAGACAGATCACAATGCGTGCTATTAAGATGGGGTTGTGCCATTGGAAGTGGACCAGAAATGTACAGCACCTGCGGTGATTCACACTTTTGGAAGGTGAGGAGACATCGACTGATGGAGAGAAAACATGATGCTAGATAACACAAAGAGCGAGGGTATTCTATACTGTTAACAAAACACTACTCGTACAGACCCCATTTTAGGTAAAAACATCGGTAGCAAACCTCTGGTTCCTAACCTCCTCGACAAACATCCTAGCCTCCTTCTCGCTCATATCATTGAGTTCCTGCAACAGTCCAACGCACGCCTCTTCAACAGCCTTGCCCATGTCGCGGCTACCGCACACGTAGAGCTTCGCACCTCGGTCCCAAAGCTCAGCAACTTCGTGCTTCTCCTCCACCATTCTATGCTGGACATACTTGCAATTTTTGGTCTCCTCTGAAGTCTCGCGGGAGTATGCTCGCTTAACTATCACGGCACCTTGCTTCTCCCAAGCGTCAAACTCTTCACGGTAGAGATCGTCTGTCTTTCCACGACAACCGAAGAAGAGCAGCGCAGGTGCCAGTTTTCTCCCAGCAGCCATTTGCTGAGCTCGTTCCTCAATAAAAGCACGGAAAGGTCCAACCCCCGCGCCAGCGGCGACGCAGATGATAGGAGTGGTCTCGGGTGTGAGGGGAAGGTGAAATGCGACGTGAGAGGGACGAATGGCAACGTGGACAAGATCGTTGGTGCTGAGATTTGACAGGTAGCTGGTTGCTACTCCGATGTGACGTCCTTGGCCCGAAAGGGAGGGCTCATCGAGGATGGAGTAGGTGACTGAGACGTGGTGGGGACTCTTCAAGGGCGAAGAGGCGATGGAGCTGAAATATGTGAGTAGCTATTCAAAACATAGATAACAAGGGAACTTACTATTGACGAATTCTCATCGGTGGTAGCATAGTCAAGAATGGAGCCAAAGGAAGTTCAATCTTGGGGAATCGCTCAAGAAGATCCATGACAGAGACACGTTTCTTGGTGACTTCCTCTTGTAAATTCTCACCAGCGAGATCCTGAAGACTCCGCTTAGTCTCGCCATCCGCAGTGTACTCCGCCAGAGACAGGATATTTCTCTTCGTAGCCGGCTGCGCCAATTCAACGTAAGCACTGAGAACGTTCCAAGCAGAGGTTGGCTGGCTCATTGGAAGAGCAACTCTCTTCTCTCCCTCGATGGTAAGCACAGCATCCCATGAGAGTTTAAAATGCCTGAATACTCGAGAGACGGTTTCTCGTGGGTTGATGGGCAAGATGCAGAGGTAATCACCTGCCCGATACGAAACCTCGCTGGGGAGTGCGATCTCGAAATGTTTCTTGAGAGGAACGCCTGGGCCGCTCAGGTCTCTTGTAGCAGTTACGATTGCTTCGTTGACGTCTTGACGGAGTGTCGAGCTCCGAGGCATAGAGACGCAGACAGATAAATCTGACTGTGGTATCGCAAACTTGGGCTCTGAATCAGGACCCTCCTTCTGCAAAGCAGGCCAGAGGATATTATCCTCCCACGTCTCAAAGTCTGTAAACGGATCCCTATCCGACGTATCCGTGAGGCCAATCTCAGCAACTCGCTTAGCTCCGTGATCCTCAAGCTCAGTGTTGACAAGCTTAGGAACCTTGTGGAAAGTCGCAGACCACTCTCGATGCCCAACTCCAAACACGGCATAAGACACTTTGTCAAGAGGTTTTCCTTCAAGATTCTTGAGCCAGGAGACAAAGTGTGCGGCATTATCTGGTGGTTGGCCTTCGTAGGAGGATGTGATTATGACGACGGGTTGGTTGGTGGGCAAGTTCTCCTTGGCAACGTCGAGGGATTCGATGCATGATGCGGTGAAGCCGTGAGAGAAGGCATCAGCTGCTAGACGCTGGGCGAGGGACTCGCATGTCCCACTGTTGGAGCCATAAAAGATGCTGATTCTCTTCCCATCAGACTCCAGAACCTGGTGCTTTTCGTCCTTGGCAGCACCATTAGTCGCAGCAACAGGCTCAGCCGTCGTCCCACGTAGTTTATGCTCCAAATCCAAAGGCGACATCCCATGCCTCAACGAAGCCCTGATATAAAAATCCTTCGGCTTAACCGTAAGAGTCTCTGCAATCCTAAGATTATACCCTGGGTCATCCATCGAAATGTTGAAATTCTGCAACAGAAGCGCAACTGCAAGCAACATCTCCTGCCACGCAAACGGCCGTCCGATGCACGCCCGCACACCATTGCCGAATGGTTTCCAGCAGTTTGGATGTTCTTTTTGCAGACGCTCAAAGTTTTCGTCGAGCATGCGTTCGGGGCGGAAGAGGTGTGCGTCTTCGCCAAAGACTCGGGGGTCGAGGTGGGCGACTGTTAGAAAAGGGCTGAGGACGTCGCCTTTTGCGATTGGGTATTTGTAGTCGAGGAGGGTGTCTTTGAGGGCTTCCATCCCGACGCCAGGGATGGGGGAGCAGACACGGAGTGTTTCTCGAAGGGCCTGCTAAAGTTAGTTGGAGCTTGAGATAGGTTGAGAGCTACTTACAGCGGGGATATATCTCAGCTTGAAGATCTTTTCCGCGGTAATAGGCTCCTTGCCCATAATGTCATCCACCTCCTTCTGAGCCTTTTGGTAGCAATCCGGGTTCTTTAGCAATGAGTAAAACAAGAACGACAATGTTCCAGATGTCGTCTCATGCCCAGCAACCAAAAAGGTGATGAGGTTATCAGTGATACTGACATCATTCATCTTCTTCCCCGTCTTAGGGTCAACACCGTTCATCATGGCCGCCAAAAGATCCTTCTTCTTACTGTCAGGATTAGCTCTCCGAGCCGCCACGACTTCGTCTGCAACCTCCCGCATCATCTTGATGTCCTGAAAGTACTTTTTCGTTATAGCTCGGTAAAACACCTTGGCCACGGAAGGACGCTGAAACCGTTTCCCAGACTCTGTAAGAACATCGCCCATGCTGCTGATGAACGGATGCGCCTTATCGCGATAAAACGAATTAAACCGAAAATCCATACTGCAAAGCGCAATAGTATCAAACGCCAACCGCGTAAAATCATCAGCAGCAAGAATAGCCTGCGAAGGGCCATGCCTCGCCCACTTGAGAGCCAACTGCGTCGCGATATCGTACATCTCGTCAAACATGCCCCTGATGTTTACAGGGCCGAAAGCAGGCATCAGGACGCGGTGGGCGATGCCCCAGTTCTCCTCGCCGGGTTTTGCTGTGAAGAGGCCGTCGTTGGCGAGGTTCCGTACTTCCCAGAGTTCGTTGTTGATGGATTTTTGGAAGCGGGTTTCGTCGCAGACTTCGTTGACGAGTTTGTTTGAGCCGAGTAGGATGTATGACTTTCCCTCGGGGAAGCGTAATCTGTAGATGTCGCCTAATGGAGTGAGCTACAATTCATAAAACATAGTATCTTGCATAATTACCATAGATCTCATGCAGTCGCGTCAGATCTTGCAATGAATCCTCCGATTTGAACTCGGCAATGTGTCCAAGCCAGGGAAGTGCTGGCGGCTCAGGGATCGGGGTGATGTTGCTGTCGCCATTCTTGGCTTTGGAGCCATTCCTGGCTTTTGATTTCCGTCGAAGAAGAGACGGCATGATGATTTTGTGACAAAAAGACGCCAGCGTTACTCTACAATGCTGTGAAGCAGGCCGCCGTTGGATGGAGGATGTAAGATTTAAATTAACCAGGTAATCAGCAGTAAGCACACCTCGAAGGGCAACGCCCCTTTATATACCAATTCCATCTTACATTTAAAAACTCTCCGACTCGTATCCTCTAACGAGTCCCTGCATATGATCTACCCGACGGACACCTCCCGTGCGGGTACACAACCGTTTCCCGACCCGGGCCCCGTGAGGTCCGGCCGCTCGGGACTCCGCGGACGACCGGCCGGTGAGACCTTGTCATTCCCGCGGGGGCCGTTACACCACTTAAAAAGAGTATTTATTCAGTGACCACGGCCATGGTTACGCGAATCTTACTGCGGCGTCTTCCGGTGCCGTAATTTCTTGTATTGTATTGGTTGGTGAGATGGTCAGCGCGTAATAAGGCTGCTTCCAGTACGTAGAGGGGAGGGAGTGTCTCACCCATGACGCAACGTAAGCAGTAACGGGGGCACGAAATTAATGTCCATATGAGGACGTCAAGGTTCTCATTTGGTGTGTATTAAGTCGAGGCCTTTTCCGTGGCTTGCACCGTCGTTTCTAACTTGTCTTTTCCTCACCCAATGCCTTATCAACCATGGCCAACTCACCAGCCAACTCTGCAAAGCGCTTACTCTCAGTCATCTGCACGCATCCTTCAAGATGACATCCATCTCACACAATGCTACTACGTAGTAGACCTCGGCCAATCGCCCTTCCTGGCAATTTACCCCTCCCACATCACGCACCCAGCTTTTGACGACGAACACGCGGATCAATTGCCGTCCAACGGGATCCTTCAGTCAGATCTCGGTCATCTCTGACCCCGCCATTGGTGAGCCCCGCATCTCATGGGCTCATGGGAAACGAGCCCCTCTTCTTGGTGGATGATCTTTTGGCGAGCCATTCCGTTGACGGAGCTTGCAAGTTTTTTTTTAACTCTGCAATCAATCGCACGCGACATTCTTGAGATTCAACGTCTGATAAGCATAATGGCCGCTCCCAAACCTTTCCGCGCTGAGCACATGGGCTCTCTCCTGCGTCCTCAGCGTCTCCTCGACGTTAGAGAGCAGATCCGCGAAAAGGGCGTCTCCCCCGAGGACGCCGGCCTCGCCGAGGTCGAGACAGCCGCTGTCAAGGACGTTGTCAAGCTGCAGCAGGACCTTGGATTCAAGGCCGTCACCAGCGGAGAGTTCACTCGCACGCGCTTCTGGGGCCTCATGTGGGATGAGTTTGTCGGCACCAAGCAGCTTCAGGACGCCGATGCGAGCCTGTTCCGTCTGTACCACCCCGACGTGGTGAGCTTGATTGAGAAGGATCGCCAGGTCATGCCCGGTGACTCTGTCATTGCTGGAAGCAAGCTCTCTCACGACCCTGAAAAGTGTGTTTCCAACTTGCATGAGCTCCGTCTCATTCAGCAGTTTGTGCCCAAGGAGGATTGGTCTGCCATCAAGCTCACCATGATCACGCCTGCTTGGTTCCATATGCGATACAAGCAAGGCAAGGCTTACACGCCAGAGGCGTATGCCAATGATGAAGAGTACTTCAAGGATGTCGCCAAGGTGTATCAGGCCGAGCTGGACCTGCTGTACAAGGCGGGTCTTCGCAACGTTCAATTCGACGACCCCGGCATGGCCTGTAAGCGAAGGCCTCAATCTTTAGAAACCAATCACTAACAATGTCTCAGATTTCTGCAGCCAAAAGTTCCGCGACGGCTGGGCCGCTGACGCCGACAACATTGGCACCGTTGACGACCTTCTGGACGCCTACATTAAGCTCTACAACGACTGCCTCTCCAAGCTGCCCTCCGACATGCACACTGGCATCCACCTCTGCCGAGGCAACTTTATCGGTGGCCGTCACTTTGCCGAGGGCAAGTACGACATCATCGCTGAGAAGCTCTTCCGCGACCTCAACGTCAATACCTTCTACCTCGAGTACGACACTGAGCGCGCCGGAGGCTTCGAGCCCCTTCAGCACCTACCCACCAACAAGTACGTTGTCGTTGGTGTGATTAGCACAAAGTTGCCCCAGCTGGAGGATAAGGAGGAGATGAAGAAGCGTGTGTTGAGCGCTGCGGATTGGGTCGCCAAGGGAACTGGTGAGACTCAGAAGGAGGCTCTGAAGAGAATTGCTGTGAGCCCTCAGTGTGGATTTAGTACCCATGAGAGTGGGTATCCCTTGAATGAGGAGGAGGAAAGGAAGAAGCTTGCTTTGGTGAGGGAGATTGCCGATGAGATCTGGGGAGAGCCTTGAGGCTGATCGACGGTTGGACATGTACATATCACGACCATTACGACCAATGCAAGTTCGATGCTTGAGCCGCATGACTTAGAATATGTTCCGGATGCTGCACTGCAATTTTAACCCGCCCCGAAGGAGGCTCCTTCTTTCCAAGGAGGCCAGAATCTCTCCCGCCGGGAATTGAGCCCGTGAAAAACGAAAATCAAAAAATTTCCCGACTCCTTGTTCAATTCTCAGCCGTAAATATTTCCCCTATAATCAACCGCAGAATCAACTCTTCCAACAACACATCCCTCGTCCCGGATAATGATACCTGTGTGCACGATGGTAGAAAGAGAGCAGACCTAATTGACAAAGTCGATGACTCCAGGAAAAATGTAATTGCGTAACCAGACTTCAAGTGATGATTACCGAGATCGGCAGTAAAGAAAGTGAAAAGGATAATGTCGAGGATAACATGGATCCTCGACAAAGGGAGTTACTCTTGCGTTGGGCTGCTTGAATTAGCTATAGGTTAGGGCGTTGAGTACGAGAGATTGTCAGACCTGCGATAGTTTCTTTGGCTCTTGAAGACAATGGCCGATGTGTAGTCGCTTGGCCTCTTGAGGGTGGGCGAGGATTATGGCCAACCATAACCGGAAGATCCAGGGCTTGGAGGTTGGATACAAGTGTGAGAGACAAACAGCACAATGCAAATACAGTCCTTGGTTGATACCGATCTTCGTTATGGGCGTGGGGCGATTATGGGAGGTGCTTATGCCTGACACTGCTTCTAGATGTTAAAACTCTTAGGTAGGCCCCGAGAATATGAGCTCAAAATTGAGCACTCCTACCACAGCCCCACTACAACAGGTGATCAACACCTGCCATCTTCCGTAGTATAGTGGTCAGTATGCAAGCTTGTCACGCTTGAGACCCGGGTTCAATTCCCGGCGGGAGAGATCCAGCCACCTGTGTTACACAGGATGTTCTTTTTTCTTTTTTCTCTTCTAAAAGAGCCAAGAGAATCTTCTTTTTGTACACTCATAACGTAATCCAACGGCGTACTCTTGAATGTTTATATTGCCCTGCCTTGTCATCTCATACTTCCTCACGCATTCCAGCTTTCTTGACCACCCTCTACATTGAGGTTTAGGGTACATGAGGGATGGTGCATTCCATTCCATCCATCCCTCCCCGAAGCACTCGCCCTGACACATATGTCAAACCAACCGGCAAGGGACGTTAATATTTATGCCGGTAACTGAAAACTTCCATGATTGAACTCTTCACCCTAACTTTGTAGGCCCAGCCCGGGTCATCATCGCCAGGTGTCCAAGTCTGCTTCGTGCCCTACCTCCCTGCAACTCAATACATACTCATCAGGTGTTTTCCAGAGCGGATCCCTTTGCGCAGAACGAAGCCATTCTTGACAACGACCCTCCAGTTCTTCATAATAGCTTCCCGCTACGTCGCATGCCGGCCCTTCACTCTTCACATTGAGGATTCTGGCAGCTTCGTCTAATAGCTCGCTGAACGTGGTTGACTCTACCTTGCCAGTCCAGCCATCCTGGATCATATCCGCGAGAATCGACGCGTCTTCTGAGATTTCCCATTGGCCAGCTTCCATCATCCCTCTAATTTTGACCGCCTCTGCACGCGAATGCAAGTTGGCAAGAGGATCGACCCCCGAGAGGAGAAAATGAAGGCACGTCGACAAGTTGAAGCGGTCTCTCGGGATCTCATTCGCATAGTCCCAGTGGGATTGCGAAATCGCTGATCCAAAGTCGAAAAGCTTGAGTCTCTTGGCCCCATCAACACCAATGTTGCGGACTGCAAGATCGCCGCTGACGAAGTCCAACTTCTCAAGACAGCTTACAGCGGCGAGGAGTTCCAGGACCCAACGATGGCGTTCTTCCCGTGAGGCTCCTTCCCACGCATCTTGCAAAGGCTCGAGACGTTCCAAGAACAGATAATCCGTCTTATTTGTTGCCAGCATCCCAGCAAAATTGGGGTGAGGCTCAGCCTTTAACGCTTCATATACAGCCACCTCCTTCTCCATGGCTACAAAGCTCCCTATTGAGAGGTCCCAGCAATGTGACATCTCTGTGTCTTGAGTTACCTCGTATTGGAAAGGGAGCTTAAGGACAATGTCTTTGTTGAGGGCGTAGGCGAGACCTTGCGATGGGCCGATGCTTAGACATTCCTCTGGAGGATTTTTGAAGGGTACTGTTATTCTCATGTTGCAAATATCCAAGTTTATCTGCTAATGTGGAAAACCAGGACGATGTCAAGAGGATATTGAAAGGAGGTGAGCTGCAGCAAGCGGCCTGAAGACCATACACTCAATGTTTCAATTATGCAATCCCTGCCCAATGCACGCTTCACTTTATTGCATACTCCCCGTCCCTCCCAGCCGTCAATTCTTCCCCTTGCCATCGGCGACACAATCATCACACCACAGGTTCACTCTATTGTCCGTGATGGAATGATTGTATTTCGGGTTGCTGCAATTTGGACCATTCGGGGCATTCGCGCACACGTACAGTTATCTACGCCTTCTGATTTGTGGCCGCATTTCCGGTAAACGGTCGCTGGTGTTGCTTTGAAACACATGGCGAGGTGTAGCTGTTGAGGGCTAAGGCTGAATGCGGACTGTTAGCATTGTCACAGGAAACCCTTACGCAAACCTACCTTTAGGTACTCTGTAAGTTTTGCAATTGAGATCTCACTTGTGTTGAAGCAAGACTGGAGGTGCCACCATACATATAGGCCAGGTTGTTGGTTGGGCATGTCAAGATACGACAGGGGTGCTGCCATTCATTGGTTACGGAGGCTTCATCCGTGGACAAAGCTGTTCGGGGTCGAGCTGCAAAGTGCACTTCTGCCTAGTCTCAGTGCTGAAGGCCTCGGTGCGGGCACATGAGCTGAAGTGGCCGGAGCCGGTGGGATACGGATCATGGCGTGACGCCTTTGGGGGACCTCTATCGCCTGTCAGCTACCAAGAGCGCACATGGCCTTTCCAAATGTCTAGATGATAATTGAATATCTAGCCGAGGTGCCAAGAATGGTGCGTTGGGGTCACCGTTGGTGGTGAAATGTCCACTTTCACTGGTAGAGAAGAAAACCATGAAAACCGCCAGAATCTAATCTGCTCATCCATCAACCTCGGTGATGCTAATGCCCCAAAAGTCTGCTGGGTCAAGCACCGGCTGCCCCTTTCCAAACGAGTAAACTCCAAACATGACCCCTGTGAAACAACCTCCAACGGGTGGTGCAACAGTCAGCTTTTCGACCGGCGCGAGCATCGCCCCTATTGTGTCGTTACTGCCAGACGCTGTCTCTATGGCGGAAATAGAATAGTCTATGAGACGAGCCTCGATCGTGAACTGTATTTGGGTCGAGCCAAGGTCATTGTTCGAGGTGGAAAGCTGGTTGAGTGTCAGCTATAGAGAAGTCACAGGAGAGAAAGTTACGCCAACCTTGACATTACCAGCCTCGCCGCTTGGCTCTCTAAATGTGAGCCTCGGTAAAATATTGCCGTTCTCGTCTTGATGTGCCACGATTCCTACCGTGGCATACGAGTACTGGCTCCACCAAAGCACTATCCCGGCCTCGTAACCCCGAACAGTAGGGTTAAACTCCATTGTTGCACTAAAGGTCTGGTTATAGGAGGTTTGCTTCCTGAGAAGCATGGCAGGGCACTCGGGACTAGACAGGTCGAAGCAGTTCCCGTAGAGCCTGAGGAAGCCGGGTCTCTCTGTCAAGCTGTAACACGTCTTGAGTGGCGTATCTGCCTCCTGTTAGCCATAGCTAGTGTAAAAATTGCAGGGCATGTACTTTTTTGGTACCATCCCAACTCAAGAGTATCGCGGGAAAGATCTGCCTCCCATTTTTGCTTTGTGGGACCCGCAGCTGAACTTGGCAAACTCCTGCCTTTGGTCTCGAGGGTGATGTTGTTTCCATCGTTGAAGACGGGCCAATCGTCCACCCACTCAACCTTGACAAGGAATGTCTCCCGTCCTATCAATGTCAGCATGCAATGTCGCTTTAGAGGGGAACTTGGAAATACCCAGCTGCGGTTCCAGATAACGCCCCTTGTCCTTGACAGGCCTTACACCCAAAAACACAGCCCACCAATGACCATCACCATCTTCAAAGACATCAGCATGGCCCGTCCTCTGCACTTCCTCATCCGGTCCATTATACCACAATGCCTTTCCCTGACCCTCCCAAGGGCCATAGGGGCCATCTCGACTGCGGAAAACCCACTCCTGATGGCCAACCTCTGTGCCTCCTTCGGCTGTAAAGAGATAGTAGTAATCGCCGCGCTTGATAATGTGGGATCCCTCTGCGATACCAAATGGAGACTCTCGGATAGGCTTCGGCGCTGTAAGAGTTCTCCCAGTTGTAATGTCTATTTCCGAAATGTGAATGGCAAAGTCCTTTTGCTTGGAGTCGGGTGATCGCCACGCCAGTCGCATAGTTGTAGACAGAAAGACTCTGCCGTTATCGTCCCAGAAGAGCTAACAGCATTAAGTACAGAGAATTCGTTTCAATTCGAACGACTTACGTCCTGATCGAATCCCGGATTGTCAAAGTACACTGGGTCAGACCAGCCATTTTCGTCCCAGATGTTGTCGGTCCAGACATAAAAGCCACGGGGAAAGATGCGTTCCTTGGACAGTCAGCTTGTTTCTCATTTCCCCCTTTATGGATATTACATCAGAAGTAGGTCGATATCTTTGAAACACGCCATTCGCTAGATACCACCTCTTTTCATCAGGTCGATACCTCAGTGTGCTCGCCCAGCTCCCCGCACCAGGTTCCACAGTGCGCATCTCAATCTGGCTGCGTCGCGTAAGAGCATGACCGATGAGTTTCCAGTCAATCAAGTTGGTAGATGTGTAAATAGCGCATCCCGGAAAGAACTCGAATGTCGACGTGCTAAGGAAGAAGGTCGTAGGCTCCGAGCCAGAAGCGGGCACGACGCAGATGGTGGGATCAGGGTTGAAGCCCCTGATGACTGGGTTCGTAAAGGTTACGTTGGATGCGTCAGTAGCCATGATTGATGCTAGTAGTAGTCAAAGTCAATGATTAAAGAAAGTGGCTGATGCTAAGGAGTTGGTCGTCCCATGGTTATAAGTCGTCCTCGGTCGATGTTGGCCGATCCCGCTCCGGCTTATGTCCGTTGCATTTTTCCATCAATCAGAAGCCCAGGTTTTCACGCTACTCAGCTCATCTCGAGGCCTTCAGCCTATTTTCTCTATGGTGGAGGGGTAACCATCAATAGGTAAGTCCATGTCATTGTGAAGAGAAGAAAACATTGTCTTTAAAGATCTCTGCGGAATATGTCAGATATCGGGTAAAAGTAGTTGAATCAAGCCCGGTGCACTCTGGGAAGAACCAGCTTCCCATGTGAAAAGATCACATTTCTCCCACCAAATCTCTCCTCAGTCCTATCACCACCTTCATGCCTCATAGCTGGTATGACCGACTTGCTATTCACAGAGCCAATCTCAAGCTGTAAGCTTTGTCCTGGATCGAACAAGAATGCGGTTGGAAACAGCGGCACCTTGATAGCGTACTTCTTCCCAGGAACCACCTCTGACTTGGGAACCGGGGGTTGGCTGATGACTTTGTCCCTCGCAAAGTCTTTCTCAATTTCTTCGCGGTGTGAGAGGCGGAAGTAGCCTCTAGCAAAGCTGTCCATAGGCTCACCGTGGTTTCCAACAAGGATAAAAGGCTGTTTGTCTGCTGTGATGGCTCGCAGATAGATAAAGAGGTCCATGTCTTGAGCTTCGGTGATCACTTCGAGTTCCAAATAAGGTGACCCCAAGATCTCGAACTTTTCGGTGAAGGGATTATGCAAGGTAAACTCGATGTTGCCTCTCAAGCCTTGATAGTTGAAAGCCATTTTCAGTTCCTTGGATTCCACCAGGCTCAATGTCTTGTCGGGGTTGAGATAAAATGCCACATCTTCAGCATCACGGGGTGGAAACGCTTGTTCGCTCTCTCGGTAAAAGGTCGAAGTGCCGTGATGCTGAATAAGTCGAAGTTTAGGGACATCCAGCATCCCATTGTCTGCCTTGTTGAAGAGGAAATAATCCAGGAATTGCCTCTGTCGTCTGATGTGTTCGGGATCGTAAAAGGCCGCTAGGTGGTTTCCCGTGTGCATTTCCAACCACTTAAACTTTGATGATGCCCCGTTATAGGCTCGAATGTTTCCTGGAAGGTGAAGCTCTGGATCAGTCCAGTTGCCGGCGAGATATATCGGAACCTCAATGTCAGACAGTTTCCGCACTCTACCCAGAATATCCCAAAAGCCTTCTGTGGGATACTCCGTCTCCAAGCATATCCCAGGAAAATCCACTCTGTTCTCCGCCAGGTCTCTCTCCGATAGACTCCCTTTGTCCCGGCTAGCTTGTTGGGGGATGACGAGATTCTTGTACCAATGGGACTGGAAGTTGTAGCTGTATATCCCGCCTCGTCGAGTAGATTGATACATGTTGCACTGAGACTCATAGGACACAACGCATGCCAGATGAGGCGGCTTCTGCATCGCAGCCCAGTACCCAACCATACCGTAGTAGCTGATTCCTGAACACGCAACCTTGCCGGTGGACCAGGTTTGTGTGCCTGCCCACTCAATAATATCGTAGAGGTCTAAATTGAGAGTCCATAAGCTCGCTCGTACTACGCTATGCAGAAATAGGTATCCTACCTTGTCCCTCAGCGTCGTCTTGAATCAGGAGTGAGCGTTCCAGTCCGAAGGAATCAAGTTTTCCCTGGCTTCCACCAATGCCCCTGGCGTCGACACGCAGCAAAGCATAGCCAAAGTCTTTTGTCTGCTTGGTATCAGCTGGATGTTATCTGTCATGTATCAATATCTTACCCAGATTAGTGGATCGCATAATTCGAAGCACGCATCAGGGCCCAGGGGCTTGATGTGCTTATACATCTCAGCATATATAGGGGTCTGGGGCAACCCAAAGACAGATGCATGCGTGTCTTTGCCATATGGTCCAAGACTGCAAAGTACTGGAGCTTTCTGTGCGTGTTTGCTTGCCGATAAGGGTAGGAATAAGTCTGCACATAATTCGATGCCATCGCGCATAGGGATAAAGAGGTTTTTGATGCGAGTGTATCCCTCAAGCTCAGTCTCGCTCCGACTGTACCCAGTCTGCGAAATGGTAAATGAGTCCATTTTAAGAGGTGAATTTGCTCTAGAAAAGGTATAGAGAGAACCAGCTGGCTACGAGCTCACTTTGAGGCCCGAGCTTGAGTTTTATGCCACGTCTTCGGCGGCGGAATCTTGTACATGTCCGAGCTACAGATAACCTTGTAGCGATTTTCCTCTTGCGTATGCCTCGACCCGCTATTGGTTTTCCTAGATCCCAGCTAATAGCTGAGCTCGAGACTCCTCCCGGCACTTTACTCGGCTCTTAATGCGGGGTTTGGGTTTCAGATACTAGTCGGGATAGCTTCAGCTGGCCCGTAGGATGAACCTTATTATTGAATACCAATAGTGCGAGCTGCAGAACCCATCATATTGCTAGTGAATGCTAGGGCCGAGGTTTGGCGGTTCGCCGAGGTGATCTCGAACATCCTGCTTAGACTTGAACCAAGCGGAATTGTATTCCGAGCCCTGCAGTGTTCGGCATGTCAGTGGGATGAAATGAGCTTCCCAGCAGCCAGACCTGAAAATCCTAGTCATTTTATAATTTTGCCTTTGACGTCTCCTCAAGGAGCCCCCCTGGATCGCCGTCATGAAACACCCCAGTTGCATCCTCTAATGCGCCATAATGCTTGCTGACGGCAAGCAATCACACATCCTCCATTTGCTATCATTGGCCGTAGAATTTCCCCGTGAGCTGATCGTCTCGGGGAGTAAACCCGCTTTAGGAAGCCCGGAGACGAGAGTTCAGCATCTCGCGTATCAAGATTAGCGATGGTCATCGAAGGAAGGGTGCAGACTTACTGGCACGCTGCCCGTCGATAAACCCGGCGAGTTGAACTTTGGCTGCGCCCTTGAAAGCCTGGCAATATGGCTCTGATGTCCGTTGCAAGGAGGCCAGCGTACATGATTCGTTCCGATACCCTCGTCAGCGTACGACGGCAACAAATCAGTCACCTTCTACAGCATGCGATGCAATACCGCTCTATCGTCCAGCAAGATGCGGCCCAAAATGGTCGGGCGAGCATCTCCGCAGTAACAGAGAAGTATTACGCTGCCGATCAAACCATGCTGCCTAATTTGACCTCCCTCGCCATCGGTGACGCTGTCAGTAGTGATCCAGAGAATCGCCTCCTTGACGCCAGCGTGGATGTCTCTCGACTTAGCTAAAAGCAATCTCGCTACCTTGTGCGACAGCACCTTGTCGGCTTGAGGGGTCCTTCAAGGAAGCGGCCTCACAGGTACGAGTATTTCTCGTCTATGCCCTCAAGAAATGCGTCCCCCGATCCATCGACGGTGATTATAGCAGCTATCGAGTCTTCGTCCACTGCTAGCGCAGCGTGGAGATCCGATCTGTTCGAAAGTATCGGGGGCGCCTCGAGATACCATGCTAGGAATCAAGACAGGCACTGGAGTCATTTTAGTAGCCGACCATCCCTGGTGCAGCCATGGAAGACTACTTAGGAAGCCTATATCAAGGCAGAGGAAGAGCAATCGAAAAACCGCAACTCCAAGAATCGCACCCTGGACCATGAGTCGGGCCTCCTCTAATAGCGTCTCTGTCAATCAGGACAGGCAAGGCGCCTGAGTAAATTCTAACAAGAATCCAAGTTTGCAGTTAAAAAGATACAATGAGAATCTAGGAAGATTTATAATAGATAAAGTTGGGATTTCTACAAGTTTGTAGGAAGGCTCTTTAAGTTGTCTAAAAATATCTCTAGAGAATGTCACAAGATCTCGACAAAGATTCTTTTGTGAATCCCAGATTACTTAATAGGTGAAAGCATTCTTCAACTAAATTGACTAACTTAGCAAGATATGCCTAGGTAAGTTACGCCAGTTCTCTTCTTAATCCGTATAGGACGCTTCTTAAATTAGAAGTTTCACCTGAGGACCTAGGATATTAGAATTGCCCTCCTCTGCCCACATCTCCCTCCCATCGACCCCCAACAACGAATCACGATTTGGGTGGCCGAGTTCAAGCCGACTAAACTCTTGTGCCTACATGGCCGGGCAACTCCAGCCTGGTCACCCAACGTGGATCGCTTCATCTTTGAGGCAACAAACACCTCAAACGAACGTCGCCAATGATGTAGTTAGTCAAAGGCCAACAGAATGCAAGCCACCTCGATTCTATCAGGCCCAAAACCCAGTTCTGGAACGCCTGCAAGATCAACCCAACAGCATTGGCCTCTCCATCCGCAGCAGACTCTGTAAATGTCTCACCATGAAGGATCTCAACCGCATGCCAAGGCCTGTACATGCAGCCCTCAGCTATTCTTATCCAAAACCCAGCCCCCGAGCCGCCTTATGGGGGGCGAAAACGCCTTGTTGCGCAGCTCAGCTATCTGCATCTCAGCGATCCTATGGTCCGTGATTGGCAATGATCCGACTCCTTCGAGCCACACGCAGCGTGTCCTTCAGATCAGGCTCCGACTCTCTTTTCTCTTTGTGTAACAGACACATGTTTTAAATCTCTCCTTCCCCCGCATCTTGTGGGGGCGAGGGGACAGTAACTTGTTTGCAGCCATGAGTAACAACATTTGCAACATATCGCTCGAATACGATGCGGGCAAGCAACAGAATATCACATGGGTCGATAGCCCCAACGCCCGAGGCACCCTCGACATCCTCCAAAGCTGCGTCTTGACCCTCGTCGCATGCATCTATACGGCTCTGCACCTGGATGTGCCTCTCAAAACGGCATGGCACGAGGTCTTTCTCTACAAGCTCAAATGGGTCCTCATCACTCTCTTTGCGCCCGAGATTTCCGTGTACATGGCCGCGGATCAGCTACAGCAGGCTTGGAGCCTCAAGAAAAAGCTTTTAGCTTTGGTTCCAGAGGTACAGACCGTGGTACCCGACACGGGGGAGAACGAGGTAGAGATTCCTCTAGTGGGAAAGAACAGCAACGCTAAGAGCACAATTGTAAGAGATATTGTTCAGCAAGCCGGCTTTAGCTAACACAGTATTCTTCCCAGCCAGATATCAGTCTCAAGTACGCCTTCTTCATCATCATGGGAGGTGTCCGCGTCAACGTCGACGACATAATCTCCCTCCCCGACCTTGACTTCAAAGCCCAACGTCACTTTACCACGCGTCCTTACACGATCCGAGTCGGCCCCAAGACGATAATCCAGCTTGCCGAGAAGGGGCACTGGATAAACATACCAATGCAAAAGATTGACGACAAAAGCAAGGCCGACGTCCTTCAGAAGTGTTTGGTCATGATCCAGGTTTCTTGGATGGTGATGCAGTGCATCGTTCGCAAGGTTTATAACTTGCCTCTGGCTTTGTTGGAGGTTCACACTATGGTGCACGTTGTTTGCGCAATGTTCCTCTATCTCTGCTGGCTGAGAGTGAGTATCCTCATGTGAAATGACCTCTGGGCCAAGTATTAATCCCTTCCCAGAAACCATTAAACGTTCTTGAGCCCGAACTTTTGGACCCTGGCAAGTTCAAGGGCACCATAGCCCTTCTCGCTCAGCAACAATTCTACCCCAACATGGCCACCAGGTTAGCCCTCGTTCCGTCTCAGGAATACCCTAACCAGCCACCTTTCAGAAGACGGGGCGGTCTTATATCGCATGACTGGATCACACCGAATATGGGACAGCGCATCACCCGAGAAGAAAATCCATGGCTCCCGGAAAAGATGTGGGATTATCTGCCCCCGGACGCATGGACGAGGCTCAGATCGGACCTCTCTGATCGACTACCTATAGGTGCCTGGCGATGGCTCCCCCCAAGGCCAGGACGTTGGATCTCATACAAAGACACACAGATGTTTCCGGGCGATGTTCTCCCGTGCGGCCTTATGTATCATTCCGAGTTTCAAGATCTCCCCCTCCCACTAACAGAGGAGTTCCTCAACCGGTGGGGTGCCATCTTAAAAGCATTCCCGTTCTACGGTCGCGAAGAACTAGCCAGCACCTCCAAGTTCCTGAGAGTAAACAGGCTCGGTTGGGACTTTGAACCCGTTGACCCCGAAGAAGACGCTCCAGTCCAAGGCCAATACCTATTCCTCGCACGCCTGAAAGAATTTGCACCCGTTCCAGATGGCATCTTCAGGACCATGCCCTTCAGCGCTGGCAAACGAAACCTCGACATCAACCTCAAGGTGTTCACAGAAAACACAGGTTCATCTTTTGGTCTCCTCAAGTTCTTCAAGGCGTTCCCATGGCTTGCGGGTCTCGCCCTTCTTCTGTCTGGTATCTACGGCGGCGTCCACCTGACAGCTTGGCGATCGGTGTTCCCAAGCATCCAAGAAGAAGTCCTTTGGAAGGTCAGCTGCATCTACATCGCGGCTGTCCTCCCCGTGTACTTTATCATTGGCCCTGCAATGTCGGACGTTGCGTTCTGGTCTGGACCTGAAACCTTTACTGCGGTTGGCATGTCCACGGTGATATCACTTGTTCTTTTGATATATGGTGTTGCGAGGGTTTTTATTATTGTCGAGTCTTTTATTAGCTTACGGGTTGTCCCTCTTGGGGTGTATATATCGCCAACTTGGGTCCAGATGTTTCCTCATTTTTAGTAGCCACAGGAATAAAGAACTTTGTCCCTTCGTACCTCGTTCCCATATGTTCTATGACTACGTTAAACTTAAGAAGCCACTCTCACTATCAAGATCAAGATATGATCGTCCTCTTCAAGTATGACACGGCTAAGACGGCAGGACAAGCTAGGGAGAGCTTCAGGCAGCCGGCCCCACACGGCGGAGTTCCGCCCATTGCGGGGCGGCCAAGAAGCATAAAAACATCGTCTATCCCCGAAGCATAACATTCAGTACAACTCAACATTTATACATACACAATGACTTCTACCGAGATCAAGAAAGTCGCCGTCTTTGGTGTAAGAATCCCTCTACTTCTATGCTTCTTCCAGGCTAACTTGTCCTCAGGCATCCGGCAACTTTGGCACACCCATCACAGCCGCCCTCACAAAGGCTGGTTTCGACGTGACCGTCATCTCCAGAACCGAATCATCAGCAACCTTTCCTGAAGGACTCCCCGTCATCAAAACCGCTTATACTCTCGAAAACCTCACCAAAGCCTTGGCCGGCCAAGATGCCGTAGTCTGCGTCGTAGGTCCCGCCGGCGTCAGCTTACAATCCACCATGGTCGACGCCGCAGAAACTGCTGGAGTAAAACGCTTCATCATCGATGACTTTGGCTGGGGTCCAAACTTTACAAGCTTCCCCGAGTTTGAACCCGTTCGCGCTCAGCGGCTCGTGGGAATGAATCACGCCAAGGCCAGAAGCAAAGCCAACCCATCCTTTACTTGGACCGGCATCGCAACAGGCAATCCCGTTGATTGGGCTCTCAAACGGTTTCCTCTCATGGGCTTCGATATTTCCAACAAGGCTGCCCTCATCTACGATTCCGGAACGGAAAAGTTCACTGGTACCACACTTGAAGGCATCGGTCAATCAGTCGTCGGCATCTTTCAAAACCCAGAAGCCACAGCAAACCGCACCGTCAAAGTCTTGTCCATAAAAGTAAGCCAAACCGAACTCCTACAAGCCTTTGAAAGCGTTTCAGGAAGCAAGTGGGACATTCAGAGATCGACAACAAAGGAATTGATAGACGGGGCGCGGGAGAAGCATGAGAAGGGAGACAGGGGTTGGATTCTGGCGTTGGCGGTGGCTCAGCTGTTTAATGAAGGAAAGGCCATGTGTCTTGTTGCGCCTTCATGGGAGGAATCGGATTCAAAGTTGTTGGGAGTGGTAGAGGTGTCTCCTCGTGAGCTTGCTGCCACTGTTCTAGGTGTCTCTACAGACTGAGGGGGAACTTGCCAGGATTCGAGAAATTTACATCAATCACATTTCACTACTAAGATACATTCCGCTTGCCAAAATTGACAACGTTGTTCACTTCATAGGCTGCTGAATAGCAATCTTGGCGAATCCCCCTCCAACCTTGACAACACGTTGAATCTCCTCCAACGAATCCTCAGCCGTTCCATCCAACACACGAACAGGCACAGACCTAAAAGCCCTCCCATAATTCTCAACAGCCCAAGCCAAAGCCTTCCAAGCCTTTTCGTAGTCGGCGGGTCTCGCAGGCACAGTGACCGGGTGTGGCACCCCTGCAAGCTGAATGGTAAAGTCAAGGTTTGGTGTAGCGATTGGGAACTTGAACTGCTTGCTCTCCCTAAACAGAGTCGAGGCAGCTGCAGTTTTCTCTGATATGCATCGGAGTACTTGGTCTCCCGAGCTGGGAGCTCCCGCAGCGTCAAACGCATATGTAAAGTCGTCGTAACCAAGTTCTTTCAACGCCGTGCCGATAGATTCGTACACATCCTCTGCCCTGTAATCAAAACACTTGGTGGCTCCAAGAGACTCGAGATGCTCAAACTGTTCAGGTTTCGCCGCGACGATGACAGGAGAGATGCCGCTTGCAACAGCGAACTGAAGGGCACAGTACCCCACAGCTCCTGTAGCACCCCAGAGCAAGAAAGGGCCGTTCTTCTCAAATTTCTCGGTTTCTCCAGGGAGCGGAAACCCGAGGTGATTGTAAATTGCATCGGCAGCCGTCATGGCGACGACAGCAAGACAAGCCGCATCAGACTGGGGCAAGTTGTCAGGGACCTTGAAGAGCATAGTCTCGGGACAAGTGAGGTAAGCTTGGTGAGAGCCATATTTGGACGGTCGACCCAGGCCAGATGGCGTGTAACCGGCCACAATATCCCCTGCTTTATAAGACGAGTCTGGATTGGTGGTCTCAATGACCTCGCCGCAAAAGTCGTAGCCGAGAGTGGTGTTGACGATGCCGAGTTCAGTTGAATGCTTAATATCGGCCGGGTTGGCCCCCGAGAACAAAACTTTGATCAACAATTCGCCTTCCGCAGGTTTAGGAAGTTCCTGCTTCTGAATGACCTCGAATTGGACATTTTGGGTCACAAAGAGTGCTTTGGTAGCGTTGGTCATGGTGAGTTGTGGTGGTTGAGCCTGGGTGTTGCTTCGAAGATCAGAATAGTGCGAGATGATATCAACAGAAAAGGAAGAACTGGACAGAAACTTGGCAGATTTGGTCAAGTTGTAGTATATTTATCTATCGTTCGTTCTTCGTATAAAGTTTCGCGAAATGCGAACATCTGGCCATGGCGGGCACATTGACCACCCCGGCTCCGATTACGTGATCAGTTCCAGAGGTTGAAGCTTTGGAGATGCAAGATCAATTCATAGCACAGCACAATATCAACTGAGTCAGTAAGTATAAAATTCAACGCCCATTGGTCTCAATATACGATACATCACCAAGGCACACAAAGGAGGTTGACACAGGGCTTCAGCGTCAGGTGAGCCAAGATTCCCACTTTCGGGCAACCAACAAGACAAGTAGAAAAAGAAACACGCGTTCCAGTTCACGGCCGTGTTCCTTCAAACGTCGATGAATACGGAGGCGACAAAAAGCAAAGAGTCATGCTGCTTCTGCATGTCTAAGCCACCATCTGTTGGGTTTCACTGTGGGGTTCTACAGGGCGGCGGTGCCCCTCAGGCTGGAGAAGACACGTCTAGTACACTTTCTACCCCTGTCATCTCTTTCACCGACAGGCATTGCTCTGATCACAGTTGAAGTGTCAAGGCTTTTGATGTGACGAGGCTTGTTGAAATGAAGAGGACTGGCCTTTCTCTTGGCTTCTACAGCCCAATGACAAGCCCTCCTACAACTTCATTTCCACAACTTGACTCCCCCCTGCCAGCCCGTCAGCAAGCATCCGACGTTCCGAGGATGTGCAGCACTCAGGTGATGCAGCAGATCAATAACGCGAAAACCGACCAAGGCTGGGCGTCACACAGACAAGGGGCGGAGAGGATCGCTCAGCCTTACCGACACGGGCATGGTATATCATGCAGAGTCAGCACTCGCCCCAGGTTGACGTCTTTCGCACCGTCCCGTTTGACTAAAACTGTTCATTGTCTGACAGGGGTTGGTTTTGGCCCCCACTGCTTGGGTTCACCATCTTTTTGACGCCTGGGTAAGAGGTTGCAACCTGGAGTACAAAAGTCGCCTCACAGACACCATATTCGTTGTTATTTTTGACCAATTACTTCTATTGATACCCGTACCCAAGCATATTCACATTCATATCCTGTCATCGGCATCATGGCGGCCGACAACAAGCAGGATGATGCCGTCAGGACCCAATTCACCGAAATCCTCGATGCCGCCAGCAACCTCTACTCAGACTCTTCCAAAAAGGAAGACCTCGCCAACTTCCTCAACCCTCCGATCAAGTCCATCAAAGACCTCATCAACCAGATAGAGACGCAGAATGAAAAGTTCAGCTCGTTCCGCAAGAAGCGCCAGTCCCTCTTCAGCGCCCTCGCCGCCACCCTCGGCCCCGTCGAGATCGTCGGAGAGATCGTGGCCGGAGGCGCGAGTGACATGTTTGCGCCCGCCGAGGGCATCTTTGGGGCTGTTGTTTATCTCATCAATGCTGCGAGGGATGTTTCGGCTGCGTATGACTCTATTCTCGAGTTGTTTGATCAGCTCAAGGTGAGCGATATCGTGCCCAACCCCGCATCGCAGAATTAACCAGTGAGCAAAGGACTTTACGTCGCGACTCGATGTCTACATCCAGCATCAAATGTCCGACTCTTTACGGAACAAGGTCGTGCATATTCTTGCTACTCTGTTCGAAGTGTTTGTGCTTGCCGCAAAGGAAGTTCGTCGTGGCCGCGTCAAGAGGTACTTCCAAAACCTCGTTGGCGTCGACAGCCCCGTGCAGGGCGCCCTAGACAAGCTCAAGGCACTCAACATTGGCGAGGAGCGTCAGGTAATCGCCGACACGTATGGAGGCGTCAACAGGCTCGAGGTCAAGACGGACGATGTGGCGAACATGGTGAATCAGGTCAACCAGACGGTTCTGCAACTCAAGTCTGAGGCTCGGGAGCGGAATATGGAGTCTGCTCAGGATAAGCTCAAGCAGATCCTGGAGCCTTCGCCATTTCCTGAAGACTTTTTTGCTCTGTTTAACAAGTCGAGGGCAGAGAGCACTGGAGAATGGATCATCAAGGATGATATACTCAAGGCGTGGGTTGACAAGGAGACACAATTCCTCTGGATCTCAGGCGCTGCTGGTAAGTCGCCCTTCAAGAAGTGTATACATCAGCTAATCAGCTATCAGGAACTGGCAAATCTTTTCTCACAACGAAATTGATCGCCTGGGGCACTGAGCATCTGCCCCATGTCGCCTACTTCTACTTCCGCGACAACAACCCAGAGACACGATCGGTTCTTCAAGCGCTCAAGGATGTGGCCTACCAACTCAGCGAGAGCGATCCCTTTTACGCCAAGCAGCTCCTCAAGAGTCTGCGCAGTAACGACGAGATCAGAACAATCCCCAGTGCTTTTAGGAAGCTCCTGGTGCAACCCTTCCAAGAAGATAAGCTCAACAAGGATATTTACATCTTCTTTGACGGCATTGACGAAGCCGACACTGCTGAAGTCGAAGAACTACTCGAGCAACTTGGCTCTGACGATGAGTCTGTCCACAGACCAGATCACTGCAGACTTCAAGTCGCTCTCATCGGACGAACATACATGACAGAGACGGTAACCTACGCTCTCGACCCAGACAACCGAGGCAGCCATGTTGTCAACACCCTCAACGTGACTCCCGACCGCAACGCCCAAGATGTCAGGGCCTACATCGAGGAGAGTGTCTGGCGTCTACGCAACCTCAATCGATCACCTCCCGAGTTCAAGGACAAGATCGTAGAGGCCATGGTCAAGCAAGCCGCAGGACTGTTCATCCTCGCAAAGTTCATGCTCGAGGACATTAGCCGGAAGCGACACCCACAGACGATTCTCCAGAGTCTACAGTCATATCCCAAGGAGATCAACGGCATGCTCGCCCGCACGCTCAAGAATTTGTCCGAGACTCTGTATGAAGATCAAGCCAGTGATCTCAACGAGATGTTACAGTGGGTTGCCTGTGCCGAGGAGGTGTTGAGTCTGGAGCAGTTAGAGGCTGTTCTCATCTTTCGATTTGGTGATCCGCCTTTTCATCTCGAGGAGACTCTGCGAGGACAGTATGCCTGCTTCTTTGAGCTTGAGCGTGAGGATGGTTTGTCCACTGACGATCTCATCCGGGAGCACGAAAAGGAACAGCGCGACCTAGGCTCCGGCAGACGATCAAGCTCAGCCAGTCGTCCTGGCTCTGGCAGAAACGACAGCCCAAGCCAAGGAATCTTTGGCCGTTCGACCGGCACAGATCTAAACCGAAACCTCTCCCCAGGTCGTCGTGGAAGTCCAACACAAGCTCTGAGTCCTTCACGAAGCCCAGGACGAAGTCCCGCCCGCGGTGCCAGTCCCGCCAACAACTCAGACCTCTTCGACCCCATGAGCGAGATGGAGTTCCGATCCAACAAGTCCAACACGTGGGTGACCTTCTTTCACTCTTCCGTCAAGAGTTTCTTCAGTCAGGAAAACTCTGCCAAGCTTGGTGCACCAACTACAGGCCCTACCATCGGCTTTGACCCTCTTGTGGCTAGAATCCACATCGTCAAGACCTGTCTATCCATCTTTACCGACCAAGCCTGGTTCAACAAGCACAGACTGGGCAACAACGGTCGGGAGGCGATCAAACAGTACGCTGCATGGTATTGGCAGGAGCATTTGGCTGTTCTCGACCCAGTGACTGTTCCAGCTGCTGAGAAGCGAGAGCTTGGACAGCGAGTGTACAAGATGCTCACGGACGACAACATCATCCTCGACTGGACTCTCATGTACGAGAAGAACGACGAAGGTCTTGACGTTCTTACAGACTCCAACATGAAGGGTCTTAAGAAGTGGATGAGTGACCCCGAAGTCCTCAACTCGCTCACTGCCGAGAACAGAGAATGGACAAAGAAGGCCCTGGAAGAGAACCCAGGCATCTTCAAGCCCATCGGTGACCTGTACGCCAGAGCCTGGCTGTCAGAGGACTTTAAAAAGTACACCCCCACGCTCTTCTGCTTCAAGATTGTCCAATCCATCGCCTTCATGCAGGAGGGCTACTCATGGACAGACTGCAACCGACACTGGACCGAGATCCCCGTCGACAAGCGTATCGCAAAGGCTGGCGAGTGGGCGCAGATCCCCGAGTCTGCACATTGGCACAGACGCTACGGAAGTACGTACTTGACCAACGACATGAACAGCAAGGCTCTGTTTCACTACGACAAGGCCCTCGCTCTTGACAACAACAGCGTCGAGACACGTGGTCGTATCGCGTACTGTCTTTCGCGGGATGGTCGTTTCAAGGAGGCGTTGGAGCAGACTCTCAAATGTGAAACGATTGAGGAGGAGAGTATTGCTGGTGGTAAGCTTGATGAGGAGGCTCTCAAGGCGAGCAAGTGGCGTTTATACAAGGACCACATTCTCATCGCAACCTGCTATGAGGAACTCGGCAAAGCTGAAGACGCCATCGTGTACTACCTCAAGGCCATGAAGAGCGCCAAGGTCGTGGGTCTCAACAACAAGGCATGCAAGGAGTACTTTGAGCCTGAGCTCGGATACCTAGAGCTCCTGGCCGCTGAGGGTCGACACGATGAAATCATCAAGTTCCTCCACGAGCTTGATGAAGAAATCACAGACACGGAGCATCACCGGACCCAACTGGTCGAGTTTCTCCTAGAGTGGTACAACAAGCCTCTCATCGTCGACTGGATCCCCAAGGCAGCAAGCAAAGTCGGTGCAACGGCCTTCATGATTGAGAGGCTCGAGTTTACAATCGAGGTTGCCACCGCAACTCGTGATCCCCTCAAGGCTTTGTACCTGAGATTGGCACTCGGTGCGACACACACCTATAACCGTGAGATTGACGCTGCCATCAATTTGTTTGAGCGCATCACCCAGCTGGGCTACCGTCCACGTGGAAATGTCCCTACTCGACAGGCCTATGCTCTTGCTTTCCAGAGACTCGCGACACTCTACAAGGAGAGGATCCTCCACGCTGGACTCAAGACACCTGAAGCCAACGGTTGGCTAGACGAGCTCAAGAGCGTTAAGGACCAGCAAAGCAAGCACCAAAACCAAGACATGCCCATCAGCATGGTCGGTTCCGACGTCAACGTAGCAGCCATCTACCTCGCCCTCTTCAACCGTCTCCTCGGCAACACCACAGGCGCAGACCGTGATCTCCGCCAGCTCATAAACGACAGTATCGACATTCTCTCCGACGACGACGTTCAAAACGACGAATACGCACTCGACAACCTCCTCCGTCTCTTCATCGCAGCCGACGACATGGAAAACGCCTTGGCGCTAAGCCAATCGATGCGAAGAATCGATCCCAAGGCATTAACATCCACACCCAGCGATTCACCCGTCGTGCAACGCTCAGAGCCCAAACTCCCCGAGATCCAAACAATGCAACAATCCTGCGCGCAATGTCTCGATCCAATCCCATCTTCGGATTCGTACTTTATCTGCGAGTATTGTATGGAATGCTACGACGCAAAGTGCATCAAGGTGATACAAGGTGAAGGTAACAAGACAAGCGATCACAGAGCAGACTTGATCTGTCGGAGCGACCACAAGTGGTTGACGGTGCCACCGCTGCAAAAGGTTCTGCATAGGGGAGAGATTTTACTCCCGGATGGAAAGATTGCGAGCTTTGGGGAGTGGAAGGCTGGGTTGGAGAAGAAATGGCCGAGGAAGTAGATGAGTGCGAAGCATTAGTGGAGTTGAGGGTGCGTGTTTGTTACGGGAAAGGGATTGAGATTGACAGCGCATCTCAAATTGAAGCATAGCGAAGGTCATTGGGATACACATGTTAGGTAGAGTCTAGATAGACAGCATGGATGAGGGCTGCGGCAGCATGCCCAAAGTTCCGTCGGTGTAACTCGTGGGTGCCGTATATTCTTTGCAATGTGATCAGGATGATTGACCCAAACGTTTAAATGAGATACAAACAGGATTCCCGGGCCGGGATACTCATTAGGAAAAGTTGACGGCTACTGCCCAACGCATATGCATGTCCCCGTCAAGTTTCGTTTCAGGCAACAAGATTTAGGTACAGAGACCAGAGCGATACGACTCGTCCCCTGTATCAGTTACATTAAATTTTATTCACATGCTCTATCTGTCTATCTGTCAACAACACACACTTCCATCATGACCTCCTGCTTGCCCCTGATCGGCCCCATCTCATCTCTATGAGAGCGCCACAGTCACTTATGCATCTTCTCGTCCCATTGTCTCTAGGCTACATTTGCGCTAAAGACGGCACATTCCGTCCAGCCTTGTTGACAGTGTTTGTTCATTGCATGTGCCATGTTGACCCCCTGTCTGACGGGTACACGCAGCCTCATCACCTCTCCAGCTGCTTTGCTTGCTTCAAGAGAAGCGGGAGACAGCGCTCACCTGCAGTAGTCCGTTCAGCCTATGAAAGTCTGATGCTATTTGTTTGCCGTTACCTGAGTCATCGGGTCAATTATCAGCACTCGAGACCCGAAAGCAGCATATATGTCCTCCTTCTCGATCCCCAGTGCCATGGCTCACCGGCAACTCTTCTTCACCAATCAACCAGATGTCAATCATAGGCACCAAACGCACCGCAGACATGATGTCTGACGCTTCCGAGCCCCCCAGACATTACTTGGAGAGTACACTAGACGACCTACCCCCATCATATGTTCTCCTCAATGCCCTGAAAACAGGCGTCAGCATCTTCCCTGACAGTCACAATCTAAATGCCCCTGGTGGCACCGATAAACTCATTGAGCTCGACTACGGGAGTCGTTCGTGCGTCGTCCACAAACCCGGTCAGCCCTTTGTGGTCAAGAAGCTACATCCACGTTTCGGTTTCAACAACCATCAACTCGCCAAAGAGGCAGCGACGGAGGCCATGCAAACAAACGAGGTGTTTGAGTACTTCGAAAAGTGGCAGTCAAAGTCGGGCGTCTCTATCAGAGCTCCAGGGAATGCCAAATGCATCGAGAACTGGCAGGAGTTCTGGAACGCGCACAAGGACAGTCTGCCCAGCCCATGGAACTTCCCGACCCCGGCTCTTAAGATGGACATGATCTACCCCCTTCCGAAGGCTGTAGGGCGTGCCTTGATTCAACAATTCTACCCCAAGCGTGAAGGCTCGACTATGGACCCATATGTGGTGGAAGAGATCTTGAATCAGTACGGAAATCAGCACTGCTTGGTTCAGCCGTGCCTTGGACTCGACGTGCGTCCCAGAAAACCAGGCGACTTCAGTCTTAACAATTTCGAGCTGTCTCTGGCCGACATGCAAAGCATTGGCATCAACGTTGCTGATCTCGCGGCGGCCATGGGCGAGGCTTTCGGCCTCCTTCACTACTCGCGTCGGCTTTTCTGCGACGGCATCAAGTTTGCATTTGGAACTTCACTAGAGAACAAGCAGCACAGGCACAGCTCGCACATCGTCAACCTGTATGTCTTTGACTTTGGGGACTGCTTTGAAATTGACAACAGGGATGAAACGGATGAGGATGGTCTAGTCATGGCCGACACCATGCTCGAACCCGACATTCGAAAGTTCATTCCGAGTCCCCTCAAGAGTCCAGCCCTGTACAATGTCTTCAAAGACGCTTATATTGGCCAGGCTATACTCAAGGAAATCAAGCTTCTTCCCTACATGGTCATGAAGAACTATGAGAGACGTGTAGCCAGGGAGTTTCTGTGAGCCTATGGAGTTATGAATGGACAAGCTGGTGTGGACTCGGGACGATGGATTCAGAGCCAATGTCCAGGCACTCCAACCTCTGTGCCATCCTCAAAACTTCGAGTGATTGGAGCGTTCACCAGCTCAACAACCTCAAAACCAGTCCGTCGGGCAGTTACTGGCGTCGGTCTTGTAGCAGTTGAGGTTAGGGCTGGGGTCGCCTGGGGTCGATGCTGAAGCTGGAGTCTGGTAGAGATAGAAGGAGAGAAGAAGGGAACCTCGGAAATAAACAGTATCGACTAAAAGAATATCTAATCAAGCCTTATGCTTTGCACCTCATTCCCCTCAAAGTCTGCTCTACAGAAGGGACGAGCTTGCTCGCCACCACTAGCTCTGGGGTAGAGGGCCCGAAGCCAGGTCTTAGGGACAGGCGTTTCTTCACCGTCTATTAAATCCATCCTGACAAGTCCGAGCCGACGATACGTGATTGTCTTGCCTTCTCGATTTGGCGGCTGTAGGAATACCAGTAGAGACCAGTACCGTTTCTCAGCTTCATGCTTGGCCAAGGGCAGTAAATAGTACCTGCCGACGTCGGTAGGCAGGGCTCGATCGAGGGAGACTCTCAAGTTCTGATCCTTGTAGATCAAGGCTCTTGAGACCGGACCAGGATGTCCAAGCGGCACTAGTCTCCCCTTCGCATCGACGAAAGCACTTTTGACCTCTCCAAAACTGTCTGAAGCCACGGGAACGGAAGTGGCCTGCTCAACTTGCACCAGAGAAACAGCCCCTTTAGGAAGCTTTTGGAACCGGACGCGCGCTTCCACTGATGCCCAGGACCATGTGGGAGCTGCTCACTAATGGTTAAGACTTGGGTGCAGGCTAGTTCAGGGGGGCATCTCACCAATATAACCACCTTCCCTCTTCTTCTCCTCCTCCAACGTCTCCCAAAGCAGACCATCAACCAGATGCCGCGTCCACAGTCCAGTGATATACTCTGATTTCAGAACCGGCGAGAAAACTCTGGCAAGGCCTGCAATGGCAACGAGCTTGTCGCTACGAACTGAAAGCTTACATCCCGAGTACTTCATGACTGTTTCGTTCCACAGCGTAGAACAGTCTTTCCCCTCGAGACCTGCAGTCCATGCCTTCAACGTTGAGGTAGAGGGAAAGACAGAGGAACGCAAGAACAGCTGTTTGGCCGTCATCTCCCGACATTCCCACACGATAGAGTCTCCAAAGTGTATCGTCCTTGGTGCAAGCAAATGCTCTTGTATCACCCATGCACGACTATTCAGAGGCATGTCTCGATCTGCTTCCACTATCATCTGCGACTCGGGGTCGAGATTCTGTGTCTCGCTGACTCGGAAACAAGTCGGACGAGAGCCGCTGGTACCAAACGTTTGTTCAAGTCCTCTTCGACGACCAGGCCCAGACAAGGTTGGTGTGAAGAAATCGGAGTTGATGTGGTCTGCTTTCGAAGCTGCAAAAGTGATGAGGGCGTTGCGATACACGTGTGCCATGGTGCTTGCTTCCTGATGCCATTCCGACTGCAGCTTTGAGCCCTGCACGATGCATAGAGAGTCAATCCAGAGATAATTCACCTCGAACCACTTGGCCATTTGCACAGCGTCTTTAAATGTGCGCCGCAGACGGGATAGGGGAATTCGATCTCGCATGAAAGTCTTAAGATTGTCGCGGTTGAGCGTGAGGAACGGCCTTGTACCCCATTGATGGCTAAGAGCAATGTAGCGGCGGTCACTCCCCCCCGGAATATCAGCTGAGAGTTTCAACTTCATGTCGCGGACGTCTATCAGGCGAGTTGGTAGCCAGCCGGAATCGGTGTCTTCTCTGCAGTTGCCGTGGGTTGCAAGGCATTTCTTAAGACACGTCTGCAAGGATAGCAAAGCTTCCCAAGAGAAAGGATGTGGCGTCATTCCAAAGAAGTTTGGTCTGGCAGTATAGCTAGAGAGTTCTGGAACAGGATATAGGATCTTGTCCGGGGCCACAAGGTGCACATCGAGTCTCTGGGTGGCCCCCTCTCCAATATCGTGTAGTTCGCACTCAAGCATTCGAAGCCGTTCGTTGGCTCTCTGGCATTGAACACAGGTTCTCGAGGATTCAATGAGCTCATCGAGTGACCTGCCCTTGCCAATAGGGAGAAAGCCTTGTTGATCCTCGAGCGGATACTGGTAAGAGCAGAAGGAGCATTTGCGGCTCTCTAAGTCCGTATCGATCTCGATATCCATTTCAAGGTAATGAGAATTGCTCAAAGGAAACAGTGACGTCTATGAAAGAGCAAGCAATGGATCATTATGAGAGCGGGGGAGTCTCTGGACCAGAGGCAGCCCAGGCTGAATCTGGGATCAGGCGTATTGACCAGCCTGGTGGTAGGCGGAGTATGCATAGCTGTCTGGCAATAAGCCTATTGCATCGGGCGAACCACCCCCCTCAATCATTGAGTATCCAGCTCTCTGCCTTGAGCAGGCAGATAGAGAAAGCAGGAGTGATTTCTTCGACCCGCCTGGTAAGAAAGCAAAAAAGGCATGCCTCATCTTAACCAGACGGTGAACTCTTGGTTGCCCGAGGTGAGCTAGAGGTGAGCCGCAAACCCGAGGTTACCCACAACCGGCCTTGAAGCACCCGCCCCTGCATGACAACCGAACCACGCTGTAAATTAGCGGCTGACTCTATCTCACTCAGTGTGTTCAGCGACATCGGCTGTAAAGTGACGAAATCACACATCCACTTCAACCTCTTCCCCCACGTTTTCCCCAATAAAAAAAAGGTTACCCATCAACACCACCAAACCCTTGCGATAACCCGACAAAGAGTTCAAATATAATGGCGTCGACATCGCAGGAAGCTGAAAAGAAGAAGAAGCCCAGCGCTCTTCGGTCCGTCATTGCCGGATCGACAGCTGGAGCTATCGAGATCGGTACGCACAAGACACACGCAATTCCCCCTCCGAGCTCGAAACTAACGTACCATCTACAGCCATCACCTATCCCGCCGAATGTACGTCCACATAGCCGAAACCACTCTTTTCCCCCACCGAACCGGTCGACTTCGAGAGAGGAAGACACCAAGGTCGAAACAAACCAGAAAATACATAGGGGAGAACTGATGAGGAGCGTCTAGTTGCCAAAACCCGGTCACAGCTCAACCGAAGGTTAGCAGCTGGCGAGAAGCTACCATGGCCTCCGTTTGGCAAGCAGTGGTATGCCGGTTGCACCACCCTGATTATTGGAAACTCGGCCAAGGCTGGAATCCGTACGTGTGAAGCCGTTGCAAGGTGTGGCGTGAGGTTAACGAGGGGCAGGATTCGTTGCGTTTGATCAGTACAAGGCACTCCTTGCCGATGAGACTGGCAAGCTATCAGGACCTCGAACTGTCCTTGCGGGTTTCGGCGCTGGTGTGACAGAGTCGTTGCTAGCTGTGACTCCTACAGAGAGTATCAAGACGACACTGTAAGTCCACCAAACCCCTCTCTTTTACAGTATACTCACCCTCCCAGAATCGACGACCGAAAGCTCCCCAAGCCCCGAATGCGCGGCTTCCTCGACGCCATCCCCATCATCGCCCGTGAGCGAGGTTTCCGCGGCTTCTTCCAAGGCTTCGTCCCCACGACAGCCCGTCAAGCCGCCAACAGTGCCACGCGCTTCGGTTCCTACACCTTCCTGAAGCAACTCGCCGAGTCCTACACAGCACCTGGAGAGAAGCTCGGCGCCGTGGGAACCTTTGCGACGGGTGGTCTGGCTGGTCTCATCACCGTGTACGTGACGCAGCCTCTCGACACCATCAAGACGCGAATGCAGAGTATTGAGGCGCGCAACATGTATGGCAACTCGTTCAAGTGCGCGAGCATCATCTTCAAGCAGGAGGGTGTTTTGACATTTTGGAGCGGTGCGTTACCACGACTTGCGAGATTGGTCATGAGTGGTGGTATTGTGTTTACGCTGTATGAGCAGAGCATTTCGTTCATGGAAAAGGTGGATCCAGAGGGGAGATATATTTAAAGAGGATAATCTTTATAGAGGGAGACTCGGTGTTGAGGCGATGCTTCAAAATACAACAATGGTTTATCAACTGATATGAAGCACATGTATTCACAACGAGGAAGTGAATCGAATCTAAAGATTTGCTCAAACTAGAGTTGTTTGAGACCTACCTGAGGTAATTGCATCGGCATGGATGGCGGTCTTGTGTGCAAAAGTACAACTTTGTGCGTGCATGGGATATTGGCCAGGAAGTCAAGTCAATTTATGATTCATAAAGATGGTCAATAGTCAGTCCAAGAAGACCTACAAATGTCAGTACTGGATCGTTTCCAGGGCCGGGATCGTTTAGATACTCATCAGGCGAAACATCTATAAACTATAGCCATAAACGAAGAGGTAACCCCAGCAATACGAACCAAGCTTCAAGCCATTCATTCCAAGAATCATGTAGATCGTCAGCGGCAATGGCTGCTGCACGCGTGCGTCCATGTGGCTCACGCATCATGGCTATATGCCCGAGAACCAGGAAATTACTGCTGGTCGAAATTGGGGAATGTTTCTGATGCTCGTGTCTCGCACAACGAGCGGTTTCATTGACCTCGTATTGATTGGGATTGGAGGCAACAGTTACGGCCTTGAATACACATTTATAAATAAACGAATGAGGCTTACATATAAATTCCTGATATCGTGGCTTGATCAGTTTCTCTATAAACATTCTCTGATGGCTGATGGCCTCTTATGAAGACGTCATTGATGATAAGAAGAATTCTCCATCATGATAGACAACATGATCTAGAGCTATGTTCAGTAGCAGTTCGATCCCAATCCTACAGACATCAGTAAGTAATAAATGGTTGCTACAAACGCTTGGTAGAGTCAAAAAGACTGTTTATCCTTTGACAAAGTACACACACTGACGGACAGGAACTTGAGGGAATCGCTTTTAATACAGCTAATGTACAGCCAAATGCAACCATATCATATCATCAGTACCCTTTGCACGCCGGCAAACCATGTCTCCTTTTGTATAACCGTCCGCATGTCGTCTCTCGTTTACTGGAACCGAATCATACCGCTCAATCTCTTGCCCAATCTCTCTATCCAAGATCGATTCGGCGCCTCGTCAATCTCCCTAACAAGATCCTCAAAGTATGTAGGCTGACTCTTTGGCTCTAGCAATCGTCCCTTGAGCTTGAACTATCCCCTTCGTTAGCATCCTTCCATGTTAATGTTGAGGTTTGTGCGTACTCGATCGTTGTATCGGTCTTGGAGGAGGAATTGCAAAGCTCGAGCCTTGAGTAGTTCCTCCCGCTCCATAGAGGGCTTGTAGTTTTGGTATCGCTCGGTTACGGCCTTGCCGAGGACATCTTGGAGTTGGTGATCCGGTCGGAGGGCCTGCTTGGGCCAGCGGGCAAAGACGTCGGAGTAGATTTTGCGCTGAAAGAGAAACCGTTAGCTAAACGTTTATCGCGGCTGCATTATAACATGTCTTGACTTACAGATAATGAGCGCGACATTGTGAATTGAGGACAAGGGTGATTCCAGTATCGTACTGCGCAACCGTCAAATTCCACGACGTCAACCATGAAGAAATTCCCAAGAACAGTGTGCCCGTCACAGTGTAAACTCTAATCAAGACTGTCATGCAAGGCCCATCTGATTGGGTCATGTGGCGCCTGCCTGAGGCCGCCACGAGACCCTTGCAATTGATTGCCTCATCACCATCTCTCGACAGAAGCCTGTGATGGATGGGGCATGGTCTGTGGAGGTGGAGTCCTCTCGGAACACAGCCCACCTCGCGAACCACATCCAGGCACTCAGGCTCTTCTAGGGGACTTTTTTCCGCCTGTGGCTTTGTAATTGATTTGGGCGTCTGACTTGTTCTCTTCTCTTCTTTGTACAATCATCACCCCTTTTCCATGTTATTGAGTTCAGCCAAAGGGGTCGAGTGTACGTTTCAACCCGGCCCAGAAAAGGCGCAAGGGTCAAGAAAAGATAAAGCGGGAGTCGTCATCCAGTGCGATTAGTGAGACAGGAGCACAGTGCGCAGGCTGCACTTTAGCGTGTCTCGGCACTACCCACCTGCACATGTGCCCCTATCATTTCTTCCCGGATCCGGGTATTCCAGAGGGTTCTCACACACGCCCGCACTGTGCCGATACCGCCGTGGCCATCCCCATCCGAGTACGACGACCGGGACCCGGCGGCATTATTGATCAAGTCCGCCCCCCGAAACTCTGGCTGCCGTCGCTTTCTCCTCGCCTTCGTAACCGCTGGACGCAACTGCAACGCAACGCAACGCAACCAAACCTTTCCACGTCGTTCCCTTGAAAAAAGCTTCCCCCCCTTTTTTGTTTTGTCGCCTCTTGCGCCCACAAATTGCAAATCTCTCCTTTTGTTATTCTTTTTTCCTTCCTCTCTAGACACTTCAACGTCGCTCCTGTAGCGAGTTCTTGAAGTCGCGTGCGTAACCTCTTTTGTTAGTGGCGAGCGGACCCGGGAGGCAGCCGACACCCGACAATCATCATGTCTGCACGATACGAACGAGTAAGCATCGCGACCCCGATGTATGGGTGTTTTGGACAGTGTAAAAGTTCTAACAGGATACAGGTTAACGCTCACGACGAAGACGACGTCGATAGTCCCGTCGACGCCCGAAACCGCCTTGGTCCCATCCCCAACTCCCCACCGCCCTCCTTCCACTCCCGAGCCTCCTCTCCCACAAGAAACCGCCAAGTCGATCCCGCCCTCGCCGATGCCTTTGACGATGATGACGATAGCGACGACGAGGTGGACGATCGGAGGCGGCTGATGCGACACAACACAACCTCTGCGGCTTCATCCACCGAGAATGTCAGCACGTTACAACCCCCAGTTCAGCCGGCTGCCCCGGTACCGACACCATCAGGGTCAAGGTCGACGAGGATTGTGGGAGGAGGACACGGATCTGATGGTGTTTTTGCCAATCTGTCTGCGCGCCCTGAGAGAGGCTCCAGCGATCCCGAGAAGGACGAACAACCACCGGTATGTGACACCCGATAGACTTTGACAAGGTATTCCAACGCTAACCTGCTGTAGTCGTACGAACAAGCCGCTGCCGACGCCGCTCCCCCATACTGGGAAACGACTATTCTCGCCCCAGGCATGGGCGGCCCCGATGAGGTCTACATCGACGGCATGCCTGTTGGATCCTTCTTCTCCTTTATGTGGAACGGCATGATCTCAGTAGCCTTTACGCTCGTCGGCTTCCTTCTCACCTACCTCCTCCACTCGACCCACGCTGCCAAGAACGGTTCCCGCGCTGGTCTCGGTATCACCCTCATCCAATACGGTTTCTACATGAAGGGTGTCTCGGACGATGAACCCCCAGCGATGAACGGTCCCGACGGCTACGCTGCACCTCCCAACCCCAACTCCCACGAATTCAAGCAAACCGACGTTACGGACGACGACATGGGCAGCATCAGCGGAGGTGAATGGTTGGGCTATGTTCTTATGGTTGTGGGCTGGTTCCTCCTCATCAAGAGCGTGGCCGAGTTTCTACGAGCCCGTCGACATGAGCAACTGGTCCTCCAAAGCCCCGACCGCGGCCTGGGTGTTCCCATCATTGCCGAGACGGAATCCAACGAGCGTGTGGTATAATTGGTGTTAAATGATATCCTGGCGAGCTCTTTTTTGTTTCTGTATAACAATACCATCATCATGCAAGCGCGTCAGATGAGCCTTGCTTTCCCTTTTGGCGTTTTCTGGATGGAGGGATGGAATCTGGGTCCTACTACAAGCTCATTGTTTGGCGCGTCACACGCAGTTTCTTAGTCACGTTTAAAATATATGTTCAGCAGAATCCAATATCATGATGAGCTGTGATTATGAAGACCTGGTGTTACCTCAAAGTACCCTCTACGGACATATGAGGCAAACTGCATCAACAGTAGCATCGAGCCAACATCTAACTAATGTACTGTACCCCATGTCACATCCTGTTAGCGATTGATAGACTATCAACATGGTTGTGGGGTTACCCGTCCGCCACGAACATCTCCCGCTGATCCCCAGATTCGGCCCCGCACAAGCTCCCACCATCAACGTCAAGTCATTATCATCACTCCATCACTGGTCGTCGTTCTTTTGCAGCACCTGATTCCAGTCCTTTGCTTCTTAATTCTTCAAACAACAAAGTAGCCAGCCTCTTACCTCTTCCACCGCATACTCTCCCTCTTGCGACCTATCTCCTCCCACGTTTCCCGACTTCCGCAACACCCCTCGTCATCGTGGCTTCACCCAAGAGGCTGCTTCGGATAGCATCCATTCTCTCAACCTTTTGCCCTCCGGCTTTCCTTCTACGACATAGCCACTCGATACACCGATTCAGCATCAACATGGCTTGGAGATGTACCGGTTCCAGCAACGAGGCGCTCATCGACAATATGTGGAGGAGCGGGCTCATTACTGATGCTCGTGTCAAGGAAGCCTTTCTCAAGGTACTATCCGAATATTTCATATTACCACTACTTTGACTAACAACTTCAGGTTGATCGTGCGCATTATGCTCCGTCAATGCCATACGAAGATTCTCCCCAACCTATCGGCCACTCTGCCACCATATCTGCTCCTCACATGCACGCCTCAGCCATCGAACATTGTCTCGCATACTTAATCCCCTCCTCAATCTCTCCATCACCACGCGTCCTCGATATCGGCTCCGGGTCGGGATATTTGACACATGTAATGGCTGAACTAGTCGGCGAAAAGGGCCTCGTGGTGGGACTAGAGCATATTAGGGAATTAAAAGAACTAGGGGAACATAACATGGCAAAGAGTCCAGAAGGGAGAAAGTTTCTTGAGAGTGGCAAAGTCAAGTTTAGGTTGGGCGATGGGAGGAAGGGATGGGTTGAAGAACCAAGAGAAGGGGAACAGGACGAAGGAAAGGGGTGGGATGTTATTCACGTCGGAGCTTCGGCGGTTGAGATACATCCGGAATTGCTAGAGCAGTTAAAAGCGCCTGGATGGTAAGTTCCCGAGACATTCTGTCAAGATGATACTAATAGTGCGCAGCATGTTTATTCCCGTGGATGACGATGGGATGGGACATAGCCAGCACGTCTGGCGGATCGAAAAGGACGGGAATGGGGAAATTACAAGGAAGAAGTTGTTTGGCGTTCGATATGTACCCTTGACGAATGCGCCAAAGTAGCTGGCTGATCTATGAGGTTTGAGGGAGAGAGGATCAAATTGCCAAGGCGATACCCTATTCATATCCCAGTTTCTTGTCGACTTCATTGCTCGTTCGACCTGCGAAGTGCCAGGTACACTAACGGTACAATACACCTTATTCCAGGCCATGTCACGATCTTGGCTTTTGAGAAACAGGCAAGCTCAATGTTGGCATTGTATTCGTCCTCTAGTCTATAAAGCAAACCCAAACTCCTCAATCATAATCATGAAACCCAATCATAAATCATTTTTCGCAGATCCAAACTTCCAGCGTTTGAGCGAATCCATCAGTCATTTCATTCATCCCGTTTTCCCCTATCGCCTCACATCAGGTACAGACCAAAGATGATGGCCACGATGGATGAGAGGACACCAGAGCTATACAGTCTAGGGCTCTCACTCACAAGAGCAGGGGCATCGCCAGATGCACCGCTGTCTTCACCTGATGAACCGCTTTGTTCGCCCGTGGCATCACTTTGTCCAGCGGAGGCATCACTCTGCTCAGCAGCCGCTCCAGTGTCTTCACCAGCACTTCCAGCAGAGCTTCCTGAAGCCTTATCCTGGTTCTCTGCAGGACTGGCATTGCTATCTTCGCAGTTGTCGCCCTCACAGTTAGGCAGAACAGCGGCGGGGTTTTGCGAAGCAGGAGGTGGCACACAACCTTCAGGGGGGCAACCATTGGGAGTCGAGTTGTTTGCGGGAGCAGGTGTCGCAGCTGGGGCGGGAATAGGAGCCGGGATGGGAGCTGGAACGGGAGTCGCAGGAGGGCATCCCTCAGGGGGACAAGCATTGGCAGCGGCTTGCTTCTGGACAGCAGGAGTAGCTGGTAGTACAGGCTCACCGCATCCTCCGGGAGGACAAGAGTCAGCAGCGGCCTGCTGTGCCTGAGCCACGGGAGTGGGAGGGATAGGTTCACCGCATCCTCCAGGGGGGCAGGTAGCAGTGGGAATAACAGGCGGAATGGTTTCCTCAGGTGCAGCGGCGGCTCGTCCAGGACAGTCAACGACTTCAGGAGGACATTCGACAACGACCTTGACCTCGGCCTTTTTGCAGTCCGCCTTTTCAGTTCCTGGGAGCTGCCACAAGCTGAAAACACCATCGCCTCCACACTTTCCACTCGCATTATCCCCAGGAATACAAACAGTTGAGCATCTGGCCTCATCCACAAGTTCAAAACTCATGGGCGTCGCATCCTCGGGATCATCGCAGTAGCAACCACCCCCGATGGCGACGAGGTGTGCTTGTCCGATGCAAGCTTCGAGACAGGCTTCTGCTGAAAATGTGGAGTCATCGAAGGGCATTTTCTTGGGGAAGCTGGAGGGTGATCCTGCGACGCAGCCGACGTATTCAAAGTTGGATGTTGGGTGGGGGACGGGAGAGGCGAGGATGGTTGTTACTGTGAGAGCCAGGAGGCTTGTGATGAGTGTTGTTGGTGCCATGTTGTTCAAGATCGAGAAGTGATGAAATGATGTCTTTGAGGATGGAGTGCTTGTTTTTATCTCTATGAGTTGCAAGTTGTTGTTGTAATTGTTGTGAGTTGTTTGATGAGATCGATTCTGAGCTCGACTTACACCAGCGCTATATACTTCTTACATCTACTCCCAACCTCTTGCTCCTATTAAAGACGGTATTTCCAAGAACAACCCAACCTTCATTATCTCAACAGCTGGATGCCATTGTGTGTCAATCAATGGACAGCAACTTCGTTCCAGACAGCGGCACACGAGGTCGGCCGTCTTGGCGGTTCGTTGTCTTAGACAACACCAACCTAGCGGTGAACCGGGCACCAGGCCGCCGACTCAAGCCGGAATGTTTAATTCTCTTGAATCAGGCTGGTAAGCGAGAAAAGTAGCCGTCCCGCCATTTCACGGTATTTTTGGTTACCGGGTCGTCGCCCGATACATGGTTGGCAAGGTGAAACTGACCCCAGATTTGAATCAAACTTGTTCTCAGTTCATATCAATATGTATAATAGAATAGAATCAGCTTCCTCACAATTTACCGTGTCTTTCCAACCATTTCCTTGACCTTAACCTCCCAACCTCCACCAGTCTCACCTACACAGCAGTGGGATACCCCTTACAATCCGGCGTCACAGTATCATACACATACTCAGTCCCCGCACATCCACCAGGACATTTCCCATCACAAGCATAGCTCGTGGTGACAGTAGCAGCAGTAAGAGGACATCCACACTCAGACTTGATAGTAGAAAGAGCCATACACATGGGCATGACACAAGTCGAGCACCGACCAAGAACAGATGTGACAGTCGGACACGCAGGCTTCTTTGTAATAGTAGGATGAGGGTTACCGTAGGTGGATGCGTAGATGTAGGAAGTGGAAGCACAGCCGTCGGGACATGTATTCTCGGCGCAGGGGTAGGATGTTGTAACGGTGGCGATCTTGGGGGGGCAGGAGCGTGGGTTGGAGATTGTGGAGAGGGCGAGGCACTCTTTGAGGACGCAGGTTGAGCAGATCTCGGCTGTGGTGGTGACGGTTGGGCAGGGCGTGGTGGTGGTGGTGCACTTTTTACCAGCCAGAGAGAGGGGGGTTCTATGAGTGTTAGCATTGGCATTGGTATGTAGATGGATAGATGTCTTACAGGGCGAGCAGAGTCGCAAAGATAGGTAGAGACCACATGGTGAAGTAGAGTAGTCTTGATCAAGGTATAGATGAATGTCAAGCAAGTAGAATAGTATATGCAATGCAAAGCTATACAGTTCCACAGCTAAAGCACAAAACACCACGAGGGCATCAACCAAGCATTATATACCCATCCACCCTCGTCTCCCGTACAACGCCTCAGCTGTCATTTGCATAGCCCGACATCCGGTGCTCTCCCCGCAAATTGAAGGGATCGCCACGTTTTTCTGTGGCTGCAGCGGCTCATACGTACCTACCGAATGATACGAGGTGTGTCGATCAATCTGCCGAAGCATGGACAGGGTAGTAAGCCGTGTGTATGTGAAACGGAAACGTAGATTGGTTAGGGGCTAAATGATGACCCGGTGACGCCTAGGGATTTGCACAAGGGGAATACGAGCATGATGCAAGCCCAGTGAGATAAGATGCAGCAGAAATGTCCCAGCGACGATCCGATGGGAAAAGTTCTTAATTTGGTATATTCTTGTGTTTCCCTCTCCTCGTCTCAGCTGGTTCGTAAGACGGTGTGTGAGCTTATTCCCTTGGCTGATGCATTTTGGGGCAAAACCGATTAAACTCTCTTGCTGCCGTTGGAATGTCTTTGCTCTTTGCTACAGTAATGACGTCTTTTGTTTTGGTGTCTTGTCCAATCATGAGTAAAGCGGCCTTTAAGGAGACCGGCTAATCGGAGTAACCAGATGCGACCTGGCTGGCCTCATGGATGTAAACAATGCACAAAATATCTTCAAGTTCTGTGATTCCTCAACATTTTCTGAGTGGCTTTTTGTTTTGATGAGATTCATGGCCAGTGAGTTGACCTGTTGTTGCATGTTTGCATCAATGCGAGCAATGTCCTCCGAGAGGGATGTCATTGACAACACAGCATCAATGCATGCACTTACATGGCTCTATGCTTGCCAATGGCTTCATGATGGTCCTCCTGAGTGATCATTTTCACCAAACCAGGCTCAATCACAGATTGTAGAAGTTCCGGCATAAGACGGACAATGTCTATCATTATATCTCCAGGTCGACGTCTATAGTCTATTCCCATCTATGCCCTTTACTTCTCTACTTTTGCTCAGCCTTTTCCTTCTTCCACTGATCAACAACCTCCTGCACAACCTTGTCCAAATCCTCATCCTCAAGACCAAGCTCCTCCATAGCAAACGCCTCACCCCTCTTTGTCCAGTCCGCATCCAGAGTACCAAGCACAAACACAATCTCCTCCATGGCGTGCTTGCTAAAGTTGACAGACAACTTGTTCACCTCGCGCTCAAGGAATGCCTTGGAGTCGACAAACTCCCGTGACCAGGTTGCACCGGTGGCCTTTTCCAGGGATGCGAGCACTTCGAGCTGGGTTTTGCGGAAACTTTGGACGTAGAGGAGGCGGTTCTTTGTTGTGTCAGGGCGCTTGAGGACTGCGACGAGGGCTTCTCCCACACGGCGGAGAGTAGCCGCTGAAGCTGGGATATCACCCTTGTCAAGAATGACAGCCTCATTGGTGTCGAGGTTAAAGTGCAGCAGTCCATCACGGATACCAAAGTCGAAAAAGTGACCACAAACGAGCGACGTCCACGAGAAACCTGGGTTCTCCGCCGCAAGCTCAACACACTTCTCCCTCACGAGATCCTTATCACGGTAAAGCTTCAACAGCTTCTTGGCCTCCTCACTCTGCGCATCACAGCTGCCAAAGTCGGCGGGGATGAACCGCTTGACACCAGCCTTGGCCGAAGCCTCTGCGAGTCGCAAGTGCTGCGAAACATCCTTGAGCGGGAACGATGCGATCACGACGTCTTGGCCTTTAAGAGCGGGCACGAGACCCTCGACTGACATGTCATCGGGGATGGTGACGGAGGTGGTAGACGAGGCATAGGCGGGTGTAGAAGTAGAGGATGCGCGCTTGGCGACAGAGATGTCGAATGACTTGGAGGCGACGAGACCTTCGAGGAGGACGGTACCGAGGTTACCGTTTGCACCGACGAGAAGGACCTTGTTGAGAGACATTTTGTAATCTTGCACGAGTACAGAGAGTGTAAAGAGTAGAGAAAAGGTACAGAAACAAGATGAAAGTCAAGCTCGTATTGATGATGCCATGCGACATCGGCGGGGTAACTCCAAACACATCATGACCGATGCGGGGCATGAGCTGCCTCATGCAGGACAATTTGATCAAAATCCCTCCAGTGCCAACAGATTCTTCGCTCCTAGATGCTCTACTCTCCATAGACTCATCGAACCATCGGGACTCTCCTCCGACTGGATAAAATCGGGAGTCCATTCCGACATGTGGATCGATCCCGTCGCCATCGACTTCCAAGAAATACAAAAACAGGAAAGCCACTCCGAGGATGATAAAGCTTTATCTACCATGGTATATATACTCGGCCGTGTCCCGTTCGGCTCAATCCGTACTCCGTCCTTTCGGCTCCGGAACGTTGACAATCGCGAGTCCCGGCTCCGGGGTTTGTGCTCTTTATCTCCGGCCGCGAGATCCACTCGGCCTCCGAGTCTTGAGCGAGGGCCGGGCTACCCTACGGCGTACGAGCAATGTATAAGCCAATTGGAAATTTTACAGATATTCTCAGTGTCGTACACTGTTTCAATCAATATAATGCCTCGGACTGTTTGCTCTTAAATCCGTTAGATCGCGACTTGGCCCGCTTGTGCATTGTTCCTGTTTCGTCTAGGTAGGCAAGGTAACCTGCGTAAGTCGACCGTTTACACGTGAAGTCATGATGAATCAATGTCTCAAATTCAGCTATTTAAGAGAATATCCTCCCTGATATGTTCTCCTCAACAATTCGCATCACTCCAGATACACTCATACAATCACAATGACAGACAAGGAACTCGTTCTCATCACTGGCGCCAACACTGGCATTGGCCTCGAGACGGTCAAGGCTCTTTTCCGCTCTCCCAAAACCTACCACGTCCTCTTGGGCAGCCGTAGTCCCTCCAACGCCGACAAGGCCATTGCGCAGCTCAAGGAGGAGTTCCCAGATGTCAAGAGCACTGTGGAGCCCGTCCAGATCGACATTGCTGATGACGAGTCTATTCGCAAGCTCTTTGAGCACGTCAAGTCTAAATATGGCAAGCTTGATGTTCTCGTGAACAACGCCGGTAAGTAGCGTGCTCTTGACAGCTACAGGCACATCACTTACAACAGTCACAGGAGCTTCTTTCGACCAAACTTTGGACCAGGATGCTGCTGATCCTGCCTACCTGCGCAGCCTCTACAACAAGACCTACGACGTCAACGTCTCTAGCACACAGGTCATCACTGCCACCTTTGTTCCCCTCCTCCTAGCTGGATCGTCTCCCCGCCTTATCTTCCTCACCTCGGGACTGTCAACGCTCGAGGGCTGTCACAAGTCCCTCCTAACCAATCTCGCTCGCGATATCCCCAGTGGATGGCCAAAGATGGATGTACGCACAGCCACCGCTTACCGTTCCAGCAAAGTTGCTCTCAACATGGTCATGCTGTCATGGTACCATCTTCTCAAGGAGGACGGAGTCAAGGTCTGGTGTATCAGCCCTGGATTTTTGGCAACTGGTCTGGGAGGCAATCCGGAAATGTTGAAGAAGGCTGGTGCTGGAGATCCCGCCACGGGAGGAGAGCTGGTCAAGAAGGTGATTGAGGGTGAGAAGGACAATGACGTTGGAAAGGTTGTTGGGCAGCCAGGTGTCCAGCCGTGGTAAGAGGTCATGTTTCGTGCTAAATTGGTTGAGTCTCCTCACCAGTGACAGCTCTAAATGACGCTCTAGTGATTGTTAGAAAATTGCAACGTGGATAGAAAGCTTAATGCCGCTATTCTACCAGCTCATCATCTGCCCGTTAAAGCCACAGTGATGATGAATCTGTCTCAAGCTCTAAGCGGCCAAATGCGAAAATAGCAGCCGAGGATCAACAGAGTTTAGTTTTTCGGACAACTCATCAAGACTGCGCGGCCGAAGCTCCAGATGATCCCCGAAGCGCCAAAGGAACTTTGGTAGGCGTATTTCCTTCTCTTCTTGGCGGTTCATGCGTATAAAGTGATACGTCATGGTGGTGGTTCGCGATTAATCCAGCCTTACGGTAAACGCCGTTGGTGGAGCGACGCCGGGAACCCTTGGACGGCATCGGCACGCGAGTCGACCCCGAACCCTTGTTGCAGAGACGAATAACAAACAGGGTCGGGTTGACTTTTTGGGGTCAGCTCAGAATAGCAATGACGGGGGAATGCCTGAGTAAGAGAGGATGATGGATGGATGCAGCGTAAAGGATGACCCAAGGACAGTGCGTACAGCTCATAAACTGTATTTCAGCCACCATCACGGCATTACGTTGTGAGAGCCCCCCCTGCGTTATGGTGGCTAATACAGTGCGGACACCGCCACAGGGCAACCGGGGACCCGCGGGTTCCTCACCCACGACCCGGTAACCATGCGGGCTCCGTCGAAGCGGTAGAGTCCCGGCGAGTCTAGAAGTGACTCCCCCTGCTGCGCCAAGTGACGTCGGCAGTGCGCGTCCCGACGCGTCCCCACAACCCATGGATCAATCCCCCAGCCTCAAGCAAAGTCTTTGAGACGGTCACGGTCAGAGTTGTAAGTTTTTGGTCTGTGAAACCGTGTTGAGGTGACAACAATCATGCTTTGCCAAGCTTCAGGCCTCCCCCAAAAGACAAACAACAACCTCATCGGAACATGCTCAGGCACCAGAAATCGTTCAGCCCAGCCTCATCATCGTTTGAGAAATGGACCCTGCCAAGCGAAAATGGGCGTCCAAGCACAGCCCCCGCCAGCTGACGTTGGGTTTTCGCCCTCTGAAAGAACATAGCCTTTAGAAACCGAAAAAAAAATAAAAATAATGCCAAATCAAATCTTATTATAGCTGTCCTCTAATGCAGGGCTGATCCTCATTATTCACCTCGCCTCGCAGATCTCTTTTGTTCATCATCTGCCACGTCGTCGGACGTTTTACTAGGTAGTTGCCGTTTCGTCTCGCAGCCCAAAACCCAAGCCAAGACATAATTAATACCTCGACTTGACCATTACTCTTTTGTTCATCTGTCGGTCAGAACCTTGTTTATTCCTCCTTTCATCAATCTCCCGACAAATAAACAAAAGAGGCTGGAGACGGTTGGGTCCTTATCAGATTCTCGACTCCCTGTTCTCTCACAGGTTGCCTTCCTCCTAACAAATACTCCACCTCCACCACATTCCCTCCCCCACGCAGATCCGGCAACACCCTCCAACTCCAAGAATGGAAGCTCGTTCGCTTTCCGCTCTCAACAACCTCGCGAGCAATCCGCCGCAATATCCCATCAACCCTGCGCAAGAGAGGCAAGATCCTCTCACTCTCTACATCTCCAGAGTTCCCGGTACTCGAGGTAAGATTTTGGTTCACCTTCAACTCCCGTCATCGGAGCTGACGCTAACCGCCTCTATCAGATGTGATTCTTTCACCCTTCAAGCCGCAGCTCAAAAATGTTACCGGCGAAGATGTCGCCAACTGTCTTTACTATGTCCATCACGAAGCCCCCTCGACAGAACTGGTGAACCCACCACCTTTGCGAGATGACGGCCACCGATCTTCGAGCGACGACAGCTCCTCGATGCGAAATATTCCCAGGAAACCTCTACCTGGGTCAGCGAGACCCTTGACACCTCCCACCCGCGACCATCTCCCAGTTCCTGCTTTCAGCAGCGAATATCAAGATCCTGGCCGAAGACGTGGGCTCTCGGTCAATTCAAGCTTGGATGCTGCTCAGCCAAAGCCCGTATGGCCAGGTAACAAGCATTCGCTGGACGAACCCAGGCCTGACCTACCACCTCGACCGACCCCCGTGCCTACAATTCAGGCTCCCACTTCGCCTCTTGCCCAGAAACCAGTCGGTCCCCGACCAATGTCTAGTCCTGCGACCAACCCCGAAAACGATAAACCTCTTCCACCTCCCCCTGGGCCATACCAGGCAGCCAACTTTGATCATATGATACGGGCGAGCCAGGTTCCAGCGAGAGCAACCCACAGTCGATCACCGTCGCCGAGAATAAGCTACGAAGGAAAGCCTTTTACACTGGCTCTGATCCGTCGTGATCCGAGCACAGGAAACCAGTGGAACGTCGCTCACGTCTCATCGATTCAGCCCGACGGGCCACAGCCAGATCAGGATGATTCAAACCCACTCTTCGGCTCCGTGCCACCCGTCGCGCAATCGCCGAGTAACGGAAACGCTCCCATCAACGTACAAATCGAGACCCTGGGTTACGGAAAGTTCCGCGGCATGCCCGCGAGGCGAAGCTTCGACGCCGGCCCTGGTGCAGATGCTAACCAACCGAAGGACGGAGGTGTCGTTCTCCAGAGAACGGTTGCTATGGGGTACACAAAGAGCTGGGCATCCAATTGGCGAGAAAAGCTTAACCAGGATGGACGAGGTCACGGCCGATCGGGAAGTGTTGGGTCGATGGACTCGGTTGGTGAAGCTCAGTCTCCTATCGAGCCGCAGATTTCCATGCAGCCCGGCCCAGGTCTGAGGCCTCGGGGGCACATCTTTACGAGCCCCTGGAATGGCAGATGCGAGTTCCGCACTGCTCCTTCTGGGCGCAGTCTCAAGTGTTACCACGTCTTGCACGATGATCAGCAACCATTTAACCCTCTCGCAAACCAGGGTTTTGGTCCACCTCAAGCCAGCAGCATGCTAGTGAGCGAGCTGCGCTTCAACCTGCCGACGGCCGAACTCTTCAAGTCCCCTGAAGGTCGTGAGGAGGTAAAGAGTCAGATTCAAGGGCACTTCAACAAGCTCCTCAAACGAGATGGTCGGAGCGATGTTTCTTACGACGACGACGGCATGGTTTCACCATTCGATATCAACCTAGGTAAAGAGAAGGCCGGCGGTGGTAACCGCGGAAAGAGGGCCAAGCTAGGAAAGCTCATTATCCATCCTGACGGCTTGAAGATGTTGGATCTGGTTGTTGCGGCCAACATGGGTCTATGGTGGCAAGCATGGGAAAGAAGCTTCTAAGCCGGCATATTGATTGCATTTCTGATTTCACGGGATTTGCATGGAGTTTGGGATTTTGGTGGAATTATTAGCATCTGCTGTACTTGATACCTTAGAGCTGCATAGCCGCGAGGACGAGACGACGTGACGAGGCATTGGATGGAGGATATGATGAATGACCACTCAACTTTACGGCCAGTTTGCAAAGATACCAATCAGAAGCAAGGAATTAATTCTTATGTATCAAGTAATTTTTAATTGAACCTGTTTTGCACTGTCAATGGTGACGACAAACTTGAGCGATGATGTCTTGTTGATGGCGGTCACGTGCTAGGTCACGAGTACAGCAACCGCCAATCATCTGCCTAGCATTGTAATCTCCAAATCCCGCTGAGCAACTTTCCCGAGCCGAACACATCCATCACGTCAATCCCTCGCCTTCCGCCCTCAAGCCGAACCCGACCCAATTGACCTCGTCGTCAATTGACCTCCGCCGAGTCCTACCCGTCGTTCGACCTCCCCGAGTTAATCAGAGATGGCCCCGGCCCTACAGGCCTCGACGGCCATGCTCGCGCGCCGCCAGCTCACCACCTCGAGCTCCCTCGTGGCCGCGAGACTCTTTGTCGCCCAGCAGCGAGGATACGCGACACCCCAGGGACCTCCCCCCGCCAACTTCCGAACGAGCAGACAGGTAAAATGGACGTGGGATAACGAGAGCACCCTGGACCGCGTGGGCAAGTTTTTCCTCATGACGGAGATGGCGAGGGGCATGTATGTGCTGCTCGAGCAGTTCTTCCGACCACCGTACGTTTACTCCATTGGAATCGAGAAATAGGGTTTTGGAAGTGTCGGAATGCTGATGAGAATAGTTACACCATCTACTACCCCTTCGAGAAGGTATGCCAGAGCTTCACGTATCCGCCCGGACCGAAACATGAGCTGACCCGCCGTAGGGCCCCATCTCTCCCCGATTCCGAGGCGAGCACGCCCTCCGACGATACCCCTCTGGTGAAGAGCGATGCATTGCCTGCAAGCTCTGCGAGGCTGTACGATTCACCATGTCCAACAATGGGGGTTTTATATGCTGACCCAGATAGATCTGCCCCGCCCAGGCCATCACCATCGAGGCTGAGGAGCGAGCCGACGGATCCCGCCGAACGACCAAGTACGATATCGACATGACCAAGTGCATCTACTGCGGTTTCTGCCAGGAGTCTTGCCCCGTCGACGCCATCGTTGAGAGCCCCAACGCCGAGTACGCTACCGAGACCCGAGAAGAGCTGCTGTACAACAAGGGTGCGTTGTCCCAATTGATTTCGCCGACGAGATTTTGTGTATCCGAGGGCTTAATTGAGCTTCTTGGACGGTCATTTCTCTTTTTCCGAGTTCCTATGGCCGTCTTCATGATCCAATGCCTGCTCGGACATACGATTTGAACCCTTCGGCTAACATGTCAAACAGAGAAACTCCTTTCCAACGGAGACAAGTGGGAGCCCGAGCTCGCAGCCGCCATCCGCGCCGACGCGCCATACCGATAAACCCAAAAATCCAAACATCTACGAAAAGGGAGACGGAGACTATCAATTGCATTATTTGCCCCATTGTTTTGCTGCCTTAAGCTGTTTAGCTGTTTAACGTTGTAGGAACATGTTTTTTTGATGCGGCGGGGCATGAAACAATGTCTGAAAGAGTGGCGAGGCCCTTTCAGACGGTGGTGGAGGAGACGTGTTGTATATAATCTAGATCTCCAGAAAACGCCCCTTTGTCACTCATCGGATATGGTTGTCTATTGGTGATGTGAGATGAGAGGGAGGTCTAACTTGATTAAGCAGGTGACAACAGAGTCAAGACGTGGGAGGTGATAAGAGAGTCAAATAGGAAGTGATACGAGAGTCGAGGAAGATGTAGGTCTATTGATCTAGGTGGAATCTCGACTGACTACCTCTTCAGCTCGATTACGACTATTAACTTCGAATTCATCAACGCCATTCAATGCTTCTACTGCTCAAATCATCATCGCTCAGCACTTCTTACTCTCAGGCTTGCTATCAGCCGCCTGGAGCGCAACCTCCATGAGTCCCGAGGCAACCTGCCTCATCCACATATGATACTGGGTCTTGCCGGGGTAAAAGGGACAAGCCTCGGATCCGCTCTCCTCGCCAAACTCGATGGTGTAGGCCTGCAGCTTTCCGACGCCGCACTTTGCCGCGTAGAATCGACCCTGGGCGTAGTCGGTGCTGGCTCCGGCAGTTGGGTACAGACCGACAGACTCCATGACGGCGTACAGGGTGGCGCCGGCCTTTTCCATGGCCACCTTCATGCGGTTCGCCAGCGACTTTTGGACAGTGAGGTCCTGGCTCTTAATGTACTCCTTGTATCCAGTCTTGACGGGCTCATCACCCACGACACCACGGCGACCGTCGTACTTGGAGTTGAGGAAGTTCTCCTTGGGATCCTTTGTCTGGGCGTTGTCATCACCCCAGGCATAGAGGATATCACCACCGAAAGAGTGCAGGTCGATGAACCAGGTCAGATCCTTGTACTTGTCCATAGCCCAGACAACACTCTTAGTCTCGGGCTCCGAAGTGGGCGACGTGCCGTGGAACACCTCGCTGGAAGGGTCATCCGAGGAAACACCCGAAAGATCAGCGTCGGGGCTGAAAGCCTTCTTGTAGTCCCAGATGAAATCATAGTTGCGGTTGATGTCGATACCGATCTTGTCGGGTCTACCCTTGGAACTCTTGGGGTTACGGTTCTTGCGCCAGCACTCGTTGGTGGCCTGGTCGTACTTGACGCCGTCAGGGTTGACGAGAGGGAGGATGACGATGCCGGCGTCGAGGGCCTTGCGGACCTGAGCAGCGGAAAAAGTCGTCTTGCCGTACTTGAGGCCCTTGTTGGCCTTGCGGGCGTGCAGCAGATCCGACAGGAAGTAGACCACATTGTCAGGTCCACCGCGCTCACGGGCGTGCACGCCACTGATGATGAGCAGCTTGGGCTTCTTTCCAACCTTGGCGCCCAAGAACTGGAAACCCTCATACGACTTGTACGGAGGACGGATCAGCTCGACATCCTTGAAAGTGTTTGCGAGACCCTGAAGAGCAGACGAGACTTCAGTAGGCGTGAGGATGGACTTGAGGTCGCGGTCAGAAGTAGAAAGACCCTTGGGAACAATGGCGCCCTTCTTGAAGCGATCACCCTTTCCGATGGGAAAGTCTGGTTCCGGACGGGATTGTCTGGCGTGAAGGGCAAAGTGGTTGGCCTCACGCGAATCCCTAGGGACGAGGTCCGAAGGGAGAAGGCAGGCGGAGGCCGAGAGGGCAAAGGCGACGAGGTGAAGCTTCATGATGACGAAAGGGTTACACGAGGGATGAGGAGAAGAAGCATGAGGAGGAAGAGAGTGTGTAAAAGAAGGTGGACGTTGATGGCTTTTTATCCTGTCTTGTAAGGCTCGTGTGTCCCGCCCCATGCAGGATGAGCTGTGCCAGCATAGGAATGATGCTTCGTCCCCCAAGCCTCCTTCCTATCCTAGCCAATGTATCCTCCCTCGATCAACATGTCTCCCCTGGAACCCGTTATCCCGCATACCTTACCTTGAATAAACTTCTCGGGCGTTTGCGAGGATGCTGGGTGGTGCTAGTCAAAAGGTCAAAGAAGCGGGTCGGAGGAACCGTCTAGATCTGGGAGGTGCGAAAATAAGTCTATCTCTGATCGACCTTTCGGGGAACTTTTGGTTTCACTCATATGATTGGACAAGAGTGGAGGGGACATCATGCGACGGTTAGACGAGAGGTCGGGATTTGTTTATGCGCAACGGGAACGTTTGCTGGACTTGGCAGGTAGGATCTGCGTCTTGTTGATAAGTTGAGTTTGAGTTGCAGGAGAGGGTTACTTTGAATGGATGTTTGCGAGGTACAGGAGCTATTTCCGGTGGTTGGTGTTGTGGCTTTAGGGTAGCTTGATGGTGGGAGTGAATTCACCGATGGAGATCATTTTGGTATGTTGTTTAATGTATAAGAGAATATTCAAGATCCGTTGAATAGAGGAGAGCAATCCATTTAGACACGGCTCATTTGTCCAAGTACCATATCATTTGACATGGTTATTTACTTCACACCCCAAATAAGCCTAACAACAAAAGTCAGCCTCAGCTGGTATGTGCCTCCTCGGCCATGCCGTTGAGACACGGAGAACTCAATACTCTCAGCCCCAGAAAGACGATATACAGTATAAAGTCTCGTAGGTAGTTCATAGATCAATGTTAACCAGGTCTAGTCTCCTCGGAACCTCCTCCGGAACCATGGCAGCTGTGTATGTGGGACCAATGAGGATAGGGTAGATTTTGCTGACTCGGTAAAAGAGCGAGGTGAAGTGTGTTTAAACAACAATTGAGCCTTCAAAACGAAATGAATAAATCTACAAAAATTCAGACTCGTTAAAAACACACCACAACACATGAGACCGCACTTACAGAATCAATCCATCCCTCATCATCGAGTTACAGCATCCAACATGATCCCCATCTTCCCATCTCAATTATCCTCGGCACCCTTTAACCAATCAAATCATCCATTTCCCGCTGACGTATCTATCTCCGGCCAACCACCACCGAAGGCCGAAACTCTCAAGGCAATCAAATCACGTGACGCTTCCAATCCCAGCTAGCTCCGACTCTCTCCAGAAACAACGAGAAATTTATCATCACCACCTCCAAACCCGGCCTCATCAACCTCCAACTGCTCACTCTCCTCCCCACCAATTGAACAGAATCCTCGTTCAGGCAACTTCAGCAATCATGTTCCGTACCGCCGTTCTCCGATCCGTCGCCCGCGTCGCCGCCCGACCCGCCGCCGTGACAAGATTCGCTGCCGTCGCTGCCCCCCGCGCCGCTACCGCCGCCGTCGTCCCCAAGATCCAGAGCTTCCAGGGTGTGCGGTTTTACAGCGCCGGCGGTGCGCTCAACAAGGAGGAGGTTGAGGGTCGCATCATGAGCTTGCTGCAGGGCTTTGACAAGGTGAGTTTCTTGACTCTTCGGGTCTCCCGGGTGGATGAGGGCATTGGGGAGGGGTTGGATGTGGGTTGGATGTGGGTTGATGGATGCTGAGGCATTGATCTTGCTGAGGCGAGCATCTTGTCAAAGCTGACATCAATTCTACCGTCAACCGTCAAATACCGACTCTTCAATGCCTATATCCAACCTTATCAGTCACATCTGCTAACAAACTCCACCTCAGGTCAACGATGTCTCCAACGTACGTCTCGAACAGCTTGCACATACTCTTCAAACCTAACACACCAGCAGATCAAGCCCGCCGCTCACTTCGCCAACGATCTCGGTCTCGACTCTCTCGACACCGTCGAGGTCGTCATGGCCATCGAGGAGGAGTTCAGCATCGAGATTCCCGACAAGGATGCCGACTCCATCCACTCCGGTACGCTCCCTCCCTAGCTTCACTGAATCTTAATACTAACCCCCCTCTAGTCAGCCAGGCTGTCGAGTACATCCTCCACCAGCCCGACGCCAACTAAGCGCCCTTGTCCTTCAACATCCCCCTCCCCCTTGTACAATTAAACTCCCATGACACACAAACCCCCTTCTAAATCCTTGGGATACCACAAGGATTACTCTCAGACACCCTCAGAGGCGCCGAAAAAAACTTGGGGAGGGGAGAGGATAAAACAAAATCCAAATCTTAATCTCGGCGCATGATGAGAATGGTTGTCAATTTTTTTTTATAAGACGGCTGCGGACAAATGGGGACGGGCCCGGAGAGAGAGAGACATTCGTACGAATATAAAAGAATTGGCGGGAGAAGAGTGGTCACCGCTTGATTCCCCGAGTGTCCTTGTTAAACCCTATTTTCTCGAGAGGTGATCGTGAAGTGGTTTGGCAATGGGCACCTGTCTTCCAAGGGATGTACGATCGGGAGCATTGTTTGAATCTCTACTACTGTGGCTTTTACCTTGACCTAGTGTATAGAAACACCCTACTGATCTACATGGCATCACTGTGCGTGATCGGGTGTTGCTCAAGTTGACGTTGCAGGTGTGAGTGAGCACTGAGGGGAAGTTCAAGGTGAATATGACCAAGAAAACAAGGACTAGAGATCCCTAAGCCGAGTCAGATATGACAATTCTCGGGCTAAGAACGCTTTAAACCGTCGCAATCCATCTTGAGCCTCAACTTCACTACGTATCTATCGACTCAACATCACTTCATCAAGACTCAATGAGCTCAAAGTCAGTAGCCAACCTGGCCCAGCAAGTATCGCTTGTTCAGTTATCCATCCTCTGTAGGTAGATTTTCTTGCATGATTCCTCCCTGACAACTTCAACGGGGTCTCAGACCTCCCCTTGTGCATGTTTTTGTAATCCCAAAACCCATACCAAAACACCGCGCCCAGACACACTGAGGTTGACCAAGTTGGACGACAGGCACCAAGAAATCACAAATCCCCTTCCTACAGGAAACTCGTGACATCGAAGCGAATACTCGTCTCGACAAAGCCGACAATCCAACTCTTAACCTGCAATCTGCCTGGGCATATAGATAAACAAACTCAGATAACCCTCCGCCCCAAAAGATTTGATGGTGATTATCAAACAGAATAGATGAGAAAATGTAAAAAACTCCTAGCCGTGTATCCTATATCCTTTTTGAGTCCTGGCCTTAGATTGCTATGCATCCGCCTTGTTTTCTCTTTCCCAAGTTCCAATGCTGCAATTCAAATGTCGTCCGGCAGGCCAGAGAGGCTAGACTTGTTTGCTCGTGTCCAACGAAATGCAATGGGCGTTACTGATGGTGGTGTTGTGCTGTCCACCTAGATCATGGCTCATGAACTCTTCGCCTTCCAACTCGCTTCTATCAATCGCCAACTCCAACGCTGGGCCCATTAGATCGGGTCAACTAACCCGAGTCGGAGGAACATGTTTCACTTCCATCATCGTCCACTGACTGGGACCGAGTCTCGGGTTGTCTTGGTTCCATTGGTCGACGACTTGCCGGCAACGACACCTGCATAGCTGCCCCAGACACCACCCATGCCCAGGCCTGCCGAGGCACGCTTGGAAGCCTTCGAGGTAGAGGCCTCACTATCGTCCTCCATGCCATCCATCTGGAACATTTCATCGTCCTCGTTGATGCGCGTGGTGAACCGTCCGTTCATGGACGAGCTGATGCTACCGCTCGAGACATGGCGTTCCATAACTCGCTCCTTGCCAATGGGGCTGATGGGGCTGATGGCATTGCCGGTTCGGGCAGTTGAGGGGTGGAGAAGAGGACTGCCGTTGCCGGTAGCGTCATCTAGACGGCTGCGCTGGAGTTGTTGAGACAGCATCGACATGGCCTCGCTGCCGGATCGTAGCGATGAAGGACGGTTGAAGCCATTGGTGCCACCCATCTCTTGGGCGAGCACCGAGTTACGCAGGGGGCTTCCCACATGACCAAACGCCGACGCTCCTCGGAGAGATCGAGAGGTTTCCTCCTCTTCCTTCTGTCGTTGGAACATGGGCCCCCATCGACTGGGGCTGGTTCCAATGGGGCTGCCATACTTGCTCAGTCCGTCAACCTCGCTATCGGCTCGCATTGAGCCTCTTCGGGCCTTTTCGACAGGGGTCAAGAGATCCTGCAGATTTTCCGGCACGTAGTTTTCAGGAAGATTATCATCATCATCGCCGAAAGCGAACCCAGGCTCCCAGTCTCGATCAACAGACGTCTTAGGCATGCTGGAACTGAGCATCCTGGGCTTGGCGAAGCGAGACGAGTGCATGGCTCGCTTGCCAAAATACTCTTCGCCATTGGCGTGAGAATTGGGTGGGCTTCTATCCAACGGCGCAAGGAGGTGTTCAGAGGAGCCAAAAGCGGAGGTGTGAAGCAGCTTCAGGGTTTCAGAAGTGCGAGAGTCCTTGGCGTTGCTAAGCGATGGCGTAGGAGATTCGATACCGAATTGGGACGGGACGGAGGAGGGCCAAGGAGCTGCGGGAAATCGGGCAGCATTGGAGATGCCATTTGAATCGAAAGAGGCGGGAAGAGGAGCGTCCAAGACGGATAGGCCTTTGTTGACGGGGGATAGTCCAAACCCAAAGCGCACAGTATCTTCGTCTCGGGGAGAGCCGTAGTTGGATCCAGTGTAGGACATGTCGATAGTGGGAAGGCCATTCTCGAGGCTGGGCTGACGGCCTAAGGAGGGCTGTTCCTGTTCATCATAAGGGTAGGCTGGAGTATACGAGGGCGCGTCGGCGTGGTAGAGAGAAGTGGTAAGAGCGCTGGTCGAGGACTGATTGTTGCTCGAGGATGTGGGGTTGGAACGTCCTGCGAGAGCTGGAGCTGCACCTATCGTGACGCCATTCTTGCCGTAGTTGATGCGTCTGCCATCGGGGAGGACGTGGATGTTGGCACACTTGGGTCCAAACTTGCAGTTTCCCTGCGCGACAAGACAATGGTTAGTGTTGCTCTCAAAAGCGTGATAAACGATGCGACTGGTTCGACGCGAAAATGTGGTTGACGGAGGCGACCATGATATGGCGCACGCACCTTTGCAAAGTATTTGCAGACGTTCTCGGCAGCGGTGCTCAGATCGTGGCTGAAGGGACAGGCATTGCCAGCCTGACAGGCGCCCTGACGAAAGAACTTGCAAGGTACGTGGGACGTGTCTATCACGAAGCTTGTGTCAGTCGAGGCGACATTGGACGAGACGATCGCGGGGGGTCGTGTGCAACATACTCGGAGGGCTTCGGGGCCCATCGAAGCGGGGAGCGGGTGCCATGGAATTGGACTGTGAGCCGTTGGCGACGTTGAGGCTACCGCTCCGAGCGTGGCGGTATTCGGGCATGATAGAGGAGAGGAGCGAAGAGATTCGCAGGGGGGGAGACGGGCGAACCAGAGTGGTGGAGGAGGAGGGAAGCGGGAGGGAAAAAGGAAGCAAAAGAGTCCAGTTAGAGACCAGAAGAGGAGAGGCTGAAGGTTGCGTGAAGCCCAGCGGCGGAGCGGGCGGCAAAGGAGGGCCGTAGTGGGTGAAAGCGGGCGAGGGCGGCCGAGGTGGGCGTGGGTTGATGGACGATGGGGTTGATGGTGGGGGCGGGCGCTGGTCGTTCTTGGACCTGGGTCAGGGCGACGGAGATGGATGTGGAGGGTGGCCAAGTGTGACTTGATTCACACGCGGTTATAGTATGCAAGCGCCTTGTACCTCGGGGTCAAACGCCGGACTCCGTGGTGGTGCAACCGGGGGGACGACAAATGAACCCACGGGCGAACGAGCTAGTATGGGCCGAGGGGCTTTTCGGTCCAGCGCGATGGAACAGCGGGAATAACGATAAAGATAAAGATGCGAGATGTTGGGAGAGATATTGTTGGTGTTGAGGAGAAGAGGGAAAAAGAGGCGTGGCTTTGGAGGTGCTTTCCTGCACGGAAACGATGGAAGACACCTGACGAACTGGAACCGACAAACCTGGTAGGTGGGCAGGTACGAAAGAAGAAATCAGGTACCCCGGACCTTCCAAAAAAGACAGTGCTATGACGGAGATGATGATCTTTTGGTTGGTAGCTGATTGCAGCAGCTGAAAAAAGTATTGCTTCTCAGCCAGCCTTTTGCAACCAGAAACGATCACCGCTGATTAGACGTGACAAATGTGATGGCAGATCTTTTCAGTGGGGATGAGAGAGTGCTTCCAGGGCGTGTCAGCGGATTCGATACCCGCCAGAGCTCAGAACGGGCACTCTCCACCGCCGCTTGTAAGCCTCCACTTCAAGTCAACAGACAGATTTGGACTCGAAGTTATCCGCAAACGTCCAGACCGGCTTATATGAGAAATAACTCTTTGCTCAACGTGGAAGAAGAGGACCGGGAGCGAGTGATGATCAATAAGCAGATCAAATTGCGGATCCGTCGGGATGCTACTCCAGGTATAATAAGCAGGATGAGGTGAGAGTACGATGTTGCAGTTGAGCCTCGAGAGGGTGGTAGTCAAGTCTGGCACGCGACCGAACCTGATCGTCATCGGTAGTAGGCGTTTAAAAAAGATAAGAAGGAGTCGAGGAGCGAACGACTAAAAGACCATCACACATACAAGGTGAAAATGAAAACGTCTGATATGAGTGGGCAGAGGGACCTTTTATTCCATCCTGGCTTAGAGCCGCTAGGCAGAGTCAGACACGACTATCGCAGGCAGAGCTTCCCGTCAACTCTAGAATAGTGAGCGTGACTACCCGGGCTAGGAGAAACCTCTCCCGTGTGTCTGTTGGTCCACGATGGTTGGATGGTTGGGTGTAGAGGCGAAGTGGTGGGTTGACGATGGTGATGGTGGTGTTGAAATTCGTCTACTTGCCCACCGTGGGGAGCATAGGTAGGCATCCGGCCGGGAGTCTTGAAACCTCACAGCCCCTCTTGTTTCTCATTCTCCTCTCCTCTAGTTCTTGGCAGTTGGACGGATAGATACGAAGAGCAGGGTCCAGGAGTCTAGAGGGCCCTGGTTCGTGGGCGTTCTGCCTATTCACGCCTCCAACTGCGGACGAGAAACCCCCAAATATGCAGAGCGGATCTGGATTTACAGGTACAGCCTCTGTACGATCTGTATATTGTACATTAAACGGGCAAGCCATGAAATAAACTTCTAGGTTATTTCTTTCAACTTCTCCTGACTGGTCTCCCGTCCGCTGTGGCTTCGTCCCAAAGCAACCGTCAGACTGACAAGCCATGGAGGAATCAGGCCATATCGAGGTCACACATGCAGTCGAGGAGAGCTGATGCATTTGATAGAATGCACTCTGCCGTCGCTGGGGGTTGCATCGCATTTTCTTGGACTACACTCGTGGATCTCATCTCAGCCGGTCCGGGGGTTGTCTGCCGTCAAGGCTCGCCCACTTAAATCTGGGAGGCCAAAACTTCAGCCCATGCCACCATTCCGGACCCCAGGGGGGACGTCCCGCATAACCCAGCTTGCCGGTGAAGCTCTAACTTGCTCGGGACCGGATGGCGTCGAGGTCCGCGGCTAGATCCAGGCTCGCCCGTGCATCCGCAGCTCTGGAATCTGGGTGGCGGGGATGCCGTGCACCTACCGTCAAACCACATGCCGATGTTGTTGTGCATTCTTTTGGCGTTTTGGAGGGCATGTACTATTCCTCGTTGGGAAAATGTCAAGAAGCTGAGGGTAAGGTATTCCTGGTCAGGGTCGTTGAGATCATCGCCACCTGCGCCAGGCCCGGCTGGTCATCCACTTACAAGAGACGGATATTCAGGATCCGAGCGTGTCAATCTTGGACAGCCTCCCGTATTTCGCGAGAATGACGATTGCAGATCCTCCCTAATCATCTGCCGTGTCGTCTCGACGCGATCTAATCAGTCGGTGGTAAAATGCCGTGGCCTCCCTAACCAGATATCCATGCATCATGACCAGTCCATCTAGAATCATATGGCCTTGGAGGCATGCCGGCTCGACTCAGCTTGTCAGACCCCAAGGAGCGGACCCCTGTCTGTCTTACATGCGTCTCTCTCCAAGCCCACCAACCGTTCACTGCAGCCTCGACAATCAAGGCAAGTTTGCGTCTATCCCCAACTCGGCCGGACCAGACCCCCGTCTGCCCATGTGCGCCCTTGGATGCATCCACAGAAGGTCGCACAAGGTCTTCTCCCAATAGCCCGTCAGTTGTCCGTCGCTGCTCAGCCCAGACTAGACAGAGCCGGCTCGATTCGGACTGCGACGCGTTGCGCTTGCGCAGCTTGCCGTGGCGATGCACCACTCTCTCGTGTCGTTGCTTGTAACATGTCTTGGACCAAGATGATGCTTGCTTTTGCTGCGGATGAATCCCTTCTTGGTGATGTTATCGCTTAAAGAGCTCGCTTGTGTTACTGTGGCCTCGTAACGCTCCAGATCCGTAGAACCCGGCTTGAGAAATATCTCCGCTCTGAAACCAGAGACCCTTGCTTCTCCATTCCGTGATATGCCCCCGTCTCCCATCCCCATGTTTTCAGTTGTTGGTGTTACCTCAGCTCACTATCGTACATCGACTGACGACATTCTGCATGCATCCTGGCACCAACCCCTGTCCCTCAGGTCGCGCGGCCCTTGACAGAGTCGCATGGGCGTGGGACACTGAGCATTCCACTCCTGTACACAAGACAAAGAATGTGCAAGTTTGTGAGAGCGATTGAGTTGCTCGGATTGCATCCCGTCCCATCTGCATGTAGGTATTTGTTGCAGTGTGAGGTGCATATCGGGAAGTGCATGGACGGGCCTGGGGGCGCGGCGGTTTAGTGGAACTCAATCACTGACAGCCAGTCGATCAGTGCCTCCTTCCAGCGCCCTTAGTGGCTGATGGTCCCCTAAAGACGCCCAGGGCCAGTGCGTCTACAGGGGGCTTCCACAACCCCTCACAGAGCGGGGGTCCGAGCGCCCAGGTGGGTCCTTGGGCCAGAAATAGCCCCGCGGCGGGCGTGGGCAGGCAACTTGAACTCCAACAACCGCATCGCCATCCAATATCCATGCCCTGCCTAGGACGACGAGTAGGACTCTGGTCTCCTCACGATACAAAACGCGTGGGCACATTCACACCCACTAAATCGGGATACCCGTTTCAGCCATTCTCTGGGTGGAAACGCGTGTGGGCATGATGCGTCTTCTGTCAGCGTCCGGGTGAAGCCGGATCTTAGCAGCGTCGTCCTTCATCACGATCTTTACCACATGACTTCTCCCACCGTCGTCTGTCCTTGTCGTCATATCTTGGGGTCCTCCATCCACACCTCCCATGCTCTCACACCAGCACGCCTGATCCTGATTATCGTCTCCGCTAAAGCCTCCCTCGGGCTCGTTTCGTTCCATCCCGAGCCTTGCTCATCTCCACTCTCCGCGAAGGGATCCCGCGATGCCGCTGTCTCCGCCGTCTCCTACCCGGTCGGGGATGTTGCTCTGCAGGTATCAACGTCCGGTCAGGCTCCGTGAGCTAGGGTTGATATCGATCTCTACCCAACACCCTCCTCGGTTCCATCCGCTATTTGTCTAGACCAATCGTGGTGAGCTTCTGTCTCGCGGGTTCCATCCTGCATCAGACAACCCTGTCTGCTCAGCCCTTGACCTACGAAGCCTCAGCTAATATGCCCAAGGTGTTGTCGTTTGCAGGCGTTCGCAGCTTTTGTGAACCAAGACAGCCTTTCTAGGGCTGTTGAGTTTTGACCTTGCAGACTGAATGCGCATCTAGCCAGTCATCTTGACTTGCATCCATCCTTGGACCAGTTTCTCGGTCTTACAAGCCAAGGCACGAGAACCCCCTCAAGAAGCATAGCACTCAAGATGGTCGTGATGAACAGTCAAAGGACCAACGGTGCGTCTCGCTTCTCCAACTCTCTGGCCCCATAACGCCACGGGCCGGCCTTGGGCAAGCCATCAGCCATCAGCCTTGGTTGTCTCAGGCGGGTGATCACCAACACCACCACCACCAATCCAACTTCATCGACGCCTCCATCCTTCATTCGTCGCTCCCGCAACTGCACCACACCCTTCTTTTAACGACTCTTGGACCTCGTTGGGTCTCCCTGCCCCCTGATTATTATTCTCTCGTGTTGCTCACTACCGTGGAGTGGCATTCCAGGGAGAATCTTTGATGGTTCCAACATTGAGGCTTGCCGGCATACATTACTTCCGCAGCCTTGGAACTAGCTATTGGTTGCCGCACCGTACAGGTGAGCATCGGTCTGCCGAGTGGCTTGGCTGCCGTCCCCAGATTTCACAGCCTTTTACCATGTGGCGGTCTTGTCGAACATGCGACCCGCCCCTCTCCTCTCCACCAACCTGGGTTTCCCATGCGATGTCTTTGATCCTTATTCCACTTCTCTCCTGCTTGAGTCACCGCCAGCCACAGTCATGATCAAACCTGGGCAACTTGGCAGGCTTTCATGATCCGGATTAAGCGCTCGGCAAGTATTGCGCTAAGCAGCGCGACACCCACTCTCATGAACCACCCGCCCTCGTGCGCGCCTCGATCGCCCTGAGCACCACTCAATCGACATGCCCAAGACTAGCCACCACACCATCACGCCTGGCGAGATCGACTTATTTCTTGACCCCGACTACAGAGTAGCATCTCTGAGCAATCTCATGATCCCTGCCCCACATCATCCGACCGGAAACCCGGCGGAGTCATCAGTCTTGTACCACACCATCCATCGTTACGGCTTCGATATCCTTGCCCCGTTGACATGTCTCCGCAACAGGGCCAAGGTGGTGGTGGTTTGTCTCAGCAAGGAGACAACATCCGGCGAGAAAACTCCGGTGAGTGATGACATATTGAACCCTTGACGAAGCAGGGTTCTCGGGGTCCAGCACCGCACCGCTTCTTGCAGAGACCCTTGCGACGATCTCTCAACGGCCGCCATGTCTTGTTCCCTGAAGACGACCCTTGTTCATCCTTTCGGCCGTGTCATCTCGCTGCCGGCAGAGTGCTAGGGGCCGACGGTGCCGAGATCGTTGCGACCCATGCTCTTGACGGCCATCTGAGCTTTGGCATCTGCAAAACATCATGCGAGGATCCTTTGAAGAGCGACATCAGAATATCACGGCGACTATGACCTAGCTCTTATGGCATCAAGACGTCTGTGTTACGATTACGAGTCTAGGCGTTCTAAAGTGTCTCACGGGGTCCTCCAAGTCCATGACAAGACCGGTCAAGCACGCCTCCCTTGTTGGTCAGCTCCTTCACGGAGCCTCGTCTCGTTATAAGCTCTCGACAAAGGATTCCAGAGCCCCAAGCCACGCCTCAAGGTGAGTACGCCCAATAGCACGCCGGATCTGGCTGGTGGATTACGGCGCAGGTGACACCTTAGTGGGTGTGTGTCTTGGGCCAGGTTTCAGGCTCGCGAGGCAAGCTGTAGCCTTGACGGGCGTAACGGCCTCGTATCACGGTGTGGGAGAGTTGGCGAATGGGGACGAGGGACGGGCCGGCAAGGTGAGTTGAACGAGAATCCGACAGAGGCGGGACGCGTGACGAGCCGCGTCTCGAGCCGCGTCTTTGAGTGGGGGATGCCTTTGGAGGGGACTCTACTATGCTACTGTCCAGACCCTGGTGAGTGACATTTGGGTATGTTGCATTCACGTTGAAGAAGGTTGCCAGTCGCATCTTTGGCAGCTGTAGACTGGCATTCCCGGGCCAGTAACACATGGATGTAAGTAAAGATGACGACATGTGGCGTACTGAATATTCTAGGCTGGGATTCGAAACACAATGGCGGTCTGGTCCCTTTCCGCATTCTCAAGATGAACCTCGTGGTGACGCCCGCGTTCGTGGGAGGAGCGAAGGCGAAACACGGTTTACAAGCCATGGAGGGCAAAGCCATCGTGATTACGAGTGCAGTTCTACTACCCCAGCAAGATGCCAGTGGAGTCTCGAAGCGGGAGGGTTGTAGCAGAGTCGATGGCCGACATTCGACGCAACCGCTCTCACACCTCAGGTCACAAGAGATGATCGAAAAGAGGGGACTCTGTGAGGGGATTCCGCAGCAGGAAATGATTCCAATCTTGCCTCTGTTTAGAGTCTTGGCTCGGAAAAGGCGGGATGTTGAGTACGCAAAGGACGGGGCGTGGCCAGCGGTACTCGTCGACTTGACGGACAACCATAACTTTCCGGTTTCTTTGTTCATGGGGGCGATCCAGGCCCGGGTTCGCCTTGCTTGTGATATGATTGTTGTTGTTGAGGGTGTCCTGGAGGGCGAGACGAGTCAGGTCGTTGACGTTGACGTTGACGTTGTCGCGGGGTTCCGTGTCAGGGAGTCGGTGAGGGGTCGCTGTTCTCTGCATACGCGATGCTCGAGTCGTGAACATTCTTATCAAGTGATGGTTCGTTCTCGGGAAAGATCTGTAGGCCCATGATCCTATGCTGCCGACTCTCAAAGGGGTCGTCGTTAGCAGAGACTTGGTCGAACACGCTGGATGTTCGTAGATGGTTCATTGCATGTAATGTTGGTCTGTGGTGTGACTTTGTGAGCATACCGGCCAAGATTACTCTGTAGAGAGTGAAAAGATTCCCATTGCTTTTCATATCACAACTTGGACGTGCCATGATGAAGCTTCTGGGGAACCCTATCGTTATACTCGTCGTCTTCAACCCGCCTCATTCGGACATTGCCCGCCTAGCCCGCGAGCTGCCCGGATTAGGCAATGCAAAAAATGAGTCATTCTGGCTCATCCTGAATCAGAATGATTTGTTACATGCATGCATTCACTGACCCCCCGACCTCCTTGTCCGGCAACCCCCTTTGCACTTTGAACCAATCACAGACTCATCCTAACCATGGTCCTAACCAACCATAACCCTTATCCTAGCCCCATCCTAGCCATGACCTTATCATAGCCTATCCATTGGCTAAGACGTGTCAAAGGGGGTCGACTGACGAGCAGGTCAGGGGTCGTCTTATCAAACCTTGCATTTGGTTCCCCGCTTTGCCTGGCCCATACTGTGTGTTTGAGTTGGAGATGCACTGGGGAGATTCTGGAGGGACATCACAGTCTATCAGAATGAATCATTATTGCTCAGAACATGTCGACATGAGCGTTGCATTCGGGTACAAATACGTGAGTTTTGGTGATGAGGGGTACGGCAGAACGGCAGAATGGAAGAAGGAAGGACGATACGATAGAAGAAATCGTGGAATGGGAGTGTATAAGTGTAGACTGAGCGACTGATGGTGATGCCTTCAATAGAGGGAATCAAGGGATTCGTGATAGAATCAACTCAGGTTAATGTAAGTAATCGATCTTTTTATATGTGCCTATCCCCGTATTCATGAAGAGAGAAACGGAACTCGATGACATCAGCCCATGAGTCGCATGAGCCTCCTCACAACCTGATATCCATTTATTCATCTCCTTGCTTGCGCGGGGACTACCAGACTGTACGCGTACTCGTCCCTATTATTAAAGCACTATCTAAGAACCTATAAAAATAATATAAGAATAGGTTAATCTCTCATCTCAATTTGCTAAGTATAGTAAGAGACTCATCATAATTGGTCTACGTCCCCGCGTAAGCAAGGAGATGGACTCCAACCACACGCTGCAACACATATCTTTTCATCACGATTGGCCCGAGTCTTGCTTCCAGAGAAATATTTCATGTTTGAACTACATAAGGAAAGGAAAAGTTGTCCGTTTGCTAATCCGCAATTGTATGCCCTCTAGTAACCTCAACGCCGGAAGCCGACAGATTAAACCACCGATAGTACCCCATTCGCTTGTGACTTTTCTTCAAAGGGAGGCTTTTCCAAACCATTTTCCCGAGATTCGACTGACGTAGACTTTGTTTACTTCTTGCTGTTCAACATCTCCCTTAGAGCATCCGCTTGAGCCTCACTGCGAGCCAGTCGCAGACGCATGTCATCCCTCTCGCTTGTCATAGCGGCTAGCGCGGCCTCAAGCTCTGAGATGCGATCGAGGCGCTTCTGACGGTACTTGCGAGCCGCGAGGGTGTTGCGTTGGCGCTTGAGGGCCACGGAAGCGGACTCGTCCTCGGGTGAGGACTTGCGCTTGTGGGAGGATGAAGAGCCGGAAGAGGAGGAGGCGGCTGGGGAAGGGTGGAGAGAGAAGGTGGATGTTCCTGGGATGGAGGGGGATTTGTTGTTGCTTGTTGATGTTGTTGGGGGAGCAATGGGCGGTGATGATGTAGGTTGTTGTTGCAGAGTGTTGATGTTGATGAGAGGCGGCTCTTGCGAGAGGAAATCCTCCCCAGTGCCAAGATCCTGAGTGTTCATATCGGGCAACACAGCACCGCCAATAACCCCTCCAACAGAAGTATCCCAATCCAAGCTCTGATAAATAGCGTCGGTATCCAAGTTTGCAAAGTCGTAGGTGTCGTATTGTTCGGGAAGCAAGTCCAGAAGTCCTCCGCTGGGCTCGAAGCAGAAGTCGCTGGTACTATGGCAATCCGTCGGCGTCCCATTGCTGAGGCTGCCAGAATGGCATGCCGTTCTTGCGGGCGCAGCAGGCTGATGAAGCGCTTGCTGCCATTGGTTCAAGTTAAGGGGGCGGCGGCCTCCCCTACGTCTGCAGAGAGGCCGGTTAGGGCTGAAGGAGGAAGAAGGGGGGGAGGACGACGACTTGAGATCGGTCCAGTTGAGGTTGTGGAGGAGAGAGGAGAGGAGGATTGGAGGGATGAGGTTGATGGTTTTATAGGGAGATGGGGGGATAGATTGCACAGTGTGGTGATACGTTACAGTGCGGCACAGTGAGAGGCGCTAAGACTGAAGGTATGCATGGCGTGAGAAAGGAAGCACGGGGTCTCCGGGTCGGTCTTGCGGCGCGGTTATTGCACGGGCGATGCAGAACGTGAGTCAGGGCGCTGGGTGAAGCTATTCTCAGCCATGATCGACGTTTTGCGATAGGAGGCGCAGCAGGAATTGAGTCGACGCTACGGTAGGTGCGACATTGTGTTGGTGATTCTGGCGGTGGCTTTGCAACTCAATTCGCTTGGCTTAGGGACACAGATTACCAATGTCAGATCTGTTGTGCTCTGGTTGGAGATGTGATGTTGATTCTCAATGGAGTGCTACTGGTCAAGAAGTAAACGAGACACCGGAACGGTAGAGAGTATTACCTAACTCATCTAAGATTTAGTAAATAATTTTCTATAAATATTATAAAATAATACAATAATCTAGAAAAAATTTTATATTTTTATTATATTTTTATTGATTACACTTAGGGGAGAATAGACTAACCTCGTGTCTCGTTTTCCTTGAACCAGGTGGGTGTCTGCCCGGGGCGGGTTAAAATTGCAGTGCAATTGCGGCCGTACAAAATGTCCGGCCACATCGTGGGGCATCATTACAGGTAAACTCTCCATGACTTAAAACTGCGGTGCAAATGAAGTAACGCCCTGCTGCCCGCCACCACCGTGTCCTCTCACCACGATGAATGTATAGCAAGAAGAATCCTATCAAGAACGGTTTATTTCAGATAGATGGGCCGTAGCAGCTTGAGATCATACCCTCTATTTGTGTACGATAACAAAGCATTGAGAGGATATGATACGGATATGGAACCGCTTTACCATGGATAGTCCGCCCTCAGCAGAACACATGCTGAGAACTCGCTTGGCATTACTTCCATCTATTCCCTCTATAAAAAGATGGTTCTGGTCATCGTCGTGCGCTGTTGAGAACGAATATCGCCGGGTGGTTGATGCAACCAAAGAGCTCGGCGTGTGCTAAAATTGCAGGCAAAAAGGTGTGGTAGGTAAGTCACCGCGTGGTCACATAAAAGACTCGCGATCGGGGCGGGATCCTACCCACCCACTCACTCACTGTAGGCACTGATGATACTGTACTGGAGGATAGGGCAGTCCATGGAAGTGGACAAATTCCAACCAGGGCGTTCACATATCTTTGTGGTGTAGACGCAATAGGACAACATGCAGCGGAAAGAGCCCGACGTGAGGTTAAGCAAACCTTCCTTTGCTAATATCGGAAAGTGTCCACCTTGGTTGGAGTCCATAACCGATGTCGACTACCACATGGTTGTGAGAACGGATGGAGGGGTGTCACTGCTCAGGGTGGGTTAAAAATGCAGTGAAGAACTTTGTGGGGGGTATGAGGTTGTGACAGGAGGAGACTCAAGGCGGGCAACTTATCCACTATAGAGGAACCCCAACCTCGCTGCCATGGGTTGCTTCCATTCCACGCAAGGGCTAATTAGAACAAGATAGCTTAGAGCTCCCCGTGGGTTAATGGAACTCCAATCCAGGCGGCTAGGAGAAAATCGCAACGTGAGCCTGGGGGATCACAACGCAAAAATGGATAAAAGAAGACGATGATGGGCTGCGAGGGAACCTATCTCGGCGTGGGTTAAAATCGCAGTGAAAACGTCTCACCGCCTAACCCTTTTCTTTACCAACCCAATCACTGTAGGTACTGTAGGTACTGTACAAATGGTGTGGAACGGTGCAAGTGAACAAACTGCAACCAGGGCGTTGACATCCGCCCGTAGCATAGACATAATAGAACAACTCGTAGCCGAAGATACTCGGCGAGGGATAAAGTAACCCATTTTGCTAATGTTGAAGATCGTCTGCCTCGCTAAACACTATGATGGGTGTTGACCACCGCATGCTGCGGACCAGGAGCATCAACAGAGGCGATCAACTGCCCGGGTTGGGTTAAGAATGCAGTGAAATAGCGTGCAGGTGGTGACTACCTACGCAAATGATGTTCTATTGGGCACAGTGGAAGCACCCTGCAGCTGATGAAGGAGCTTGGCGTGGGTTAAAATTGCAGTGCAAGTGAGGCCTTCAAGAAAGAAGTGGCCTCAGTAGGCCCTGATTGAGATGACCAATTTGGAAGCTTCAAAGCTGTCAGCAACAAGATAGAACCTAACGGACTCGAAAGCAACTCCAACCTGGGTGGTTCAAATCGCGACAGCCGGGTATTGATACCATGGCAAGGGAAACATGCTTGGACCGCAAACCTCCAGGAATGAAGATTGTTGGCCGACGAAAGAGCAGGTGTTGAGTTTGCAGTGGTCTCGGAAGGGCATTCATCTTACGGAGCCCCATTTGGCACGTTGATTGTAAGGATTATGAGGACTAGTTTTGACAACCTGTGAAGAGAAGGCTCGGCGCGCCCTCTGCCACGCATCGACCACCAAGCTGTGTACCTATTGACCAGTTGGAAGTACCTTATGGATGTAGTAGATCTGCTTTGATGGCACGAACACAGCGAAGTTATAGCGTCAACAGATGACAGGAATTAATTAATTGCATGCCGGGAATAAGCGCCGACAGATGAACCCCTGCTGCTCTTATGGCGCGCCCTTGAGTTGACCCTGTTCATCCATCAACAAGCTCCGCAAGTCAGACGATATGTCGTTCTTCAAATATATAAGGAGTGATCGCAACTCATTTCATGATGACATCTCAAATCTCCCAAGCCACAAGTTACCCTATACTTTGCCGATTCTCAAGCCCAAATCAGCAACCTCTGATCCCTCAATCAGAGACTGTGAGGTCAACTGCGAATCAAGCGCTCTCCGCTGGGGGCGGGTTAAAATCGCAGTGCAATTTTAATGTACGGTAACCGACAACTGATAACTTACATGACAACAAAGGGCCAATCAAGGAAGCTACTACAGACTCGCCCAAAATGACCAACCTCCAATTTCGCATCGCAACACCAGACGATGCCCCGCAGCTCCAGCAGCTGATTCAAGCTGCATTCCGCGCTGAGGACAGCAGGAAGGATTGGGTGGGAGATGCAGAGCTCGCAGCAAATTTCTGTATCGGTGTCGATGAGATCCTGCCCAAGATCACGTCTCCCGACAGCGAGATGATCATGGCCTTTGACGACAACGGCGCCCTAGCAGGAACGGTTGGCGTATTCCACCGCAACGACGACTTGGCAAGGCTCTTCTACCTCGCCGTGGACCAGACTCTACACCGAGGAGGAATTGGTCGACAGGTTCTTGAATATGCCGAGGGATACTGCCAGAGGACTTGGGGTGTCCAGAAGTTGGGGCTCGATGCGCTCACGTTGCGCAAGGAGCTTATTGCGTGGTACATGAGGCGTGGGTATGTCCCGACGGGTGACATTACGCCGTTTCCTGTGGACAAGCTTAATGGGAGGGCTTTGCCTGAGGGTTTGGGGTTTGTTGAGATGGAGAAGGAGGCAAAGGCAGAGGCATAGAGTAGATGGTCAATGACGGGGTTGAAGTATAGACGAGGATTGCGGAGGAGATGGCACTTAATTCGTATCTAATCCAGAGAGAATGTCATTCTGGGCGGAGCAATCTGCTCATTATCATTCGGTTCTGTCCCTCTTACACCCGACTGAAGCTATCGTCAACCCACTGTACCACAACGCCGCCCTGTCACAGGTTGGGGTTGATGCCTGTTACGGCATTAATTGCTCATGAAAGGTAGCTGCACTACAAAAGACAAACACATATAATGTCGAAAGAAGCCGTAGCAAGCAAAAAGATCAAGCGAATGACGGATGGCAAACAAATGCCATAAAAAGGAAGCAAATGACATGGACGAGCCTGTTAGCTGTGTCGGGATGAATCTCAAACACAAGGACCTGCCCATTGCTTGCGCCATGAGAAACAGTGAGTCAGCTGAGTAATGTACCACCTGTGGGCGATAACACACAACATGGCTCCCCTCCGAACGTCGTGTACTCTGTGAACCATGAGGCTATGTTGAGTTACACTCAGAGTTACACTCGATCTCAAGGTTAGGCTCAACCCGTTCAAAACCATTTTTGATCGTCGAAACAACCTCGCTGATTTTACGCGTCGTCGGCGTGGTGAAACATTCTAAACCTGCAGCCCCAACATGATGCGCTGGCAGTGGACGAACCACGAGGACTTCTTTTCACCGCTCATGAACCATACTCGTCGATGAAAGAGAAGATTTGTTCTAAAGATAGAAACAGGTCAGAGGAGAAAAACGCGTGGCTATCGAGGCTCTGCTCTAGAAACTTTCTTGGCCTGCATCTCTTGAAACAGCGCGTCAAAATGCTTGATTAATCCCGCGTGGGTAATTCTTGTGCATGGACTGGCTGGGGAATTAGCTTGGCTCAACTTGGCAAGTCCTCACGCGAGCAGCCACATACCTAGGTCAAGGAAAAAACGAGACATCAGGATGAGTATAATAATTAAGTCTCCTCTAAATATTTTTAATAAATTATAATAAATTATATAAAAGTTATCTAATTATTATATTATTTAATAACATTTTTATAATAAATTAGTTACTAATATTCATAAAGAGTTAGGTAATTCTCTTTATCCTCCAGCATCTCACTTATTATTTCTTTGGCCGCGTGACTGGGAAAAGAGAGGGGAGCTAAAAACAAGCATAACCCAACCTTGTCTTGGGCTGGGGGTTGGTTGCGTGGCCTTTGGGCGATCTCCAATTGTTTTCTGTTGGCACTGCTGGTTACTGTTTCTTGGCGCTTGAAAAGGATCAAAAGTGCCACAGACACTTACGTATGCTTGTTAAAGTCTTGGCAGTGACAATCTTCTTTCCCTTGTTTCGGCACCTCGGAATCATGCTTGTTTGACGGGCCCGGTATGTCACCCGGGTAAGGCAGCAAAAGCCTTGCAAGCTGAGCATTACGGGCCGTAATCTCTCATCCCCATGGGTACTACCCTTGATCCCTGGGGGTTTGACGTCAAAACAAGTCAAGATTTTCCCTGCATGGAAACGCAGGAAACCTTCTGTGGAGAAGCAAACTAAAAGCTCGTCCAGAGAAAGGCCTGCATATCACCATCATGACGCTTGCCAAGACAAACTCCGCCTCCGCAGCTCAAAAGCGCTGGCCACGATTACGAAACTGCCGTGGCTTGGGTGGAAGAAGGATCTTTGTGCCAAGAGTTTGAGTGAGTGTACAGCAGCTGCTGTGGCTTCGGCTGTTGAGGGATCGTCGGCTGCGAGGATCCCGTCTCGGGCCAAGACGAGACAAGGCAGGGAAGAGGTTGAGATTGCATTGCATTACAAGCCGAGAGTCAAAGGATATTGGCTTGGCTTTGATCGAGTATAAATAATCTGGGTCCCCTGAGATTGTTCACATCATCATTCAACAGCTCTTCACAGTAACTCACAGCAACAACATCACCAACACCACAAATCTTCACTCCAACCGCCATCATGTACACCAACATCGCCCTCGCTCTTGCTCCCCTCCTCTACCTCGCCCACGCCGACGTCAGCCTCGACCGGGACGACATCCCCAGGGCCTGCGATGCCATCTGCGACCCCATCGTCGAGCTGACCCGCAAGTGCGACACCGACCTCCGCGGCGACCAAGACCGCGTGGAGGATCGCCTCGAGGCTCAGTGTGTCTGCACAAACGACTCTTTTGACGTCGGTCGCGTCGCTGCTCTCTGCGCCGACTGCATTCGCCAGAACTGGCGGGATGATGATGATGACGATGATGATGATGACCAGCGTGATCACATGGAGGGTGAGTTTACTGCTGTTCTTCTGTATGAACACTACTAACATGCTGCTAGACATTGACGATATCCTCTACACCTGCGGCTTCTCCTCCACCAGCTACGTAGCCTCCTCGGCCTCAGGCATCGTCGCCAGCATCACCGTCGATGCCACCCGCCCCACAGACGCAAGCCAGCTCACCACCACCATCACTGGCGGCAGCGCAGCCCGCGGAACCGACAGCGCCGCGACAGCCACCAGCAACAACAATGACAACAGCGATGACAACAGCGCTTCTGCCACCAACGACTCTTCCAGCCCAGATGAGACCAACGCTGCTGCCGGTCTTGCACCTTATGGTGTTGGTGCTGCTGTTGTCGGAGCTGCCCTGATGCTTGCTTAGATGGGTTAATTTGGGAGAGAGAAATATGAGGGTGTTATTTGTCTTCGCGTAATGACTGTCGTTATAGATGTATGTTTTGGATGAGTTACGATGTAACCTAGACTGTATTCTGGAGAGTTTAACTCTTATTTAATGAATGCAATGACTTATCAATTGAGATTCTTGATGTGCTGGTGAATTTGCAGCTTTATCCAACATAATTACTGCCAACGACAAACGTGTAGAACATCTTGCAAAGTGTCCCATACCCGGCAACACACGGAGGCAATGGGGTCATTTATGCTATTCAACGGATGACATGAGAATGGATCTACAAATGAAGAATTGGAGGAATGCCCAAGAGACTCGAGTTGACGTGTCTAATCTTGGCATCTCTCCGCGGTCTCCGAACCCAACGTCCTCCTGCTTCTCATCACTGTTTCCAAACTCGCTTACAAGCTTACAAGGGTTCTCAACATCAACAGCATCCTTCTAGCTCCGCTTTGGTAAATATCTTACGAAAGTCCTCAGATTGATCCCTACCTGGTGAAATGTCGCGACCAAAGACGTCAGCTTCGCCAATAGCCGACCTCCATCGCTTAGACACATTTCCTTGCTTCAGATTCCGCCTGCTTACTGTCAATCCTTACACTTTTCATGGGTCATGATGAATTGGCCTTTTGTGGTTGGTCAATTGCCGCCCCTAGGGCTGACGGGCGCTGCTCGACTTTAACCGCCAAGGGGGGGAGACGCCAATGCTGATTGCGGTGTATATAAGCAATGTCTGAGCTCCTTGTGAATTTGTCGTCATCTTGTTGTTTCTGCTCCTGCAGAGACGGTTTGCTCACCATGGATCTTCTCGACAAGTTGACGGCGTATGCCGTGCAGAGACCTGTTTTTGTCTCTGCTTGGACACTAACAGTAGCTCTTGTACTTAATGTTATATACAAGGGATATCGACAGCGTCGTTTTTACCGAAACTTGGTGAGTTTATCCTAATCTTACCCCAGAGACAAGCTGACATCTGAATAGCCAGGACCCCCTCATAGCTGGCTCTTCGGCCATCTCAAAGTCATGGGCGAAATGTCGGCCCTCGTGCCGCCAAACTGTCACCCTCAGCTGTACTTTACCGAAATGGCACGTCGGTATAATCTTGATGGCATCTTTTATGTCGACCTTTGGCCCGTCGGCCCTGGAAGCTGTCTCATTACCGATCCGGATCTTCTCGATCAAATCACCGTCCGCAAGATTCTTCCTCATCACCCCATGGCTGAAGATTTCTTATCTCCCATGATTGGGCGGGGAAGTATTGGAGGTGCGAATGGGGCACTGTGGAAGAGGTTGCACAATGCTATGAACCCAGCTTTTTCGTGGACGCATATTCGACATTTAACGGATGTTTTTGTCGATGAGTGTGTTCAGTTTCGGAAGAATCTGGATAAGCTTGCTCAAACGGGCGAGGTGTTTTCCATGGAACATGTCTCAGCAAGACTCATCTTTGATGTTATCGCTCGAATTGTCTTTAACTTTCCTCTCCACGCGCAAACGACAGGAAGCCAAGATCTCGAAGACCTACGCGAACTCATCCTCCTCGTCGAAGGCCAATCGGACATTACTATCGCTTATAACCCCGTTGAGCAGATTAAACGGTGGTGGAGGAGGAGACAGGTGCTCGGACGACTGCATCCTTCTATTCTGAGCAAGATCCACGAGAGGTTTGAGCTGTTGGTGAATGAAAAGATTGTTCCTTCGAGAAAGGATCCGAATAGTATTCTGGATCTCATGTTGAGGGAGCATGTGGATCAGGAGGGGATGACCAAGGCGAATGCTAAGCTTTCCAAGGCTGATGTTAATTTGCTGTTGGCCAAGTGAGTCTCATGAACACGTTGGGTGTGACTGTGCTAATGTTGTATCAGTATCAAGGCGTTGCTTGTTGGAGGCCACGGAACAACAACCGATACCCTATGCGTAAGTAAAACCCCCTTTCTACCCTCACCATCTAACATTATATAGTACATGTACATGCTCCTCTCCAAATCCCCCCACGTCGTAGAAAAGATGCTCCAAGAACACATCGAGCAACTCGGCCCCGACACCGAAGTATCCACCCAAACCATGGTCGAAACACCCGAGCTCCTCCAAAAGCTCCCCTACACCGACGCCGTCATCAAAGAAACCCTCCGAATGTTTCCCGTCGGCTACGGCGTTCGCGAAGGTCCTCCAGGGGCAAAGGTCACGTACAAGGGTCGTGATCTACCTGTTGATCATGGCGTTGCCGTTTCGACGCAGGGTCATGATGTCCACTACAACACGCGCTTCTTCCCTGACCCAACGGTATTCAGACCAGAGCGATGGCTCGGTCCCGAAGAGATTCCTCGATCGTACTTTAGGACATTCGGTCGTGGTCCTCGAGCGTGTCTAGGCCAGAACCTGGCTGCCAACGAGCTCAAGGTCATTCTCGTCATGACTGTTCGGGATTACTCGTTTGAGTGTGCTGGATTGAAGCCTAATGATAAACCCAAGATGACGTATACGGATTTGGATACGGTTTATGGGGATATTGTGTTTCAGGAGTTGGGGTTGGAGGCGAAGCCTAGAGGTGGTATGATGATGACTGTTAAGAAACGGGCATGAGCATGATGTGATGGAGATGAGGGGATCTCTCGAGGACTAGTTCTTTTGCGGTGTAGATCATGATAGGCCTGGATATTTATCTGTCAACTTGTCCATTCTACATGGCATTGCTGCTACTCAAGAGCCGAGCGAGATAAGCGACGACTGATGACTCAATTCTCTCTGACTGAACCTCCGCAAGCATATACATATCACACGAAATAAGAACCCGAGAGTTGGAGGACTCCATCGCCTAGACCTCACTTGCGTGGTAGTCGCAGTAGTCCATGATACTCGCCGCTTGGTCACCTACAGAATTGTCATCACTTAGCACCTCATGGTCAAGTCTGTACTTTTGTCTATTATCTATCTGTCTTTATCCTGGGCCGTCGCTCATAAAGGCATAACACAACTTTTCACTCCTGGCGTTGAAGCCTGGGGTTATACTCATCACCTCCCCGTCATCTTCTTCTCGACATATCGGAAGGGAATGTAGAACAACGAGCTCAGCACAAATGCAATCTCGAAGCCAATGTCTCCCGTCGTCTTGGCGATGGGTCCCGTCCACCACACCTGCGCCATACACGGTACCACGAGGCCGTAGCAAATGACGCCTGCTGCAAGGGCTGCTACTCCGAGAGGAAGTTGGGAGGCGACGTTCCAGATGGCGTGGTCGTAGGTTTCGTAGCGCCCACGACGGAAGACGAGGTGTTCCACGGTGACGATGCCGATAAAGGAGGCCGACCAGTATCCGATGAGGGCGACAAAGTTTTCAAGGTTGACGAAAAAGTCTCGTTGGGCTCGGAGGGCTACTGGGATCACGATGACAGTGACCACAATGGCGAAGGCGTATCGGGGGATCTTGATCAGACCAGGGATGAGAGTCTGGAAGTTGAGCGTGATGGCGTACATGGTTCCTCCTGTGTTGCCGAGGAGCGTGAGGGAGAGGATGACGACGACGAACTTTCCAAAGCCGCCTGCGCTTGAAAGCATGGCTGCTAGAACACCACCGACAAGCGTCTCACCATAAGCCTTTTCCCACTCAGGAACATTAGGAAGAGCACCAGCAATGGCAGCGCCCAGAGTCATGAGGAGAATCGTAGGCGTAAGGAGGCCAAAGTAACTGTACGTAAAAACCCTCCACGAAGGAACCTTGGGATCGAAATAAGTCGTCAAATCACTCGCAATAGCCGCCCAAGGAATCATGTAGCTCGCAACAATCATGCCAAAGCTCAAAACAGCTGCAGCAGTAGGTGCCGCAGCTGGAGCAGCCTGCTTCATGAGCTGCGAGCCTCCGCATCCCGTGGCGATGGTGATGGCGATGATGGCGGGGATGAAGGCGTATGTCTCGTAGTAGTGTAACACCTTGAATCCGCAGAAGGAGATGAAGAGTGAGAGGAGACCGATTATGACGATTCCTACGTCGGGGGATAGACTGCCGCCTGAGACTGCTGAGAGACATTGGCCGCCGACGACGTAGATGATTACGATGAAGCCGGTTAAAGTGGCGAGGTTGAGTAGAACAGGGATTGAGACGAGGTAGCGACTGAACCTGTTAGTAATGCTGAGACTGGTGTTTGTACGACGAGATTTCTCACCCGAAGCTGTATCGCGCTTGGATCATCTGCCTCATTCCCGTCTTTGGTCCAAAAGTGGCGAGATACGCTGGCGCAATAGTAGAAAACATGCAAAAGAAGAGAATAACTAGAGAAGAATCTCTCAAACTCAGGCCATAAGCCAAAGGACCAAGCATGCCAAATGTGATTCTACACCCATTAGTCTCAGTCGTTTTTAGTGAGAGAAAAGTTTGACTCACCCTAGGATATTCGAGTTGATGGAACACCACACAGTAAAGATGTTGTAAAATCGCGTCACAGTTCTCTCCTCGATGGGAATAGGCTGGATACCCTTCTCTTCCACTCTTCCCATACGGAGAGCTTTATGGAAGAGGGCCGCCGCCTTGATGCTCTCTGTGTCGCTGTGATCATCATGGTCGACTTGAGGAGGAACAGTCTGAGCCGGGACGGCCTTTTCGGCGTCTATCGATGGTGCAGCCATTTTTTCTCTTGAGCCAAGGAAGAAAAAAGCAACAAGATGGGGAAATCTGGGGGAATGAAAAGATGCAATTATATATGGAATGAATCTGAGTCGACGAGTCTGAATCTTTCTAACCCCGGTCCGGTGCCGGGTTCCGCCTCTACAAAATTGGTCTGATAAAACAAACTCGGGCCTTTTTGTTACTGGCTGCTAATCGCGAATCGGCCGTGTCATGTTCCCCCCAGTACAAATCTGCGCGATAAAAACCTCGCCCCCCATGGGACCTGGCCTCGGTTGTCATAGGGCGCACAAGGACTGACTAACACCATCCCACCTTTTGTCTCTAGTGTCCCTTGTTACTGTAAACAGTCATAAACTGATAAACCCAAGATGGTGATAGAAAATATTGCCGATTGTAGCCATACCATAAACCGAAAATGCGGTCTCGTTGTCCATGCTGGCTTCAGAATGCATGGCGTGAGTCCCTCAAGGTGTGCCCCTGCTGGCTGATGAACTATCGACACTGAACCCTGTCGCTTGTCGAATGTTCGGCGCGTGTTCTGCGTCTGTCCAACATCTTGCTTTTCAGTGGCGGGCAGATCGAGCCGCATTCTCTGATTCGCCTCTCGCCTACGCCGTTTATCCTCCTCACGCCAAGAATGGTCTCGAATCTCCTGGTGCGACCCTCTCCAACGAGCTCCCATCTTTGTACAAGGCTGTGCTCAAGTACAACCTGATCGTGCTTCAAGGTCGCTGTCACTGCTTGCTCCTCTTCCCTCGGAAGAAACCTCCGACAGCACCCATCAACCCTCCCAGACCCTTCTCATGACTGTCCCCCACCAACCCCCCTCTGATCCACCCCGGAAGTTTCCCCCGGATCCTGTCCGTGCCGTATCGCCGGTCGACGAGCACAATCGCCGCGTAGTCGCCCCGGTGCCGGATCGCACGCCCGATGCTCTGGTTGACGGCCCTCATGCAGGCGTTTTCGTAAAAGTCTCTTGCCGCCTGCTTGCCTCTGCTCGTCGCCTCTTCCTTTGGTATGCCCTGTGTTATGAGGTTGGTCTGCGTCGTCGTCTCGATGTATTCAATCTTTGCTTTCCAGTCTGGGGATGCAATGTTGGGATAGGGGAGGCCGATGACTATGACGCAGCGTCCGAGACGGTCAGAGAAATTGATGCCTTCTGACATTTTGCCGCCCACGACGCTGAGTAGCAAAGCGCCTTTACCGTTGCTCCCTTCGCCTTGGATGGCATTGGTGTATTCCTGAAGGATTTCGTCGCTTGATGCGCCTTTTGATTCTTTAAACAATGCCTTGCGCGTTGCCAATCGTTCCCATATTGGTTGCGCATTCGCTCCATGGCTTTTTTGCCACGCCGCAACGACCTCGTCGAGATATCCATAACTGGGAAAGAAGATGACTACGCCGTCGGGAACCAGAGAGCAGAGGTTCAAAATCGCAAGTCCCAGTTGTGTAATCATCTCTGGGTCGCTTCGCTTCTGAAAACTAAACTCAAAAGGCGGCATCCCCGGTCGCGAGGAAGCTAATGTCCAAACACAGAGATTCTCGGGAGGAATAACGTGCCCACAGCTCAGTGTTGTCACCTTTTCGGGTTCTAAAGAGGGAAACAAGTGGTCTTTGTAGTCGTCGAATGGAGACATTGTTCCACCAGCGAGAACCACCGCCCGAGCGCTTGATGCAATGGACGAGAATGCATGAGTTGGCGATAGCAACAGGTAGGACAGCTGGATATCAGGTGCTCCCCCTTTGATCTTCTGATAAAATATTCGACCTTCAGAGCTGAGATTTGTGAGTGCGACGAGAAATGAGACCAGAGTGTGAAGCACTGGAGTTGTCGATTTGGGGGTTTTTGTAGGCGCTTCCTCGTTCTCGACATGAGAGGCATAGCTCTCGATTTTGAAGGCGAGCTTCGATTCCTGGATGTACTGGATCAGTTCAAACATGTTGATCTGATCAATTCCCTTTGGCCGCGTGAGATCGTTTGGATCCACGATTCCATGTTCTTGCTGTTTAGAGTCAGATACTGTGCCAACATCAGACCGAAGATGCGACTTGCCTTGAACTTGAGAGCGCCGTCCATCCACTCACTCAAGCCCTCAATGACTCTTCCGACTCTTCCAACGTTGACTCGATTCACACCTTTCAACTTTTTGCCAAACCTCTTCACGTATACCCCCAGCATACCGCGTCCTCTTCGCAGATCGCTCAACCGAATCTCGGCTGCGTGAACATTGGCAACTGCATCCATGATGTTATGTGCCTCATCAATAATCACAACACTCCCCTCCAGCTTGACTCCCAATGCGTCTCGCGCACTCTTCTGGAGTAAAAGAGGATACGGCAGTGTGATGATTTCAGCCCCCGGCAACGCAGTACGCGAGGCATAGTACGGACACACAGAAAGAGACTTGCCAAGGTGGTGTAGATCCTCAATATCAGGAAGAGTAGCCAGCGCGGAGTCACGAAACTGATGTGTCTCCGAAAGAAGATCCTCTTTGGGAACAAAAGGACATTTCTTTCCCGATTTCGGTTTCTGAAGTTCTGCGCAGCGGTCGTTGATTGCTTGAACAGATCCAAGACGTGAAACTTGAGGATTGATGCATAACCGTTGACGAGATGATAACGGCACAAGCTTGACTGCTTCTGTTTTCGACTCTTCATCTTTGGCTAGAGATGTTGGGAGTGAGGGCGGAAATGTGGGTCGGCGAAGTTCGGTGATGAATTGCGATAGTTGGGAATGTGTTCTTGAGGTGTAGTAGATCTGCTGAGGTTACTATGCTGGCAAGTGAACGTAGTACGGAGGTCCACACCTTGATCTGTTCCTCCATCAGGTCGTCTTCCTCTTCCGGCTTCATTGGACCACCTAAACCGATACTCGCCAAGATGTCTCGAGACTCTTTACTCAGACCAGACAGTGCATCCTGGGGGCCAGTGTCGCGGTCATCAGGGTCGTCCAGTAGCCACTCTGCATCTTCGTCTTCCACTCGCGATCGATGATAAGGTCCAGATTCATCAACACGGCGTCGTTTCCGGGCCCGTTCCTCTTGGGCCTTTTCTTTGAGTCGAAGAGCTTCAAGGCGCTTCTCCCGTTCTTCCCAGCGACCGACGAGTTCTTCTCGCTTTCGTCGGAGGAGTTGCTCGACAAGCCATGGCGGTTCATCTTTGTATGCATCTGCGGATTCCTGGATGGATTTCTCAAACTGATTTGACTTGTGATTTCGTAACCAGGTCAGGGATGCACAAATGAGTGAAAGAGACTTGCCCTGTTGGTTGTTAGACAAGGGATTCTGCATGCAGGAGGCAATCATCATGACGCTTCGAAATGTTGCTCAACGCAAACCCTTCCATGAAAGCTATTGCAACAGCATGGAATCCACTTACAGTACCAGTTGGACTCTCCAGGATCCCGACCTGGCCGTTGCCTGTCTCCAAGACATTGTACACTGTCTTCATGAACTGTTCTTGAACATCGTAAGGTGTATAAGGATGATGAAAGTCAAGGTTTTCCAAACCCTTGGAAATATAATCAACGTCGGTCTGCGCCATCTCGATCATCAACAATGTTTCACTGAAACTGCTTCCTTCTTCACCACGTCGCGAGACTCGCGTCTCGAGTTTGACATTAATGGCCCGTCATTGGTGGGGCCACACCGACATTCACCACGGTCTGACCGCGAAGTCACCTGACACACCGAAACCTCACCATCAGGGCAGACCCACTGAAAATTCACCCACACTTTTTCCCACCCATTCTTAGGGTTCCCCTGCCCTCTCGCCTAACAATTCGGTGCTAGCCATTGGAAGCCCCCCAGCGCAAAAACATCACCACCCACTTCAGCTTCGACCCGTGAACACCGGAAAAGCGACAACACCACAGCCGTCGCCATGCCTACCCGTTTGTCGAAGACCCGCAAGCAGTACGTTTTGATTCCCTCTCGCCGACGTTCACGAGGGCGCTCAAATTCGCCATTGAACGCCCCGTCGACGGCGGCGGGAGAAAACACCAAGATTTCGATATCCGGAGAGCTCGTGATGGACTGACTCTGTTCACAGTCGCGGCCACGTTTCCGCCGGCAAGGGCCGTGTCGGCAAGCACCGCAAGCACCCCGGTGGTCGTGGTCTTGCCGGTGGTCAGCACCACCACCGTACCAACATGGACAAGGTTCGACGACCCGACGACGAGATACGAACGAGAGGATGGAATGGCTGACTCTGCGACAGTACCACCCTGGTTACTTCGGTAAGGTTGGTATGCGATACTTCCACAAGCAGCAGAACCACTTCTGGAAGCCCATCATCAACCTCGACAAGGTACATACAGCCCCTCCACGAGCCTGCAATATCCGATTCAACGCATGAGATGGATCAAGGCAGAACGCACAGAACAAATAACTAACTCAATACAGCTGTGGTCCCTCGTCCCCGTCGAGACCCGTGACGCCTACGTCTCTGGCGAGAAGAAGGACACCGTCCCCGTCCTCGACCTCCTCCCCCTCGGCTACTCCAAGGTCCTCGGCAAGGGCCGCCTCCCCGAAATCCCCCTGGTCGTCCGCGCGCGGTGGGTGAGCCGTCTGGCTGAGAAGAAGATCACCGAGGCCGGCGGTGTTGTTGAGCTTGTGGCATAGATCAAGTTTATGCCATGTCCTTTGAGCTGGCTTTAGGCTAGGAGTCCGGGGCTGGGAATTGGGGAAACCGGGAAAAAAAGGGTCCCCCATGAATGCTCCCCTGGATGCCGAAGAAAGAAAGATGGGGGGAGGGAATTGGGACCTGGGTTGGTCGGCTTCGAGCATTGCATCAGGGACTCTCGAAACGGAGTTTAACGAAATAAAAATCGATTTTCGCCCATAAGCCAATGACCTCTACGTCACGAACATGCTGCAATGGGGACGCCTGGATGATACTTTGAAGAAACACTGGGTACGGACGAGTTGACGGGTATTGCAGCCATGTTGGCACCTATGGGTATCTAGCCAACCACTTGATCAATCACATCTTGATGCCCCAACGCCTCAGGTCATGATTCTATGATTACATTAAATGTACAATGTCGGGACATTAATATTGGTCAGCCGACTCTTGGTCATAATACCTCTTGTCACTCTCAACCTCTTCGAGCTGGAGGAAGTCATGTCTCAACGCTTCCTCTGCCGTTATCCTCCTGCCAGGATCCAGCTCCATGCAAGCTTCAAGAAAGCTGATAGCCATCTTTTCATCCGGCGTCAGTGGCTTGTCCTCTCCTCGACATGTGCTCCAGAGGATAATCTTTTCCATTGAGAAACCGCCTTGGCCAATTGTGGGAAGGCTGGTCTCAAAGACGCATCCGTGTAGGAGACCCGCAGCCTTCATGCGCTTGGAGCCAAAGATGGTTGCTATCTCGATCATGGCATCCACGTCGTCGGCCGAGTTGAAGAAGGGGAAACGCTTCGACATGATAGTGAGAAGGATGACACCCGCGGACCAAATGTCGATAGATGTCTTTTGCTCTGTGCACTTGAACAGAACTTCGGGGGCTCGGAAACCTCGAGTTCCTGCACGGTTGGCTCGGCGGGAGGATCGAGTATCGGACTTGGGGTATCCAGGCTGAGGGTTCGTCGAGTTTTGAGCCCACACTGAGTTGGTCTGGCGCTGTTTGCGCACTTCCCTACTCTCGTTACAGAGACAGGGCTTGTTATCAGAACCTTCTCGTTCGGCGAGACCAAAATCGACGAGGACGCCCCGCTGGGTGGTAGGATCGTAGAGGAAGTTGGTGGGCTTGATATCTCGGTGGAGAATCTTGTGGTCGTGTACGCTCTTGAGAGCAGTGAAAAGCTCGCGGAGGTATATCGAGATCTCAGGAATGGTCATGTCGCGAAAGTAGGCGCGGAAATCCCCGTGACGAAAGTATGGGAGGATGGCGACGACCTGGTCGGTGTGTCTGAAGGCGGTGATCAGGGGGCATACAGAAGGGCATTGGCGGAGGTCGTGGAGTAGCTCGAGCTCGTTGAGGATTCGGGAAGGGCTGGAGGTGACGTAGATCTTCTTGATGGCGACGTATCGTGCCTTGCGACGGGGTCGCTGAACAGGGCTGCTTGGTTTTGCGTTTGGAGGTGGCGTCCACTTTGACGAGTCGTCTTCGTAGTCCCAACTGTTGTCGTAGTGGTCATACATAATGTCCTCGGCCTTGTACACGGTTGAGAATGTTCCTGGATGTGTTAGTCGAGTTCAATGGGCACTCAGAGGTGTCATGGCAGAGATGTATATACCTTCGCCGATGCGCTTGATCAGACGGTACCGATTGCGGAAGCCAGGAAAGTCGGTCTGTAGTTTGTCCATGTCTTCTTGAACACCTCGATCGACAGCTTCATCCTCAGAAGATTCCTCTACTCTCTCTTCTTCCTCTTCCTGGACGACATGTGTTTGTTGCTGAACATGGTGATGTTGTTGTTGTGGGTTGTGGTGCTGCATGTGATGATGCTGATGCACATGGCTGTGTTGAACATGTTCGTCCTCTTCGTTTGGCCCAGCCTCTTCGGTCCGTTCCTCTTCCACCATCATCTCCGTATCCTCCGTCCTTATGTCCTCGTGGATCTCGAACTGCCTGTCATGATGATGAGGCGCTGTGGCAGCCATGTCGATGCCCCAGAAATCGCCACGCAGGATGTGTTTTTCAAAGGTTATGCTCTGCGCACACAGGGCTATTGGACAGTCAAATCGAGTGTGTGCAGACAAAAGACCAAATAAACACAAGAACAAGACTTTGAACAGAGACTGATAAATCACAAGAGGCTTGGGACGCCGATATTTGGAGGGGCTCGACTCAGGCTGTGTTGGCTGCAGGGGTTCAACGGGCGCAACGCGCTGCGTTTTAGTGGATGATGGCGGGGAAGGGCCCTGAGTGGGCGCGTCAAAGAAAACAAAAACAATCGTTGCCAAGGGGCCAATCTCAGGGCCACCAAATAACCCCCCCAAACACCATACAAGCTACCGACGACAATAAACCCGTCACCGCCAGCACCGACGGATCCGGTATTTGACGGCGCGCGCCATCGCAGGATACGGTTGGCGCAGAGAGATACACAACGATAATTACGATATTGAATGATACCTGCTTGATTGTGCTGGCGTCCCGCACTTCACCTCCCCTCCGCTTCTTCCCCTCTATTCACCGTCGTGCGCACGCTTCTGCGGCGACGACTCTTTCGCATCGCCCATCATGGATACAATCGACTTTGACCTCAACGATGCTCTCAAGCACTACATGTCAGACCCGGCGAGCATCGCCACGCCAGAGGCCGCCGGCGCCCTGTTCGACTGCGAGAATGACCCCGAGGCCCTCACAAACCCCGTGGTCAACTCGGTGCTGAACCCCATCGTCGACGCCGTCGCCGACAACCCCGACGCGATAATGCGAGCCTCTCACATGGATTCGCTACAGTTTCTCCTCAAGTTAGCCCCCATTTCCCTTCACCCCTCTTCTCCCGATCCGACATCGTTGGGACGCGATTCTGAGCTAGTTGAAACTCCCAGATACACAGCACACCTCCCCACCCACGCCCTCAGCAAGATCTTCGACCTCATCATGAGCGGCCTGAGCGCCGAGGCCGACTCGGTCCACAGCGACATCGACTCCCCCGATGAGCAGGACTCGGTGCCCCACCACAAGAAGCTCCTCGAGATATACGCCTTTCTCCTGCAGTGGACTATTGCAGCTGTTGAGACAAAGGCGGCCGAAAAGTCCTCGGCGGTTCCTGCTTCCAGGGGCCGTGGAAAGCCCAAGAAGGGTGCAGCCAACAAGGAGGCAGCCTGGGACTCGGCTACACAACTCCAGGCTGCTCTGGAGATTATGTGCAAGGTCCTGAAGCTCAAGTTGTCCAAGATCTTCCTCACCACGAGCGAGAGGGACACATTTATTGGACTCCTTACTCGGCCGGTCTACATGGTGTTGGAGAGCGAGCAGCGGGTAAAGGCCACGACCATTCGAATGCACTGCTTCAAGGTGCTGTGCATTGCTGTCAAGCACCACGGTCATGGATATGGTATGTTGTGCCAACATGGACTTGGTGGATTCAAATGGCTCACAGTGATCAGCGGCGCAAATCAACATTATCCAGAACCTCACATATTTTGAACACTTGTCGGAACCCATGGCCGAGTTTCTACACATCCTGGCCGAGACATACGACTATCCCCAGCTCGCTGACGAGGTCCTTCGAGAAATCAGTAACAAGGAGTTCAACTCCAACGACACACGAGGACCCAAGTCTGTCTCTTCTTTCATTGCCAAGCTATCCGAACTAGCCCCTCGCCTGGTGATCAAGCAGATGACAATGCTCGCAAAGCAACTAGATAGCGAGGTAGGTTTATTCGGAGGACGAAACGACCTGCAACTGACACAATCAGTCTTATACTCTTCGATGCGCCCTCATTGAAGTCTGCGGAAACATGGTTGCCTATCTCAGCAAGCAGGACGAGCGCAGCGAAAACCACAAGTCTCAACTGAACGCATTCTTTGACGTTTTGGAAGAGCGCTTCCTCGATATTAACCCATACTGTCGATGCAGAGCCCTACAGGTCTATATGAGGCTTTGCGAGCTTGCCCAGAAGTTCCCCAAACGTCGTCAAAAGGCCGCCGAGCTCGCCTGCCGAAGTCTGGAGGACAAGAGCAGCAACGTGAGGAGAAATGCCATCAAACTACTTGGCACCCTTATCAAGACGCATCCCTTTACTGTCATGCATGGCGCTCAACTGTCAAGAAAGGAGTGGCAGGCTCGCTTAGACAAGGTCGATGAAGAGCTGAACGCACTGAAGCCACCCCCTGGCATGCCTGGCTTTGGGGGCGATCAGGCCAATACTACTGTCGACAATGAATTGTTGGACGAGGCGACACAGCTCGGTTCTCCTGAGAAGCCCAAGCCAATGACTGAAGAAGAAAAGGTGGCTGCTATCAAGAAGGCTCAGGAGGAGGCTGCCACGAGCGAAGCCATTGAGAAGCTCACCTTGACCAGGAGGTACTACAACGAGGCTCTCAAGTTTATTGATGTTATCCATGAAGCCACTGGCACCATCTGTCAGCTTCTTGGCTCCAGAAACAAGAGCGAGGTCATTGAGGCCATTGACTTTTTCGAGGTTGGCGACGCCTACAACATTGAGCAGAACAAGGATGGCATCCGACGCATGCTTCGCCTTATCTGGACCAAGGGCAACAGTGATGAGGGCAAGGGAGTTCAGGCACACCTGATCGACTGCTACAGACGACTCTTTTTCGAGGCCCCTGACTCGTTCAGCTCCAACGATGCGGCCAACTACATTGCTCGCAACATGATCAGTCTCACTTCGGGTGCTACGCCTGCTGAGCTCACGTCTCTTGAGCAGCTGCTTGCCACCATGATGAAGGGCGGCATGATTCCTGAGGTTGTCATCACCAAGCTGTGGCAGGTTTACGGTGTCCAGAAGCGTGAGATCTCTCGCACTCAGCGACGAGGAGCCATCATCATCTTGGGCATGTTAGCAACTGCAAACCCCGAGATTGTCGTTGGTGAGATCGAGACGATGCTGCGAACAGGTCTTGGACCCCATGGGCGCAACGATCTCCAATTGGCCAAGTACACCTGCATTGCCCTCAGGAGAATCAACCCTACAGGACGACAGGCAAAGGATTCACCTATCAAGTTTTCTCGTCTGCCCAATGACCATGCTGTCTCGGTCAGGTTAGCTGCTATCACCGATGTGGCTTCGGACAGCAAGGAGTGGTATGGAGTCGCAGAGCAGGCCATCAATGCTATCTATGCCATCGCCAAGCACCCCGATACCCTCTGCTCAGATATCATCCGACACAAGACACGACAAGTCTTTGGTCAACCACAGTCTCGACCAGGTTCACGACCCGGCTCGCGGCCTGGATCTCGAGATGATACCAAGCCTATCCCTACTGGTGATCAGATTCCCACCCAGAGCGAGAAGCCCAAGAAGCGCGACAACGCTATTGCCTTGTCGCAGCTTCTCTTCATCGTTGGACATGTTGCCATCAAGCAGATCGTTCATCTTGAGCTTTGCGAACTTGACTTCAAGCGCAGAAAGCAGGAGAAGGAGAAGCTTGCACCAACCAAGTCTGACAAGGACAAGGAGGATGCTGATGAGCTGGATCTGATCGGAGGCACAACGGAGGATGACTTTACAGAAGCCATGGCTCATATTCGTGAGCGTGAGCTTTTGTATGGTCCCAACTCACTGCTGGCAATCTTTGGTCCTCTTGTTTCTGAGGTCTGCGCCAACAACACCACATATGCCGACAAGGGTCTTCAGGCCGCTGCGACATTGTGTCTTGCGAAGCTCATGTGCGTGTCTGCAGAATACTGTGAGACCAACTTGCCTCTGCTCATCACCATCATGGAACGCTCGCCTGACGCGACGGTGCGATCCAACGCCGTGATCGCTCTGGGAGATATGGCGGTTTGCTTCAACCACCTGATTGATGAAAACACAGACTTCCTGTACCGTCGTCTGGCAGACGCCGATACGTCGGTTAAGCGTACATGTCTGATGACGCTGACCTTCTTGATCCTAGCTGGTCAGGTCAAGGTTAAGGGTCAGCTTGGTGAGATGGCCAAGTGCATGGAAGATGATGATCGCAGAATTGCCGACCTGGCGAGAATGTTCTTCACTGAGCTCAGCACCAAGGACAATGCTGTGTACAACCACTTTGTGGATATGTTTAGTCTGCTGAGTGCCGGCGGTAACATGGAAGAGGAGAGCTTCCGCAGAGTTGTGAGATTCTTGCTCGGCTTTGTCGAGAAGGTGAGTCCCTTGATACGATTTGACACTCAATCAGTGATAACTAACGCGCTCGCCAGGATAAACATGCCAAGCAGCTGGCCGAGAAGCTTGCGGCGCGTCTTAGCCGATGTGAGACGGAGCGACAGTGGAACGATGTCGCGTTTGCGCTGGGCATCCTACAGCACAAGAACGAGGATATCACAAAGTTGGTGTCTGAGGGTTACAAGATGGTTCAATCGGCGGCTTGAGATGTTACTACTGTATGTGCTTTGTCCTGTCGTGTTATGTCCTGGAAGCGGGAGTCTGGATTGGGTTGAAACGATGGCATGAATGACATGGGACGGGGTGCAACGATAGATGTTGACGGTTGACGACCTGGAGGTGCATTGTCTTGTCGCGATATTGATACCAGTCTCATTGATGAATTTTGATGTTTTGATATTTGTGTGCATGTGTTTGTCCACTTCTTTCCTGATTTGTATTGGTGGCTAGTAGACGAGTGTTATTGTAGGTTGGTAAGGACCTCTAGGGGGGTTGTCTCTTTGTTATGGTATTTCAAGTTTCATGATGGTTTGGTAGAGTTGAAACGTGAAGAGGTTCCACAGCGCGCCACATGAAGTGACTAATGTTCAAGAAATGTGAAAAACGTTGAAAATACTGCAGAAACTATATTCGTCATAAACAATGCTTGAATCATCACTAACTGAGTCAATATCGACAACTTGTGGTCTGCTTGGCTCAATTGTCTAGGGTAACCCAATGGCATGATGCGCGCCACCAAGCGTCTGAGGCCACTCTTGCGTCGAGAGCCATCGTGACTGGCAGCGCCCCACAGAGTCGTGTCCAAGTGACAGCCTCGGCCACGGGCCTCCGCAGTCGCAGGGATGGGAATGGATGGGGGAAGGCGAGTTATCGAGGCAACAGGAACAAAGAGCAAGGTCATAATAGAGTGTGTCTTGTGCGCTACTACATGATGATGAGATCTCTCTCTTTTCCCTTTGTCCCAAGGCTTTCCCGGTGCAGGAAACGATGGACGCGATTGTGAATGATTCAGTGAAAATGGATGATGTGACTGATTCGATGAAGCTCCCGTCCCAAGCTCCAAGCGGCGGGAGCGACGAGCTATGGGTGCTTGACCTTTGCGCGCGTCCGGGGGGTCAGGTTAGCATGAGCATCGCTGAGTGCCCCCCAAAAGTACAAAAAGGGCGGGTCTTCCCTCCTGTTTTCGCGGCAGTTGCGACCCATTCATAGGACGACCATTTGATCCTAGTGTACTTTTCTGGTAGGTACCCGACACCCCCGTTCCTTTCCTCTCCTTCCGGAGCGGCTATTGACATCTTTTTTGTCTGATGGATGTCTCCAGCCTGGGAGTAAATCTGCTGACACGCTGTTATTGCAGAAACCCGCTTCTTCCGATAACCCAAAAAAGAAGAGCTTTCAAAACTTGATTGACAATCATCAACCTTTTTTATACTCCATACCATCCTTCCCACACCCCGCGATTCGTGTGACGACACAACCCCGGCCCCTCCTTCTGTCGCATTTCTGCGTCGCATTGTCAATTGGCTGTTGCAGGCATCAGGCTTGAGCGTGCTTCTTTGCGAATTCTCTTCTCGTTGATCCAGTTCAATTCGGGAAAGAGGATAGAACAAGGACCCAAGTACCCTTGTCTGAACTGACACAGTTTCTCAGTCCCTTGGGATTGACTTCGGATATACAGCTCTCCCCGACCAGCGGAAAGCTTGGACCATCGATCGCGATCGCCAATCCCCGACAGCGACAGGGAACTTGCTGCGCCACCCAGCTATCGTGCGCCGGATTTTTATTCCAGCGTCCTCCGCATAGTGGGCTGTCTTACCCACGTGACGCTGCCTGCACCAACCGTTCTCCGCGGTCCGTTTGCGGGTACAGGCGAGAGCTGCCCGCTGAGCAGTGCACTCGAGTGCTGTGAGCTTTGCGCTGCGTACCAAGTGCGTCACCTCCGTGCAAGCTCTCTCCCCGATCAAAGAACATTCATCGACAACCAACGAGCGACGCATCGCGACGCGAATAAGGAAAAAGATTTTGTTGCCCATCGAGAGAATTCATCTGCGCTTGGCACAAATTCACGGAAACCATCCATTGAGACTCTTTGGCGACGATACAACGCGAAAACTCTCGGCTTGCGATTACACGTGGGACAAACCTCGACCTTTGTCTTTCTGGCGCCGAATCGCATCGACTTTCCGCGCCGTATTCTGGTGAGGCCATGGGCTTGGCTGGAGGGCCTGCGCCGAGAAGGATTAAGAAAAGGGGAGCTCTCTAGGTACGTCTTTGATGGCGCTGCATTGGCATCGTGAACGCGACATCAGAGGTCAACCACTACGGGCGAGAAGAACACGCGCTAACAGTTTGATTGCAACTGTAGAGGCACACCGCCGTCTTAAGAAGCCCTTCCACAACACCAACATCGACTTTATTCACAAAGCCTACCATGTTCGACAAGGTAGTCCCGCTAGGCACGCGCCTACACTACCCCATCACCATTACCAAGCTCCTCAAATCACCCGGCGACACGATCAAGAAGCAGGACAGCCTCTTTGAGTACAAGTTCTTCTGGAAGCGCAAGATTGGCGATGATACTTGGGTCGACGAAACCACGTACACAGAGTTTGACAGCCCAGCCGAGGGCATCCTCAAACAATGGCGCATCCGAGAGGGCATGGAGGTCGCAGCCGACGCGCCCTGCTTCTTGGTCGAAGAGGCGTGCGGTCACGAGGTTCAGATGCAGGGCCTATGCAGCTTGTGCGGCGCTGACATGACCGAGATCAACTGGGCCACTGAGGAGCGGGATACGGATCGTGCCATGATTAACATGACACACGACCAGACTGCCCTCATGGTCAGCGAGAACGTTGCCGCGAGGGCCGAGCACGAGTCCCAGAAGCGGCTTCTGCGACAACGAAAACTTACCCTGGTTGTCGATCTGGACCAGACCATCATCCACGCCTGTATCGAACCTACCATCGGCGAGTGGCAGCGCGACCCGACGAACCCCAACCACCAAGCTGTCAAGGACGTCAAGAGCTTTCAACTCGACGATGGTCCACGCGGCCTTGCGAGCGGATGCACATACTACATCAAGTTGCGACCTGGGTTGGCCGAGTTTCTTGAGGAGATTTCCAAGATGTACGAGCTGCACGTCTACACCATGGGTACACGCGCCTATGCCCTCAATATTGCTCGCATTGTCGACCCTGACAAGAAGCTCTTTGGAAACCGTGTCATCAGTCGTGATGAGAATGGTAGTATTACTTCCAAGAGTCTTCAGCGTCTGTTCCCTGTTAGCACGGACATGGTTGTTATTATCGACGACCGAGCCGACGTGTGGCCACTGAACCGACCAAACCTGATCAAGGTGGTACCTTACGACTTCTTCAAGGGTATCGGCGATATCAACTCGAGCTTTCTACCCAAGCGACAGGATGTCTTGCCGACACTCAAGCAGAAGCCCACAAGTCCCAAGGCAAAGGCAGCACCTAAGGCCTCGCCTCTGGACGAGCTTGTCAGGATGAGTGGTGGCGACGATGCTACGAATTTGAAGATTCAGACCGAGGAGCAAGAGAAGACACTGGAGAAGCAGCTGACGGATCGACCACTACTGCACATGCAAGAGGAGCTGGACAAGGAGGACGAGCAACAAGATCCCCAGAATGGCGACTCTTCGCCTGGCCACCACCGGAATCTTCTTGTTGACGATGATGAGGAGCTCATCGCCCTCCAGGACCATCTAACTGATCTGCACACATCGTTCTACGAGACATATGACCGACGACGAGCGGAGCGGAGACAATCAGAAGGCACACATCCACCTGCGCACAGCAAAACGAAGCGAAGGGCTTCTGTGGACGACGGTGTTGACTTGTCTATGGTTCCGGACGCTGGTGATATCCTCGACGAGCTCAAGTCTAGTGTTCTTTCTGGCCTTGTTATTGTCTTGTCTGGTCTTGTACCGCTTGGAGTCAAGGTGGAGGAGTCAGAGATCGGGATGCAAGCTCAAAGCTTCGGTGCTCAAGTCCTTGATACTGTGTCAAAGCGAGTGACGCATCTCGTCGTGGCCTCCTCACGCCCACGGACAAAGAAGGTGCAGCAGGCAGCCAAGATTCCCAGCATTAAAATTGTGAATCAGAACTGGCTTACAGACTGTCTCAGTCAATGGCGACGACTGGATGAGCGACCATACTATCTGGAGATCCACGACATGGACCGGGAGAAGGGAGGAGAGGACACCACAGAGGTGCCATCGGAGGCGGAAGAAGTCGAGGATGCACAGACAGGACAGGAGCTCAAGGACTTTGACTGGGGTGAGGCCGAAGATGAACTCGCCGAATTCATGGACGACGATGAAGATGATGGCGAGAGCGGTGAAGATACGGCTACAAACTCTGGTGCCGAGACCAACGACGGAGATAGTGTGAAGCAAGGGACCAAGCGAAAAATGATGGCCGATGCAGATGAGTCGGATAACGACGGAGCATCAAGCATAGGCGAGAGTGTTCTTGCTAAGAAGCAGCGACTGGCACGGAATCGAGGCGCTTCGGGACTGCGGGCAATACATACGCCCAACGGCGACGACGCAGATGAAGACGCGAGCTTACCGACTCCGGGGCCGACAGGGGATGAAGCAGCGGATAACAAGAATGGACTGGTTAATGCGGATGAGACGATGGACTTTGACGAGGACGAGCTTGAGAGAGAGCTACTCGCCGAGTTGGAGGCCGCCGGGGATTAAACTTGGAGCTCAGGGGGGTTTGAATATGTTACGGGCGCGGCGCGGGACTTTTTTAGTTAAAAGAGGATGGTTTAGAAGGACTGTATATGGGGAAGGCGAGGGAGTTGATATTTTGTATCCAGCATCTAGTGTATGTATTTACAATACCCCCTTGAGGCATGGGAATGAAGCGATTTGATGCCATCATGGTGACTATATTGATGTGTAATCTATGGATGTAGAGGGATATCACAAGTTGATGCTTTGGCACGGATCTCAGCCAGGCTCTGAATTGTAGTCGTCATAGGATTTGAGGCTTGCTAATCTCGAAAGGAGGCGCTTCAAGTTTGACTCGGCCGGGCAGATTTGGCCGTGTCTGAGTGGGGCTTTCAGGGATTGTGAGCTATCCCGTACTAACACATCTGCATGATTTTAGCGTTTCTTCGCGATAATAAATCTTAGTATAGTATCCCGGTGAGCGTCGGTCGATTATCATGCCGCTTCATCTCAAGTCGGACTGCAAAGAAAGGACGGATTGGGCCCTTTTGGTATGTAAGCGAGGATAACAAGGAGCATCGTCTTTCCGACGGAGATGGGCAAGAGTCTGTGTATAAAGAGGGCTTTTGTTCCTGTTGGTGTCAAGAAGTCATGTACAGACAACTTCAGTGCAGTTACATCAACACTCTATCGAGACATTCTTGTTCTTCTTGACAGCTATTCGAGTCTCTTCAAACACTATGCCTTCTTATTGTGGCTTTGATCCTGACAAGGACGTTGGTGATCTTTCTGGAAAGGTCATTCTTGTCACTGGAGGTGAGTTGAGGCTCTCTTTCACACTTCACAACCCATAACCCTCGTCCTTGCTCTGGTGACCTATTGTCTAACAAATTATAGGAACCGCTGGCCTTGGCAAATCTGCAATCCTCACCCTCACCGCACACAATCCCTCGCACATCTACTTTACCGGCCGCTCTGCCTCTTCAGCAACATCCCTTCTTGAATCCCTCAAATCTCTCTCACCACCTGTCGAAGCCACATTTCTCGAATGTGACTTGACATCACTGTCTAGCATTCGTACCGCGTCGACCAAGTTTCGACATGATAGACTTGACATCTTTATCGCCAACGCTGGCATCATGGCTGTTGACGCTGGACTTACCAAGGATGGTGTAGAGATGCAGTTTGGCGTCAACCATCTTGGTAACGCGGCTCTACTCATGCACCTCTTGCCTGTAATGCTCAAAACAGCAGAACTCCCCAACGCAGACGTACGCTTCGTATCCGTCACTTCGTTGGGATACAGAGGCCATCCCAAGGGCGGCATCAACTTTGCCACGCTGCACACTACACAGGAAGACATGTTTATGGGAACCTGGGGCCGCTACGGACAAAGCAAATTCGCCAACATTGTCTTTGCCCGTGAACTCCACCGTCGCCATCCCAAGATTACAAGCGTGGTAGTCCACCCAGGTGTGATACCCACCAAGCTCGTGACGGAGCTGGGATTCTGGAAGAGAATGTTTGTGTACGTTACAAACCCGACCATGATGACTGTTGAGCAGGGGGGGTATAATACTGTTTGGGCGGCGGCTGGTGTTGGCAGTAAGGAGAAGGTTGAAGGCGAGAAGGAGAAGGTTGCGTTGTATTTGCCGGTTGCAAAGGGGAATGGTGGGGATGCGATGTGTTTTGATGAGGGAGTTGGGAGGGAGTTGTGGGAGTGGACAGAGAAGGAGATGAGCAAGGTTCAGTAGGTGGTGGAGTTGCGGTTGGTTATGTTGTCTAGGTTGGAGTTGATTACTGTTGGTAAGGCGAGTAGTCGCTGAGTTGAGGGTGAGTTATGGTTGCGTAGCTGAGGGTAGTTGTCGATAATGGCAGGATGGGTAATTTCAGTCTGTAGTATTGAGACTGAAAGTTTGCAAGGCTGAGTAGTCGTTTCTGTTCATATCATTTCATCAAGTTGTTAGTTCATCTTTAATATCAGGTCTTGCCCAAGAACGTCACCGTCAAGTCAGTTGTCACCAGCTAGACAGACTCATGCCTTGATCTTCCCTCAATTCCGGTGGCCGTGGCAAAACCACTCATTGTCAGATAACATATATACACACACTGGCCCAAAATCGCAAAGCCATCTCTTCTCTTTACACCTTTCCATACCCTCGGCTCGTCTAGTTTGTGGTGGGAGGGGGAACGACGGCAAAAGTCGGCCGCACGAATCTGAAAATGTCAGTTTATAGTTGCGTTTATAGGTAGAGGAGACTCACCGGTCGCTGTGGTAGACCTTGGCGTTGTCGCCCAGCAGCTCCTTCTCGCGCTTCTGGTCGGCTAGGTATCGTCGTACCTGGTCGCGGTCCTCTTCGGCCTGGAGGAGGGGGATGAGGTTGATGCGGGCCCACATCTTTTCACGGGCGAGCTCGCTGTTCAAGGTCAGTCCTCTGGTGTTTTCTTTCGTAGGAACCGAGTTAAAGGGAACGTACTTGGCCTCTCGCATGCCGTGGATCAGCTTGTACCAGCCGTAGCCCATGACGGCGCCCATTCCGAGGAGGAGGATTCCGGGGCGGAAACCCTTGGCGGGGAGGTTTCGCTGCTGAGGGTCAGCATTTGTCCGGGACCAATTGTTCTGTCTCCATGTGTATCCAGCTCTTGAAGTTCAAAGACACGGTTCGTTCGTATCGGTCGGGGAGTCTCCGGGTCCATCTCGTCGTCCCAAATGTCCTAATTGCGCATCTGGACGAACAGCATCCATCTAGAACACCTCAAAACACCCTTCTCCCAATTCTTCTCTCCCAACGCACCTTGTACTGGACGGGCTCGTACCCGCCCCGAGGGGGCATATCCTGAGGCATGGCGGGCAAACGGTTCGCTCTTTGGCGTCGGGGATCGGTCAATTGAACTGGTCGGATCGTCTCGCTACCGTGTCTCCCTCGTGCGGGCGGGTAGACTCGTTATTTCGCTGACGAGGGGGTGATCTCAACGGTCTGCTTCGTGAGGTGATTGTTTTCCGAGCAACCGATTCAACTGTGGATGAGACGCCTTGCCGGATTACGTAAGGTGGGAAGCAACAAGGTTGGTTGACAGTTGACCGGGGTAAAGCCGTCTACAGGGGTGTTATGTAAGCGGGGTTGCCCAGTAGATTTGCACGGATTACCAAAGGGGGAATGAAGCTATCACCAAACACACTTCTGTTTGTCTCTTGGATTATGTGAGGTCTTGATGGTAAGGAGAATGTGACTTGCATTCCTTGTTGCCCTTGTGCTTCTGGCCATGAGTGAGCGTGAAGGTCAGCTCTAATGTAACAAACATTGCTGCCTATAGTTTGCAACTGCTCTTTGAGCGTTGAGTATTCTTGTGGGCACTGGAACATGTGAACTCAGCTGCGAGGCTCGCACAGCATAAGAGAGGGCCTAGCATTCACATTTTAGTGTGATCCATCTCAGTTGTAGGCTAAAGCTCTATTATGGGAACTATGAATGTGAAATGACGTGAATTCTCACAGCTTGATACCCCTATAAATTCTCATTGCTCGCCAGGAAGTCAGACTGATAAATCTCACAGCGGGTTATCGAAAACAAAGCACAACCGCCACCAGAGGACTGCCATCTTACAGGACAGCACAGTCAGCCTTGAAGCACTCACACGCCTTACCCCGACTACTGGTTTACCGACCAACTCGACCATGTCGACCGAGCCAGGCCCACAACAACTGCGGCTAGCGAGGCGTATCCCCGAGATAGAAGTGTTGGACCTTCGAGACCCCCCTGGGAGAATCGCGACGACAAGAGAGCGGAGCCATGTAGTCCAGTGCCCTCCACACCCCTACCCACTCGATAAATCTCCGATTGCTGTGTTCCATAGCCTAGACGAGGACTGGATCGACGCATCTCAGGAGGTGCTCATCTTCACACACCAGGTGCCCGACTCCGATGATGAGAAGATGCGTCTCCTCAACAAGAAGTCGGAACACTTTCAATATTATTTCTGGACGGCTCTGGACAGAGATGGAAGATTCAACCAGCCGTTTGACGGGAGCGAGTATCTCTGGGAGCCCTTCGACATCCGGACTATGCGAATCTGGTGGCGCATGTGCCACCAAGATTCTGTTCCTACCCACATTGATGTTAGCAACGACGGTCTATGGAGAGACCTTTTGATGTCATCGCCTTGGTTCGACTGTCCCCTCTTTCGCGACCTGCTGTGGGAGGTTGTGACAGATGATAACGGACAGCCTAGGACCGAGACGGTTGACGGTGAGGACCTAATTACTCTCAAGCGGCGAGATCCGAGATTGGGAGAACTGGAAACAAACTTCGTTAGAAGATGGTGGCTCGTGGCTTCGCAGGTGCCCCTGAGGCGGTTTGAGAACGGAGACGCGGTTCTGCCCATAACTGCTAAGCATTACGAGGCTCGGTATGGAACTGCAAGCATGCAGTGGAACATTCCTTCTGATATCGAAGATCCTGGGGACAGTGTTTTATTTTTGGAAGTGTGAGGGAAGGGGATAGCTATGTCTTACCAAACGCGCGGTGGAACTCTGTGAGCGCTTGTATTATAGACGATATACAGTAAAAGCCACAGGCCTGAGTTGGAGCAGCTACCGGCACTAGACTGGCCAGTTTGGTTGTTGGCTAATGGGAACCTTGTACTTGAACCTGATGACCTCTCTGGTACTGTTGCTTCGAATTTGACGGACGTGGCTGAGCGTGAAGCTTTGGATGTCCCCCAATGAAGTTGTACACCTTCCTAACCCGGCAGGTAAAAGAATCAAACCTAGCTAGAAGAATTAGTTGACCTCAAGCGTGAAGGCGCGAATTCGAGGATCTGGGGCCCAGAGCATAATTGAGTGCTAATTCTGCATCCTTGCCTCTGTATAACGTCTACAATTTATTCTCGGCTGCCCTTACCTTTTCCCTGGCTTGTATTAGTTACTGGCTTGTCGTCTCTCATTCAATGCGGCCAACCAAGCAGCATCAGTTGCGTTCATTTTGTTGATTTATAAGAATCCTGCTGTTTGACGAGATTATGAAAACATGACTCTTACCTCCTCCGGGCTTTTCGGACCTCTTCCAACACTAATGAATTTCAAAAGTCTCAAGCTTCGCCTCCCCTCGGTCTAACATGTCCTTCGCCTCCCCGTCCATGAGGTCGACCACGAAACATGCGCTGATATGCTCGTAATGACCATCCTTTGGTCTGAGGAGCACTGGGGCGCCGCAGCCACCCAGCACGACAACCTTGTCTCCTACCTCTACAGAACTGGAAAAGCCCATGTAGTTGTTCTTGGTGAGAAATTTAACATTAGTTTCCAGAGGAGTGGTCGAATGCAGCCGGATACTATGGAACTCGGCCATGTGGTTCTCCATCGCCCACTGGAGAGCCGCTGGAGCATGTCGCCAATGAGGCACGTCGGGCTCCCCCAACTTCATGTCGCCAAAGATCTCTTCCCTCCAGAAGCGTGAAAAATCTTGTCCATACGGGATGCCTAGGCGGGGAAATAGTGTTGTCGCAATGCTATCAGGGTCGGGTGCCGATGGATCGCCAATAGCCGTGTAGCGCAATGCCAGGTAAAGGAGAAAACAAATCCCCCACGTGTGAACCTTTGTTGCGTCGGATTGTAGAAGATATGGTGAGCTGTATCCTGAGCCGTCTACCGGGCATGTATCATGCAGAGCAGTGCGGAAGAGCGCTTGGAATACATGCCTCCTTGAGCAGTTACCACCGAGCATGGAGCGATCTATGTGCCTCTGTACCAGATCGAAAAAGCTGGTCCTAATGGCCAATGATCCTTTGGAATCTCTCCAGGCTGGGTATACCTCCTCTACTTCGTCACATACCACCCCGGTTGCGGTCAAGATGCGGGAAGATTGGCTAAGGTGTGCAGGGTCTGTAAGTAGACGCGCAGATGCTTGATGATCTCTTTCATGCAAGAAATTTCCCATCGGATATACATCAACCATATCTTCGTCCGTGTTCAAAGCTTGAGAGATGGCATCCCAGTCTGGAGCCCACGATGGCAGCCCAGGTTGGACCTCTCTGTGACGTGTGCGGCAAGCGTCGAGTAGAAAGTTGAGATCCCGGACCTCGAGCAACCAGGCCGAGACGAATTCGCAGTAAACTTGGATGAAAGGCTTGCTGTAGTCTGCAATGAGCTGTGTATCCACCACACCCAGGAGGCCAAATATTTTGTCCCGTGGGTCACTCGCATACAGGCCAGCCAAGGACGGCACGAGAGCGAGTGTCGGGCGTTCTTGGGTGGCTAATTCCTCTCTCGTTACGAGTGCCGATCTGATGGAGTAACTGACTGAGACAGTGGCAAATTCAACCGTCATGAGTAAATCCCGGTAAGTCCCTCGATCTAGGAACGAGAAATCAGACGCTGCTCTGCTGAGAAAGCCCAGCATCCACAAGGTGAGTGCTTCCAACGAGGATAGCCTAATAAGCGCTGAGCCATGAACGAGGAGAGTGTCGGCCGGTAGCGTTATCTCTTGGAATGTCCAGGTGCGCTGCCAATACGGTGAGTTTAGTAGTGTTTTAACGGCACTGAAGTATGAATTCGTTTTGTTGACATCTCCGGAGAGTGACCAAAAGTCTGGATGTCTTTCCATCCAACCGTCAAAGTTTGGGTCACGATCCCCGTCTGGGTCCTTCTCATCACAGGCGTTCAGCCATGAATCAGCGGCGTTGGCCATGTTGGCGGCGAAATGTGAATCTTGAGCCTCCCCAAGCCAAGCAAGGACTGTTGGCGCGGAGCCGTAGATAGACCCCATGAGCTGGACTTGACGGTTACGCTCCTCCGTGTCATCCTGGTTGATGCATATTGCATCGGCCCAGAAGAGTGCAGGCTTCTCCCATGGGATGGAGGTGAGGATTTCCGGGAGGATGCTCCGTATCTGCCGTAAGAAAAGGGCGAGATTCTTAGTAACCTTCTTGGGGATCCCGTTGATGATGATGGTCTCGGTATCTGTTTGATCGCCCCAGACATATGACAAAGGGATGAACTGGCCTTGCACGTCTTCGAAACAACAAGGAAAGATTTTGACTTGGACTTGTGAACCGTTGTTTTCGGATGGGCAGATTTCGAGAAGACGCAGGTCATGTTTGTCTGTGTCAAGAGGGTGGTAAAGATTTGGCACGGTTGTGGTGGGATCTGTTGATTCTGCCATGATTTAAAGGCCCATTTATCGGATCCGCCGATAAGGTTGAAGCACGGAAGAGAACGTGGAAGAAAAGATGAGTTATTTATGAGAGCCTTGTTTGATCAGCCTCAGATGCTGGAAATGCCTTGTGGGTGGAGACGCAGGTGAGATGGAGGTTGATTGGGTGAGTTCAGCAGCTTTACATTGAGCCTCATCGAGACAGCGTATAAGTAAAAGTACTGGAATGCAGAAGACCAAACTTATCTAGATGATATTTTGATAATATTTAGATAGTATGTAGATACTATATAGGTAATATTTATAAACATCTGTATGCTGTTTAGATGATATCTAGATGACACATATCGAGTGTAGTTCATCTCGATACTCGAGACATGGCAACTGTGCTTCTCCCGGGCTCCTCATTAGAACCCATTCCTTAACCTTTGTACTCCAGGCATAGGCAAGCCCAATACGCTGAAATGTTCCTGTCTCTCCTTGAACCATCTTGAGAAGCAGTATATACATCCCTCTCCCTTCCCCATTCTTAGACCTGGCACACATGCAGAATAGCAAACCCTGGGCGTTTTCCTGGTCAAAGTCTTCCTGGAGAATTTCGAGCATCACTCGTGGCTCACAATCGGTCGGCTCTGTTTCTTCTTGGGTGTTGACCTTTTCACCGTCTAGAAAAATGTCCCAATAGTGGCCTTCTACAACTTTGCGTTCCAAGATTGTCTTTCTGAGAACTCCACGAAGACGGAGCCAGCCACCGCGGATCACAGCAGTCTTGTCGTCAGTCCGGTAGTCGAGGTGGTAGTCTTGGACTGTTATCAGTGAATCCTGAATCCGTGGCTCGCCAGGAGTGACAGGACCGTCGATCGAAGCCCAAGACCAAGTGGGAGCGCGATATTCCCTAGGTCGCTTACATCCCCCGGATTGGTGGTTGCCACATGCCATCCAAAGGAGTTCGCCTTCAAGATACCGACGCCGCATGCCGGCGACGTACTCATCCTGTACAATTTCGATCATCCTCTTGACGATTCCGGGGCACGCAATAAGCTTATCGCTCGGACTGTGAGTGCCGACGCTGTGTATAGTTCCACAATACGAAGTCATAACGAATGAGGGGCGGAATTCTCATCACCCTCTCGGCCTTTGTACCGACCTACCCGGCTGACAAAGTCGGGTGAATTGAGCTGCTTAAAGGCGGCATCCGGAGATGTTGACAGAGAAGGCGGAAGACCGTCTGGATAGATTTCCGCAGCGTCTTTCTCGCAGCATTCCCAGATGAGCTGTCGTTTTCCGAAGTGAAGAAGGCTAGAGAAAGTGTCTCCTAAGATCCCGTGTTCTGGGCAGGGCTCTGACTTGCGAGGTTTATGTTTGTGCCTGTAGGTATCATCGGCCCTGGAGCTAACTGGAAGCCTGGCGTGGTCGCCGACCTTGGACAGGCTCTAGAAGAAAACACCCTCTCCAGCAGCCTGTAGGCGCAGAGTTCATGGAAGGCATGTTGTACGCAACCTGGAAGAGGTAACAGCCAGGATGGCTATAATCCTTGCCATAACCCAGAGAAGTACTTGTCGAAAAGCCGTCCTTTGCCGGTTCAACGATGCAGTGAGCGATTGTAGGTTCAACCGAGGTGCCAAAGACAAGGTCATGCTCTTGGGCACTTAGGGTCTCCCAGAAACGACTACAGACATAGCATCTCTCGTCAATAGATTTCTCTAGACTTTGGTAGGTCGGATGATGAGCTGAAGAGTACGAGGTTTGGGATGGGCCAGGTCCTTTCTATTCTTAGCACCTGAGACAGAGCATTTTGTTGGAAGTAAGAAAGTAAAGCAATAATCTGTCATGAATGTGTGGCGTTTGACTCTTTTATCTCTTTTGGTGCTTTCGCGCTCAACATGCATGAACGAGTGTTGGTTGGTTTCATAAAGAGCTGGCTAACAAAGAATATCCCCTTTTGCACTTCTGCCTGATAATGTGTGCACGAGACAGGAGGACAGACATATTAGTCCATCCTCTTCTAATAATAATTAATAAAATATAATAAAAGCTTATACAAATCTTCTAAATTAATTAATAATTTTATAATATTTTAATAAATAAATAAATTATATTTATTAAGACTTAGGCAATTCTCTTAATACTCTAGCGTCTTATTAATTTCTCTAGTATGGATTTATTGCACTTTTAACCCACCCACCCTCTGTTAATTATATTATAGCTAGGTATGTTATTTCTATTGACTTGTTCTGAGGCCCCCGACCTTGTACAGCTTGTTCACTAAGTACGCCACGTCCAATCGTCCATGTAGAATGCATAGCCAGGGGGCCGACCACGCTTGCACTGCAATTTTAACCCCTCTCAAGAGGTTCATTGTCCGAACTTTAGCTTAACAAGTCTCAGAGTTTGTGTTCCTCAGGGGAATGTCTTCTTATTTGACCGAGTTGACGCGTTCTTGATGGGAGTGAACTAACCGCAGAGGACTTCAGACAGAGCATTATCACCTTGGTGTACTATATTTGGAGGAAGAAATCTCGGGGCATGTCAAAAGTAAACTGTCAAGATTGCCCGTTCACCTCATTGGGCGCGAATGTGCGCAACTTCACTGCAATTTTAACCCCCCTCAAGCGCTTATACTCCCGTCAATTTTCTAAATCAAAGTAGATACAAAAATTCTCATTCAGAAGTGAGCATTCAACTGCATGGCCAACCTGACCAATGCGAGTAGGCGAGACTTATTGATGCTGGTCAGCCTGGAAGGCATAATGTGTCTTGTTGAAAGATGGGCCATAAGGGAATCTTCCTTTCATAGATGACGCAAACAAGCTGCTGGTAACAAATAACCGCATCAAACAAACATCTCCCTTCGACACTGGAGTAAAACCAGGCTCTTGGGCAACATGGGTCCTTGGGGCTTACAAAGGGCTGCGTGTCAAAGTCCATATCTAGGCGGCTTCGAAGTCCTCAGGATAGTGAGAGCAGATCAGGGCTCTGGAAGTACTTCCAATCAGAACCGTTTCTGATGATGTACTATTAGACGGGCTACCCCTAAGAGCCTCTCCATGGTCAAGTGGGCTGGCATATCTTTCCTACTCGGCGTCTAATTATGACCTGGATGCGGTAGTAGGCTTGCATATTGCACTGCAGTTTTAACCCACGCCGGGACGTTGAGCCCTCGCTTCATTACTCATCCAGATGGCACACGGATTGTGTTTGGGGTCAATGTGCCGTACAACCCTGCAAAGTTCAGCGGCGCTTGACAGGAGCAAGGAAACTCTAGATATAGGCCGGTCTGGGAGATAATTTTGTCAGTAGACAAAGGGAAATCTCGTTCAGTTAAGTGAAAACAACGGAGCCGCATACGTGAAAGCTCTGTTGGTTCAACAGCCCTACGCCCATCACATCCTTCCAACCACATCAACGCAAACCTCTGCAAGGTCACCCACCCAGAAAACAACAAATTAGCCTAATATACCTATTCAAGACACCCACATATGCAAACTGATGACGGTCCAAACAACACGTGAGTTAAGGATTCTCATCCTTGTCTTCTCCAGTCCGGGGATTCCTCGTCGATCATGAGAGATTGACCGCAAGTTTCTCTTAAGCGAAGCCTGGAGGATCGACGCTAGGGAAGAATGGCATTTCGTCTTCTGGAGTCCCCGCAGAGTGCTCGTCTATTCAGTGTCCGCTGATCCTCATCAGCTGCGAGGAACAGGTAATTCTGGGGTAACGTGATGGAGGGGGGGATGCTTGGGGGTGGGGTCATGACTCGTAGGCAGCGAGGTTTTCTTGCTGTGTGCTTCTTTGGATGGAGATAACTCGGTGAAGGTGACATCTTATTGAAGCGGCTATAGTGAGTGCTCCTGGGGTGTTTGTGTCTTGTGGTGGGTGATACGGTTGAAGGGAATGTAACGATTATATAAGGTAAGTGATCGGCCTTGCTGCATTATTTGGATTATCGTATCTCGTACGCATAAAATTCAGCAATTTATAGAGTATTTTCTCATTTTTGAGAGATCAATATGGCGGCTTCAACAGAGAAGAAGCCCTTTTTTGGGTATAGAGGAGGATGGCTCACATTTTGGATCACGGTGAGCTTCTTTCTTGAGGATATACTTTATATTTGTACTGACTGGGTGAGGTTGCGTGTGCTACGGATATGACGCTCTTTGGATACGATCAAGGAGTCTTCAGTAAGTCCTCTCTACCGTGTATCTATCCCGTCTAACACATCATAGGCGGCGTCGTTGTGACAAAGGACTTTCTCGAACTTCACAACCTCGTCGGCCCATCCAAGACAAACCTCCTAGCCACCGTCACAGCCATCTACGACATCGGATGTTTCGTCGGTGCCATGATCGCCTTTACCATCGGTGAACGGCTTGGCCGCAAAAAGGCCATCATCATGGGGACTGTCATCATGTCTGTCGGTACGCTCATTAAGTGTACTTCGTATAGTCTTGCGCAGATGTTTGTTGGGCGTATTATCCTCGGGTACGTAACAAACCAACCAATACACAATGAATACTGACCGTTGTAGAATTGGGAATGGTATCAATACTGCGACTGCACCTATCTGGCAGACTGAAACAGCCCAAGCCAAGTGGCGTGGAAAACTCGTCATCCTAGAGATGGCAATGAACATTGCCGGTTTCTCACTCGTCAACTGGATCAACTACGGCTTATCCTTTGTTGAAGGCTCCGTTGCCTGGAGATTCCCTCTTGCTTTTCAGTTTGTCTTCATCTTTGTCCTGTTTGGCACCGTTCCATGGTTGCCTGAATCTCCTCGGTTAGAACAGCCCCCTGTGTTCTTTTTTTGTGGACTAATCTTGTGATAGTTGGCTCATTGCTCACGACCGTACTGATGAAGCCGTCAAAATTCTCGCTTGTATCGAGGACAAGGAGGTTACTGACGCGGCTGTCACTGCTCAGCTTCACGAGATTCAGTTCAGCGTCGACTATGAACGTGAACACTCTGTTAAATGGAGCGACATTTTGTTACGTCGAAACAGAGATCAGGCCGATACAAAGACTATGCGACGTCTTCTTCTTGGAGCCTTTACGCAGTTTATGCAGCAGTTTGAGGGCATCAACATCATGTAAGTTGCTAAACTCACTCTGCCTGTAGTTACGTGTTGACGTTTTAGGTCGTACTATATGCCTACTGTCCTTATCAACTCCGTCGGCCTCTCTGAAAGCATGGCCCGACTCCTCTCCGCCTGCAACTCCCTCTCTTACCTCGCCTTCTCATCAGCCGCCGTCCTCCTTGTTGAACGCTGGGGCAGAAGAGGACTCATGCTACTCTCCACAGCCGGACAACTGCTTTCTTTCCTCATCATCACCATAATGCTCCGCTACGCCGAAGGAGACGGTCCCAACACAGAATCATACGCCTCAGCTTCGATTGCCTTCTTCTTCCTCTTCTTCATCTCGTTTGGAATTGGAATGTTGGGCGTTCCTTGGCTGTATCCTACCGAGATCAACTCTCTGCCCATGAGAACCAAGGGAGCGGCCCTGGCAACTGGAACAAACTGGCAAGTCAAACTTCTATCTTGAAAATGTCTGTGATTAACCTGTTTAGGATGACAAACTTTATCGTTGTCGAGATTACTCCTATTGGTATTCAGAACCTTGGCTGGCGATTCTGGATCGTCTGGACGGTCACAAACGCCTTCTTCCTCCCCGTCATCTACTTCTTGTACCCCGAAACCTGTAAGCATACCTGATACCCCGTTGACCTGGAATCACACTAACTTCTCTAGCAAACCGCAAGCTCGAAGACTTGGACGCCTACTTCCGCGAGAACCCATCCGTCATTGTCATCAACGACAAGGACGCCATCTCGTCCAAGAGACCCCTCAAGTACATCCAACAGGAGGAGGAAGACATCCGACGCGAGCAGAGAAGCATTGGAGAAGCAGTCTTGGATGAAAAGGCGCTGTAAAGATTATGTTTGCAGATGGCGTCGACTCATAGCATACACGTAGCTGCATTATCCTCGACAGACTAGCAAAAAGAATCAATAGCTCCGGGCATGCAATCTCTATCGCTCTAGAGTAGCAGTTTCTATCCCTGTGCGAGTAAACAAGAAAAAAAAACATCCAGGCCAGACTCCTTCATTACAACAATCCAAGAATTCTGAGCTTCATCATTAAGCCATCGCTCTTTGGCCCATGGCCACATCCAAAAGGAAATATGCTTCGCAAATGCAGCAGATAAATAGCAAAACATTATCATGTCGCAACTGAGCTCTGAACCTGGCTTCCAAGTGATCGCTCACTTCCGGTACCTAAACCGGCCAAGCCCTCGCTTAACTTCTTGGTGACCACATCGGGATCCGGTTCGTCTCTTCCGACAAACGTCCAGCTCTCTTCTGTATCGTCGTCTTCACCGGAATCCGGCTGTTCATTCTTGCCCGCCTTACGCTTGATCAGGCTCTTGGCGTACTCGAGGTCACGGTAGATGCACTGAATAGCGTTCTCAACGCCGGCCTCCTACAATGTTGTTAGTAATGAATCGTCAATAAAGAACAAGTAGACTTACGCTTCGAATCTGCTCGCCAAGGACACGCGCCTTGACGATCATGCGTTCGTTTCGAGTCACTTCCCAGAGTGCTCGACCGAAGCTGTTGGTTCCCCATTTCTTGACCCAAACTCCAACACCAAGATCCTCGACTCTGCTGGCAAAGAAGAACTGATCTCCAAAGAATGGTCGAATAATTGTTGGGATACCCGCTCGCAAGCTGGCACCTGTCGTTCCTGAGCCACCGTGGTGTGCGGCAGCGTCGATTTGCCGGAACAGCCAGTCATGAGGCGCCGACTTGATGACATGAATCTCCGGAGGCATCTCTGGCTCTGGAGCTCGTGGTTTGTTTGGATCTTCCTTGGAGGAGATGCGGTCGGACCAACCCTTGGAAAGAATGCATCGAACGTCGGCTTTGTGTACGGCATCGATAACCTCTTGTGTCATCTTGGCAGGATCATTGACAATAATAGATCCAAATCCGACATAGACCAGCTTCTTCCCATCTGCCCTGGCCTTGGTGATAAAGTCCTGCAGTTCTTGAGGTGGTTCCCACTCACCACCCTCGTCCAAGAACCAGTAACCCGTCACTCTGATCCAGTCTGAAAAGTCCAGAGGCGGAGCGACCACACTTGGGCTGAAGTTGTACAAGAAAGGCACCTTGTTGGGCTGCATCTTTTCGAGGCTCGTGTTCGGAAGCCCCAGCGTGTTGTTTCTCCATCGGTTCACCTGATACGCAGTGGCCTTCCAGAAGATGTTGTCAAACATGATGTACGTCATGTAGTTGTAGGCTCCTCCCATCTTGTGTTCGGGCATGATAAAGGCATGAGGGTATGCTCGTGTCCTAGTCCAAGGCATTGTGAAAGCTCTGAAATACGGAATACCGAGCTTCTCTGCGATATGAATACCCGCCATCGCTGACGGAGACTCAATAAGAAGCTCGGATCCCTCGCACGCCTTGAATGCCGAGTCGAGAAGGTCGTCAAGCCATCCTCGGAAGGTCGAGTTTGCCTCGCGAAGGAATGACCATGTAAAGGTTCCGTTCTCGATACACAGGCGCATCAGCTCAGCAGGATCACCCTCGACCCGGGCGAACTCGATGCCATGGGACTCGATCCAACCCTGGAACTCGGCGTGTGTGGCAATTCGAGGCTTGTGACCCTCGGCAAGGAGGCCCTTGCACAACGCGATGTAGGGCTGGACATCGCCTCTGGAACCGATCGTCAGACATGTGACCTTCATCGACTTCTGGGGCTTGAAAGCAAGAGCAGATGCGTTGGGATCGTCAAAGAGGATGGTCGGAGCATTGGAGACCCCAGAAGTCTCATGAGGAAGCTGCAGCTCGTGATCGGCAAACTCGTCTTGTCGCGCCTCCTTTAAGGCATCACGCTCAGCAATCGCGACGTCCTCATCTTCTTGTTCCTCCTGCTCAAGGATTCCTGACTTTTCGAGATACCGGCTGGTCTCAAGAATCTGGTGCATGGTAACAGCGCAGTCGTCCCGAATCTCCGGGGGGCGGAACTCAAAGAAGAGTTCTTCGTGGCCGCGAATAACAACCACAAGACCGTAGAAGCCAAATCGGAAACCCTTCTCCTTGTGAACATTCTCAATGTCCTTCAAAGGCAAGATGAGCTTGGTCCTTGTCCCTGGAACCAGACTTCGGAAGCAGAATGATCGGTCGCTGATGTAGAACTTTCCGTAAAGAGGCAAGACTCGGACAATGTAACCAAAGTATGTCGCAAGAAGCTTCTCTGACTCTGGTAGCGCAAAATGCGCCCGGAATCGATCCATCAAGTTCTGGATCTTGCCATCCTCCTCTTCATCATCGTCGTCGTCGGGTCTAAGCCCAGAAGGCTCATCGTAATGGCGATGGCCTCCCTTCCACATGCCGTGAACCTTTTCAACGTAGCCCATTGACTCGGTCGCAAACATTGAACCCATGCGCTGGCTAGTCCTGCTGAGATACTCGGCAAATGCATTTGCTCTCTGCAATGGGTATGCTCCCATCTTGGTGATGCTCTGCAGCGTTGGAGTAAGTGGGCGTTGAGAGCTCTCCCCCTCTCCCTGCATTTCCTGCATAGAGCCAGTCGTCGCCGCATGAACAATGGGACGAATGCGCGGTGCGCTGGAGTTACGGGGCACGTTCTTGTCAGGAGACACCTTTCTGCTGGCCGAAGCCGACCGTCGCATAGTTGGGTTGTGAAAGACTTCACTTCCTCTCAGGATCTGGCTGGCAGACGGGTCTTCGAGAGAAGACGGGGCCAGAGTAGAGATGCTCGGGTCCTCTACTGACGACTGAAGGAACGAGTCCCCAGAGTCTAGCGCTTGCTTCGGAGTCGTGGTACCCTCTCGGCGTCTGCGGCTCATCGATCGTCGCGTTCCGTTAAAACTCGTTCGAGGGCTGATATCTCGGATAGGAGGGCGACTGACGTCGATACTCTTTCGTCCAAAATTCTTGAGCGCATCAAAGCTAGATCGTGGCGCATCCATACTTGCGCGAGGGCTAAGTTGGCTAGGAGAACTGGGCGACATTGGTGACAAGGTCGCCTTGACCGTGTCTGGCAGCTTGGTAGTCCGCAGTTTGCCCACATGCAGGCTGTTTCTGTTTGCCGCCATGGAAGTTCGGGCTGAGGGAGGCTGAGAAGCTTCCCGCTCATCGCGGTTGGACACGATCTGCTCCGCTGAGCGATTTGCTGGCGAGGTATCCTCAATAAGGATCTTGAGCACATTGATGGCTTCCTTGCCAAAGCTGAAGAAAGAGAAGAAGTACTGCGATAGTTAGCGATTAGTACAACAAGACCTTGGACATCACGTACCTCGTCGATCGCGTAAGTCTCGTCGTTATCGATTATACGGATCTTGCAAGTATCTGCAAACTCGATCATCTGAGTGTCTTCAATATCGATCACGTTCTCGATTGGCAGCGAAATCTTGACACTGTCTCCGTCATTGTGGCTTCGGAAAATGACACGCTGAAGACTCTTGACCCATTCCTTTGCACTAGGCGCGCTGTCGGCCCGGAAGTGGTATGTGCGATGATGAGTCTCAACCTGAAAGTGAAGCCCTTCCTTGTCCTTGTCCACGATGGTTGCCGAGATGCCGTACCGAAGGTCGATCTGGCCGTGGGGAAAATAGAGATCCGTCGAGCTCGCATAGTACGTCAGAACGTCGCCCTTGAGCCGGAACCAGTATCGGTTATATTTGGGGTTTCGCTTGCCGCTCTTTGAGAGGTAACCCGACTTGGCTGCCTCGTGCTGTGGACTATCAGTGCAATGCTCAACAACCCAAAGAGAGTCAACCTACCGCTTTCTTGGGGAGATAGGCGTAGAAGCAAATGTGCTTCGAAGTGATGTACATGTATCCTTGTAGAAGGACACTCTGTAGCAACCAGCAAGGATATTCTATACCAAGTTAGCGACACTCGAAAACATGGACGGAGACAACATACCCTCGATGACCCGCTCCGGCTCGCTGAACTCGAAGATTTCCATCAACTTCTTTGCCAGAGGCTGCGGTTCCTGACTATCGCTAGACCGACTCGCGTCCGACGAGAGCCGGTCCAGGTCAAAACTCGGGCGGCTCGTCATCTCTGCCTTGGCCTCGAGCATCCGCGACATTACAGGTGCTTGTCGACCATGGCTATCGTGGCGGGTGATGGCAAAGGTGGGAGGAGTTGATAAACCACTCTGGCTGGCATCGCTGGATTCGTCGGCTACTTCAGCAGGAGCAGAAAGACGACTTGAGTGGCGCTTAGACTTTGTGTGAAATTTGGGCAATGCAGGAAGAGAGCGTAATAGCTTGTGCTCCGAAAGTTTCCTCCTACGGTGGCCTTTCTCCTTGCCTGCTGACTTTAACACAGAGGTCTTGGACATGTCTTCTGACCGTCCTTCACGGTCCTTGGGTTCCGGACTCTCCTCATCATCACTGCTGATACCATCGAATCGATCGTTAAAGTCGACGCGCGAACCCGCTGCAGCAATCAAGCCAAAGATGCTCTGGTTCATGTTCATGAACATGGGCGGTCCCTGAGTCGGGACGACATCCTCGTCGCCCGAGTTGTCGCTTTCTTGTAGAGGTTCGGGGAATATGGTTGCTGAAAGATCCTCTCTCCGTCTCTTGTGCAACTTCCTGCTCACGCGCTTCTTGACATGGTCGTCACCGACGCTGGCGCGGACAGGAGCCGCATCAGACTGAGGGGCCATGGTTGTCAAGGTTCGGGAAGAGCGGGGCGAGAGGTTGAGGCAGCGCGACCGCAGCTCTCAGGGTGAGAGGAGGGTAAAAATGTCGGTGGATTGTTCGGATCGACTCGTCGGAGCGAATACACACGATGGAGCGATGCAGGGACGAACTGTTGGGGAAGTTCAAAGGTTATCGTCGTAGTCGTGAGTCGCAGCGTTAGACCCGGTTTGCGCCGCATGCAGCAACCGCACAGTTACTTTGGCCTAGATAACAAAAGGACTCGACGCTGGTGCCCATCCGCTGGCGTCAATCCCGATGGACTGTAGCCTTGGAGGACGAAAGGAGGTGGCGCAAGGCAGAGGGCGAGGTCGGGATACACGGACGAGATCGAGACGAACGAGACGAAACGTGAAGAGGAGAGAAAAAAAAAGATCGAGGTCGCTGATGGCGCCAAACAAAGTCGCATGGGCGATTGTCAACGGGTTGGATGAGACATGGCATTCCCCGATCTGGAAGGGACCTGACCCTGGGCTGCACGGGAGTGACCTCACCCAGGCCTCGGACGTGTCAGACTGTTAGGCAGCTCTGGCCGTGGGCTCTGGGGCTCGCTCTCGGTATCGCTGAAGCGGGTCCATCCGCCTGAAGCTCTAGCGGGGGGCATTTTTAGTGGACGAGGGAATGGGTCTTGGCGGCCTCAGTGACCGAGGTGCCCTGTAAGGCCCCTGCAGAGGAAACATTCTCGACCAGTACCGTGGAGCGTGCACGACGCAGGAAGACTCTGATTGGTCGGTTCTTTATCGATAACCAAATGACGCCAGTGGGGTGCGCGACTCAACACCGTGAACATGAACAGATCACATGCAAGGTCCTCGATGGTCAAGTGTCAAAGAACGGATGATGAGGGAATTGGCCAGGTTCTAGGGACATGCTGACCATGGAACCTGTTGATATTGGAGAAGGACTGATCACCTGCACTAGATCGAGGGTAATGCCCGTCACTTCTCGTCCGCATGCAAAGGTTTGGTTGAAAGTGCTATGCGAAACCTTGGCTGTGCTTATTTGGATGATGGCATGCAGGAAAAGGCACAATGCACGTGGGAAACATTATCAACTCAGCCACGGTACTCTACGTTTGTATTGACGTGTCTCCAACAAGGATCCATTTGCTTGCCCTACACAAGCATCCCAAAGCCGTGTCTCGTATGTCGTTCTTGCAAACGCGTATTCAGCTCCACCTTCCCCAAACCATGTTCAACAAGCGATCCCTGAGCGAGGCCGAACGTCCCGTCAACCTTGCAAACCAAAAACTCCCGCTCAAATGACAGATAATTACAGCAACCAGTAAATCTCGTACATGATATGATGATCCCCCAAGACAAAGTTTGTTACAGTTACTGCCAGAAACAGAGCTTGCCGCTTGCTGTTGCACCAGCGACCCAGTCCAGCGTTGGGTGAAAATGTGCCACCGCAGGCACAGCGGAAATGCCGTCGCCGCCAAGTTGGGCAAGTTGGCTGCCATCCGAGGCAAAGACGTCGACAAAGCGGTTCATGTTGCCAATGACAAACTTCTGAATACCATCGTGGGGGCGCTTCTGCCATTGCGGCTTCAAGATGGTCACCCATCGGCCAGTCTGGTTGTTGTGTGGCACCTTATGCGCGGGTTCCATGGCCTTTGACTTGATGTCGTGTCCACGTTTCCAGGACCCGGCGTCGGCAAAGTTGTAGATCTTGATCGTGTCGTCGTAGGACGACGTCGCGATTTGTCCCCCAGCACTCCACGATGCATGCGACACCGAGAGGCGTGACTCATGCTCACCCAGAAGCGCAGGGTGCTTGAGATCACCCTTTCCAGTAATGCTTCGCAAGTCCCAGATCTTGAGAGTTCTGTCCAGGGAAGCCGTCGCCAGAAGGTGAGGCTGCAATGGGTGAAGCGAGAAGCCGCCAATCTTTTGCTCCGACAAGTTCCAGATTTCTGCGCCGTCAGATGTTCTGATATCGTAACGACCAACACCTCCGTCAAGGGTTGAAAAGTAGAGCACGTTGGGATTAGAATCTGCCATGTCCAGTGCTGATATAGGGAGTTCTTCGTTGGCATCCTCAGGAGCCCAGATTTGAACCGATTGCTCCTTCGCCAGGTCGAGTTTTCTGATTGAGGAATCGTAGGACGACGAGTACACAGAGTTTGGGTCGTGCTGCGGAAACACAAAGGAAGTTATAGTGCGACTATGTGTCTTGTACGCAGAAATCACGGGGTCGGGAATGTCGACATCTTCGTCATCGTCGTCAACTTCGGGTGAAGTTTGGGAGGCATCAAACACTCCCATGGCACCCTCTTTGTCGCCGGCAAATATTATAGGCTTCGATTCTGTAGGGTGGAATCCAAGGGCGTATGCGCGTTGGGGAGTGATCTTGATATCTGGATCACAAACATCAGTGGCACACTCGGACAAACTTGGCGTGGTGCGACTTACCGTTAGGCGCCCAGTGTTCGTACAACTTGAGATCGCTCATTCGAAGTCGCAACTCCTTGAGGCCCTTGTCCGTGGTCTCCTTCACATCATCCTCTGTGAAGGTCCGCACTCCGGGTTGCGCGCCGCGAACGATCCCCTTGAGACCACCCACGCCGGATTCCCACTTCTTTCCTTCGACTGCGATATCGCCAAGGCTGAGGTCGCCGTTGACTCTCAACTTCTTGGCCTTTGCTTGTTCGGCCGCAACTTCTGCTTCAACCTCGTATTTTCTCTTGAGGGTGTCGTTGTCGGCCCCAAGGCCCGCGACGCGCGCACTTCGTCGGGTCGCACGGGTAGGCTCTGTCTTAACGGGCGCTTGTCGGGTTCTCGGTCTCGAAGGTGTCGATTTCTTTGGCGGCGGCTTGGGCGCAACCTTCTTGGCGGCCACGGCTACATCATCGAGCAGTTTGTCGAACGCCGCCCTGTTCTGCTGTCGGCGGAGCGCGAAGCCGTTCAGCGGCGCGTCATCTTGTTTGGCGGGCATGCTGTTTCTTGGAACAAAACGAAACTCGCGGAGATTGGCGATCGATGGGAGGATAAAGATGTACAATGCGATTCAGACAAATGCTGTGCAAGGAGCAAATGTGTGCGCCAGTGGAAATTGGAGGGCGAGATTCACGGTGGTGACGTGCGAGGCACCAGCCAAAGCGCGACTCGTTAATTGATTTTTGGCGCGAAGTCACGCGTTTGCAGATCGCGTTTCAATTCCGGGCTTTAGCCGGTGGCGCATCAAGGATTATTTTCATGAATTTTTAGATAGCTCAATTGAAGATCCAGCAACTGGGAGTGACATTGAAACACGCCAAAAATGTCACGGAATTTACTTCCATTTTTATATCAGACCCGGACACTGCAATTCGCTTGCAGGCGTCCGGTGTCACTTCTCGTCGCCCAAAAAGCCAGTATTGTCACCCAGAACCGGCGCAGCAACAGACCCGACAACTCGATTCCCTTTGAGTGGGATAACCAAGAAGAAGCAGACAGTCACACCACCCCTGGACAAGAAGGGACCTTGACACCAACCGAGTCCGACATCTTCAAGGGCATCTTTGACGAAATCGCTCAAGGCCGGTTGCCAAATGCCAAGAAGCGACCTGAATCAGCCGAGGGACAGACAGAGCACATATCGGAAAAGCCAGCCAAGGAAACTTCTGGAGAAGAATTTTCTGAAGGCTCGCTGATCGATCAGGCTCGCAGCGCTCAGTCCGACCCCGACTTCTTGAAGCAATTCCCAGCGTCGCTGAAGAATGCGGCCCAGGCCGCCCTTGGCAAATTCTTGCTTGCGCCTGCTCGCCCCAAGCTCCGTGACTTGACCGAACTCGACAGGGCCGAAGCTAGGCAGATGCGGGTGGCAGCGCAATTCGAAAAGTTCAGGGAGAAGGACAAGCTGAGAGTCGAGACTCTGATGAAGGCTTGCAAGACGGATGTTGAGCTGTGGAAGCTCATGGAGGATGAAGTCTTTTCGCTGCCTACAAAGTTGATGCTTGAGATCGACAAGCACAAGGAGAGAAAGGAGAGAAAGAAGGCCAAGATGGCTGTCAGAAGAGCGGCCAAAAAGGGGATTATTCTCGAGGAACCAGTTTTCGAGAGACGACCTGCGACGGTAGATCAAGGGAAGCGCGTCATGGACATCCATGGACCTCTGTACCCTCACTACCTCAGCACCGGCATGAAGCTCCTCGACACGGCATTCCTGAAGCCGTCCGCCCTAGCCTTGAATATCCTCCCGCAGGTCAAGGATCTCGGCCTTTCGTCCTACGTCCTCGGCGTTTCAACTCCGCTGTATGCCAAGCTTGCAGACATTTACTGGAAACGATACGGCGACGCCACAGCTGCCTTGGACGCTCTGGATGAGATGCAGTCGGTTGGTCTTCATCCCAATGAGGAGGTGGAGAAGTTGGTTGAGGAGATTTCCAGCCATCTGCATAGCTGTACCTGGGGTGCTCAGGGTCCTTTTGTCATGGCCATGACGGACTCGCCTCCTTACGACGCTTCTCTTACTTCCCGGTTGGATCGTTGGGAACGTATCATTGCCAAGTCTCGACCGCGACAACCGGAGCCGGAGCCGGAGCTGGACTGATGGGATGGATTGTGTATGTTTGTATGAGTATGTATGATGACGAGACTGTATCATAAGTGTAAGATGACTCCAAGGCGTTGGTATATGCCGTCAGTTAGTACAAGATGCTGGCAGCTGCATTTAAACTCCTTGATAGATTGATAGACCACTACCTGACATTGTCATTACTATTACCAAGATTCTTCATTCTAGTGTGAGTATCTTCTTATGCCTTTGTTCGGCACTCTGCCCCTATGAGAAATCCCCATATGAAGAGGGCCAAGTGTCACGGAGGACATCACTTTGATTTTTTTTTCATAGACTCATAATGTAGGGATTAGGGGTTTTTGATCTACTCATGTAAGTTCCATGAGAAAATGGTGAGTAGTACCATCATCGGCTGCCAAATGTTGATCCAATGGAGTGCCATCCAAGGCCATGTCATGGCAACAAGGTACAGCAAAAACTGACAAAAAAGAAACCCTGTGTAACACAGGTGGCCGGATCTCTCCCGCCGGGAATTGAACCCGGGTCTCAAGCGTGACAAGCTTGCATACTGACCACTATACTACGGAAGATGGCAGGTGTTGATCACCTGTTGTAGTGGGGGCTGTGCTCAGAAGTCATGAATTAGGCTTTATATATCTCAATGTGGGGCCTTGATCTTGCTGAAATCCTATCTGCCCTCCCTACCCTGCGTCTGTGCAAGCTTCTCCAATCACACTTCTGTTTGAATGACCAAGTTATAAAATGGCTGGCAATCCCACTTATAGGATCTGATAGCCAGTTGCTTGCCTTTCATAGGCGCGTATTTATTGTCCGACCCTTGGATTCGGGTCGAGCAGCCGCGTTGTCACGGTCGTCGAAGCCGAGAGTGGGCCTCGTGAGAGTCAAGACCAACACATCGTGGTCACACTCATTGATATCTCTCCAGCCTTGTCATATGATTCAGAGAGGATCAATATAGCCCCCCATTAACAATCAAGCTTTTCTTTGCAACCTTATCTGACTCATTTTTCCACTATCAAGTTTCCATGGCTCTAAAAGCCCAAGTTTATTTTGGGCTTCCGGTGTTTTGCAGCATTAGGTTTAGATGTTGCTATGTGTCTGCATGTGTCCTTTGATCTAGTGGATGACGTATGATGAATCTGTCTTGAAAAAGTAGAAAGAAGGATCGATATAAGAACCCCTTCCGCCTTCCTCGGCCCAGGACGAACTCTTCCCTCTTCATCCCCCTTACCTTCTTATCACTGCCGCGCATGGAATCGATATGTCAACCTCATGGCAGAAGTCTCCAAGTCTTGGACGTTTCACCGGTTCGCCTTTCGCGAGCACAGTGATTAATACACTGACATCAGCAACGAGTCCGCTCCTCGACGACGACGAAACTAGTGATGCCATCGAGGAATCACTTCAACCCGACGAACCTACGCCTCAGCAGACCGAGACGTACAATGAGTTTTGCCGATCTATTCTTGAAGTCTGCAAGACCCGAGTGACGAGCGCATGGGACTCTCACACTTTCACCTTCAGTGCACAGAACGATTCATGGGACCATTCCTGGACTGGGCGTACGGGGATCCCATTGACGAATTTTGAAACCCGCTGGGATGCTCTGGAGATCATTCCACCCGTCACAGAGGCCGACGCAACCGCCCAAAATTCTATGATCACGCGAACTGTCGGACCATCAAGCACTGAGCCCTCTATCGTCGACGAGATGACAAGGAGTATTCGCCAGAAACATGTGTCTTCGATGGCAGGGTTATTTCTCAAGACCTGTCCCGGGGATGAGAATCGTGGCTGGGGCCCTTTGGTGCATGGCATGCTCTCACGCGCAGCAGATGGGGCTCTTCCATCGAATGAGCTTGAGGAGATTGCTGGTATGATTTGTTTCCGGTGGGAATCAGCGTTGATCGCGGATTACCTGGTTGAGACATTCAACCTTCCAAAGCCTGGCGGACAGATCTGTATCCTATGGGATAGTCGGCCTTGGCGGTTGGAAGTTGGAAATTACCCCCTGCACAATATGATTTTTGACAAACTCGTCGCAAAGGATTTTCCGCCATTCCCAGCAGAGAACCAAGGCCCCCCCTTTCAACGATTCTTATTCTATATGGCGGCAGCGGTTGCGCTTAAAGACCTCCCGGAACCTTCTACTATTCACCTGATAGACCAGTTGACCCTCTTTATGACCAAGGCAAAAGAATTCCAGGAGCAACGCGCTATGTCGGATCGTTCTACACTTGAGCGAGCTCAACTATGGTTTAAGGCCCTTGGGAGAAGGATGAAGTCGTCATAGTAGATAGTGCAAGGGTTATGTTATCAGGAGAAGGATGAAGTTGTCTTGGTGGATAGTGCGAGGGTTATTTTATCAGCAGAAGGATGAAAGTCGTCTTTGTTATTAAATGTGAATCAAGGGTTCCCAATTATCTTCTGCTCTTCAAATGTGAAACCCGTCGAGTGGCTTATTGAATCTTCGGGCTCTGTCCAGAGCCGCCTAGGGGTAAAACTGAAAATGCTCCAACTTCTTGTTGCGGAGGCTGGTCTTATTGGTCTTGGGCAGCTGGTGTGTGAAGATGAGGACCTGCTTGAATGCATTGGTCCGATCCTAAAAAACTTGAGACGCCAGAATGTCTATACTTAGTAAAGAGTACTCATATAATAAGCGAATTATATGCTAAATAAGAGATAAAAATAAGTAATAGTATCATAAATCTTTGAGTATTTTATTTATTTATTATATTTAGGGACCTTTTTTGCACCAGAAGACGGAGATCATGGACGCAGTGTCTCATGTTTTTCTGTGACGGGTTAGAGAACCGGCACATCCCTGTCATTTAAATGCTCTTATCAGCTAGCGACCACCATAATCTGAGACGTTGCATCAATTTTTTAAACCGAGGCAAATCAAAACACGCGACAGTTGTCCTCTGTCAAACCACGCCATGATGGAGGACGTGACAGTCGCGATTGTGGGAACTGGTAAGTCTTTGTCATGTGCTTGTTTGTGATCGGATTACTGACTCTTTGGAGGTTCCAGGCCCAGCAGGACTCACTGCGCTCAAGAGTCTGCGGGAAGAGGGGTTTGATGCTGTTGCTTTTGAACGGAGGGAGGCCGTTGGAGGGCTTTGGGCTTATAGTTATGATCCTGAGTATACGTCGGCGTTGGATGATACGATGGCCAATATTAGCAAGTTTGTGGCAAGTCATGGAAATCCCATATTAACGACGAGGGCTGACATGAGTTATAGTCTGGCTTCAGCGATTTCCCTATCCCCAAAGGTTGTGTTTTTGCTTGTCGCAGTTTTCTTTGGCTAACAAAGCTAGAATACCCCCCTTACCTATCTCGCCGTCAAATCCATGAGTACTTTGAATCCTACGCCAAGCATTTCGAACTGCACAGGCATATCAGCTTTGGTACCACGGTGAAACAAGTGCTTCGCAATGAGCCTCAAGAAAAATGGGACATTTATGTCACCGGGCCTGGTGGGGAGAAAACTCTCTCATTTGACAAGGTTGTATTTGGAAACGGATGTGAGAGTGTGCCCGTTTGGCCGCCGATGCCAGGACGGGACATGTTTACGGGGACGATTCTTCATTCGCAAGCATTTCGAAGGTTAGCACTAAAGACTATGTTTGGAACGCTTACTGATTGGGTTCTAGTGACAAGATTGACGACTATAAAGGAAAAAGAGTCATGGTCGTAGGCATTGGAAACACGGGCTGCGAAGTCGCACTAAGTTTGCGCAAACACGCTTCCAAGACGTATCAAGCGTATCGTCGTGGCCGTATGGTTGCCTCTAGATATGGAGACGATGGCGTGCCTACAGACAGCCTGATACCATGGCCTATCCTACGTCTCAAGTATCTTTTGGACTATTGGGTTCCATGGCTGACGAACCCCTTTGTTGACAAATTCATGGTCAACAAGATGATCAATGACGCAGCCAGACACGAACCGGTATCTCCTGATACACCAAAAAAGGAGAGGCTGAGGCTTGCTGAAGAAAAGGTCCGAGGCGAGTGGCGTCTCGTGCCTTGTCCGAGCTTGGCACACAAGCACCCGGCGTTGCAAGAAAACTTCTTCCCTGCCCTGTATAGCCAAGAGATCACCCCAGTACATGGCTTCGTCGACTTTGTCGGAGACAAAAAGGTGATACTGGGAAATGGGCAGATTGTGGAGGTTGACGTCGTCATCTTTGCTACCGGCTACAAGCATGACTTTTCCCTCATGCCCGAGCTCGAAATGGACGGCGCTGCTGGGTTTCCCCTGACCACGCCTGGAGAGGTTGATGATCGAAAGGAGCCTAGTCTTCCAAGGCTGTTTCAGATGATCTTTCCTCCAAAGTGGGCTTCTTCAGTGGCCTTTCTGAGCTGGATGGCTCCCCAGGAGAATGTCTGGTGTGTCTGTGAACTTGCTTCCATGGCGGTGACACAGGTTTGGGCTGCGGATGTTGCTCAGAAGAAAGATCTGAAAGCGCCGGCTGGGTATCGTCCTGCTTCTTTGCTGCCATCAAAAGAAGAGATGGACAAGGAGGTGGATTCTTACCACGCTTGGTGGCGCAAACAGTGGACTGTTGATCACTCTGTGCTGCCTGGCTATGTGAGAGCCCATTCCTTCTACCGATTTCTTCATGGCATGGCAGGAACTGGGCTGTATGAGCATCTCGATCATATCTTTACTACTAGAGGATGGTGGCTCTGGTGGAATGACCACGAGTTGTGGAAGTGGCTTGCCGAGGGGCCGATGAACAGCTACTCGTGGCGGTTATTCGACACCAATCCTTTGCAGATTCCGGGCCGTGGGAGAAAGACTTGGTCAGGGGCACGAAAAGCGGTGGAAGAAGCTGTAAGTGATGCCACCTTGTTGACGATTTCCGAGCTGACGAGATGCAGTGTCACATTTTTGAGGATTTTAAAGCAAAGCAGGGGAAAGTTGAGTAAGGACGTTATTTTCTTGAGAAGCACGACTGAGCTGGACAAAGGCCGATATTCTCTACAGGACAGATGGATTTCTGGCAATGAAACACGGAAACAGACGTTTGATATTCATTATTGACCATTATGAAACAGTCATTAGCACAACAGAGGGGAAATTTCTAATCAACAAAGAAAACACACGTCAAGCATATGTCTTGAGAGCAATCTCCTCTGTCTTGCCCTCCACCGACTGAGATCTGCTGCGCCTGTTCTTGAACAGAGTCGCCCAAGTCCAAAATGAATGTAGCCAGCAAGACGCAATACTCCCTTCCAGCTGAGCCTGCATCTCCTCTAGACTTGCAATACGGTTTTCAAGAAATGCGTTTTGTGCAAGCTGTTTACCAAGCTGTGCACGGTACTGCTCTAGTTGGGCATCTCTGTCGTCACGCTCTTCGGTAAGGTCTTGCTCTGTCGCTTTGAGCCGCTTGATCTCATCTTGGCATGCTTGCTTTTCTACCTTGTTCGATTCGCACGCCGTGGCCAATTCTTGAACGAGGTTCTTGTTCTCCTCGCGGACACTCCTGAGTTTGTCCTCGTTAACCTTGAGCTTTGATTGGAGGATCTCTTCTGCCTTGATGCGAGCTGCGGATTCCTCTTTGTGTTGTTTAAGGAGGGCTTGTGCTGCTTGTTCTTGATCCGACATGGCAGACTCGGTGATTTTGAGGCGGTGCTCACTGTCGGAGAGCTTTTGCTCGAGACGAGTGATTCTGGTCGTCATCTCACTCGATCTATCCTTCCATTCGTCTTTCGATTTGGTGTTGGAAGCAATCTCGCGATCCAGCTTCTTTCTCAAGTCTTTGCACTCATCCTGCTTGAGCGCAATACCCCTTTGAAGAGTTTGAACCTCATCTGACGAAGAATTCTCCATGTCGAGAAGTCTCTGGTGGTGCTGGGTTGCCGTTTTAAGAACCCTCGTCCAATGACGAACGATCTGTTCTAGCTGGTGCGAGTGGTAATTGACGCAGAGGCAGAGGCTGGCTAGTCTTCGTAGTGATTCGGTTGTGACGGACTCGGGCTTGACTTGGGACATGGCCTTGAGCAAAGAACGAACCTCAGACAGGTTGGATTCGGGGACGTCCCAATTGCATCGCGCATGGTATCGGTTTTTCCCAAGGCATTTGATCTCGCCTGCTTTGCTTCGAAGGTCATCTGTGATATGAAGGAGAACTTCTGGATCCCAGAATGAAGTCATGATGGAGAAGAGCAATGTGAGACAATAGTTAACGAACTTGTAGAGTTGAGAGAGGATGATTGAAGAAAAAACTTGAAGCAACACCAGAGCAGCCGTGCAACTAAATACAGGCCAAAAAAGCAAAGAGGCGAAGCTGAATTGGAAGCTGAACCAACTGCAGAAAGTGAAGCAAGGCGCAGCGCAGAATGAAACTTGTCACCGAGCCCTCATTGGCCCGTTGGTTCGTTATCGTCGGTGCGTGTTTGATGTGTGCGGCACAGCGGTTAAGTTGTGGTTGCGTCCAGGCCGCAGATCTGAGCTGCCTTTAGCTAACCGAGTCTTATTTTAGTTCTAGATACTCAAGTTTATGTAGGTGCATCGCGTATCGGTTGGAAACGTTGTATTAGAAAATTGTGATAAGATGCATTTTTGTCAAGTTGTGCTTGGGGAACAGGGGGTTACACCTGAGACGATGTTATAAGTTTCATAACGAGATGTGACATCTCATGTCCCCCCTCCCCAAGTCATACAACCCTAAAAATCTTTAAATATATTGAACCATCTACTTCTTGCTTGACATAGCCCCAGAAGGCCCCTCCTCATACGGCGGAGGCGCTATCTCATCGCCACTGGGAGCAACCCGGTCCAACCGGACATCGTCCCTCTGAATCCTCTCCTCAGAATGATGTTCTGGAAGACTGCCGCCATTGACCTGTTTCTTGCTGCGAGCTCTCTTTTGCATGAAGAAAAAGACAAGGCCACCTCCTAAGAGGACACCCACGACTGCACCAACAGTAGCACCAGCAATGACACCAGCCTTTGGGCCCTTGGACTTGGACTCTGATTCGTCAGGGCTATTTGTCTCCGTGGCCATTGATCCTGAACCAGCTTTCGTGCTGGCGCTTTCTGTTTGGGAAACCGCAATCCCTGTGGCTGTAACCTCTCCCTTTACTGCGCTGCAATAGTAGTCGAGAACAGCATTGGCAGAAGACAAGTTATCAAGCATGTTTGTGTGACATCGGTTCTTGATCTCCCAGGATAACGTGCTCGAAACTGCCTTTGATACTGAATTCTTGAGACAAAGACATGAAGCCAGAGCTTGTGGACCGCCTGGACAAAATGTGCTCGTCTGATACATGGCTGCTATATCAACACACAGCTGCGCGCAAGTTTCCAGGGATGAATACTGAGGAAGATTGGTGACGTAGTACGACATGTCGCCCGGAGGAGGAGAAGCTGTTGGAAATGATGTTTTTCCTGAATTCATGGCGCAGTATGCTGCAAACATGGATTGGGCTGATTTGACGTCGTCTTTGTTTGAAGAGCAGAGTTGTCCTACTCCGGTGTTGATCATTTCGCTGACTCGGAGTGAGTTTTGGTTCTTTTCGCATACGCAGGGTGCGAGGTTTGTTGCCAAGTATGGGCAGATGGCATCAGTCTGATGTGTGTTAGCTGAAGAAATTGGGGGATAGGCAAAGGGTAGTAACCTGTTGATTTACAATCCCGCTTAAGCGTATTGACGCACAAGGCGCCAACTCCGTCATTGCCGAGATCTCCTCTATATACGAAGACACGGGGTGCTTTGGCTTTGGAAATTCCACTTTCCAGTCCTGATCGCAGTATGCTTTCAACACCGTAGATGCAGATGCTTGATCTTCGCTTGCTGTTGAACCACAGGTGACGCTAATCATTAAAGACATGGTGGTCGATACATCGTCAAATCGCTTTGTGCAGATGCATGATTGAAGGTCTGTCACTGACTCAGAGCAGTGTTTGCTAAAAGTTTGGTATCTGATGTTGTTGGAGATGGCGGATGCAGCGCAAGGTGCCTGTCAAAAGTCAGCACCCAGTACAGATAGTAAGTAATGGGTGACTTGCGAGAGAACTGTAGATAGATAAATCAGTCACATAGACGACATCCACAGCAGAGACGACGCCAGCCGCGAAGACGAGAGCCAAGAGTGAAGGCATCTTGGCGTATGCAAGCCACATTTTTGCCAAAACCGAAAGATGTTTGAGGTAATAATGAAAGAGGGAGGGAACAAAGACGGGAACTCAGATCTTGGAAGGAAGAGGCCCCTGTCATGAAGGTGGAGATGCTAATTATCAAAGGGTTGTTTATGGATCGAAACGTGCAGATCTCATCGGCTATCGCAAGGTGATGGGTTTGAGAACGGGTAACAGGCCGGTATTAATTCCGCGGTTGACTCCGTAGTTTACGCCCGACTACTTAGGGAAAGATGCCGTAGATATTTGCTGGAGATGTACTGATATCCTATCAGATCATTCTAGTCTTAGCACTTTTGTATCCCTCCTTGTAGCGCATCTTCTCTCTCTGAAGTAATTGAGGTATTCAACGTTGAATGCAGCCAATGAAGATGGTCTGATTACCTGTTTCGGCCTAGTACGCGTTGGCATTCGATGCTGACAGCTTGGCACGCGTCTCTCTCATCAACTTCATCTCAAAACCATGGGAGCATTTCTATCAAAGAATCAGTTTCCCGTCGCGAGGAGGGTAAGTACTACCATTCATGAACTAAAACATCTATACTTACACTCTCTAGACCGTCCTGATCACGGGCGGCTCTCGTGGTCTTGGCCTCGCCGCTGCATGTCAGCTCGCAGCAAAAGGGGCCAACATTATAATCGCAGCACGCGACGTTGCCGTCCTAAAGGACGCGATCGATCAAATCTCCCAATGCGCTCTGTCAATTGATGATCAACGCTTTCACTATCTTCAAGCCGACGTCACCACAGCCCCTGGATGTGCCCGCGTCATCGCCGAAGCCACAGCTTGGAATGACGGTAACCCGCCAGATATTGTCTGGTGCTGCAGTGGAAGCGCGCATCCTAGTCTGTTTGTTGATACGCCTGTTGAGCAATTTCAGACCATGATGGATAGCAATTACTTTTCGAGTGCGTATATGGCGCATGCGGCTTTGAATGCTTGGTTGAGGCCTGCTATTGATGGGAACACCAAGACGACTTCTCCTGAGAAGAAAAGCCCACTGCTAGATCGACACATCATCTTTACTGGTTCTTTTGTTTCTTTCTTTAGCTTTGCTGGATTCACGCCTTATGCTCCTTCCAAGGCTGCTATTCGCTCGCTTTCTGATTCTCTTTCTCAGGAGATGAACTTGTATGCGGGTGCGCATCCTGATGAACCCCGGGTACGCGTTCATACTGTTTTCCCGGCTACGATGGAGACAAAGTCCCTAGAGGATGAAAACAGAGTCAAGACGGATGTGACCAAGTCGCTGGAAGAAGGTGATCAGATTCTTACGCCAACAGAGTGTGCTCGTCGTGCAATTGCGGGATTGGAGAGCGGACAAGAGTTGGTTGCCACAAGCACTATTATCAGGCTTGTCATGACCAGTGTAATGGGAGGTGCTATTCGTGGTGGATGGTTGACAGGACTTGTCAACACGTTGCTATCATGGATCATCATGATTGTCATGGTGTTTATCCGATGGGATATGGACGTCAAGGTGAAGAATTGGGGAAAGAAGCATGGATCTAGTGGCATGTCGTCTTGATAGAGTTCTCTAAGTAAGGTTGTGTTATACGAGAACGGTAACAGAACCAACAGCCACGGGATGGAGGATCAGTGGAGATACAAGGGTAACTCAAGAAACAAACCAACATGCCGGTGCCAAGGATCTGGGTGATGCCTGCGGCGTAGCATATATGCCGGAGTGCAAGACAGACTGGGTGTACAGATATCGTGAGAAAAGATGCTGTGCTTCAGTTGGGCTTAGTATAACAAGCCCTCATCACGGACACATTCACACATTCCCTCATGTAAACTCAATTTTTAAGGCCGGCCATGGTGTGTATTCAAAGACATCTAAAAACTATCCAACAAGAAAAATAACAAAGAAAGAAAAATACCCTCACATCTCTTAAGCCCAGCTTAACCCTCAATCTCAACCCAATCAATAGACTCAGTAAATCCCTTGGCCAAACCCGCACCCTCAACAAGACGAGGACCAAGCAAGAAGTCCATAGGAGCGGTAGGAATAAACTTTTTATCAGTAATCTCCCCAACCTTTTTTCCATCAAAGTAAAACGCAACGTGGTTGGCGTCATACTCGAGAGTCGCGGTGTGGTACTCTCCATCGTACAGGTCTACACCTGTGTCGATCTTACGGAAGTCATCAACACCCTCTTTGGCGCTTTCAAAGCGGAGTTGAGTATCGGAGTAGGTTTGGCCATTGGTCGTGTAACCAAAGTTGATTTCGTTGAATTTGCCGTCGACACCATCATCCCAGAGAGCAACACCCCACCAAACAGGTTCCTTAGGACGTTCGGTAAGAGAAAAGGAAACGGTGAATTTTCCAGAGGTGAAGCGCTTGCCCGTGTATCGAGCCTTGGACCAGCTTCCCTCACGGTCGGGAAGGACACCAGACCTGAGACGGAAACGGGCCTTGCCGGTTTCGATGACGGGGCAGGTGTACTCGCAGCGCCAGTTGGCAGTGTTGAAGGTGTTGAAGTCGTCGCGGAAGGAGACGGCGCGCTCGGCCAGCGAGGGGGCGGCGTCTGCCGGGGCGGCTTGGGCGCCGGCTAGCAGGAGGACTGCGGCCAGGGAGCGGATAATGCTGATGCCCATGATGAAAGAAATGGTTGAAGGAGGTAGATGGTTATTTGTTAAAGTCTTGTAGTGAAGAAACAGTTTAGCAGAGGGACTAGACGTATTTAAGTATTTTAACCCTTGTCATCAACCTGTCAATGGCATGTCGACTGCAACGATAGATCGAAATTGGGTAGATCCTATAAGGATTCAGCCAAGGATTCAACGAAACCGCCTCCTCTCAAGTGGCATCATGTTTTTACGACTCCTCTCTTCAGCCAGTGGGGTTAACCGAATCCTTTCAGGAATCTGCCAGGGTCATGGCGAAACAAAGCGCCAGGCCTTTTTGCATTACTACTCTGGCCCTCTGTTTTGGACTCTAATGGTTGGCTGACATACGAGCTCTCGGTTGATTGTCGTACTATATGCACGGATCGACCATGTTTCGTCCTTGAAGGATTTCTTCTTACATGTTCTCAAAGGATGATTAGCCTTGATTATTCGTAATTCTGTCAATCAACTCCGACCTGTTGGTTTTCCCGCGCGGGACGCCCGGATCATTACATGGGTTTCGGTCCAAGTCAGGATGGACAATTAAGGGGCCTACAAGGATGCTTACATTAATATTATTGGCCACTTTTCTTTTTGGTCGGTTGTTAAAACATGATTCGGACGGGCCGGAACTGACGATCTGGAGACGATTGCACTTGATCTGCGCGGCAGCTATCCTTCTCCTTCAGCAGATGCACGGCTTCATTGTTGAATGCCTCACCGCCACCAGTGGCCCTATACGCGGACAGACCGATATAGGATTCATAGCCATGCAAGGGATTTCTCTTGCATAGCTGCTTGTAGAAAAGTCGACTTCTCACAAGGTAAAATGTCTGGGGTTGGCATGTATGCCGGGTGACCCTGGTAGGGCTGTCGGTTCGCCCAAAGAGCATGTCACGCAAGGATAGGATGACTGACTGGTTCAAATAGCGAGAAGGATCTGCTGCTGGGGTTTCATACAAGGTCTAAGAACCTCGTTAATACCCGGTGACTTCACATGCTATTCTGGTCAAAAGGATTTAGTTGCATTCATCATTACGTCGTGTCATTATAAAAAAAAAGTCATAAAACTCCTTCCCCCCTGCTGGCTAATAGTACATGACTTTCAAATCATCCTCACGTCACAAGGGTCGGGCTGAAGCTACTGAACTTCCAATACCAGAGTCGGATGGTGTTGGCGCCCTTTTGTCATTACTGCCTCCATGCTCAGCTATCGTCTGAGACACATCGTGGCGGTTCCGGAGTGGATGGCGGCTTTGCTTCTTCTTGGGTTTGTACCGTCGGACGAATCTTGATAGAAGCGTCTCAGATGACATGTCTGATCTGTTGTCGTCTTGATCCAGCTCAGGTGGGGGTTGAGGAACTACAGGCGGTGGAGCTGAGCGTGTCGACTGGGCTGTCGACATTTGGGGCGGTTCATGGTGTGATTCTGCCACACTACGAGCCCGTATAGGGACTGAAGGTTCCTCCTCGTCCTTCACCTCGTAGTCGAATATCCTGAAACTTTGCGTGGTAAGCGTGCTTGGTGTACTCGGTTCCACCACTGGCTCTGGTGGTGGCGTGACTGTCGTATCCTGGGGCTCCTCTTCTAGAGTATCCAACGTCTCGGGCTCAGGTTCAACTTCTCCGTGCGTCTTGCGGAACAAGGATATCGAGTTGTAGAATGTGGATGTAAACTGTCGTCGTTGCTTCATGCATCTGAGTTGCAGTGTCGTAGTGGCCAGCTCTTTGAGCATGGACTAGATTTGTCAGTGAAATCCTTTGAAGGAGTGAACAGTACTCACCCATGTAGTGGTAGGATCTAGCAAGACCCTCCCCTCCTGTTGCCCCTTGACTGATAGGCCGAGCTGGCTCAGAGCCTCAAGACTGGCCCATTCCTCTCCAATGGCCACGTACTCTTCCTTCTGCGCCTTTTCGTCCGACTGCCTGGCTGGGTAGAACTGTGGTAGATATCCACAGTGGTAGAATTGCAGGAAGACGGGCTGCTCGTTCATAAACCACGTTTCTCCGAGTTCTAATTGGTAAGCATGTTTCTGATCACTTTGAGATGTTGACTTACCATTGCCTCGTACGTAGATGAGCTTGGTGTTTTGTCCCCGCATCAATGTGTGGGCGAGGTCGAGACCATGGGCGTTCCATGCTGATCTGTCTCCAACGAGAGAAGCCATGATGGCCTTGCCAGGCATACCGTGCTTCTTGATAAACTCATCACTGTTCCAAACAGCTTCTTCACGCTGCCGCACAACAGTAAGGCCGAGACAAGCAATGTCAAGATCAGGTGTCGAGGCGCCAGTTTCAAAGTCGGTCTCCTCGGCGTAGGGCAGGATCACAATGTTTGGTTTTTGGAGGGGCCCCTTGATCGGTTTTGATTCTTCCTTTTTCGGTTCGCGGCTGTCACGCCAGCTTGATTCATAGGGAGGCTGACCTGGTTGTCTGGGGAAGAGGAATGCTGGTGGTTGAGCCCAGGGCGGCGGCGGAACATCCCTGGGTCCAAATCCTCCCAGGGGATGAACAGAGGGGCCGCTGGTGTTGAATGATGGATGTGCAAAAGGCATCGAGTATCTGTTCTGGGGCCGGTCCATGGGTGGCTTCGAAAACGGGTTGCCCGGTGAGATGCCTGCCTGAGGAGTCTCGGATCGAGTTGGTCGGATTATTCGTCTCACACTCTTTGCGCCTTCAGGACTACTTGGAATACCCCCAGTGTTCCTGAAGAATGGAGTGGACTGGGACTTGCGAGGCTGGTTTTTGTTAGAGGCTGGTGACACAGCCCGTGCCCCTGTGTCTTGGCTTACCTTTCGAAGGAACTCTCCCCAATCGTCATCCTCCTTGCTTCCATACGAAGGCCGTTCACGAGTATGTTCCTTCTCTGGTGATTTTGATTCGCTGGCCCCTTTCTCAATCTCCCTTTCGCTCAACAAAGTCCATTTCAGAAGCAAATTGTCCACCGCCTTCTCCGGCTCCGGTGGCGTTGGTCGTTCTCGTGGTGGTCTGCTCGCATGTCGTGTCGAGTATCGAGATTCTTGTTCGGAGTCTTCCGAAGTCAATCCTGTCCATCCTTCCTCCTCGGTTGAACTGTGCTCCTCTTTGGCATCTCCCGGGCTTGGTGATTGATTTTGAAAGACCAAATTGTACAAAAACGTAGCTGCATCTCCTCGAACGCGGAAATTGTGACCGAGCTGCACAACCTTTCCGTTGGAACCCCGTCGTCTGGGTTCATCTGATGCGTCGTTTTCCAGATCTGCTTCGTTGCCCTGGTCCGGAGTTTCTTCCCCCTCTTCCTCACCAGCATCGCTCACTGTGGCCTTCTTTGGAATACGGGTGCTGTGGTCCGGTGTTGGTTTTGAACTTCGTGCATCGGCATAATCTGCTTCTTCTCTTTCGGTGTCTGATACAGACCTGCGAGAGGATCGACGTCGCTCTAAAGGCGAAGATGGGTTTCGAGCTCCAGTCGTTGGTGCGCCAGAACGGTCGAAAAGATCCTCTGGCCATACATGTCCTGGTATCTCGGAACGGCGGACAGGACTTGGTAATCGTTTGGTGGTCCGAAATGGGGGGCTGGGAGCCCTCTGTCGTGAAATCCTGGTGTATCTGTTGTCGTGTTCTAGTGAAACCTGACCAGCTTGAATGAGACTCTCTGCTTGTATCCTGAACCTGTTTTCGGGCCGTTCGTGGGCTGAAGAGTGTCTGCTAGGGATAGGGACATATCAGACAAAGTGAGTTGCGGATGCAACCTGTGGTTAAACGTACGTAGTTGTGGATTTGACAAGGATGGCTGCAGACAATATGGATGTCTGCAGAGTTACTGTGACTCGGTGCTTTTCGATATCAGAGAGGATACCGGCAGCTTTCATCCACCGCAGCCTTTCAAAAATGGTGTCGTTAGATATCATTGTGGAAATTTCGTCTTGAGTCGACGTGATATTTGCGACGACGGCCTCGACGCCCTGGAGGAATGACGGCTTCGCGCAAGACGCGCCGGTAGCGAGGACATCGTGAAGGTGCTCTAGAGTCGAGGCCAGACTCGACATCTCGATAGCGACCGACTGTATCTCCCTGGGCGCATGGCGAACTGTCCTCACGAGACGGAACAGCGTGTTTGCAAGCGCGGCGCCCGCGGTGGCGATCCCTGCGACGCTCGCTTGGACGGACAAGGGATCCATCGCTGCAGCTGGGAAGCTGACCTCAGCCTTTCGTCGGGGTCATGTACGGATACCGGGGGAGGCAGACGCAGTTGGCGGACAGAGGTTTGGAGGACAGACAGGTGTGAGGTCAGGTCGGCGAAAAAAGGCAAGAGGGGTTTATTTGAATCGATCGACCCATGGCCCAATTGAACTGGCTGGAGTTTGCCTTACGGCGGCCTTGGTTGTGGGCTGGGCTGTGCTGAACCGGCCACCCCCCTGCTTCTGAGGGTGCATGTCCAGGCTCCGCAGTGCAGCCAGTGCAGCCCAACGTGGCCTGGCGCCCAGTGGGAGGCGATGCCACACCCTGCAGTCGCCTGCCGCCGAGTCTCTGGCCTCGTTACGGCAGCCGCTGGCCTGTCGGTGGCCCGCTGCGATGCACTGCGCTATGCTGCGCTATGCTGGGTTCTTGCTGCGAGGTGGTGACACAGAGGCGACTCGTCTCAAGAAATGGCGAGGCTGAGGTGACTTGTGTTGAGTGATTGGAGAAGGGATTCTCGAGGGGGTTGGCCCTCCAAGAGAAAAGGTCCACTATGGGTGTGGACTGACGGGAGATGCATTTAACGAATAGCTTGGCTTAAAAGGGCCAGACTCTTCCATCAAGAAAAGAAGGAGTGTCGGGTGCACCTGCCAGCTCACCCATCCATCCTTTTTCCTCCACTGTGATGAAATTTTCAGCGACGAGGCCACCATTCGAGCGGGTCATTAACCATTGGCATCCAACATTTCGCCTCATTTATCAGCAAGATATTCCCATTTGACGCTTCGAGATGGCTATTTAATTCCTCTACAAGGCGTGCTCTTCAATCGAGACTGAGCTAGCCACGGAGCAAAATGGTTCTGCGCGCTTTGATGGAATCCACCAGAAGGCCTCTGTCACCTGCATCAGTATGTCGCATTCATCACACACCAGAGACACAACCACCACCAACACAGCCTCTCTTTCATTATCGCCGTGAATATTTTATTCAGTCTTGATCAAGATGATACTCCCCAACCCCCAGACAAAACTCTATATGTCTGCGACCCCGGTAAATAATGTGCGTCATCGGCTTTCGATTGAGTCAGTGATGTAAGAGGTGGATTCAAGGTCCAGGGTCTGTATCTCAAGCTTGGAATAACTTAACCGCGCTGTTCTCTACCCTCACCCGACGGTGAGTCAAGTCAAGATTTGGGTGTCACCTCGCGCGCTAAAACATGACCTGTTTCTGTCTTGTTCTCGACCAACTCGCTCACGGGACTCTTGCATCGTGAGATGGCCTCATTTACTCAACTTGAACTCGGCACACTTCAATCCGACACCGAGATGTTTCGTTTTATTGCAATTATTGAGGATTGCCAAGTCGGCTCAAACAGGCGCCCACTACCAGGTAATACGACAATCCAAGCACAGCTGAAATTGACCTGCACAAGATCAACTCGCCATTCGTTTCTTTCCCAACATCCAGGCCTTGAATACGATCCCGGGTCCACCGACGACCGCATTATCCAGATATTCACGAATCCACGATGGCGCACTGCTCTCACTCATCACAGTGGAGGGTTCTCTCCCCCACTGGTTGGCACCACGTAACCCTGCATATGGCCAGGGATGGGGTTCCAGGGTTGTGCCCCAAGGGGTACAGAATTTTCAATGTGCACGGCACTGCATCTCAAGACCTCTTTCCTCACAGGAACCGAACCGAGATCGACGTCTGCGGCACCGATGCAACCTCTTTATCTCTTTGTAATGTTAATCCGTGCCGAGATTCTTTGCCCTGGTGAGATTTTGTAGAACGTTGTTGGTTTGCAGGGTCACTTGGGCTTGAAGTGTACAGGGTCGTGAAAAGATGCACGGCGTTCAAGACGGCTCTGGCTGTCGTTATTTCGCCCTTTACGCACATTCGTGGTGCACTGCGTGCTTGTTCATGTTCATTTGAAGCCTCTTGCAGCACCTCCATGACGGTGCACGCGCGTCGTTGTGGTTGCATGTCGGCGATTTGACAACTCGAGATGCGAACAAGGCGTATGCATAAGCGACACCGACGATAGCCCATCAAGTTCCATCTGCCCTAGGAGCTCGTCATGTAGAAGCTTTCTGGTTCATGGTCTTGATAGCACGTGCTTTGTGTCAGCTCGAGTTAGCGAGCTGTCATATTCCACGCTACTGCAGACTGCCGTGGTCGTGCAGTTGCTGATAGTAAAGGTGGCGCTGTGAGAACTCGACACGCCTCAAGGGCATCTGCATGGCCTTGCCCAAGGCCGGATTCAAGATCGACACAAGCTAGTTTAGGGTCGGTTTTCTGCACTACCTCTATGGGTACTTTTGGTGATGCAATAATCCACTGCCCTGGCATCTTTGGATGCCTTGTTTATGGTCTAGCTACCGGGTTATCGAACAGACCTGATACTAGGTGGCAACATCGACCAGGCACATGACGCATTGATAAGGAGCCCAAAAAGCAGTGGGAAACGCTGGTTGGCAGGCAATTGGGCAAATACATTCATGAGCGTCGTCCTGCCATCCTGCAATAGCACCAGGGGGTTAATGATAGTGATGATTCTCCCAGTCAACCGAGCCTCTGACCCTGGCTTTGATATAGAAAACGGCCTTTCTGCCTTCGACGGTAACAGAAAAACCGATCTCGATGTGAAAGCCTAGCTTCTTGATTTGGTTACCATCCACAATCCCATTCGCCGCCCCGTTTGCCTCCTATCATCCATTCTCTTGAGACCATTGGCCTGGATGGAAACCATGCGTGACATATATACCAGGGGGAATTAGATGGGGTCTTTGGACAAGGCGTTTTAGTGCTGCTTCTTTAGCTCAACCTGAACGTACCGCTTTGAAAGAATTGATATGGCTACGTTGTGAGCATGTGCACGTAGACGGGTTTGTTCGTTCGGTGCTGTCTCGTGAGGGAGAAGGGAAAATTCAAGAAGGCGAGTTAATGAGGTAGCCGTGCTGTCCAACCTAGGCCCTCAACCCTCGCATACTTGTAGGCAAATATGGCCTATGAAGGATTCGGCAAAGAATCCCAAAGTAGAGCTTTCAACCTCGGTTGCGGATATAGGCTCACCTTCGCAAAGATCGCGAATTACCGGCGTATAGCAAGGTATTCTCTACGCACGACACGTAAGCAACATCTTCAAGAGCTGACGATAAGCGATGGGTCGGTAAAACCGGCTATGTATGTGGTGCCAGTTTTGTTGCCCCATCGGGGAATAAGAATCGACACTTCACTGCCTGCCAACTAGGAACTTCCATTATAGAGTTAGAGCAGAGCAGTGAGCATGAAAGACAGAGTCAATGACTGTTTTGGTATTCGAATCTTGAGCTTTCGAGATAAACGTACTCATAGACGGATCCCAGGACCAGTTCGGCTCTGCATATTGCCGAGAAGTTGGCCAAGCCCACCCCCTGACACTGAGGATCACTTACCCTGCCAAATGACGGCGTATGTTGCGACGACGAGTGTAAGCGCTAAGAGCAAGAACGGAAGCATGCCTAGACCTCCGATTCGGATAAAGGTTGTGACTTTTCCATATTTACCCTGATGCCCCTCTCGTCACCACCCTCTAGCTTTCCATTCATCGACAATCACATCACCATCATGAAGCCCATCACCGTTTGGTTGACCCGTAAGATGACGCCTCAAGTTTGATGCTGAGAGTGATGCTGACAAGCTGTAGCTGCTGGTCCGAATGCCTGGAAGGTTGGCGAGTTCCTTGCTACATGGTATTCAATAAACTGACAGTACCAAGGTCATCACCATCATGATCGAGCTTGGAGTGCCTTACGAGCTCAAGTCTTTCAAGCACGACGATGTCAAGAAGCCGCCATTTACCGACCTCAACCCCAATGGTCGAGTTCCAGGTATACACTCTATGATGTTTGCCACTTCAAGACTGACATCAAAAGCAATCGTCGACCCCAACACGGATTTGACACTCTGGGAGTCTGGGGCAATTGTCCAGTATCTGATCGAGGTCTACGACACGGAAAAGAAACTCACCTATGACACTTTTCACAAGAGGCACCTCTTGAACCAATACCTTCATTTTCAGATGAGTGGCCAAGGACCATACTTTGGCCAAGCTGGATGGTGAGTACCTGTCATGACCTGCTTGGCAACTGCTAATCCACAACGCCAGGTTCAACCATCTTCACGGAGAAAAGATTCCTTCAGCCATTGAACGATACGAAAACCAAGTCTTGAGAGTGATTGAGGTGCTGGACGGCATTCTCAAAGATAGAGACTGGCTTGTCGGCGACAAATGCACCTTTGCTGACCTTTCGTTTCTCCCCTACAACGACCGCATCGACATGCTTGTGCTGTCCAAGCCGATCGATGAGATTAGGTCACAGTATCCGTATTTCGCTGCCTGGCAGGGTCGAATGGTGGAGAGAGATTCATGGAAGAAGGCCATGGAAACGAGGAATCAACTCATGGACGAGCAGGGTTTGATGCCGAACGGTATGCCTAAGGGTATTACCAGTATGGCCCAATACGAAAAACATATAGCCAAGGTGGCCGAAGAGAAGAAGGATTAACACTACTTGCCGAGGTAGAATTCTTTTCCGTCTGATAGGTCATGCAACTCCTCATCCTTCCATTCACAAAAGCAAACACACTTTGTAACCGCAATTACGTTAAATTTTCGGCGAGTTGAGTAATTGTCTCTTGAGGGCTGTAAACGTCAAGAAGGCCTTCAGTTGATAGCCTGAGGAGTAGCTCTGAAGCCGGAACAAGGGCCGGGCCGGGCCGGCATTGTAACACCATGTGATTGGGTGCAAATGGCGTTGGGGTGCCAACAAAGGACTTTAATAACATTAACACGGCATCCATAGCATCACATCGAAGCCCTTGCGTGAGGCGAAGCTGCGCAGTCCGAGACGTAAAAAATCCTTTGATACTTGCATCAAGTTGAAGAAATGCCCGTCACAGAACTATCATGCTTCGTATGTGGCGCCTCCATTGAAGAGTCTGACTATCTACCAGGATGGATGGGTCGGTTCAGGGCCTGTGAGTTCATCAGTAAATAGGCTGCTCAGGCTTTTGCTAACCAAGACATTTAGTATATACCACTCTCGAGGACTGGAATGCCGCACGTATCTCTGGCATTGGGGAACGGCATCCATTCGAAGATGTTATTCCCCTAGACCAGTCGGTCAATGTCGACGTATCCGAATCCTCCATGGACGATGGCTCGGTGCAGATTGAACTCATGAAATCAAATTTTGGCGAGAAATACCCCCCAGACCCGCCATTGATACCTCAGCCGCTCTGGGGATTTCCACTTCATGACTCATGTTGGGACCTTTTATGCACAACAGACGCCAGGTTCCAGGAACCACGTACCGTGCAGGCTCTTTTCGACCTTTGCATGTCGCATCCAACGCAGAACGGTATACTGAACTGGGGCCACAACTACGATGGTCTGGTCAGGTGCGATGCGGATATCGTGAAGCTGCTCCCCGGAGAGGAGGCAAGACTCTACGAACCAAAGCGAGGAGGCACGTTTCAGAGATATAATCCCTTGGATATTCCCATGAATATTACAGGCACCCGTGGCGGACCGTATCCTTCTAGGGAAGTTGGTTTTTTAAAGGAACGCAATACTGGCAAAGGTTTCATATCCCATACGTCGATGAAGAATGACCCGTTCGGCCGCTTGCCTCCTGAACTCCTCCTCGAGATACTTACCCGTTGCGACTCGAAAAGCGTTGCGAATCTTCGACTTGCTTCAAAAGCCATGGCCAATCTTGGACTCCCAGAGAGGTTTTGGTTTTCGAGGTTCTGGCCAGGTCAGGAATTCGACTACGTTTTCGCACAGCCTGCTTTTCGAGCTGCGGTTCCTCTATGGATCAACTTTTACAACAGAGCGCGGCAGTTAAGGAATCACCCAGCGTTCAGGAACAGGAGGCGAATATGGAATTTGGCCTGCCAGCTCAGGGACTGGGTTATCTTGAGACTTGAGTCGCCGGTTTGCCACGGGTCCCTCTGCAAGTCCTTTTTCAACCCCAAGGGGGCAAACAACGATAAAGAATGGCACACTGCAGAAGCACGTGTTTCTCCAGGAACCTCCATCTTTTCTGTGGGTTGTCGGTCACTGAATGATGCAACAGTGACCATCTCGGGTCAAATATCCAAGGTCTGGGCGTCATTGGTAATGCTCAACGAGAAGAGGTGTGTTTCTGGCCTCCGAGTCTCCCAGGAAGACGGGAAATCCGTTCAGCTTGGATATCGTCACCCCAAGCACGAAGTCGCCTTTACGTGGGATTCGCCTTTGGAGCCGTCTGACCCCTTTATGGGGTTTCATGTGGCAATGGACAATCAAGGTATCCGTGGACTTTGTATGGTCTCAGCCCAGGGAGTTTCGTCACGCTGGAATGGAGATCATGAGGGCGTTCCAAAAAAGTCTATCACATGCAACGGCCAAGTGGAGGCTCTCAAAGGGGGGTTTGATGTGAGTCCCTCCTCCCCCCCTGAAGACCATTATTGACAAGATCAGGCTCTGAAGATGGTATCGGTAGCTGTGAGCAGTCTTGAGCAGAGATTAGAGAAGAGCAAGGTTGGCTTGGAGGAGTCTGCTCTCTGGTACCCCGAGCTACCAGATCCTTCATTACAGCTCATGCCGATACAAAACGAGCGTGTTTCCCGCTTGATCGGCCACATGCCCTACACGATGTGTTTATTTGGGGGTATTGATGGAGGGCTCCTCCCATATCTCACTGAAATCGTCGTTTGGATCGTCGATCGTTGTGATTTCGGAATCTACGCTGATAAATTCCACATCTGGGCCCTCGAGTTTCATTACAGCAGTCAGAAGGACAACCTCGAGTCCATCGTTTTCGGCCGAGTCCCGGAGGAAGATCCAGGCACCTATGAGCGCCGTCGCTACCAAATCTCGATCGACTCTCCCAATGGGGAGAGGATAAATGGCGTCGACACCATGTTTCAGGATTCTCGCTTCCCCTTCGCCATGACTGTAAGTGTACCTGTGCCCTCGAATAATCACGCGGCATTTGCTCACCTGGCAAGTTCCATACAAGTTATGGAAGAAGCATACAGACCCCGCCAGACTTTAGCTCAGCTGTATCAAAGGATGACTTTTTCACAGCGACGTTACAGCCAACCGATGGAACGATTGTTGGGTTCTTTGGCGTATTGGTAAGTTGATGTTTGACCAGATGCAAGAAAGCATGGCTGATCTCTGGGTTCTCATTAGAAACACGATGTTGTCTTTCAGAACTTGGGTGTGGCGTGCATTCCGCAATGAAGTAGGATGAGCTGGACCTTGAGTGGGAGGTGCTGAAATAGTAGATAGTAATAATAGCTAGTTACCTCCCTATATTGGCTGAAGTGTATCGATTAGTTCATTGACAAATGTAAAAGGATGTTGCAGAAATGGTTACGTTGCGTAGTCCTCATGGTGGCTGTCGAGCGGCCAACGCCAGACCAGGCACTCCTTGGGGGTCTGGCGGTTGAACACTCATCATAGGAAAAGACTAGCCGTTGGGTTATAATTTGTTTATATGTTGGCCTAGCTATGGACAGCGATAGAGGAATCGCCCCATGTGGTAATCTCCACGACGCACCATGGGATAGGAAGAAAAGTCCAGATCTTAAACAGTTCAAGGTGCGTTGTCGTTAGATCTTGTTGCATGGCGTCATTCTCGTCTTGTCGCACAATGGATATTACTCAGCGGGACATCAAGGTTCTCGTCGGAGAGATGGAGACAATAGGCAGTATGCTAACGATTAATGATGACATTTTTCGGGAATCTGTGAGCTGGCGAGGGCTTCACAAACGCACGCACACACAATTTCTAGATGTCGGTCATAAATAATTCGAGCAGCTATAACTATCACGTCTCAATTATTATCCTGGAAGATGACCTGATGCTTGCAGAGTCGCTCGCCTCCGAAATCTGACCACGGGGTGACTCGGCAAAGATGGTTCAACGACATGGCGTTCAACACGACGAGCGGCTCTGCATCTTTCACAGACGTGCATGACGCCCCAAACCCCTTTAGTGCTAGACTTAACCCACAGTTCCTTTGTGCTTGCAGAGAGTAACCAATCGCTGAGGTGAAGTTGTCATCAAGGGACCTGCAGCCGGGGTTGCGTCACCCTGATGGCCTGGGGACAACCACCCTGATGAGTTTTTGGACGAGACGTGTTGTACGGGCTTCATATTGTTCGTTTGAAAAGATAAGATAGCAGGCAAGAGAGAGACGAATTTGAGGGCAGTTATGATGGAAAATGGTGAATGCGTGAGCACCTTGATGGGCACGACTCAACAGACAGAGGCGCGGCGAAGAGGCATCTCATATTTAGCCAGCAAACAATTCAACCTTCTCTTCTTCACCTTTTCTTCATTTACGACAGTCATTTATTTGTGATTTCTCCAAGCGCACGCACGAAATCTCGTCAAAATGGCCAAGAATCGCGTCAAGAAGAGCTCCAAGAGCAAGAGCGCAAAGAAACCTGGCGTCCCTCCCAAGGCTTTGCCCGTGACACTTCTCTCCGGCTTCCTCGTATGCCTCTCCTTGCTTCTATTCATTGTTTATTCTCCTCTGACTGTGTTTAGGGCTCTGGAAAGACGACTCTTCTCCAGCACACCCTCCGCAGCGAACATGGTCTTCGCATCGCCGTCGTCGTGAACGACATTGGAGCGTAAGCTTTCTCCTCCTTCTGCAACATGACCTTGACTAACAATCTGCAGCATCAACGTCGACGCTTCCCTCATCAAAAAGACTCACCACCTCTCCAAGACCCAAGAAAAGGTCATCGCTCTCCAGAACGGATGCATCTGCTGCACCCTCCGCGGCGACTTGCTCGAGGAGCTCGTCCGTCTTGCCCAGCTGCAGGAGTTTGACTACATCATCATTGAGAGCAGTGGTATCAGTGAACCTGAGCAAGTTGCTGAGACTTTTGACTCTCGTCTTGCTGAGCAGATGGATGCTATGGGGTCGTTGGAGGGTGCTCCTGGTCTGGATGATGACATGCTCAAGGTTCTTCGACAGCTGTGAGTTCCCCTGCTTCGCTGCTGGAATTGGTCTGACTCTTTTGTAGCAAAGCCGCTGGTGGTCTTGAGAAGTTTGCCCGCCTCGACACCACTGTCACTGTCATTGATGCCTTCACCATGCTGCACGACTTTGACACGGAGGATCTGCTCTCGTCTCGTCGCGATGATGTTACGCCCGAGGATGAACGAACTGTCTCGGACCTCATGGTCGATCAGATTGAGTTTGCCGATGTCATCATCCTCAACAAGGTCGACATGGTAAGCTGCACCTATCCTCTCACCACCGCATCCACTAACCCATCAAGATCGACGCCAAGACCAAGCCTCGCCTGCTCGACCTCATCCGTAAGCTCAACCACCGCGCCAAGATCCTCGAATCCAGCTACGGCAAAGTCGACGTCAAGCAGATCGTCAACACTGGCATGTTCAACCTCCAAGTCGCCCAGTCCGGCTACGGCTGGCTTCAGGACCTCCACGACATGACCGTCCGCGAGGTCAACGGCCGCAACGTCCTCACCCCCAAGCCCGAGACGGAGGAATACTCTGTCCGCAGCTGTATCTACACTCGTCGTCGTCCTTTTCACCCTAGACGTCTTTGGGCTCTGGTGTATGACAAGTTTATCTTGCAGTTGGAGCATCCTGAGGAAGAGGGTGACGAGGAAGACGACGAGGAAGATGAAGAGGATCTTGAGATGGCTGACTATCAAGACGCAGAGGATGATGAAGTTGTCGATGCTGACCAAGACGCCGAAGACTCTTCTTCCTCCAAGGGCAAGCGCTCTATCCCCTCCTCGCCTCAGAGTTCACACTCGACTATCCAGACGGTTCCCTCCGTTGATGGCCCCTCCAAGAAGCAGAAGCTCGATGAGGATGATGCCATGCTCGACTCTGAGGAGCTCTTTACACCCGAGAACCCCGTCATCCTCGCCAACAAGCGCAAGCACCCCATCTTTGCCCGTCTTTTCCGCTCCAAGGGCGAGTTCTTCCTTGCTACCCGACCTCACCGCGCTGGAGAGTGGTCTCAGGCTGGTGCCATGCTCACACTGACCGGCGGTCGCCCTTGGTTCTGTACTCTCCCCCCTGAGGAGTATACCACTGGTGATGAAGAGGTTGACAGCCTTGTTCAGCATGACATCAAGAAGGGTGGCGAGTGGGGAGATCGTCGTCAGGAGCTTGTCTTTATCGGCGAGAACCTAAACCACAAGGGTCTCGAGAAGCTGCTCGACGAGTGCCTTCTGACTGATGAGGAGCACAGCAAGTGGGAGGCCGTGATGCGCAACGACAAACTGAACGACGAGAAGAAGCGTGAGTCTTTGGAGGACCTGTTTGAAGATGGCTTCCCTGACTGGCCCGAGGATGACGAAGATGATGAGAATCATGAGGGACATGATCATCCTCATCCTCATGGGCTTCGATCGATCAAGAAGCATCTGCAGGAAGTGGACTAAATGGGATGGCGAATCAAGAAAAGTTACGCATGTCATGACTCTGGTTTCCCGGCGTTTAGTCTAGATCAATCACATTCACTCGGCCTTTTGGCCGTGTCTCATTACCATGCCTCTATCCCATGGTACAGCCCTTGAAAGCAAAATTTTCCCCAAGATGTTTCCCTCCAATGCCCTCCCTACGCCCTCGTAAGCTCTCTCACGATGTTTCAAGATTCAATTCCCCATCATGGCAAACACCGCATCAACAGACTCCCTCCCCAAAAAACCAAGAACCTCTCTATCCTCTCCCATAGAAACACTCCCCATCGCCCACCCTCTAACCAAACTCCTCGCATACCACACCGCCAGATGCTTGTTGTACTTGTGTATCTTGGCAGTGCAAGCCCGGCTCATCTCGCTCTTGAGGACCCCGAGCCAGTCGCCGTCCTCCCAACGAATATCTGTCCGCTCCATGGGGCAGAAGAGGTCTTCGACTTGCTCGTTTGGATTACGGGCAGGTTCGTCGATGCAGAAGCCTGCTTCTAGCTGGGCTGGTCTGCTGCGGTATGTTGCGACTAAAAAGACAGGGGTGGTGCATGCCGGTGAGTCGGCGCAGGACTTGGAGGTGCTGTGATTTGCTGGCTTGCCTAAATACTGTTATCCTGTGTTCGTGTGGGTGCCAAGTGTGTCTTCTTACCGCAGATATTCCCAACACTGACAAACTCACGAACGACAAAGTCCATAGCCGGCTTCGGAAGCTCATCCTCAAAGTTCCCAGTCCACTCTTTAAAAACAGCATCAAGAAACCCCTCCATAGTATCCCTCGTCGACATCAGCGTCGCATTTGGATCAGTCGCCGCCCCACAGGCGTGCAGTATCTCAAAGCATCGCTTCAACTCCAGCTCGTCTAGGTGGTCCGCCGTGCTGATGGTGCGAGGACCCCGGATTAGCGGGTTCCCGAGCTGCAGGGCGGCAAAGAGACGGTCGCGGGAGCGTTTGGTGGAGCGCGGGGCTGGAGAGGGACTGCGGCTGCTGACGAGGATCGAGCCGCCGGGTGTGCTGGGGGGTTCTCTCTTGATAGGCCGGCCGGAGGAGGAGGGTTGGTCCATCGTGATGAGGATGTCAGGTTCAAGTTGGAGAGTAGCTTTGCCTCTTGACTCAGCGTGAGATGATCAGGAAGGATCTGGTTCCATCTTGGAAGAGGAGTTGAGAGAGAGATGTGGTGAAAGGAGGGCGAGTTGGTGTTGTGAATCACTGTCAGGCGGCGTGTTGAGAGCTGTGTAAGAGCACCCAGGCAGCCCAGTCTTCCATTCTGCGGCGCCAGGTAGTTTAATTATTATGTTCAACCTTTGAGAGGCTCCGTCGTGTTATAATGAGCCGCAAGTGAGCTCTAGTTTATTCGAGGAGATATCATCAAAGACAACAATTCCAGGAGATGAGGAAATGGCATATTGGACGCAAGGATATTACCAACCCCAACATATGGATTAATACTGGCGCCAAGCAGTGTATCTCCCCGAATATCTACAACTTTTCAAATGACATTCTACCTTTGAATGTCTTTTAACAAGATCCCTACAACTCGTCGGCGAAAGGGGTACCAACAAAGGAATGCATCCTTGCCAGCTACACCCCGGACCCTGTCTGACAACACATCACCAACATCAGTCGTGAATGCAGGTATTCTTCTATAGAGTTCATAGTGGAGGGGTACATGTATCAAACCGTGATGTCTCGCCACTAACCCTATCATGCTGTGTAACCATGTGTCAAAGAGATCTTTGTGGATGGCGTTGCCATCACACCTTTTTTCCCGTGGCTGGCTGGACCTGTGCCGTGCTAGACTTGTTTCTCGACAATATTTTTTCATCTTTCAGCTCGAGCTCTTTTCGTATCCATAGGGGTGCACCTCTTGCACGAGTATCCCGAACAGGTTTCAAGCAAGAGGGCAGTAGCTCTTTAGAATTTATAAATGAGGGCCCAGGGAATGCTGGAGCCTCAAACAGCGACAGTGCCTCACCCTTGCCACTGCATCCCACCATTGCATGTGCAAACTGCACACTCTGCGCACCCTTATCACTTTATCCCGCTGACGCCAAGGGAAGCACGTCTCGAGACATTGGGGCCAATCATCTGGGTCGGATGCGGTCCACGAATCAAGCTCCACGGACTCGAGTCCGGGTCAAAGTGACCAATGAGAGCAAAGGGGTCCTCCAACTGCTCCCGCCCCGCAGGCTCAAAGCTTCTTGGAGCTTGTGGTTCACTACTGTACCTGTCAAGCCTTGTATACCAGCTCGTCAGTCCCGGCCTCATTTCTTGTGTCAACAACAAGAGGAGAAAGTCATGGGATGTGCGGTCTGTTGGAACCCGTGTCTATGAACACTTCCCCGTTTAAATCAAACGATTTTGATCCATCTCCCAGAATGGAAGCGTCCAGTAGACGTGATCCAAACAGCCGTACTGTACTGTGTAAAGGCTGATGTGCTTTTGCAATACGTCCGCGCCCGCTGGCCGCCCTCCACCCCATAAAGCTCCCTCGTTTCTTTGTCCTCCGAGGCCATTGAACCAATGATACTCGAGCCATGCTGGGGTCGCAACGGTCTGCTACGTAGAACCCCCACCTCCGGGCAGAGCTTCCGCCTCCCCTCCAGTCCCGGAGGGTCGTCCAGTGTTTCCTTGGCACTGGGTCGGCTGAGACAGCTTTCTCTCTCCAATACCAACTGAACTCTCCCATCCTGCCATTTTCTTGCCACCTGATGCCTATATCTGTTCCGGGGTCGTAGTCAAACACATGTCTTCTTCCTGTCACCTCCCCTGTTGGAGCTATTCTCTGTCCAGTTCTCGGAGTATCATTGTCTTTGTTGATCTTACTCTTACCTTCTAAGCCTGACTGCGACCTTGAAACAGTGCCGCGCGGCTCGATAACACCCTGCGTGTCATTTCGGTACTTGGAAATGGGTACGACTTCTTCCTCTTCATACAGCTCCGCTGACCTTGATTTCTTGACAGAGGATAATCTTCGCTACGTTATTGTCCAAGGAGCTCCTTTTATGGATCATCTCGACGGCGACATCACAATGAATACCTTTGACTACCTCCCAGACATTCCCCAGGAGCAGTGGTGGGCAGCGGATGCCTCGGTGTTTCCCCCTTCATTTGGGGGACTCGACCCTGCAATCCACTACCACCAAGGCGATCTCCCTTACAACGGCTTCACTCCCAATTACGGGTCCGAATGGTCTGGGTTCTCCTCTGTGCAAGAGTATCCTGCCCCGTCAGCGCCCGACTCCTCATGTCTTGAACCGTCCCCGAGCGTATCAAGCCGTCGCAGCTCTGCCTCGGCACAACAAGACGATGAACAGCAAAAACCGAGTGCAGCCGAGCGTGCGACGTCCAATTCAACAAAGCGGCCCCCCTCCACCCGGAAGAACAAGCCTCGGGGTCCGGCAGTTGAAGGAAAGAAAGATTCGAAGAGCCGCAAGGCCGAACCAAGCCAAACCACGAGTAGCTCATCCCCCAACGACGCAGATGGATTCAGTAAACGAGTGCAAGAGAGGAATCGGGTGGCATCCAACAAGTTCCGCACCAAGAAGAGGGAAGACGCAAAGAAGCTCAAGACGGACGAGGAAGACATGGAGCGCGTCAACCGCGACCTATCGAGCTGCGTTGCAGACCTGACTCAGGAGGTTTACCAGCTCAAGATGAGATTGTTACAGCACACCGACTGCGATTGCGCCCTCATTCAGAACTACATTGCCAGCGAGGCACAGCGTTATATCTGGAATCTAGATGACAAGCATGAGCATGGCTGCTAGGTAATGCTGGGAGGGCGTGTATTGCGTGAGAGCAACGACGACGACGACGACGATGGATATGAACTCAATGATACCAATACTAGTTTGACTATTTCTCTTCAGAAGAGCTAATATATCATTATGATGTCCTTCGAATCATGTAGGATAAAGTGCGAGATGTCCATATCCCGTGTCGTCAGGAGTCGCAGAGCTTGAGAGAATACCCCCCCCCCAACTGATCTGCAACGGACGGCCCGTTGACCGCCCTGGCGGCGTTGTAGTGGTGGGATCGAAGAGCTACGAATGGCCCAGAGTCCAAGGCTCTACTGCATCTCAGGATGACACCACCAGAGCCTCCATCTCCAACAGCTCGTGATTGAGAGACAGCTCCCCGCCGATCCTAGTCCCCTTTGGCCATAGCCACCATGCTTGTCTTACGCTAATCCTGTGCCCGCTCTCCTGTCGCAGTGGATATTCCCGGATATGGTGCCCCGTTCATCGATTACCCCTTTGCGTATGGTCAAGCCGTCCTTGCATATGAACCCCTGGCTTTCATCTACAGTCCAACTTTCAAGAGGTCAATCAAGAAATCGCCGAGAGAGACGACTGCGATTGCTGGAGAAGCAACCGTCTTGACAGGTGGTCTGAAGAAAACACCGCCGGTACTGGCACCAAAATTGTATGGGGAGAGCGGCGGTGTTTTTTTTTCATACCGCCTGCTTGGCAAGGTAGCTCCTCGCCCCTGTTGTCAGCAGTGCAGATCCAAAGCCAGGCGGCTTGAATTCACCAATGATGAGAAGCAGTGGCTGCAAGACATCACCATCTACTAACGAGACTTTTCCAGGGCAAGGTAACATTTGCAAGGCCTAGATTCTGAATCAGAGTTTTGGGCTTGCAAGCCCTATGCCAGGTGGAAAAGTGGCTTCTGCTAAGCAAAAACGCCATGGACTAGCCATTAGATTCAAGGTCTGACAGCGATCTTCTTGGATTATACTGGTTGACAAGGCGGTCAAGACTTGCAGATGTGGCTTCAAGCTCTGGGTAGCTGCTGGGTAAGGGTCTGCTTCTGGGAGAGAACGGCTCAATCATTGGAATTGGCCAATACTATTCGAGAGATCTCCAATGTGAGTTCCAGTTCTCTGCATGATATGAGGCTCGTGATCCCTATAGGGCTTGGAGATGCTGTCAAGATACGCGCCTCGGCGGAAACGGTATAGTCAGAGTGAAACGGATAACTCAAGGGCCACACAATCTTGTCGGGTCCATCTGCTGCTTTTGGAACATATAGCCTACTTCACTTTGGCTTTCGTAATATTAGAATTTGTGTGGCCGACGTCACTTTGTAGCTTCGTAATATCCCTTGACTGGGCTCATGAGTACACTACATGGGATTCAGGGACATTACTTGGCAATAGGGACCTTCCCCGCGCCGACAATGAGCACCAAAGCATTGACTATATCATTGGATGCTGGAGCTTCAGATGCTTTGCGTTTATGGTCAAGTGAAAGGCTCAGTACACCCTTAGGGCGCCCGAGGGGCTGCGTGATAGGCAGAAAGACATGGCTTACGCATAACTAGATTGCTTCAAGTTAAATGCACTAGAATCTCGAAATTACATTTTGAGCCACCACCAGAAATGATAATGAACATGTGAAAATAGTCCTTGTGTCTCACTCTAGTGGTGGTGTCAGAGGGGCCTTGGCAGGGGTCACTTGGGCGAGGCACTCTTGTGATAGCTCACATGGTGAGAGCTACCAAAAATCAGATTGGTAAGTACTTCTATGGTTTAATAGCACACTAGATCGTTAAGCCTTTGTATATCTTGGTCGCTTGTTGCAGTAGCCGCGTTTATCGACTCTTCGATCCACAACCTCTGTTTATCCTGTCGAGGCATTTTACCCAACCTTTTGAGAAGTTCATGGATATTCGTCCCCCAGACTTTGAATTCCATCAGGTAGGCTGACAGTCTAATCGAATTTGAAGTTTAATCTTTGTCGACCTCGATGTATGCCTTGCACCTCATTGACCCAATATTGTCGCTTTGCAGTTTTAACCGCGTGGTCACATAGCGAGAAACCTGTGCAATGGAGCTCCAGGCAGAAATCTGGAAGCACAGTTCATTATTTATAATTCAAGGAGAGTGATTTGGAAGATGCCCTGGGTAGGGTTCAAGACGGGGTCTCGATCGGTAGGTTGAAGGCTTGAACGATTCAGAGAAGGGAGAGACCGTGATCAATAATTCGCGTATCCAGAAGTCAACAAACGGCCCCATTTGAAACAGGTCTCAATGCCGCGAATGACGGAAACGCAGACAGGGCAGAACCAGTTACCGCAGCCAACATGACGAGAATTCTCCACGTCTCTTTTTGTTCATGTCGGCCATGATACGGCCGTTATAGAGTTTCTATCGTGGGATACTTTATATTCATAGGTTGTTTGCAACAGAAACGAGTCCCAGGGCGCTCATGTTCCCAAACAGGATGGTAGGTTGCCCCTCGAGACTTGAACATGAGGGTTAATCTGGATCCTTCAAATAGGAAAGCGAATGCCGTTCCGGATACTCTCAACCTGGTCTCAGCATGGGTGACCAAGCCAAGGCTTCAAGCGACGGTGCTGACAGCTCATTCAACTCCTCGACTACTATCGCAGCGCTGTCACAGTCTATATCGCAAAGGTTGAATATAAAATGACCAGCTCAAGACTCCTTTGTCAATGAGTGTCCGTTCCAAGTTTTGAGCTCAGGAACTGTTAGATGAGGAGTAGGCGACACGATGATTCAATCCCTTGTCGCAGTCTTTCGTCTAAGGCGCAAGTCAACAGAATTAACCGGCATTATTATCGAATAAATTCGGGAGGATCTTCGATGGGTTCTCAAAGTGCGCGCAGTATCTTCTCCATCGACCGCCATCATGCGTACCAAGGGGCGAAGCTCGTCGCGCTAGCTCCGGTGAAGGTCTACCGATCGCATCTCCCGACCGTTCCTCCCAACGGGAAAAATAACAATTCCAACTCGGGCTTACCGAGGTGAAGCTATCGCAAGGTTTTACGAGGTCGAATCGATTGATAAGTCTAGTTTGGCAGGGATTTGGAATTCTCCTTGGTGACATACCGACGGCTGACTGCTGGGCCTCGGGTTACCTCGTTGGGAGATCTCGGTATCACTATACCCGAGTCGGCGGCAAAGCGTTCAACACATCATGGGAGTTGACAATTTCATGGTGAACATATCTCCACGGAAAAAAGATGTTCGGTGGATTAATTAATTATAATTGATTTGTAAATGATGCATATAAATTGCCAATCACTCTCCATTCCACAGCTTCACAATAAACCGTGATATGCACTTACCGGTGCCTCTCATCCAACCTCGTAGCCGACGCCAACTGCCGCCAGCGGTAACCGTCCTTCGGGCTCATCCACGGCCTACGTCCAAACTCAAGCGCGGGGTCTCCGCATTCTCCACGAGCCGACGATCCACAGCTACCCCTTTATAGCTGAGGCTCTTTTTATAACATCTCGAGAGTCATAGACGAGCTGTTTCTGGCAATTGAGTCTTGTTGTGCGCTTCTTCTTTTTGGTGTCTGGCCTTTTTTGTTCTGCCCCTCCAACCTCCTCTTTGTTATCACCAATCAATCCAGCCACGTTTAGCGAGGGGACAAAAAAACATCAACACCTCCAACAAACAAACGTTTCACCGACACAAACACAAGCAATCGCAATCATGTTGACAGAACACTCCTACGCCGGCGAACCGGCCAACATTCCCGGTGCAAACGTCTTCAACTTCATGTTTAGCAACCCTTTTCAACAGGAGAGCGAGTTTACGCCGCCCAAGCAGCGCGTGCCAAAGATCCACGAGGATCAGCCCATTTTCATCGACCACGCCAGCGGTAAGTTTAACCTGCCTGCATACGAGGACACCATGAGACCAAAGTTACATCGGGTTCCTTAACCTTGTTCTATGTGCTAATCTACAAATCTAGATCGGCCTCTCACATTCTCGCGGCTGAGGCGTGATGCCCTCACTTTGGCTGCCAGTCTGCAGAACCTGGGACTCGATCCCAATGCTTTGGAGGTGCTTCCTCCTACGCCGTCATGTCCTGGACCAGAAGTTGCGCCTGTTGTCATGATCCATTTGCCCAATTGTCTGCCGTTTGCGACGACGGTGATGGGCACCCTCGCTGCTGGCATGACTGCGACTTTGGCGTCGCCTTCGTTGACGGGCACTGAGCTTGCGTGGGTTGTCAAGAACTCGCGCCCGCGGGTAGTGTTTACGGCCAAGCCTCTGTTGGCCGCGGTTGAGCACGCATTGGATGCTCAAGAGGATGCCATGTATCGGGATAGCGTACGCGTCTTCACGGTGGATGTCGCCAGGGATTTGTACCCTCTCTCGCCAGACTCTCACCCAGAGGATGGTGACTGGAAGATGCTCATCACCCCAATAACTCCTCCTCTGACAACAGCTCATCCCTTCTCCCCCGAGTCTGCTGCGACACGAACGGCCATTATCCTCTGGTCTTCCGGCACGTCAGGTCGATCCAAGGGTGTGCTTCTCTCCCATCAAGCCATCAACTTCTCGACAGCTTCACTCTGGCATGATGCCGACTTTTACGGGTTCCATCAGCGATGGCTCGGCTACGTGCCCTTTTACCACGTCTTTGGTCTGTCCAACATGTTCTTCCTCGCCATTGCGACAGGCTCAACAGTCTTTACGATGCCTGCCTTCAAGCTCGACTCTGTCTTGGCCGCCATTCCTCGTCGCCAGATCACCTACCTACACATGGCTCCTCCGGTAGCCGTCATGCTCGCAAAGTCACCAGTCGTGGAACCGTTTGCGCGACGAGATGCTCGTGGTCGAAATGCTTTCAGCAGCGTCGTGGCAGGCGTGACTGGCGGTGCTCCTCTCGGCCATGAAATCGTGGTCCAGGTCTTTGCAAGACTAGGCTTCTTGGTCAGGATGGGATACGGCATGTCAGAGGCATGCAGTGTGACAGTACAGAGGGGTCTGAGGGAGAAGGAC